TGCCTTTAGCTACACTTTTGCCTTTTGTTTGTAGACTGTCTTGTTCAGTATCTTGTTTTGTTTGAGAGTACTAAGAATGATACTCAGTATATGTGTTTTGTAATTTGTGTATCAACTTAGCTAGTGTTAGAACATCTTTCTGAGCTGCTGTAACTGTTGGTAGTTGATTATAATAGGTAATCTGCCTGTCTAGCATTGTTGCTACCCATCTATACTCACAAGGAGTAGTAAGGTTAATTGCTGAGATGTATGTGTTGTTATTGAGGGCTTTATTATGTGTAGACAACTGCTTGTAGATTTGTTCAATATTGTCTAACATCTTATCAAACTGTAATACATACCCTTTTACTGTAAACAATGTAGATATGTCTACAGCATGTGTCATTGTTGTTTGAACATTGTATTGTTCAGAAAGCACCTTCATGAGACTTCTAATGCTTGTATGTGTTGTAAAGTTCATATAAATTGTGTTAGTTATTGTTTTCATTATACAATGATACAAAACATTACTTGTGTGTATGCCAGCATTATTAGAGGAAGGGGGATTGTGCTCTAGATAGTCTAAGAGCATCATAGTAGTGAGTGTACTGTGTATACACAAGCACTATATCTTGTATCCCTTCACACTAGCCAACTTTTCTGTTCCCTTAAAGAACTTTGTAATGTTAGAGTCCTTCATCATAGTGTTAACAAAGGTATGTGTTGTAGACAACATTGTAATGGGTTTGAGGGGAGAGGGAGGTCTTGGGCTTGGTGGTCTAGCAGGAGGCAAAGGCATTCTGTAAGAGTGAGTGTGTGGAGGCATTCAATAGGTACTAAGGCTTATAACCTTTTAACAAGTGTAGTAGGAGTGCTCCAAGTACTCTCTCTTATTAAGACATCAAGCAAGTGTCTACCTTATATACTACATAGTGAAGTCTGATAATTCAAGACATTCCAAGTGTAGTAACTCTACATAAGGCAATTAGGGATTTCCTAATCTAGAGTACAATCTAATAGTTTTAATAAAAACAAACAATGAATGTATTATTTATTCTCCTACTCATACAAAGATTGGTGAAATACATGTACAAAATAACTTGTATATGATAGTTTTTCATTATAATAAACAATCTATTAACACAATCACTATTGTTGATTTACATTAACAAATGGGTCATGTTAATTTTGATTACTTGTACAAACTCATACAAGAGTATTCTGAGATTATAAGTCAAAGGATAACAGACAATAAAAATGTGTAGTGTACAGATTGTATTAAAGCAAACATACAATGTAATGAAATACCAAAAATACAAACAACACCTCTTGTACAATGTTATAGAGATCATCTCTACATTAACATTTGGGGACCTGCCATAGTACAAGCTTACAGTAAGTACAAATATCTTTTTACTATTGTAGATAACACTACACAATAGGTAACTATGCTACCTATGTAGTATAAAAGCAATACTTTCACTAAATATGTAAAGTATACAATGAGACTATTTACACAGTACAGTATAAGAGTTAAAACTCTCCAAAGTGATAATAATACAGTGTTCCTAAGTAAAGGCTTTACTATGTATATTGAAAGTCAAGGAACAATACATAGATTAACAGTACACAATACACTGTAGTAGAACAGAGTTGCAGAATGTATGTATAAGACTATCTTTAACAGTGTACATACATGTCTGTTATTAGCAAAGTTACCTATGAAATTCTGGGTATATGTGGTACAATATTAAACGTTTATTCATAACAGAATGCTAAGAGTTGTTATTAATTTTGTAACACCATATTACAAACAGTATAATGAACATTATCAAATAGATAATATACAAGAATTTGGTGCATATTGTATCATACAGAACAAACGAATGTATAAACTACAATCTAGATGCTAATACACACAATGGCTAGGTTATGATACTGACAGTAAAGGTCACTTAGTGTACTATGATAATAAAGTTACTGTTGAACACAATGTACAATTCATAGACAAACCAATGTCTAGTATTGAAGGGGAGAATAATCATAACAGTAATACATTAAACAATAATGAAACTCTCCCTAATAACAATAATAAAGATAAAGAACCTGTCATACAATACTCTACACAAGAGCAAAGACTGGCTAAACAAACTATAGGTTTAAATTACAAAGACAATATAAACCTAGTTATGTATCTAACAGAATTTAACAAATTCCTTAATGAAATCTATAGCAATCCATTAACATATTACAATGCTATAACATGCATAGACAAAGAACAGTGGATCAAAGCTATGAAGGATGAAATACAGTCACTTCAACAATGAAACACATGGATATATGCTATCCCCCCTACAAACACAAATATAATTGGAACAAAATTTGTCTATAAAATCAAAAGACTGGCTAACAGCTGAATAGACAAATACAAAGCACAATTTATAGTGTAAGGATACACTCAAAAGAATGGAATAGACTTCTATTCTAACAACTTATTTGCCCTAGTAACAAAACTATTAACAGTACAATTATTGTTATCTTGGGTAGCATCTAAGAACTACAAAATACATCAGATAGATGTAAAATCTGTATATCTTTACAGAGAACTAAATGAGGACAAACTCATTTATGTGAAACCATTGCCAGGCAGGCTACTTACAGATATTAAACCTGGACAGGCATTATGCTTAAATAAAGCATTATACAGATTGAAACAAGTAGGTAGACAATAGTACAAGAAGATTACCAAACTACTGCTTAAGATCAGATTAGAACAAGCTAATTACAATCATACTGTATTTTATAAGAAACAAAATAATAAAACAATTCTTGTAACATTTATGTATGTTGACAATATTACAATTATTAGCAAAACTATTGTTATAATAACAGTATTTAAACATGTATTAAGACAACACATTGTATTTACTGACAGTAACAAAATACATTAGTTACTTAGTATTGAAATAAGCTGAGATAGACCTCAACAAATGATTAGCTTACAGTAAAAGCATTATATTGAAAGTATAATCAAGCATTACTACTTTGAAAACAAAAAGGCACTACAAACACTTATTACTCCTGGAATAGATCTATCTAACAATACATACAATACATACAATACAAACAAAAGTAATAATGAAACAACACTATACATGAATATGGTAGGATTGTTAAGATATGTTACAGATTGTACACAGCCAGACATATCTTATATTACTAGGCAATTAGCCTGCTACTTACAAAAGCCCTAAACGTATCACTACAAAGTAGTGAAACATTGCTTTACATATTTAAAATATACAACAAATTGCTGGCTTCAACTTGGAAGCACAAACACCTTAAAACTACAAGGCTATTGTGATACAGATGGATGAATGACAGAAGGACACAAAGTAATAAACAGCTATGTCTTTCAATTAGCTAAATCAACCATATCCTGGTCAAGCAAACAGTAAAACCTGGTACTACTATCTGTTTACAAAGCAGAGTTGTAAGTGCTAGTGTATACTACTCAAGAAGCTATTTGGCTCAAACAATTTGCTGAAGAAGTACTACAGACTGAATTGGCACCTATTATGATTTATTACAATAATCAAGGTGTAATAAAGACTGTAAAGTCTGACAAAATAACATACAATGCTCACACTAAACACCTTGATTTACAAAAAGACTTTGTGCAATGTTATATTCAAAACAATTACATTAATGTATACTATGTTCAATCACAGAACCAATTAGCAGACATCCTTACAAAAGCTCTCTACATTCTACAGATCAAGCATCTAAACAAACTATTAGGTATACAGTCCTAGTTCTTAATTAATGCTTGAAGGGGAGTATTAGATTGTGCTCTGGATTAGGAAATCCCTAATTGCCTTATGTAGAGTTACTGTGCTTGGAATGTCTCAGACTATCAGACTTTACTATGTAGTATATAAGGCAGACACTTGCTTGATGTCTTAATAAGAGAGAGTATTTGGGGCACTCCTGCTATACTTGTTAAAAAAGGGGAAAACAATGCTAAAGATAAAAAGGAGGGTGTATACACTTAAGAATGAAGGGTATGTGACTCAGACAATAAGGAAACATAGTGTGAAGACAAAAGAGGAAATGTGTGTGACTCTAGGGTCCATACTAAGGAGGTTTAGGCTTAGAAGAAGGTCTAGGTTCAGACATGTGGTTCTACACCAGGAAAGGTACAGAACAGTACAGAAGCTGTTATAAGCCATAGGGTAGGCTTACAGTCTCTTACCCTTTGTCTATCCCTTCATTCTTTATACATTTATCTTTGACCTTCCCTTCCTTTATTCTTTGTAGCTCATCATTCTTAGTAGCTTATCATTCCCTGAGTACTCTTGTGTAGTTTAGTATATATAGGTGTACAAGGTCAGACTGGTCCTGTAGTCTTGATCTTGTCTACTCCAGGTAGTCCTGTACTCTTAGGCTCACTCTATATACTCTATACTTATCTTACTCTCTCTTTCCTTCTATTCTACAAGTTCTGACTATGTTCCAGTGCTTGTATTCTGTATTTCTGTTGTGTAGGATAGTTGTAGCCTGGGTCCCCTTGCTGAGCCTTCAGGTCCCCTCTACACTGTTGCTGACAGTTATTGTCTGTAATCAACTTGTTTATATATTCAGTCAGTACAAGGCCTTTACCTTTTTACAGATTTGAGCAATTGTAATTTACAATAAAGTTGCAAGGCTGCCTATAATTCTCAAAGCAACCCAATTAGTACACTTGCACAGTCAAATTATTTTGTACTTATAGGCAGCAATAAATTTGCAAACTGGGTAAATACGACCTTGAATTGGCATCTGACCATCACCATATCAGTAAGCAAGGGATTGACTCAAAGCACATTTGTCAAATCGTCCACATTACATAGATCAGCATCTGGTTGCCTTGAATACGATCTATGTTTCTACACTTGTAGCTTTATTCACGTATTCATACCCTATATAACACAACCACAGACACTTCACAATGACCGACCGTCTTGTAGACACAGAAGAAAAGGAAACAAAGAAAAGGAAAAACAATCAGCACATATCGTGGCACAGGTTCGGAAGGAGTATGTAGTCGATGGTGATTAGAATGAGGGGTCTCCGGCGAAGGAGACGACGTATGGTCCTAAGGAAACAGATAGAGAAACTGGAGAGGAGCATAGCATAGATGTTTAACTGGCGTAGTGTTTGAATACTAGAGAAGGCGAGTAAAAAATCGAAGAGTGAGAATCAAAAGAGAACCGCGTGAACGGAACGAATGAACAAGTAGCCCTGTTACAAGTAAGCGCACCAAGAGTCGTGTCGAAAAACATAAGAAACCGAGACCCGAGAGAAACGATGATGAGAAAATGGATGAAGGGTCAAGGCAAAAAGAAAGTAGAAACAGCAGTAGATTAGATTGCACTGTAGCACAAGAGCTAACAGCAATACAGAACGTATCGTAAAAGCGGACACGAAAGACGAAATTGCGAGCGCAGCCACGGCAAAATGGCCTCCAAACGGTAACAAGAATTCTTGAGCTTCATGATAGATCGGACCACACATGTGCAGGATACACACTTGTAACAAACGGAATTGACCTTGACGTGTCAAAGAGCGTCGAGACAAGCGGAGAACCACGAGTACTATGCTTTTCCAGGTGCAACAGCCACGGATGCTTCCTCTAGCCTTTCAGCTAGGCTACGTCCAAAGCCTTCACGCTCCCACTCGCCCCCTGGCTCATCCCCGACTCCACCGGTCGGTTCCTTGACATCTACAGCAGGCCCACTGTGACTGTGACCTGGACCAAAGATACCGTCAAGAACAAGAGAATTGCGTGCACTGTTAACCAAGCTCGCTGTTCGACTTGCGCCTTCCCCGTATGCAGAACCAAAAGGTGAACCACTGTCAACGGCGCCGACAGATAAAGATACACTCGGGATATGGGGTGGCGGAGCGTCAGAAGGAGGCGATGTAAGATTGCTAAGGGGAACGGTAGAGACGGGAGTTGAGGCAAGTATGTCGTTATATGACAAGAAAGAAAGACGCTTGTGAGCATTCTGTGACGGCGACGGCGGATGGGGCCTGACCCGCGCCTGCGGGAATGAGCTCCCACCAGAAGGAGAACTCGAAAAAGTGGTCGGAGCGGTTGGGGTGGTCGGTGAGACAGGGAGAGAATTTGGAGGGTGTTCAAGGGTAGTTGTCTTCGGCGAGCTTGGTGCGCTTTCATAATGAGTGGATCCACCCGTACTTGTTGGGGTGCTCGTCCCATTTCCTTGCCGAGCAGTCTCAACATAGACTATTTGAGAAGGAGAAAATCCACCAGGGACCGGTGGTTCAGCAGAAAAATTCGTTGTAAGAGATGGCGGGGAGACCTTCGGAGAACCTGATTGAGACCCTGCATGCGGAGGACTGCCTCCTGCGCGTCCAGCTCCAGTAGATGATACAGACGACGGTGATAGCGGCACAGACACAATCGAGCTTTGTATGGGACTTGGCAAATTGAGAAGCATACTTGTTCGCACTCCCCTACCCGCACCAGCACTCATGCTCGGACTTGGACTTCTACTTCCGCGACCGACTGGGCTGCCTACCCCACTCGTTATGTTGCTGGCAGACGTCACAGGTGCCTCCACCGCTATAAACTGTTCCTCATGTTCATCCGTTGACGTGAGAAGTGCCGCCGCACTATCAAGTACCGAGGGAACGCTAGCTTCAATGGGCTCCGTGGTCTTTGAGCGTGGAGTTCGATGTGGATTCGTCGGATGGGTATGGATTGGATGTGAAGGTGTAACATCGCGCTCAAAGATCGCCGACGACGATGACGAATGCCTGTAAGAAATTCAGTTAGCATATTGTACACTTTGACCGCTTTGCCACAAATGCTATGGATCGCATGACGCCACCCTTCCCCCTCGACGATTTGACGCGCTCTGTTGCCACGCCGCCAACATCGAACGGCCAGCAATATAATAAAATTAATCCCAGCAAACGAAAGCTGTTCTAGAAAAATCATGTGCGTGCCGTGCCATTAAGCTCAGCGAAATAATTCGTGCAGCCAAGAGATATTTCGTTGCCCCAAGATCCGATCCAGAAACCGCATGAAGCATAAAAAATGGTATACTCACACAGAAGTTGGGGATGATGGAATCGATGTCGGTGAGCGTGACCCAACGCGATGGTGACCAGTTGAGACGGACGTGAGCATTTGTGGCTGGCCACTGGCGATCCGACCAGACTTGTCTGTCGATGCAGAGACGGTCCTGTCTTTCATCGGAGGGGACGAATTCGGATTCAGCGAAATGTGCCGGGAATCAGCAGGCTGGGCGGGCGACAAATTCGCTGACGCAGGCGATGACTGCGATGTTGTATCGGTCGCTATTTGTGTTAGGAGGTTGTCTTGACGCGTTGAGGTAGGAGGCGAAACAACTTGAAGCAGGTGGTTAGAAACGAGCCAGAAGGCGTCCACAACTCACTCACCTTGCGAGGCCATGACTTGAGATGAGTGCTGGCGTCGTCGACGATGTCGAGCAAGGCGTTTCGAGAGAGCGTAAATGGAGGAATGTGCGAGATGAGGGTTTGTGGAGAAAAGCGGCGAGTGGACTCGAAACGAATGGATCCTTGATGCGCTGATCACGTAACCAATGCAAAATTACATAACACCCCCTAATGGCTCCTCCAACATACTCATTAATTCGTCTCTTGTGGCGGAATCTGACTGGGCAACAATCCTCAGCCGCCAGCCAGTGCAGGTGAATTATTCTGCACCGAAAAAGCTCAGTTATTGTACCCCTATTCTCAGAGCCTGTAGTCTATCCGAGCAAGTACTGCATGTGAACCCGAAATCACGCCAATAAAGTGAAACCCGGGTAAATACTCCCTTTACCCCCTCCCCTGTACCCGAATCTCAGGGGGAACGTGGTTCTCATTACCTGATGTCGATCATACTCGCTACGGCCCTGCATTGATTATACTCTCCGAAGGAAAGGCCTTTGATACTCTTTTCTTGATTAGACTGTTCATTAGAATAAGGAAGTGGCGCCTGTTAAATTCTCATGCTCGATTCTACCAGTCTGCACACTGTCTTGGACTTATTCCAACGGGCACTAATTGCATTTTTTGGGTGCTTCCCAATTGGCTTCGGACGCCAATAACTGTTTAAATCTTCCAAAGCAAAAAGCATACTCAAACCTTTTTTTATTATTATTTCTGCTCATTAGTAACTTCAAAAAAGCGAAATTTACTGTAGACTGTGTATATAGTATAAGCTCATGACCTGGTACACAGTCAAGATTAACATTCAGAAAGGTCTAGCTTTGTCTCTGTTCCAAGACAAATCCTATTTAAAAAAAATTGTTATCATGTACAGTGTGTACTTTAGGAACAATTCATAACTTTATTCTCAAAGAAAAAAATCATTAGGATAAGTGTCCAATTACTGTCTGTTATGGATTCCACAGTAGGAGTTACACCTTGTGTGATTAGTTTACAGAACACAGGTGGATCCTTTAACCACTTGTATCTAGTTCTAAGTATAGCCTCAGTTGTTACTAACTCTTTTTAGTGTTAATAATACTTACACTTAGTAAGAAGGGAGAGAATGTCTTTAAGAGTTTGATCAAGTGTTTATTTCTCAAGGATAAGATAGTAGTATTGTGTGAATATGAGAAAGAAGTAGTAGTCACAATTAGTTTACAAACTATTCTTAAGTAAATTGTTATTAACTTGAAGGATAATACTCTTTATAAGAGTTTACTAGTCTATTTTATACTAGTTACTAAATATATTTTCTGTATGTTTTTACTATACTAGTAATTAATATGTTTAAAGACTTCTTTTTTTATATACTTTACATTTGCTTCTAATAGTAAATTAGTATATATCTCTTAAGACTTTATACTTTATACACTATCTTAGTAATTAGTACCTTGAACTTTTATCCTTCCTTTAACTAACTCTAATTATCCTTTGTCTGGTTAGTACTGTCAGACTTTTATACAGTTTATTGTTATAAGTACTCTTTTGTACAAAACTATTATAATAACTATAAAACTATACTCAATTTACTACTTATAGTATATGTTTAAGTTATAAAGTTTAAGAGTAATACTCTCAAGTAGATTATATTATTGTTTTAGTGCAAGTATTTACAACCTGTAAATAACTTTAATGTTGTACTGAGTTACTCTAGCCTTTTTGGTATTAGTATTAAAAGTAAGTATAACTTTTACTAACTATTGTTCTTGTTTTATTTGTTTTAATATTATTACAAAGATTAATATAACATTATGTGTATATAGTTTTTTAGCTTTTATATGAATGTACAGTTGTGTTACTAAGTATTCTTTATACTAGCAAAAGTTATGTATTTCAAATATATATATTATGTGTTTTGTACTTGTGTGTATGTTCTTAAAAAGATAAATTGATCTTACTTTTGTGTTTGAGTAAGTAATTTTTCCTACTGTTCTTTAATTTAATTTTGTTATACTTAACTTTCCTTTAAAAGTACTGTTAGGGTGTCTCTTATAATCAATACCTACAACTAGTTAAATTTACTAGTAAACCGACCGATTTACGCATCGTACGCGTGCTCTATTTGTAGCACCAACGCGTGCGTGCCGAACGGACTCGCAACATGCGTAGCCTCCACGGCCTTATAAAAACCTTGACAAATCTTGTCCCTCTGCCGACCGAACGTCTACCTCTCCCCAACTCGTAGCATATAGACCATGCCATTATCTACTGGCTGACTTGTCTCTTGCCTGTTCCTCTCTGCAACATTTTGTTACTTGCCATGCGCTCCGCCTTGCTGCAACTGCAGCCTCTGTGTACCGCACATCTGAAACGGCGTTATTCTTCTCGCCACTTCATATCGAGCCTGTTTTCTAGATACAGTGCTAAAGTCAATCCGCCTAATCCTGCAAAACCTGCGGTAGACACGGCTGACAGCTCACAAAGCGTAGTCGGCACCGTTCCATATCATACCGCTTACACGCTCTTGCGACATCCGTATCAGCCATCGACGTACCCAGCAAAGCTAGACAATAGCTTCTCACCTCTGGGGCGTCGTCTTATGGTTCAAGGGACGCAGAAGGGGGAGATAGTCAATTTTTACTGGGAAGACGAGGATCCGCGGGTTCAGTCTGGTGATTCTCCAGCTAGCGGGAACAAGAATCGTTTTCCATACATAACATTTGCGGCCTCCGCGTCCGAGGGATCTCCGTCAAAATCTAGTGAAGAGGGCGACTTTCTCGGCCGCCGACCATACTATCCTATTGGGGTCACAATAGAACAGGGCAACGTATCTCATGATGACTCTGAGATCCACAAGGACAGCACAACAACACCGCAGTTTCCCCCGAACGAAGCCTTTCTTTTCGTTTGCACACATGCGGCGAGGGACTGCAGGTGTGGTGATCAAGGGAATGCGTTTGTAGATGCTCTACGTGAAGAGCTTAACAAGCGTCAGCACTCTACGAATTTGGGAAAGGATGAGTTGGATAAGGATCAGTCCGAGTTTGTACGTGGACTTGAGGCAGTTTGTGAAGAGTTTATAGGTGAAGGCGATGCACAAGGGGAGAAGAAGGCGAGGGAAATGCTTGATGCTGTGTGGTCACGGATAAGGATAGGCGAAGTTGGACACGTAGGCGGACATAAGTGAGTAATTCTTCTTTTTAACTGTGTAAAAAATGAGCGACGTCCGAACTCTGCTTATCCTCTAGGTATGCAGCGAACTTACTTGCCTTCCCGTTCGGTGATTGGTACGTGTATCTTACACATGTTGTCTAGATAACTTATAACTAATATACGATAACTATTGCATTCAGGCTAGGCAACCTTACTCCTGCACATGCACCACTCGTACTCGATGCCATAGCCTCTCGTCTTCTACTCTTACAAATGCTAGAGAGCCGAAAATTTGACAATAGGGCAGGGCAAAGCGGATCCGACGTCAATGGTGACGGAAAAGTGAATGTTGTAGAGGCTCTTTCTGTACCATTGATTCTTGACCCGACAATCTGGCGTGGGCGAATGGGGCTGTCGAAAGACGAGCAGACGATGTTGTTCGAACGATATTCTAGAAACGCTGGAGATTATACCGCTACAACGAAATAATGCGGGTGCAAATCCGCCAAGCCTCAGCTTGGTCAGTATCTTGAAAATTTGGATGCCCCTTGTCGAGGATCGGTATAATATTATGTCCCGTTTTTGTAAACTCTTAGAGTATGTGTCATAGAAATACATTAATGCATGGACTCTAAACATGTGTGAACTTGTGGAAAGTTGGTATCTGCACGAGGGGACCAACAGTACACGGCGATGAAAAACAAAATATAACTCAGCAGACAAAGACGGCCAAGGCAAAATCCTCAGCCCTTCCAGAAGCCTTTTAAGTATTGTATAAAGGGGCCAGTGTTGGTGATATTAACCCCATGCCGCCGTCGTACTGATAGGAAGTCATAAGAATAAGTGTCAAGACAAAATCAGGCTGAAATACTACCTATAGTTAACTATTAGATGACCATCTGTTTGGAAGCACTAGAAATGCAAGACAGGTAGGTAAAATGATTGCTATCAGATTATTCTACACAACAGACTCACTTTGAATAGATTCGACACGGTGTCATCGGGTGCAGGTGAAAATGCCAAATTAATATATGTGAACTTTACCAAGTATATTCGTCAATGACTTCCGGAATGAAGTGGAAACATAGCACGATATAACTCACCAGAGCATCCCCGCTTTTCCAACCCAGCTCCTTCCTCAGAAACTGGATGACGGTCTGAAACCGATTGCTCGCAGTAATCTTGTAGAAGTTCTGCTTCATAATGGGAGCATTCCCGACTGCTTTGAAGCGCACGACAACTTTGGACGTATCACGAGCCTTGTAAGTCTCGAGCGCCGTTAGAGAATCTTGAGATGGGCCTCCTGGTCCACCACCTGCTCGTGACCCGGCGCTGGAGGATGATGGTACTCTGGAGATAGCGTGAAGCCCTGGGACGACTGTTCGCGGTGACAGATATGGGTCGGGAGACGTGGGCGCCGAGAGTCCTGATTGCATTGTAAAGCTGGCGTAGACGATGACGAAGTGCTTTTAGACTGCCAGTGCAACAAGTTGTAGTGTAGTACAGTGCTTTCACTGCACTGCACCATGAAGGCGCACACGGGTCTCAACGCGTTTCCGTCATCACGTGCATCTCGTGTCCTCTCCGATAGATTCCGAGAAGCCAAGCAGCCGCATATAGCCCGCCCGCCGTACTCTTGAACATCTCCATCGATTGCCCGCTGAGTTGCTGTAACGATTACCACCATCACCAGCACACCTTTGTAGAGTTGGACCTCCAAATTAAATATGTCTCGCTTATTTTTTATCGGCGGGAACTTCAAGATGAATCCCGCCACCCGAGCGGAGAATGTCAAGCTTGTCGAGACGCTTGCTAGCGCCGACCTCGATCCCAACGTCGGTGCGTTCTTACACCGTGTTCAGTCTGATCATATGTCTAAACGAATATCTATTGTGTAGAGATCGTTATCGCCCCACCCGCGTTGTACATTCTGCCAGCGGCTGAGCTTCTCCAGAGCAAAGGATCTTCTGTAAAGGTCGCTGCTCAAAACTGTTACGTTAAAAGCTCTGGCGCGTTTACAGGCGAGATTAGGTGCGCTGAGTCCTTAAGAGTATCCAAGTGAAATACATTTTATTGAATTACCTCTCAGTCCTGCACAACTCGCAGACGCAGGGATCCCATATGTCATTCTCGGACACTCCGAGCGTCGCACCCTCTTCCATGAATCTTCCGCATTCGTCGCACAAAAGACGAAAGCAGCTATTGATGCCGGACTTAGCGTTATCCTTTGCATCGGAGAAACTCTCAATGAACGTGAGGCTGGGACGACTATCACCGTTGTAGAAGAACAGCTCGCCACAGTAACAGCTTTGCTTAAGCCTGAAGAGTGGAGGTAACCCTTCTCGCTTTCATCTCTAGCATGTACCGGCTCTGATGTGCCACTTTGCACACTGATTGTGCAGCAAGATCGTGATTGCATACGAACCTGTCTGGGCAATCGGTACCGGGAAAGTTGCCACACCCGCCCAAGCACAAGAAGTCCACGCTGCGATTCGCAACTACCTCTCTAAGGCTGTATCGCCCTCCATTGCTGAGAGCACGCGCATTATCTATGGTGGAAGCGTCTCGGACAAGTCTGCACCTGAGCTCGGTAAGGTTTACTACTTTGCATTCCCTCACGTTTTGCTGATTTATTATTTTTAATTTCACCTTTTATGTGCTGAACTTCACTGTATCTCGAACAGGATCGCAACCTGACATCGACGGTTTCCTAGTAGGCGGTGCCTCACTCAAACCCGAATTCATCACTATAGTCAATGTCCAAAGGACGCCTTGATTCATTGCCTTTATGAGACTACATTCCTGCTGGATGTGGCGCTCACAAAGTATATCAATACATAGTCAAGTAACACTTACGGTTTCTCTGATGAATTTGCGTGCACTATTCACTATTATTGTAAGGATTCTAAGTGTACAAATCAAGGTACTGTCAGTATTTGATTCTTCATTCTGGAAGTGTTATGAAAACAGTGTAATTCAAGCTGTTAAAGAGGCTTGACGTTTGCCTTGTAGACAGCTACATATTCATTGAGAAGCCTAGATCTATCTAGAGCACAAGCTGTATTGGAAACAATTACAAATTTTTAAGATACACTTGTTGAGAATCTGGATTTTTATAAAGTTACAAAACAGGTTTACTCAGCATGTCTATATATACACTGAACACTAACAGTTACAAATTTATTCTATTGTAAAATGTGTAAATAAACTGAGATACAATAGTGTTGATCAGTAAGGATCAGTATTGTACTGTCTGGTACAGAATATAACTGTACTGTATACAGTACAACAGAAGACTGTATATGAAAAATATATACAACTGTATACAGAATACACACATTTAGTACAGAGTTACAGTGTGAAATGTATGTGTAGCTTACTATACACTATTTCCTTCTTCTTAAATACTCTTTAATATATTTTGACTACTTGAACTAATAATATTAATATGTTTTAGTATAAAGAATACATTTATTATTATTTTAATCTTTAAAGTAGATACTTACATAACTTAGTTAATTTAATGTATATATTCTTTTATATAATGTACAATGTTCTTAAATATTGTGTTAAGTGATGGAAACATTTAATAAACAGTAAGTTATATATTAGAAGAAATGTGTTCTTTTAAAAACAAGTTTTATACAAAGAACTAGAAGGAGAATAAAAGGAGTTAAAAAACTAAGAAACTATTATATAAGATAAGTAGTATTTATAATAAAGAGAGTATAAAAAGGCTTATAAATGAAATAAAGAGGATAATAAAAGTGTAAGACAATAAACAAAATATATAAAAGTAAAAAGGAATAAAAAAAGTAAGAAATGTTTTATAAATAGCTTGTATAAGCTTAAAGAGTATAATACAAGCTTATAATAATTAAAAAGATAGTAACTACTTAATTAAGAAGACAGAAAATTAGTTAGACATATAAGTTATATATAATAAAGTGTAAAAGTATAAAAGACTCTCTTAAATTGTGTCTTTCATCTCTTACTTTAGAATTTAGTAAAATAAAAAATAAAAGACTATAAATAAAGAAAAGAAAAGAAAGTAAAAATGATAAAAGAGAAAAGTATAGAATCCTAACACTATAAAAACTATTATAGTTATAAATAAATAGTACTGTATAATTTTTTTTAATTATTTAGAGAGAATAAAGTAACAATAGTCTAAACATACTTGTTACTCAGACTGTACACAAAAAGTATTAACTGTAAGTATGTAAGAGGTAGTATTTCTTATAAGACACACAGAACACATTTTTAGAGTAGGGTTGTAATACCTACCAAATATAGTAGACTATTAGGCTGTGTCAAGACCTTTAGTTTGTGTTCTAGATTTTCTGTTAACAGTTATTAAGAGTAGAATAACAAAATAATTAAATATTTAGTATAATAATAGTATGTACTCTTTATACACAAAATTTTAAAATAGTATGAGTTACAAGAAATTAGTTAAATGACAGGCAAAGTTAAAGGGTGCTCTGTTTACAGGGAAGCATAGGATAGAATTAATGTGTCTGAATATATTTAGACTATATATATATAAGTCTAAACTGTAAGAAAAAATGCTTCAAAATTCAGCTAGATATACAGTATATTGATTATCTCACTTTTGTTTTCTCCAATATGTTTCTATCTATTAGATCCACAATTTCCTGTAGCAGATTTTCTTTAAACTTTTTATTTACAGAAATACAGGCATTTCTTTATACAAAGTTGTACTAAAACAAGAATATCTTTCTAACTAGCCGATTTTTCAAAAATTCGTTTCAAAGGACTGAGGACTAAAATATTATGAATTATCTCAATATTTTTATTGATTGATTGATTGATTGTGGACAGAGGAGATACATTTATAAGAAAGCATTCAAAACTCTAGTCACGAAAATGCACTTTGGTCATCACGCAGCAGGCCGTGGGAATGCCCGCATCGACCTTTGCACTGACCCCAAAGGGTTGGAAAATTGGCACCGCCCTGCGTTATATAATACACTGTTACGTGTTGCAATCTGCAAAGCTCTCACATTACATTTATATTGCTCCTGAGACAGTCTCGACAAGCCAGATCATTCCTCACTTCTGCTCTTTGTTCTGGTGTGATAGACATTGAAGTAGTAGTTGTGTACACGAAAAATGAGTAGGAAAGTCAATACAAACCAGAATATCACTGATCAGCGGCAGCGGTATGAAAAGGGCAGAAAGATCAGCTATGGGACGTTTGGTGAGGTCTATGTATGTGAAGCGCCGTCCTTTTCTCTTCAAAAGCAATAATTTTTTACTCAATACAGGAAGGAGTTGATACTCAAACTTACAAGTCAGTTGCTCTTAAGATTTTCAAAGAGCAGTATTCTCAGGCTGCAAAGGATCAAAAGGTTAAGAAGCTTGCGTCTGACACAGGAGTCGTCAATGAGAAGGACGCCATCCCCAAAGAACATACAATGCTAAGGGCGGTTTCGCAAAGTGGCAGGCATGAAAACATTGTGAGTTCAAGTCTTCATTGTATGAAAGGTAAACTTGACCCCGAATTTCTACAGATCTCATTCCTGGATGAATACGAGGATCCTGAAACAAAGCGCATTGTGTTTGTCTTTGAATATGCTGATCTTGGTGACCTATGGGACTATTCTAAAGATAGACAAAAAGTTGGTAACCCACTTTCTGAAGATGAAGTGAGGTGGCTTGTATGGTACAAATTTATGAATATGTGCTCTATAGATGCATTCACATTCCTGTATAGGGACATACTTAGAGGGTTGTACCATCTCCACAAGAATAATTTGTTCTACAGGGACATGAAGTAAGTTTGGAATTATTTCACATATACATAGCTGTCAATTTCTTCCCAGGCCAGAAAACATTCTTCTATCGTTAATCACAGATCCTGTGAAGATTAATGACAGATCTGGATTTGGCATGATTGCAAAGATAGGAGATTTTGGTCTGTGCGTCATTAAATCTGTATAATCTATATGTTTGACTAGAGGATATTAATACACCAGATCGTGTCGCTGCAAAGGCAAATCCGTCGAGTTCAACGCCGGGACAAATGTGTATCGCCCACCGGAAGCAATTAATGGTAATGTCGAGCGTAAATCAGATATCTGGAGTTTAGGGTAAGTGTCACACGTCCGTTCCAGGATTGGTATAAAAGCTTATAAAGTGCGAATTCGTCTCGACATGATCTGGTTCTAATAACTGCCGGAAAGACTGGTGATGTTTGATGTGCTGACTATTAATTTTCACCCATTCGGGCCGAATGAAAGGCAATCGAATCCAGGATACGACAACAAGACTATTCTGTTCATGGAAAAGTACAAGAATCATTTAGATGATAAACTCGAGCTTAAGCTGAAACAGTACAACAATATCTCACAAGAAGGTAGGATAGCACAGTACCCACACTCACTCAATTGCTGGGCTGATACACTTGCCGGAAGGCAAAGATCTCATTAAAAGGCTGCTTAAGGAAGATCCTGGAAGCAGAATAAACGCTCACAATGCATTACAGCACCGAGTAGGTCCCTCCAATATTTGGGTCTCGTTTACAAGCAAATTGGTACTGAGTATTCGCAATAGTGGTTTAGGTCACTACACTCGCGGTCACTTCACGAGTCATTTTCGAACAGTCTCTGGCAGCTTCAAAGCAGGAAGAATTCGGGTTCTTCGAATAATAGTGCAACACCTTCTAGCGTTCCAAAAAAACCAGCAGCGAAGAATGGAAACAGCAATCAGGACGGTGATAAGAAAGATTCAAATAGGCAAAATCAAGTGCGACAGTCCACAGCTACACCTCAGGAACAGCAAGGTTCTGATCATCACAAGGCAAGCAAGAAGGAGAACAGCCCTCGAGCCAGTGGTCCGATTCAGAAGGCAAAAGAGTAATGCAAAATCAAGGATACCTTCTGGCCAGAGTAATTAAAGTCAGCACCGTTCATTGCAATGTTTTGTGTACTAAAGTAACCATTTAAAAGTGTGTTACGTATGTCTTACTTCATAGTGCCAGAGAAGGATCATACTAGTATCATTAATTGGATAAATAACACAGATATCTTGTTATTGAGACCTATCTCATATTCTCTGTGAATGCTTTGTCAACATATTATTTGAATACACACATATATTTATATCTCGTCAGCATGTATGTATAGTTCCCATCCAGGTGAATCATTCTCGACTACTGTTCATGCAACAAGTGTGTACCAGACGACTCCACGTCTCTGACTTCGGAAAATTAGCGAACATCAAAGATTTCACATGTAGTAACCAGGATAACCATTGGCTGTGTATTTCACTCACTTTCATTTCCTGAAGAATAGCTGTACTATTTCAACACGGTATACATAATGTACAACAAGCATATATATATCCTGACAATCCTACACGTCAATTTCCTCCTGGTGACACTCTGTTCAACTAAATAGCGTAAAGGCCAGGCTATCCTGTACTCATCTTACAAAGGTATGTCAGGGTGCATTGACAGGGTTCCAAGAGACTGCCCCTGCAGAGCCTTTGTCTAATGCGTCGAGCATTGCCATATCACTGTCTGATAGTGTTAAGTCGAAAACATTCGCGTTTGAGACTACGCGTTCTGGCACCGATGATTTGGGGAGTGGAACAAATCTGATCGCGAAATATATATCAATCCGTATACAGAGTAGAGAGTAGAGATTAACATACCCGCGCTGGAGAGACCAACGAACGAGAACTTGTGCAGGGTCCTTGTTCACCTACATGAAGCATTAAGTCAAATCATATAAGGCAAAGCAATTCGACGCACATTCTTTGCAACCCGTTGCAGTATGGGACTGGAGAAGTCTGCACGGATGAGAGGACAGTATGCTTGAACCACGATTCCGCGCTGCGTGCAATATTCGACAATGTCCTTCTGTTGGCAGAATGGATGCAACTATAGAAAAAAGCAAGTCGTAGAAATTTTTTCAATAATGGAAATAATGGAAATAAACGTACCTCGATTTGATTCACACTCGGAGTCTCTAAACCTGCTTCGTGTAACTCTTCGAGATGACGCACACCACTGGAAAGACAACCAATAAATCGAAAGTAGTAAGGAAAATTTGTATGAAGCGTAAGGCGATGACTTCAAAAGTCGGAATAAACCTACTAATTAGAGACTCCAACGCTCCGTATCTTCCCTGCATCCCGTCGTTCAAGTAGGGCACGATAGGTCGCAAGTCTGTTTTCCCTTCCCGAGAGTGGACTATGGATCAGGTACAAGTCAATATAAGCTGCCAATTGAAATTTCATAACCCCGTTAGCAAAGTTAACATCAATTTGAGTGGAGGTGAAACGGAACATCGACATACAGACTCCTAGTTTACTCAAAGATTCCTCGACGACAGATAGTGTCGAGTCGTATCCATGCGATTTTTGCGAGATCTTCGTAGCTAATAGAAGAAAGGTAAGACAGAGAAGAACAGAAGCGTGATGTTGATCAATGAGTGTTACAAGACACGTACTAATGTAGATTTCTTCACGAGGAATCCCGCTGTCTTTCACAGCTCTCCCTACATCCGCTTCGTTCCTATACATCTGAGCGGTGTCGATGAGTCTTTCCGGTTAATCCGTCAGATTTCAGTTTATGCAAAAAGAAAGTCAGTAATCGGATGGGTACAATTGAGTGAAGGTGGAGTATTCGGGAAAGATAAGTGCAGACCCGAGATCAAAATTAGGAACCGAAATCAGGCCAAACTAGCTTCTTGTTTCTATCTTCTCGATACTCCACCCAGAATACACCTTCGCTTCCTCCACCCTCCACCACAAACTCTTGAATAAAAGAAACACAAAGACAAAAAAGGAAGGTTTAGGGAAATAAATCAACAAATACACATACCTATATCCATGTCTCAGCGCAGCCTCACAAGCAGGAATACACGCATAATTCTGGTACACTCCCAATCCCAGTACGGGCATGTCGTACCCCGACGAGAGCTTCACAGTTGACTGAAGCGTCAGCTGCCCAGCTTGCACTCCAGGCATCGTCGACTTCCTCAATTGCTGGAACGCGAAACGGCTTAGTAGACGACTAATGGTGGATAAGTAGATAACAATGGTAATGGTTTGTAACTTTGCTTGGTTGAGAGTAGCCGACTTGCAACTTTGTGCTGAGTAAGTCTATTGAAATCTCTCATGCGTAAACACGCGTATATATTCACGTGTAATTTACGACTTGTATGCACATTTATCTGATAGGATTGGACATTTTTAGAGAAATGTCATTCTTATTATTTCCACAACAATGTAGGTATAATCAATAAAAAATAGTGAAGTGAGTGAATTGTAATACTGAATCATCCAGCGCCCACCATATCAAACGCACTATCAGTATGACACAGTATTGTAATCTCCACTTCTACCTTAGAGAAGATGCTTTCAATGGCATCAGCAACATCACGAACAATATCAAGCGAAGAATTATTCGTGACATACCGATTTGAAAGCAATCAAATCAAAAATGAAGGTGCAAAAGAAGAAAAGAATGAGGGATGAGAGATTTAATTTTTAGAAAAAGAAAGTCGAGCCCAGAAAGAGAACCGAGAACTAAAAACTAAAAAAAGTACATTTCGAGACCGAGAACCAGAAGAAGTTAATGATATCAAACGAATACCGGATATATGAGGAAAGAAGAAGTCCTTTTACACTGCGGTGATAGGGAATAGAAGAGACACTAAGAGGGGAGGAAGGGTAAAAGGGAATAGGAAGGGTAACGAGGGGAGGAGGGGATTAAGAAAGACCACAGCGTTCGCGCTAAAGTAACTTGTTATCCGATTTATATAAAAAAAGCACGACAAAGCAAACATTGAAATAAGAAAGGAGCGTACGAGTGGAACCGTCATTATGACAGCCCGCTCAAGAACTAGAAAGAAGAAAGAAGCACTAGAACCTCTTCTTTAAAATAGTTTCTGAGGTTCGTGATGAGAGTTCGTGTATACATACAGACAAAAAAAAACACTCCTGAATGAAAGTCTGAAGAAAGTGAGGAAAGAGGAAAACTAAAAGGGGATGTGAAGTGAATGCAAGTTTGAAATGATGATATCAGGTTGCAGAGCAGAATGACGCTGATGATGACGAATAATCAGACGATGACGGTGATGCCAACGGCCGCGCGCGGGCTACATAAATAGAAGTCCGCGAACGAGAGATGGAATGCATGGAATGGTCGGGATGTCGTATGCGGAGACGACCAGGTGTCTGATGGCATGATGGCAAGTTACGAATGCGCGATAAGAGGGGGGTCGGAGGAGAACAGGGAGCGAGCGTTGCGGGCGAAACACAAGAGACGGAAGCGAGAGGGTAGTCAGACTGCATGCAGGGAAGTTCGGTTGCACATAGATAAGAAAAGTTCAAATACGGTCCGGCTCTAACGATTTCTAGCAGCCATCATACTACGAACGACAGTCAGAATTCCATTCGCCTGTAGAAAAGAGCGATAGCGTACCAAACTATTCCTCGGTCTCGTAAAGCCTGCTTGTTGCCAAGTCGTCAAATTCGGGTCTACAGATAACACAGTTAGGATACAGCAGACGGTGAAAGAGTTGCAAAAACGTACTGCTGTACGCTTCCGCGTGCTTCAAAATGTAATCTTCTGTTGGGTACCCGTCTGGCGAACATCCGATATTTGTTTCTCCGTCCCGCTGGTAAACGCGGACGTAGTCAACATGCATTTCATTTGGGAACGTCATCGTCGTCAGATCAACTGTCTGGAATGATTCTGAGATCGCCAAGTTGAGGATAATCGACTATTGCGAAAAAAGAAATAAGAGAAAAGACGCCAAAGAAAGTTAAAAGATGTACCATTGGCTCTTCAGGAATCAGACGTCGTCCTACACCACTTCCGAGAGGCAATGGATCCTCGGGTACAGCATCTGCACCCATACGCAATGTCTGCTTCCCATTGACTTGCCAAGTTATATATCCTTGTTCCGGATGTGCAGGATCTGTCCAATATTCAAACCCGACAGTGTAAAACTGTCCACCAGTCCCATTGAACATATCTGCTGGAAGGTCTGTCAATCCAGATACTGCCTGCTGAACTGCGCTTCCATGGTATGTATTTGGCTGAGTAACAGAAATGTCGAAAATCTCGAACTTGTCTGTGGTGTCGTTACCATAGAAATAATCATGTGAGAATGGTGCGAACTGAGCAGACTGGGAGACTTTTGCTCCAGGACCGAGCTTGTTCTTTTGTGCCTCGAGGGCATCAATCTCTGGAGCACCGCGTCCAAAGTTGTTTGAAGGACCTGCGTGATCTTCGTCAGAACAAGTGCAAGCACTAGACGCAGTGAAATTAAAAAGTTATTTTGTCCGTTTATATTAACCACACATACGATAGCCGTTGTCCAGTAAGCCACGACAGCTCAAAGTTATACTTATCTCGCCCTTGGTCTGTATGGAGTGCTGCTGCTGGTCCAGATAAATTCGCGTACGTCTGATTCGGGAATGTGCCAACATCACAAGAATTATATGTGTACGGCCACATTCCATCCGTTGATGCGCCGTATCCCGGTCTCCCAAGGTTCCCCATAGTCCAAGCACCGGGCCACTATACGAATGTCAAGGGAACAGCCTTCTCTAATGATACATTCACTCACGTATCCTGATGTTTCTTCATTTGGACCCGGTAAACTTATTCTAACCTCAAAGTACCCTTTGGTAAAACAAAACTTGTTCCAGCTCTGGATCATCGCTGAACGGAACTGCAAGCCATGGTTGTCCGTGGGATCTTGGACATTCTCAACGAGCAAGACGAGATTGCCGTCGCGAGTGAATGCGTTCGAGGGGTCATACCATTCTAAGGAAACGTCAGTACCCTGCAACGCCTTCTTGACTACAGTGGCTAGTTATATGCGCACCTAAGTCCGAGGTAGGCCAGTACCAGAGATCAACAGCCTCCCAATACGGATCGTCGCCAGGGTAGAAGGTACGCCCTTCCTTGTTGAACTCATCGCTGAATACGAGTGTATATGAATTACCATCGAATCCCGTCCTCGTCTTCGCATCCTCAGGTGTGTCGGTGTCTACAAGGTCCGGCATCTCAGCGAAAACGGGGTTTTGACCCGTGCCATTGATATGAATGTTGCTATCGATTGCCTGAAGTCTTGGATTATTTTTGACAAAGACAAGAACGGGGTACAGGATGAAGAGGCAGAGCAAGGCGGTGATAAGGGCGAATAAGAGACCGAAATTTGCAATACCACGCCATGACCAGGCGAATTTCGGGTCGTCTAAGTTGTGAAGCTCGTCGTCCGCATCGAGCTTCCCAGCTTCCTCCACCTCAGGGTCATACACCTGAAGGTTTGGTCAGGACAAGATGTACTGTCATAGTGTAGTAATTGCGACTCACGTAGGGAATCATGCCGCGTGGTGTGCCAGATGGATATTTGCCATCAAAGGAGAGCGCGCTGTCAGAGCCAAATGACGCGCGCCGATTGGGCACGGTAAGCGCCTGATCGTCGTCTGAGGCCAGTCGATACAGCAGCATGGAACCCCGCTGTCCAGCTGCACTCCCGACGGAACCATTTGCTACACCAAAGGCAGCCGACTCTTCCGACATAATACGCGAAAAATACGCGCTGCCGCGACTGACGGGCCGAGAACGCGATGTCAGTTGCTGATTCGGATTGAGCGGTGAGCTGATGTATGAGGAGCGCATCCAAGGTGTATTTTGCTGAGTCGAAAGCAGCGGTACGTCGGAATTGCCTGTAGGTGAGACGGGGGAGGAAGGAACGGGTGTTTGTACAGGTGCAAAAGGTGCAGACGAGAGCTCATCAGAGGACGGGGGCGACGAGGACTGGCTCTCGTTCTGCTCGGACATGGTGTGTCGGTGTCGACAACGATACCCGTGTCGTCCTCGCCGCTGGTTGTTGTGAGGGAGAGAAGGTGGGAGAAGAAAGGAAAGAAGAGCGACGGGAGGGATAAGGGACGGGAGCGAGGAGACAAGCAATTGCCCGTGTGGGAACCTATTTCATATTTCCACTTCGATTCTATAGTCTGCTTGTCATAAGATGTCGGCCCTCTTGTTTATTCCACAAATATTTTATTTCTCGCCCGTCGAAGGAGGTATTTTATTCCCCGCAAACTCGCCCCGCCTGGCAAGTCTGAGGTGGTATGCTGTGCAGATGCAGGAGAGGCGACTCCCCTTGCAGGTTACAATGTAGCACAAATGAATAAATGAAAGTCGCACAGATGCGGGCGCGGATCGTGACGGGCTTGGCGTCGGATGTTTTCCTTAACTTTATTTTCATGCGTGATTCCTAAATCTGGTTCTCCGACACTCACGGCTTGGTCCGTACTGTACTACCGTAGGACTACGATAGCAGTGGGATCCTTCTTGCAGACAATCATTTTGTCGAGAAAGGCGGCGCCTCTAAAACGTTGCACAAGCATGCGTACCTAACGGCCCTATCCTATATCAAACGCGGCCTAGCGGCTCTCTGGTCCTGCGCAGCCTCATGCACGTCGACCGTAACGGGCCGGACAAGCGTATCCAGTGTCAGTGACGCTGTTCTGTCGTAATCTACTCGACTTGCTATTTTTATCCCTGACTACAGACGTACTCAGCCAAACACTCGTCGAAGTGAATTGGCACCCGATGTTCCCTCCAGACCTTGTCAGGTGCCAGTTATTTGCCCCAAATTAGGCGTTTTCATCGTCGGTCCTTATAATAAGTTATATGCGATCGTTGCTCCAGAAGCGTTTGCCCGCAGGGCAAACTCCGATCATTCGTAACCGCTAATGCCGCTATCTATAATAAACTTTTTTGCCCAGTCAGACACTTAGCCAACGTTTTAACAAGGAGCTCTGGATCGTCCCAGAGAAGCTAAAAGACAGTAAGTGATAAGACAGTGATATAAATAAATAATCATCATACGAGGGGAAAACTCACGAAATGATTTGATCCTTCGATCGTGATAAATTTAAGCGGTCGAACTTCTGCACCAGTTACTTTCCACTTCTCAATATTCTTCTCAACCTCCCAACCGGCCCATATGATATTCCACACAGTCTCTGATCCATCCACTACACTCACACTCAAATTTGGTAACAGGAAACGCGAGGGCCCAGATCGAGTCGTGTTCTCGGATATGAGTGCAGCTTCGTATTGCTTATGCAACGTTCCGTCTCGAAACTTGGTGAAGAAGTACATCTCCGAGCGTGCTCCTGGGACAAGGTCCTTGGTCGCATCATCATCCGCCGTGGTTTTATTTGCGATTGTCGGCGGTCTGGCTGGATTTGACGGTATTCGAAGTTGCAACGAATCTAAATCTCGAGTGCGAGTAGTGGGAAGTCGAGAGAAATAAGGATGTTGGAAATATGACGAGAACCATACGTCGATCTCATATGCTTTTTGCTCTTTCGGAATGCTGTCGTCCCACAACGGATGGTACGCTCCTGGCGGCACAGGGAAACCAAGAAATTGAAATACGGCCTCTAACGGACTAAGCATGAATAATGACGAAGATAAACCAACACACAGTCAAGCTTCACATACCGTAAACAAAGAAATGTCTGAGATACGCGTCGAGCGTTTCGACAACCTCCATTGGATACCGCGCCAAGTTTGCCAGAAAAGCAAAGGAAGTAATATTCCCTAGAGACCAGCCAAGCAGAGCCAATCCGCCCGATTTTCCATCATTTCTTGCAGGCGGAATTTTCAATTCATTTATAACCCATAGAAGAAAATACGCGATTTCTCGCCCTCGGTCGTAAAGGAACTGCTGATGCTTCGGCTCATCCGTTGTGTCTAACTGTGCGATTTCAGATTTACTGAAAGGTGTCGACCCAACGTAATCCCTTCGATTAAGCGCAATGATGCGGAGATTCCTCTGTGATGCAGGAGCAAATAGACGCGTAAACGTCTCTAAAAGGACGTTATAAGCAACATATTAGATTGATGTCAAGCTGTAAATGGCAGGAATATAGCAGCGATTTGATTATAAAGAGGCGCCTTACGAGCGTGATGTGTATGTCCATGTATGCAAACTACCGTTGTGTAGTCCTCTCGAGTAGTGGCACCCAAACCAGGCACGCCAGAATCGATATAAGCAAAATCGGCATCACATTCCCTCAGGTGGACAGTTTGCAAGAGAGGAAATGATGGGATGGCAGTTGCCTCAGGCATAGCGCACGTTGAAAGAAGTGAGAAAGGAGATAAAGAGCACTTTACAGTATTTGCGTTGCACAGAGTTTATCGGACCGGACCTTTTAAACCCCTGCTCTGTCTAGACGTCCCGTAATTCGATAACACACTTCTAATCTTGTACGCAGGCACATGACGATGTTGATGCAGAAGCACGATGTGTTCACCGCCCACACGTATGTGAATGAGAAATTGGGAGTCGAGAACCCATCGGTTGTGTCCGTTGGGAAGATGGAGAATAACCGCAAAGTTCCAAGCGCAGTAACTTTTGCTTTGTAATCCAACCTTTGTTTACCCGCTTTGTCCGCTCGGCCTAGTGAGTTCTCCTATTCTCACCCATCAACTCGGCCACCATTTGGGCTATGGATAATTGCTGCTTCCCCTGAGGTTCATAAAATCAAAAAGAAGGAAACTTCAAAACTTATACCAAGATTTTTCTGCCACTCAGACGACCATGACTCGTCAACTCCGTAACTTGTATCTTGTAACGAACACTCTTTGAATGGTGCCTACCTCGCTGTGAAGTGGCTGAACCACCTAGGCTCGCTTAACTCGCTGCCATTGTTGTCTTTTAACTGGTAAACAATGGGGCCGGCTTATCTGATGTGGTACTTTGATCTTATAAGAAGTCTGAATTGACTTCTTCTGTGCTTGGACCGAATTCCTGCTAAGCTATAGCGCTAGTCGAATTATAGATCTACAGGCCACGACAAATTTTCCAGGAAAATTGCGCGCGGCTTCGTAAATGGGAACCAAACATACCAAGTGGCTTGAGGCTTACTTCGTGGCCGGGTTCAACAGCATTATTTAAATAAGATGGCGAGTTGCTTTGGCCCAGAACAACGAGGACAGGAGCCCGTCAGCAAAGGCACAAGATCTTTTCTATCTGACTCTCAACAACGCTACTATCTTTCAATATTCTAACATTCCAAGAAACTTGTGCGTGATATAACCTTTTTGACGTCGCACTTGTAGCTCACAGGCCCAACAGGATCAAGAATGTCGTCCAGTGCTAGACAAACGAGGTCACAGGCAAAGGCACAAGCCAATTCTCGTGCTCAACCTCGAGGTGATTCCTCTGTGTCTTTGACGCCCCCGAAGAACATCGCGCAGCCATGCACTCGCGGCCGTGCTGGTTCACAGTCAACGGTGACGTCCGGCTCAATGGGTATCAACCACTGGACGCGTCACATGCCGAACTATCCAGCTCCTGTTATGCCTCATCCAGGATCAGAGGCTTCTACGAAAATCGTTACCCCCAGCCAACTTGCCGAATCGACGTCTAACTGTTCCAGGATAAAGGCCAAGGCCATGTCTAATTTGTCGGGAATCTCGACCGAGGCACCAGCATCGTTTGGACACGCCGACTCGAATTCCAAGTACTACCAATATCAGCAAGCTGGCACACGAGTATTTGATTGCGAGGATCCAGGAGTCAACGCCGCTGCACAAGCGAGGATTGTCGCACAGTGCGTCGATGCGCTCGGACGACGCCTTGACATATCGAGCATGCCTGAAGGCGTCCGGTTCATGAGTCGTGACTTGTTATCGAACGATGGAGATGCTCGGTACGACTCCCCGAGTCCGAGTGTATATATGGTCCCTCCCTCACTTTCCTCACGCGGATGTACCCCCTATGGTGAGGTTGATAACTCATACAGGGCGTATTCCACTTCTTCCAGGGCTCAGTTCGACTTCGAAACATGGGCATACGCGGATAAAGCCTTGAAAGATGAAGTGACTTCCGGCCAGAGTAGGTCGGGCCATGGTGGGACGGCTAGAGGAGGGGCGGGTCAGTCCATGGCGAACGGTGTCAAGTCGGTCCATTCTGAACGTCATCAACTCAAACTTGATCCAATAACAGATATGGTAAAGATCGAGCATATGAGCGACGCCTTCCTGTCCCCTGTTGCCACGCCCATGCCCGTCCCTGGTCCGAACCCGTATTTTATACATGGACATGAAAGTCTCCTTGAAGATGAAGTTATGACTAGGCCTCTTGGACTAGATGATGACTTACCCCAGACGCCTCTTTTTGAGTCGCCATCCAAAGCCAGATCGAACGGTTATTTTCATGGTAGCGATGATACAGTTGTCGAGCCTACGTTTAACTATCCGAAAGTTTCTGGATTCGGCCGCGAATGCAGTCCACTCACTGAATATGAGTACGATGAAGACGGGACGCCCAGACTTCCTAACAGCAGTCGCCGTGGCAGGCGAACTGTAGGAGCTGTATATTCGCCTTCCAGGGGCTACGTGCGCACAGATCCCATTCTTACGCGCAAGAGGGCCAAGGAGCTCGGCTCGACAGTCAATATGTAAAGTATACCGGGTTTGTGGATCAAATCCCTAACTCTGTCATCTTAGAGATGTTCCATTTGAAACGGCTCTCTTCCTTGTCCAGCTCTGTTTTGTTCCCTTGGAGTTTCTCTATTCAAACAATGTTTCACTTGAGTCGCTCTTTTCCTGCACTGTTTCCATCATGTTTTTAGCTATCTTTCCATTTCGGCCGGACCGTGCTTTCCTTACCATGTACATTTTTAGCACTCTTCTATTCAATATACACGCTCCCTTCACCCTATATTCAAGTCATTAGGCCCCTCGAATATGTAAGCACAACACGTGCAATGACTTATTCCCTGCCTTTCATATCGCAATAAGTCACTTTTATCCCGTATTCGGTCACCACACCCCCTTATACAAGATGGCTTTCTCTTGTGAGAACCTCTCCCTTCAGTCCACGATCAAGCTTCGCTCCGGATATGAAATGCCGATCCTGGGACTTGGAGTATTTGAAAATGATGATTGTTATCCGGCGTGTTGTACTGCATTGAAACATGGATATCGGTGAAGACCATACCTCAGCATTTTCCCATATTTCTTTAGTTAATTTACTGACGCTGTTTGTAGGCACATCGACACAGCTGAGTATTATCATAATGAGGTTGAAGTTGGTCGTGTGGTGCGAGAAAGTGGGATCCCGAGAGAAAATATCTTCGTTAGTGAGTGACCAATTAACCATCAATATTTCTAGACCGAAAAGATTCACTAAATTGATCCATATTCTCTTGACACAGCTACTAAGATTTACCATCCAGAACACGGATATGACTCAACTTTGGCTCATGTTGAGGAATCACTTGCAAAGTTCCAATCCTGTGAGGCCTCTTAAATAACGTGCATTGAAGTGCGAAGACCCCTTACACATTCGGAACAACAGCATACATTGATCTCTACTTAATACACTCTGCTCTATCCGGTACCGAGAAGCGCCTTCAGACCTATCGCGCATTACTTGAGAAACGTAATGCTGGAAAGATCGAAACTGTCGGTGTTTCCAATTAGTAAGTAGACTTGGCCTACCCGAGTTGACCGTCATTTACTTTACCCGGACTGACTTCGCGTCAGTGGTATTCACCACCTTGAAGAGATTAGATTGGCTGAGTTGGAGACACCCGCTGTGAACCAGATTGAGGTTGGTTCTGATTTGTTACTTGTGGCGGAATATATGAATATATTAGGAGTCGATTCTGTGAACGTAGCTGCACCCCTTCTGCCAACAAAAACCGATTGTCGAGTATTGTCATGCTCGGGAGATTGTCATCCAGGCTTACTGCCCTTTGATCCGTGGCGACTTCTCTCATCCAGTCATCCAGGAAGTCTCGCAAAGTGTATGCATCTTCCTTTACTTGTGCATGATTAATATTAATCCTGTCGATTCTGATGTCCTAGACTGGAAGAACGCCTGCGCAGGTCCTAATTAGGTGGTCGCTCCAGCACGGGTAAGCCCTTCCATTCCATTTGCGTCTTTCTTTTTGTCGCTTAGATGTATCCGACATTCTGCGCAACAGTTTCGTCCCTCTTCCAAAATCGGCCAACCCAGATAGAGTAATTTCGAATGCTAATATATTTGACTTCTCGCTTTCTGACGAGGATATGGCTAAGCTTGACAGACTTGACAAAGGTAGAGACGGGTGCATAACATGGAATCCTGTGGATTGCTTGTGAATGCTCGAGAAACTGTTGTCAATCAACAGTCTTGTAGAGGTTTAATTAAAGACATCCGAGTCATCTCTGTTTCACAGAGGACATTTGTAGTTACTACGATGAAACAATCCCTTAAGCTCACTTTACAGTCTAGTCGTGGAGTTCCCTCTTATGAAATATTCCCTCGATCTCAGGCATCCAGTGGCATCTGTATTTACAAAAGAATTCGCCTTTCGGAGGAAGTACGTTTGTATCATCTAGCGTTCCGTGGAAGACATATCTACAGGACATTGTGGTGAGCTTTATATATATTCCTTCGAATCCTGAATCTACCTCCAGTCCCTCGCAGCAGCCTCTCCGTATTCAAGTATCGGACTGCCACAGTCTTCGCAAAATTCGCGATGCAGCATTGATGATCCATTGTCGGAAGTATGGTGCTTCGGCGAGCCCGCTATGACCTTCCAGCTTGAAAGTGGAATTTTGATTGTCACTCCGAACGGACCGCCTGTGAATCTCTTTGAAGTTATACATTGTCTAGTCAGAACTGGAACGTTCAGAAACTTTTATTTAAAACACTCGCCTTGCAATTCTTGCAATGACAAAGGCTTGTTCTTGCATCATCATCGCTGTATAACACAATCTCGTAGCGCACTTTGCCACAATAACAACCACCCGTATGTTTGGTCATCGTGCTGGTTCGATGATTTCTCAGGATGCTGTCCTGTGTTAGGATCTAATCGTTCGCAAATGCAGGTTGTATCAATTATACAAGTTATTGGGCTCTAGGATGTAATCGATGACATCATACTCACCGGTTGCAGATTTAAACTTGGAACGCTCCCCGAATGCCGCTCTTTACCTACCTTGAATGAATGCGTCTTGATTTGCACTGTAAATATACCAACATAAGAGCTTTAGCTGTTTCTGAGATTTTACTCTGAGTTGCGAGGCTTTTGTTTCAAGGGATTACATTAATACTTGAAATAGTTAGAATAATTTTGTTTACCACGAGTCATTTCGAGTATAGTTTTACTATTATATATATGACACGCTACTCACGCGTATAAATAGCCCAAACTGGATTGAGGGTGCTTTCTTCTCTTACATAGCTCAAGCCTTAGAAATCTGTCCTCGAAGAATAGCTATATGGTCTCTAATTTTATTTCATTTTATTTAATTCTCTTAAATGTTCAGAAATTCATGGACTTTAAAGGGAAATAAAAGGTCTCTGATCAACTCCTTCTCTCATTTCTATTACATGTTTTAATATGTAATGCAAAGATTGTAATCAGTGTTGTTGCGGGCATGTAAACCGCATGTAGCTCTTTGTCCGTACAATATTAATGTGCTTGTGTGGCGTTTTAGCCTAACGGAGTTCTTTCAGACTACAAAGTTGCCCGATCTTGCCGAGTTTGCTCATCAGATGTCAACAGATGTACAAAGTCCTCCTCACAAGTGAGGTACCTATTATTGATCCAAGGGATATACTACCAAGGACAAGGCTCGGGGGAACCTAGAAGTGCCCAAGGCTCCACATCTTCAAGAGTTGGACCCAACATTAATGACTGGCAGTCATGGTACTACCCTATCGAAATTACCGTACCGCAAAGGGAAGAAACTTGGAGAGGGGTCGTTTGGCAGTGTCTACGTGAGTATTTTTAACTTCTGAAGGCTCACTTACTGATGCTATCTATCTATCCAAATTAACAGATAGGACAGAGTCCTAATTCGGGGAAAAAGGTGGCATTGAAAATTCTAAAGAAATACGTATACGACGAAGGCTTTCAAGACGATCTCGGAGGTTATAAAGTCGTGGCGAACTTACCTCACCACACGAATGTAGTAGGTTATACACAGCCCCCAAAATTATAACGGTATCATGGCACCGATGTTGTGTCTAACGTTGGCTGGTAGATCGCTTTTCTCGGAGAATACGCCGACTCTGACCGGAGATTAGTACAAGTCTTTGAGTATGCAGAAGGCGGAGATCTATATTACTATCTTGAGAAGCAAGGATCCTTCTCTGAAGCAGATACGAGAAACCTCCTACGGTGAGAGATAATAAATTTCCTCAGAAATCACGTCCATGGCTCTCTTACTTCATAACTGACAGTGGCATACTTGAGGGGCTTAAGTTTCTTCACGATGGAAAAATAGTACACAGAGATCTAAAGTGAACTATATACTAATTGTAAGCGAATATATTCTGATTCCTTGCTATAGGCCGGAGAACATTCTTCTGCGTACAATGGAGTTTCCAGGAGTACCAGCATTAAATGATTTCGACTCGTAAGTTATCATATTCAACCTTCGCAAACTCGAAGTAAAGGCATCACAGAGCGGTAAAGGTCCCGGGTGGCCAGCCAGTGACCTTGAACTTTTTAGGTACTCTGATATATGCGTCCCCAGAAGCTCTTGAGAAAGGTTTCGTTGGTCGAAAGGGAGACATGTTTTCCATAGGGTTTGTTCTTGTCATTCTTCAATTCAGTGAATCAATCCGATGGCTAATCTTCATGTGGAAATTTGCCTTACTGCCCGCCTGCATTGCGAAGCGTTATGTTTCATGAAATGCTTTTAGCATTCCATCCGTTCGACACAGTAGGGAATTTATCTAAAGATGAGATTGCAGATGCGATTGTGAAGAAAAACATAGACACCAGGAGGAGCAATTATAGGCGAATCTCGAGCCTTGGTATTTTTACCATTTCATGTCACGGAAGTCGAAAAATGTCTGACTTTGTGGCGTATAGCACGTGACTTAGTGACTAAGCTTCTGACCAAGAATGCGAACTATCGTTACAGTGCTATACAGGCTTTGAACCACCCAGTATGTTGCCATTGTCGCTAATTCCTTTTCTCTCTCTACTAATGGCATAATATCGACATTCTTCTGCTTCTATTAGTGGTTTGAAAATGCTCCTTCGCATAAGACCTTCGCAATGAAACTAAAGAGAGGACCCATTAAGGATGTGAAGCTTCATGAAGTCAAGCACTACATTGACAAGCAAATAGAGATTCAGAAACGTATTGCATCAAAGAAGAAGCGCAGGGAGCAGGCAAAATCGCGCCGTGAACATAGACATGGTGGAGCAGCAAATAAATACTATAAAACACGAGCAAGGACACGTCAGAGGCAAAGGAAGGGAAGGTAAACGGGCGGTGAAACAGTTCCGATCGAAATCGGGGATCTAGAAACATTGCACCGTTGTATTGGAACTACTTCATTGATTGGCACCTGTGGGGTCTAAGTTGAAAGGAGACAGCAACTTAAGATCAAGCTTACCTTTTTACTACAAGAGGATTTGTTTGTTGATATATTGCATGTTTGTGTTGTTTTAATATTTACAAGTAAATACTTGCCCATAAAAGGAACCTGTTGCTGCTAAGCTTCATTTCCATTTAATAAGATGACAGCAATTAATGAAGCCAGCTGCCAGACAATGCCCATCTGAAGAATAATCTATGTTGTAGTAAGTAGATTATTAAAATATTTTGTTTCTACTATACAATAGTGTATCACAAATTGTAATATAAATTACACAGAAGGATTTTGCCATGTCCAATATCCAGACATTAAAGAAAGGTGGCAGTTGGTACAGTAAGTGTGTTGGACTATTTGACCATTCCAATTTCCCACACTCCGAAGCCTGATCTCGTGATTTGCAACGGATAAAGTTGCACCGCATCACGTACCGCGCATCATATTCAAGCAACCCTCCCTTTCCGACTCGGAACAACAATCTCAACCAAGTTGCCTAGCACTTGAAAGGGTGATTATACAGATTGCGTTGCTCTTCGACAAAAGACTCCGACCCTCTGATGAACTGCTCCTGAGCCTTCTCGCGACAGGGGCATTAACTGCTGTGCTTTTTTGACAAAATGGGTTTCCTTAAACAAAACGACTGATTAGGTTCTGGGTAAGCACCTCCAGATTCTCATAGCTTTCCGGCGGATTGGCCAGCGGCTCTCATACATGAAAGGAAGCACATGATGCTCCACAAGGGTCCGAGTGTGCTGTGCTTGGAAGGCCGATGTCGCTTTTGAACGCTTCTTGTGTTCGGTACGTGTTAGCCATAGGAGCCTAAAGCCTACGCGGGAAGACCTATTGGGATGCATTTATGAAGATATGTAAATTGTATTCTTGGTATGTGACTCTGTTACTGAATGTCATTACCGAGCTGCTTTACTACTTCTTCCGACGATCCTCCCCTTTTGTCAAAGAAACAGGTTAATCTAATTGACATGGACTTTCGACACCTGCTTCTGTCCGAAGTACGGAGCATACAGGACACTACGTTTGTACGCTCTTCGGTGAAATAAAGCTTCGATGGACTCGGATGTGAAACTAGAATATGACAGAGCGTGAACTGCGTTTCATATTGCGCGCTCGTTCCTGATAGGGCTGAAAGAATTAAATCAATGCTTTATTCGGGGTCCTCATGCCTACAGCAGCTTGTAGCTAGGGACAGAAAGATATACAACAGTGGGCATCAAAGTTTCTTACTCTGGTACCTCGAACTCTGGGCACCATATTTAAACATTATTAGCTATCATTATGCGCTGGAAGGTATCCCTCGCCACCTACCAAGATGAACGTGTTCCGCATTTCAGTAGCACAGACGTGGAGAAGGCGATTTGATGCACCTACCCAATTTCCCCGTCTTCTTTCAACGACGCGAGCTCGACGTTCCTCCGAAGATCAGCTCGTCGGCGTGAAGGCCTCCGTTCGCGCGAAGGCCGATCCTACCTTCACACCACGATTAACTTTGTTTAGGGAATTCGACTTGACTGGCCGCGTCGCAGTCGTCTCTGGAGCAAATCGAGGCCTGGGCCTCGAGATCGCGCAGGCATTAGCTGAAGCAGGAGCGACTGTCCATTGTTTCGATCTTCCATCTACTCCAAGTGAGACCTGGGAAGCCTCTCACGAGTACATCCGGAGGCTTCAGCTCCCTACTGCGCGCCTTAACTATGCTTGTCTCGATGTGACCGACCAATCGGCTACGTGGAACGCAGTGGAGACAGCTTCGAAAGCATCTGGTAATCGTCTCGACATTTGCGTCGCGGCAGCAGGGATAATACATGGCGCATGTTGCCTCGATTATCCTACTTCCGAATTCTCAAAGGTCCTGGATGTCAACGTTCGTGGTGTCTTCCACTTCGCGCAAGCGGCCGCTCGGCAGATGGACCAGGCCGAAAAGGGCGGGAGTATTGTCCTGATAGGCTCTGCTGCTGGGTCTGTTGCTACAAGCGTATGTCTTGAACAAGCGGCAACATGCGCCTGATTCTGCTCTAACAGATTTGACCGTTAGGATACTGAAGTTGTCGCTTACAGTGCCAGTAAAGCTGCGGTACTACAAATAGCTCGCAGCATGGCATGCGAATTAGGGCGAAAAAGGATAAGAGTTAACTCAATTTCGCCGGGATATGTCCCGACAGAGTAAGAGTGCTTCATGTCCTTGTTCGGCATCAGTGCTCAAGTAAATCACCAAAATCAGTTTGACTTCTCCATTCCTCGATGCGATTCCGACCTGCAAGGCAGAATGGTCGAAGCAGAATCCCCTTGGGCGCCTTGGGAGGTCCGATGAGTTGCGTGGGGTGGCGGTATGGCTTGCATCCGACGCATCCACGTATTGTACTGGCAGCGAGTCAGTGGTTCCATAGAAACTTCAGGAATAACGGCTGATATGTTTCCACCTCCAGCATCCCTGTCTGTGGTGGTCACCTCGCATGGTAGCTGGTTCATGCGTATTGTTTGTAGCCCCTCGTCTGGCAAGCCTTATAAAGCAACGGCTACCCTTCTTTTCCGTGGAAATTGGATTTTTGCTTAAGGGTACTGGCTGCTGTTTGATTTCTTTTCCAAACCGCTGAATGTATTATGTAATACAATGACGTCACCAGTGTTCAAACCTAAAGTTTCTTTCCTCGCTTCAGAATAGTCGATCGTACTCTTGTTAGTTAGGGAACTCAACTCTTTGCATATGTCTGGGACAGATCATCAGCCGCCCTATGTCAAGACGAGAGAAAATTTTGATTCAAAGTATGTGGGAGAATGTTTCTGTGGCCAGATCAAGTTTGAGATTGCTAATGACCCGGTTGGTGGGTTGAGTCCTTGGATTGTGCAACGGGCCTGTATTGTGACAACTCATCTCTGCTTTAAGATGCTTGTTACTGTCATTGGTACGTTACTCTTCTCTCTTTCTCACTTACATGGAATGGCATAAATACTTTTGTGAGATAGTCGGAACTGCCAGCGGTAAATTACAATTTTATTCGAAAACAGTTACAATAATAACTTAAGTGCTACCGTCCGCAAGGCTACACGGCGCCCCCTATCAATGGGTACGTTGTTGACCACAGTGAGCACCTTGTCCAGAGTCATATATCGTTCCCAGGCTGCAATCATTCACAAAGACGCCGTCCATTTCACGGAAGGAATAAAAGGCCTTACTTTCTATAACTCTTCGTGAGCGGATCCACACGAAAATGAAAAAAAAAGTGAAATATACTCACAATATTAACTAATGCTACAGAGAGTTTGTAAATGAACACAAACTTCCGTGCAAGGTCCTATGCTCTACTTGTCATTCGCCCCTTGCAGATGAAGGCCGAAATATGATTCTCGTGTTCCCCGTTGCGGTCCATTTTAAAGATGGCCAAGTACCAGGTGCGCTTGTACACTCGAGATTCTTGTCCTCCAGGGCCCCGTTTTATTGCCACTAACTGATTCATCGGGCGCCTAGACTCGTTCAAACCGTGAGTATATCCGATGCACTCCTGACGTGGCTGAGTTATGAAGTTCTGGATCATCCCTTATCGTTCGGATATTATGCAGAACGTATCACATGTGCGTGATATTAATAAGTTTAAATATATACACGACGTTAATATATGAATGTTGATGGCGATGATACGATTATTATCGCGTTCAACTTATATACTGATCAGGTTCTATGGATCCCGCGTTACCGACGTTGTTGATGGTGTCCCTAAGTTTCTTGGAAGGAGAGGCGAGGGCCCTTGCAAGGAGAAGTAAAGAAGTAAAGAACGAGGGGTCCGCATGGTGCAATTTGCATCGTGAATCCGCTGCCGGTAAGACTCAAGTCGGAGTTACTTTGCGGATCACCACACTGTCGGGGAGTACGAATTCAGGAGTAACGGGGCTGCAATGCATGGGAGGTTGGGTGTCCTCTTAACGAGTAAAAATTGTCCCATCGATATTATTGCATTTAACCCAGTAATACATGACCACCGCTGTACGATACTGCAACACTCGCACTGCTTCGAACAAGAAGCTAATCGTACAGTATCTTACAAAGCTCATGTCTCGGTGTCTCGACCCGAGAATACCCAAGTTCGGACAGCATTATACCGACTGCGGCACGCAAACAAGTCTTCCCAGAGCGGAAAATACATATTGAAATCGGAGTGATAGATAGCACACCGCCCACGTTGCACATCCATGGCATTCATGGGGATACCGAAGGCTGAATAGGTACGCAAGCGCTTTCAGTGCGCTGATGGAGGTGCTGCGAATGCTTGGTTCCATGCGATATATCCCGCCTCGCGGTATTGTTCTGTACCCGTTCTCGTCCGCAAATAACCTGTTTTGTGGCGCATTCATCCGTGACTTTTACCGTGAGCCTAGCATAATTTTTCCGAACAGACCCACCACGCAACAGAACGAAGGTGACCCTGCAATGAGAGAGCAGAAAATAGTTGTAAAACTGCTTATATTTATATTTGTTAACTTCTCTGCAATGACATCCCATGCGGTTGGTGAACGCCGCACACGTTACTATGCGTAATGGCTCGGAAGCAAGGCACGCGCGCCTCCGCGCCGATCGAGGCACTCCCGCGCCGTTCGCGAAGCATCAACGCGAACTGATTTTCAAAGCCACCAATTGATACCGCTGTCCCTTCATGTCCTCAATCTTGCCAAGAGCGGTCAATGGCGATGATATTGCGGATTTACACTTACGCTTGTGGGTGTGACGCACGAACTGGTGTTGCCGTCCTCCCCCAATTCTCCCATGTATAAAGGTGTAGCACCTCGGGATTGTATGAGGGTTGGTTAGGAGGCCTGCGTTTCGAACTAGTTGCTACACCTTACTTGCACGTAGCCCACGTCATCCCATTCCAGCACAAAGATGCAGCTGCGCGGCGCATACTCGCTGGTATTACTCTCCTTCCTGGGACTAGTTGCGGGAGCCCCCGATGGAGCGAACAAGCCAAAGCCATCGGCGACGCCAACAGGTCCGCCGAAGCCACCACCGACTTCGTCATGCACGAACGAGCTCCTCTGTTGTCTCCAAGCAACCGATCCGACGGGCCTTAGCGCGAAGCTCATACTTGACCTCCTTCACATTAGTTTGACTCCCGAAGAGAAGAGCGAGGAAGTCGGGTTGACGTGCAGTACGCTGCACAAGCGTGGCTTTGGTGACACTTGGTATGTGAATCCTATTCCGAAAGAAATGAGATTCGGCCTGAAGATGAAATTGCTTAAATAAATAGCTTCGAAAAGCCGTTGTGCTGCGACAAGAGCTTTGGTAAGAGATGAATGCCAATACCGTGACATCCCCATCATCCTTCATGTTACTCATAATGTCCACTTCGTATACAGAGTCCGGTATCATTGCTGTCGGATGCAAGGCAGTCAGTATCTGAAAGGTTCGATAAAGTCGACTGAAGGACTTCTATTGTCTACCCACGCCTATGCCGAGTGCCCATCATTTGTCTTCTTGTTTACATCGTGATCATAGACACTTCGAGGAGTAGGAGCAGAATGATTTTGCTTAGTAGTTTGTAGCCTTTATCCGCGAATGGTAGCATATACTGTCCAGTAGTCCGATCCAGTAGTCCAATACTGTTGTTTCATTGACGTACAAGTGTCAGAGGTCTTGGCTCGGCCTTGCAGGTAAATAGTTACTTACTGAGGTTCGATAAGAAGAAAGGAATCCAAACTACTGTCACATTTCAATCGGTCATTCGTGACACGCGTGCCTCTAGACTGGCCTTTGCCTCACTTTGGCAATTCCTTTCTCTTGCTGTACTGTGTACAACTCAAATCTCACCTTTTCACTAAATACTTTAGTATCGATGGGCTCGCTGGATCTACTACACTTTGGACATGATTCCTTACACATACGTGTTAACTGCTATCTTCAAGATTGCTCGCCTTCACAGCAGCAGCACAAATACAACCTGCCTGTGAAAACTTGAAAAGTATGCATATCCGTAACCCGCCATTTCAAGAATACGCCGCCTAAACTCACAAGCTGCCTTGGTATTTGTGACGAGTAAACCTTTTCAACCTAAATTGCTCAAGGCGATCAGACCTTGTGAGTGAATGGTCATGACTCCTGAGACAGAGCAATCCACAATTAAGGAACGATGATACGCATGCAATGGCCTCTGTAGCATTGTGCTGTCCCGGCTTCATCTTCCTCCACGTTTCTTTGATTCTTGTCTCTTTTGGCTAGCAAGAAGATCATGGATTCATCTCCGCTTCTCACTAATGATAGCGCTTCGTGAACATTATGACACCAGATTTCGCGTGGCATAAGGACCGCTGCAACGTGGCTGTTCTATGAATGTGCTACTAGGGAAGGATTGGTTAGCATGGTCATTTAGAGGGATCCAAGCTCATTCACATCTTGTTTTCCTAGCCTGGTTCTGTTATACACAGGACTTTTCATGGTCAGAATGAACACACGGGAATGTTATGGCGGCACTCTTTTTAAAGTTTCCTTCTAAGCTTTCCGTACCGCCATCGGACATTTCTAAGGCCTATGGACTAGGGTGACCGATAAAAAGGTCTCCGCAGTTCGGAATGTGTCATTCGCACTCGTCAGCACGCCACTGTGAGGGTTTGAAGCTTCTAGTCCAGCGTTCATGTGCCTCAGAGTACTGATCTGCACAATTGAAAGGATGAAGGATAGTCTAGTGGACCCCGTCCCTCTGGACCATGGCCTCTTGCATTCAAATTCCTGTTCGAGTTCATCGTCAGTTTTTGACGTCTAAGGTGACAACTGTAGCAATTGAAAATGCTCTTGGCAAGTAGCATGAGAGAATTATATATACGAGATTCAACCATATGCTAAGCAATATCAAAAAGATCAAATTTGCTCATGGGTTGATCCCCTCCTTCCCCCCTACACGACTGTCCCTTCCCCAACTTCAACAAATGCACCTCCATCTTCCCTGTCATGCCTTGTTCTCCCCTCTTCGTCCGAATCCGCAAGTCTGAAGCTGTCCGCAGCTCGATCCGGTGCAGTCTTGTCCACATTTGGCTGTCGGATCATACATGGGAGAATGATACGCACCCCAGCATATGTCCAGTCAAGTCTGTCGATTTCTACGAAACCACGCGCAACATATAGTGGGTAACCTGCGGTTGTGGACTCGAGGAACACTGGTCGATTCGCTGCATCCGTGATGGTGAAACATTGTTTGAGGAGTGCAGAGCCAACACCACGGCCTTGAAATGAAGGGTGAACAATGAGGAGGTTGCTTAAAGAGAAGTAGTGTTAAGTATTTTCTAGTCATGATAGAGGACATGAAATACGGACAGGAGGAAGAATCGACCTTCTTTGTTAATCCTAGCACGAGCATCTTTAAGCTGCTGTTTAAAAATCCTCCAAAGCACAATATCTAGTCCACTGGTATCTTTCCATAGTTTATTCTTTATAGTATCCATGGCAGGGTAGACAACATCTCCCATGAAACAGTCTCTCAGTTTTCTCTTCCTTCGTATCTCTTCCAACATCTCCTTCGGTGGAGTCATCTTTACGAATCCTGCGATATTATCCCTTCCATTCTCGTCAGGTGCAAAAGCTGTAAACATGATTGAGCCGTCATAGAGACTTGGAATGTGATCGTTAACCGAGGATGCGAAGTCCGGCCAATGTCGAGGATGTACACCTGACCGTGCCAATGGAGCACGAAAAGGGAAGAGCAGGCTATTGAGTGGCTCATGTGGAGGGAACGCGCCAGAAAATGCGAGCATCTCGCATGTCGCTATTCCGGGTAGGTCATCATATGTAGTAGGAGCAACCCGCACGTCTGTGCGTTGTGATTTACTTGTTGACGATTTTGACATTTCCTGCTGTAACTGTAGTATTCATAGACAATTACAGTAAAATAATTTTTAGAAAAAAAGGAGAAAAATCATTCCTTTGAAACTGTACATACCGAGGTTAAGGTCCTATGCACAGGGCTGAGTGGAAAGAGGGGGTAAGAAAGATCGGGGCCGCCATGAGAACGAGTCACTGCGGCTGCCGTTCCGTCCGGGAAGAACCAATACAACGTTACCCTAACAGAACATTATAGGTATGGCCCGTCCACATCACTAGAGGTCAAAGTGACCTTGAGGCCAGTGACTGACTGATCAATGCATTACGACAAAGGACGTCTTGATGGTCGCAGTCAGATACTATACTCGGCGTCTAAAATTAAGCTAATAAAGTTGTAAAACTATATGACTGACAGAAGCAAGCAGTGACAAACACGGTGCAACAAATAACCACAGAACTAAACTTGCTAGCTGGCCATACATGCGCATTTGTGGTCGAGCCTGCTGTCCTTCTCTGAAGGATGATTCATACTCGACTATTCATGTGCTGTTGCTTACATGGGAAAGCCAAATTCAAATGCGCCTACTTTTCTACGAACACTTGATAGGTGTCTTGCTGAGCGTGACCGTCGCGTTTCTAGTGATGTTACGCGTGTCCTCACTAACCAGGCAATTTGATTGCATGGCTCAGTGCATGAACATTAGCACTAGCTACCTGTACTTATGTTGGAGACTCGTGTCTTCTCTTGCATCACACCCCTTGTGATCTCTGTAAGGTATCCCACGTTTTAGCTTTGGTCTTGGGCTTAGACGCAGTAGTCACCTTACGAACTTGACAACACATACCACTCGAGGCCGGATCGCGGCTGCCAGCGAATATCGGCTCCATTATAACTTGACCAAAGCAAAATCCTCTCTCTCTCTCTCGACATGTCTAACATTGCATCAACTTCTCACCCTGCAAGCGAAGAACAGAGACAAGATATGCAGCACTCAGTGACAAGCTCTAGCAATGCCGTAAGGTATGCTTCTGCTTCGGACCTTTCTCATCGTGCAAACTCACCCAAAGTTCTTGAAAGACGAAAGAAGACTAAACGCCGACGCGTGCCCGAACTGAAGATCGTCTATCGAACTTTACGCTTCATTTCTGACCTGGCTCTGTCGGGTTTCTTTACAGAAGTGTGCGTTGAAGGAGCTGAACACGTACCCGTGGAGGGAGCTCTCATACTGTTGAGTCGTTTTATGATGCTCAGTGTTGAGCAATCCATCTGAAGGCGCACTTATTTTAATAACGACTTAGTACTCCGTGTCATCACAATGAGATTATTGACATTGCAACGTTGTGTATGATATTTAAGCCTGCTTCAACATGTGATACTTGCTGACGGAGAACAACTTCTAGCTGCAACCATTCCTCATCGCCGAATCATTGCATATTGGGCGAAAGCCTCTATGTTCAAGAATCCCGTGTCTCGATCTATCCTCCGGTCCGCGGGAGCCATACCGGTCGCACGAGTAGCCCAGTCGCAAGTGCAACAAGACGAGAACCAACCTACGGACACTGTGGATAGCAGGTCTAGAGATACTGTGCCGAAAAGTTCGGGACCTAAGGGTAGCTCGAATGGTCAGCAAGCTCTCTTTGATGCGACCTACAGAGAACTGGCAAAACCGGAGGGTGGGGGTGGTGTACTTGGCGTTTTCCCTGAGGGGACGTCATACACTATGCCGCGTATTGTACAGGTCAAGGAAGGAGCTGCTCGGGCTGCGCTTGGTTATATGCAATGGTGGCAGGAGCGCAACGGTGATAACGGAAGCTCAGAAATTCCAGTGAGCGTTGTCCCGGTTGGTATTGTATACACAGATAAATCGCGCTATAGAAGTCGTTTATTCGTGCGGTATGTCTCATGTTAATCTTCCTCGGCAGTTGTCAATCTCATGAAGACAACCTTGAATGAAGATATGGGACTCCAATTGATTTACGTCCATTCGTCAAGCGCGCCATTGCAGAGAATAACGGTGGTACTGAAGATAATACCGAAAGGTACCACACCGCGATACGCGAGGTCACGGCGGTTATCAAAAAAGGGATGCTCGAGTTGACTATAAATGCATCTGATTGGTATGCTTATTCCTCTTTTTACTCTGCCCTACACCTTTGATGTATACTCATGTCGTGACTGACGCATGTATCTTAGGGATACGTTATACGCCACACAGACTGCTCGAGCGATCCTCTGGACAAATGATCGTGACCTGCAGTTACAAGACTTTGTTAAAGCTTCAAAGACGTGAGTTGAACGCATTCGCTAGTCTATTTCTCGTTTTAACCTTTTGTATAGCCTTGTCAGAATTTTTGAACCGCCATCAACGACATTGATTGACCTCAGGCAATCCCTTCTGGATTACCATGCATTATCATACCATACAGGCTTGTCGCATGCTGCACTTGCACATGTCCCCTTTCCTCCACCCCCTTCTCCGTCTTCAGCTCCTATCCGCACCTCAGGCAGAACAGTCCTTACAACTCCGTCCCTAATCAAACTAATTGCGCAGTTACCTCCATTTCTCGCGCCTGCGTTACTCTCGCTGCCTACGCATATCGCCCATGTACCAGCTTACGCCTTTGGAGCACTTTCATCTCGACTACTCGCTGGTGAAGAAGAGGAAGCGCGCGCACAGTATAAAGTCCTTATTGGTGGTGCGGGACGCGTTATTGGAACGGTTGCGTCAGGATTTGTGCTTATACGCTCAGTATCGGGTAGGTCACTCGTAAAAACAACAGCGAAAGCAGCAGTAGAGATGTCAAAATCTGCTTTCGGGATGGTAGGGCGAGCTTTGTCAGTTATTTTTCCCGGGTGTGGAGGAGCCGCCTTAGAGGAGGCGAAGGAAAATTATCTTTCACTTGCAGAGTTTGCTTTAGAAATCGTTAAACAACGCTGGGCGAAACTTGGCGAATTTGGGAATGTGATAAGCATTCTTGGTGTTGCATGGCTACTTTGCGTGTGGCATAATCGTGTCATAGATGGTACGTTTTTCGGTGTATTGACTTCCGAAAGTAGTTGTTAATAGTCGTTTACTGTCCAGCAAACTATATGAGGTAATTTGTCTCCTTAAGCACGTCGCTGTGTAATCCTAACTTATTACTCATTTTCTGATAGATATAAGCGCGTCCGTGCAACGCTCGCTATCCTCAGAGCTGTCCTCTTCTCGCGTCGTGCGGAAGATGTGAAGAAAGACGACTTGAAGCCATACCTTACGACCCCACCACCACCTTTGAACCCATACATTGCCAAGTCCCTCCAAACTGCTCCAAAGGATGCAATCGCGAGCCCACCAGTCGACTTGAACCTTGGCGGAGCGGAATCTACCTCTGATCCCCTTGCTGGAAGGAGTCTCAGTCGAAGGGTTGCGAAGTCGGTTCTTGTGCGACAGCTCCTACTGGCTCGGGCGACAGCAGTACAGAAATTGTCTTCGACGCTTCGTGAACTCGAAACCCAGGCAGAGAGTGTAGATGTCGAGGACAGATTGAGTGGAGAAGGCCGATCCGGGCTGACCGAAAAGGAGGGACGATGGAAGAAGGGTATCGCAGGGGAATTGCAGATTCTACGCGATTGTGGTGCTGAGTTTTAATGTCGTCTGTGAAGGCAGATAAATGCTCGCCTTTCTTCCGCGCTATTTGTTCAGTCGACGTACAGAGAGTCATTATTCCTTGACCACTCCTAGACTGTACCTTGATTTATTGAACCGGGAAGTCTGTAATTTTGTGGCCTTACTGGGTTTGTTGTCAGGATGCTTTCGTTCGTTGTCTATCTTGAAGTTTCGTCGGACAGTTAGAGAATTCGATGATATCGTATAGTATAGAATCATGTAATCCAGTAGACCATTCGGTATATTGTTGTTGAAATTCTTGCAATGCATTATGATTAGCCTCATTCGACCCGGTGCTGCCTTGATTTGTAAACAGTTCACGACCACGGGACAGGCTAGCACAGACGTACAAGCCTGCTGCGTGTCGTAAGGCGACAAATTACAATTTTAAGCTGCATACCACATCAAGACAGTAGACAAATGTGTACTTCTACGACATGCGGCAACAAAAGTGTGTTTTGTGCGGTGAAGATCAGAGACGACGACCGCGGCGACCACCCTAAACACAACAAACAGCTCGACGACCGATCGCTGGATACCAGAAAGACGGAGGCGTACCTTGTGTCTAGTGCAGTCAGATGGGACAGGGGTAACGTCCTCAATACGGCCAATCCGCATTCCGGCACGCGCAAGCGCACGTAACGCACTCTGCGCACCAGGTCCAGGTGTCTTCGTGCTCGTTCCACCCGTCGCGCGGAGCTTGATATGCAAAGCCGTAATGCCAACTTCACGGCACCGTGTTGCTACGTCCTGCGCTGCCAACATGGCTGCGTACGGAGAAGACTCGTCACGGTCTGCTTTGACTTTCATGCCACCAGTAACGCGCGAGATGGTTTCGCGACCAGAGAGATCGGTGACGTGAACGAAGGTGTCGTTGAACGAGGCGTAGATGTGCGCTACTCCGAAAACGAGTTCGCCCTCTGCGACCTGAGGACCGAGTTGTACGGTCGTTTCCTCTTTTTGAACCTTTCCTTTCTTCGGCGCCTGGAGAAAGAGGAGAAAGTATCAGCACAATATCCATTGGGCACAATCGTAACACAGTTAGTTATTCTCTCCGTCCATCCAAACTGGAGAAGACGAATCCATCTAATTGAACCTTTCGTAGCTAGTTCTTCTTCTCTAAATCTCCACGACATAGAATAACTCCAACATCTGAACACATGCAATATACAGAAACTCACCATTTTGATTGTACTGGACGGTGTTGAGGAGGACGGTATTGACGAGCGACAAAATGCTGAGATCACCGCAAATTCCGAATCGGGAATATCCGAGGCTGCTGCCGATTCAACTCGCACCACCACTGGTGAAGTAATATCACGACGTGCACATACTGGACTTTTGCGCCAGTGGAAGATAAATGAGATGTGAACTTGTGAAGCTCATCGAATTTGTACGCATATTGGAGATAAATGGTACATATTGGATTATACTGTCAATCTCCCGATCCAGGTAAGAATGCCTGTGATTATTACTTAATTTATCAAATTTACCAAGAAACAGTCCTAGTTTCAAATGTTACATGTCCACATTAACTCACGAATGAGGGCCACTCTAGATAGATGATTTTGGCAAAAGAAACGCGCGATCCGGACGCGGTAAATGTTCAATACGAAGTACAATACCTCGTGGTTTGTGGAGACTGGACCCATCCAGGCGGGTTGCTCTGTGAAATAACCAACGTTTGTCATTGGTCGACAGCCAAAAGAGTGCTTTAAATAACTGACAAGGCGTCTGTATTCTGGTCACGAGGAAGACTATGCATCATTTCCAGTAATGAAGGGTTTGCGATTGGGACGGAATATGTAGAACATTGCCTATCCTTGTCTATCTTGATCGTGATCATGATCAGTCTGTCGAAAATAGGGGTCGGCGTTCGAGAACGGTCATTTATTGAACGCATATAATAACCTCTTCAGGAAGTAATCGCAATAACACCCCTTTCCATCGTATCGCACGTCGAACAGACTTCAGCCTCTCAAACTTAACGTCGACGTTAGCAGTTATGGCCCCCAACCCATCGTGCTCTGCCCTCGCAGCTGCGAAGGATAAGAAAGGTTTGTCCTATGGACAGATCGCATCTGCCCTTGGTGAGCCTGAACAGCATGTTATCGATGGTACGTCTCTTGCTTGTGTCCTCCCCCTCAGCCTCGACATTGCCCTTCATGGTGGCGGGTGGTGGTCCGATTGATGCCTGTTACTGACGTGTGCCACCCCATCTGCACTGTTCATCTATCTATCTATCTGACCGAACAACGTTCAATCAATCGACAAATCTGTAGTGTGCACCGGAAAGAAACGCCCCACGGATGCTGAATTTGATGCACTTGCACGCGTGTTGGACATTAAATCGGTACGTAATCGTCCACCGCTCGTATATCTAATCGAGACATTTATGATGTTCATTGCTTTCATCATCTTTTTAGCAAGTACCGCATGAAGGCGTACACGCCACCAACTAGGCTACTTCCCACGCGGAGCTGCGAAGAGATTGCTGATACACTGATGTAGTATGTATATGTGTGTATGGGAATGTGTCGTATGGAAGAAATGCGAACTGTAAACTAATCTGTCCAATGGAAATTATGGACTGCAACCTAGCATGAAGCGAAAGTAAGCGGGGATGCTTCAGAATTACACACTAGGTTAATCACGTGCTAAACTGCATAAACACATCCAAACACTTTTGATGCTACTGCTCGCATGTGCCAAAGCCTAACACACAATCTGGGAGTGCCACCTCAAACCTCGTCGCTTCGAAGTTGTGTGCTCCTTACTTACAAGTTCAGTTGCTGATACCATACTCTCTCGGCACATGGAATACCGCGAAAGCACTTGACACTGACTTGTAGGAGTCTTCCAAGTGCGTCACTGAGAAACACAAAAGATAGTGCACACGACTGTTGCTTCAGGGTTCTGTCCGCCATTTGTAATGGATGCTCCAATTGTAGAGAAAATTTTCGCCTCATGGTCTCGTATGATGACTCAAAGAACACGTATGTCTGTCGTCCTCCTCGTCTTATCACGCAGCCCTGAACCCACGGGCGCAAAACAATTGAATTTTCCCTCGACTAACCGACCTCCTGGGTGCCATGCTTTTCTCTCGAAGCCGACAGAAGTACCAGATTTGCTGAGATCTTGTGCACTTAGTGCCTGGAGGTGTCATCGGTTTGTTTCCGCCCACGCTTTGCAGATGGTATATTCATTTGCGATTTTCATGTGTTTTCGCTGATTTTCTGGTCAAAAGCCAAGATCCTAAACCCAAAGCATGGTACTTCATGCTTCGAATCCCATACTCCTAGAAGGACGTTTGTTTATTAATTGGAATATTTTCTTACTTTTCCCCCTTTTCTGACATCAACTTCATATCATTATCCTTGTTGACCGAGAGTTGTTCTTCGGTCCGCGCAAAAGAGACTCAAACATGCTTTTCCCTCATGTTTACTCTGTTCGAACAGATAGCGCCTAACTGTTCATATAGTTGGAGGCTTATCGCACAGCTTTGGCTTCTTTTCTGCCTCCAGGACACCGCGTTGTTTGTTGCCGCCGCCTAAAACGGAATTCGCGGAATTCGGGAACGGTAAAGAAGGTACAGTTGAAAATATCTTATTGCATAACGTCGGGAGAGGCCTCAGACCTATGCAATATGAGCAATATGCATTATGGTAACCGTGCGAAAGCATTACTTAATTAGGAAACCAAAATTCGATATTGCTTTTCAATTTATTTGAAGACATATACACTATGACAAGAAAATAAGCACATATTTAGAGCATCAAGAAAGACAACCAAGACAATGACAAGTACAGTAAATGTGTATATCACTGTAAAACTCAAGAAATAGTTTGTAATACAAGGAAATACAGTCAGAATCTGTAGAAACAAAAAAATAGAAAAAGCTAGTCAATGCAAATAACTTTCCCCCACATATCATGAAGAGATCTTTGCTGCCCTATCTTGGTCTTGTGGCAGCATTGAAGACATTGTAAGCAATGAAATGTCAATCAGAAACATTCTTTTTGTATTGAAGTATGTCAGAGAACAATATGTGAGGCTTCTGGGTACAAAAATCACAACAGTAAGCAGTCTAATTTCCCAAAATGCCCAGAATTTTGTATAATTTTCTCACAAATCTTGATGCAATATGCAATAGACTATTTTTGTGCATAATTCCCTTATCCCGAGCTGGGATTAGGCAGAAAGCTATGCAATATTCAATTTATGCATTATAATGTGATGCAATAAGGTATTTTCAACTGTAAAAGGTCGAAGTATATGAAATGCGACGTACAAGCGGTGATGTCGTCCTGCGTCGATATGGCTATCTGCGAGAAGTATAGAATCGAGTTAAGTGAGTCTCGACGGTCGAGAGCTATAGAGACCATTCTACATACGCAGGTCCATCAATTATGACGCACAATTTCGACATCGAAGATAATTTCAAGGAAGCTTCGGTAAGATTTTTTTAGCCTGTCTCAATCTTTTACTCACGAAGATTGAAAGACGCTTGTTCTACAGGGGTTTCACTTCCGTCCGGAGATTGTATTGTAGCGCGAAGCCGGACACGTTTAATGGCGAGCAGCTCGTTGGACGACACGTGTAACGATGCCGAAGCTGTGTGAGAGTGCTAGCAATTCAAAGATGCGCACTGATATAATTATAAATATCGGTGAGAGTTTGCAATTTGGGCACCCAGCAAGCTACCAGGATAGGAATAATCTCAATTTACCGAGCCCGGTATTCTTAACTTCTTGTTCTTTTGTATCCTTCATTAAAAGTTATTGCTCCTCTTTGACAGCATCTTCCTGTTCTTCGTGCATTTTGCAAAATGCCAGTGGGAGGTTAATATCCTTGTACGGATACATTATAATGTGTCACCTTCGATATTTGCCGAGGCGGGCTTTTCCAAGTGAACTTAAATTCCATAACCTTGCCTGAGGGCATCTCTCCTTTGATATGCAGACGACCAGGCATAGGCAGCAATCGAGTCAGGGTCGGCGTACACTCGTATTACCCTCGTGGAACTCGCGAGGTTCAGCGTTCAGCACAAACCTTCCTCCCTCGTCCCGACATTCCGAGTATTATGAATTAAATTTATGCACCCTACACGCAAGCACCACGTAGCTCGCAGATGCGCAGCTCGCAAACGTACGTCTTCCTCAGTTCTTGTCCTACTCTCCACCTCGCGATACAGCGCAGCACAGCGCCCCTCCAATCAATAGAAATGGATCTGAAGAACGAAAGGAACCTGTCGAGCATCGATTTGCGATTGTGATTTGCTTCCGTTACACGAGGTGAGTCCGGATATCGGTATGCTCGGTATGTGCCTGGTAAGGCATCTCCGCTAACTCGGCAAACGGCAAGGCTCGCAGCCTTTCACCATGCACCACGATTAGCGTCGGACCGGAAGGGGGGACACCTCATCCTGTGTCACTCATGTGTCTGCGGAATTGGTTCGAATTCTTCTTCAACAACTTCCTACTGTATCCTCCCTTCTTTTCTTTTCACAAGCTCAGAGTCAGAAGCTCGGCACGCGGTCGAGGGCAGGCTCTCGAGTCTCACCAATGTATTTAGATATTGATAACGACTCAATACTGTTACTTACCATACTTCTGAATTCATGTTTGCTTCTGAATTCATTCACGCCAAATTACAGACAGTAATTAGAAACAACCGCAAAACAACTCGCATTAAACCTAACTACGAACAATACGAAAACGACAAGACAAAGTTAAGATAACTATTAACAGGACAACGGAATAAATCTATTCGCAAATGTCCAGAAAAAGAAATCCAAGTCCAGATTCAGTGTCTAAAAGCTGGAAGGGTATCTCCTTTTGTCGTATCGGCGAAGATACATGAGGAGTTTTGGGCGTGTTGTCAAACACCAACGGCACAACGAGAGGAAGTGCAAAAGTATAAGAAATCAATGTTCACAAGGAAAATGAGAGAAAACAATCGTATCAAGGGCATTAGAGAAAACTACGGGATCGAGGTCGTGGCACTAATAAATAGACAACGAATAAACAACAAGCAAAGAACGAGATGAGACTAAAGGAGCGTAAAAAGAAACCGTGACAAAGACAGCTTTGGAAAGTCCAATTCATGAAGACGTGTCGTGAAAACCTAGTACTATCAGTCTAGGGGGGATTTTGGGAGGAAATGGAGTCATAACAAACGTAAGCGTGGGGCGAATAAAGTTAAGAGTAGAAATGGAAAAGAAGAGGAGACGAGAAACGAGGTTATCGATACATCGCGGCCTCACAGAACCCAAAAAAAGTGGAGTGAAATCAAGCCGAGACGGAACCGCGGGTAGAGGCGAAGAGGACGAGATTCGTAAGAAGACAGGAGCGAGCCGAGAGCGAAGAGTGATAGGCAAAGGGTATGCACGGTGGCACGTTCATTCGTGTGCGCGTGGTGTGTGTCGGTATCGCGAGCCATTGAGTGGGTAGTACGGATGTTGAATACCAAGATTATCGGGGTATGGAGAGGAAGAGTGTCATGTGGGCGGTGAGGGACGTGCCGAGTAAACTGGAAAGCAATTGTGCACAGGGGTAAAGTGAAAGTCTGTGGAGATGTGGATGAAAGAGAAGATTAAGATGAGGATGTGAAGAGAAGGGAAGTGGAAAGAAAGATTAGATTAACATACAATATCTACGGGGGAAGAAGTGAACACACGAAGATGAGAGTGTAAACACAGATAAAGTGACGGAACAGATCAGCAGAACAGCGTAAATTGCGCGAAGCAAGAGATGATGATCATGTGTATCAGAGGAATGAGGAATGAGGAACAAGGATAGCGTGAAGTTGTGAAGAAAGAAATAGAGTGGATGAAGAAGAATAAGATTAGACATGGGACACGGGACACAGGACACGGGAAGACGACAGATACGAGATACGAGAATAAACACGCAGACAAACGGAAACACGTCCTCCGGAGGACACGCGGAACAGTATGTACAAGCGAATTCAAAGCATTCACGGAGTCAAAAATGTTGCAAAGGTGCTAAAGGCCGAAGGTCGAAGGGAATAAACAGTGAGCAAAAGTCAGAAGAGAGGTTGAGGGTCAGTCGCGTAATCAATCGTATGTACACTAGCAAATGTACGCCCAAAAATGAAGGTCGGAGAATAGAGACTGTGTACGGACACTATTGGGTCCGCTTTTCAAATGTACATTTTTCGTTGTCTCTACTCCCTAAGTCGTCGAGCATCTGTACGTTTGGTCAGTCCATGGTTCCTGGCATAAGAAAGAAAATGCACGAACAAGCATCAAAACGAGCAAATAAAGCTGTTTCTCGATGTTCAGTAACCCAATCCACAACCCCATATCGACAGTAATGGCACAGAAAAGCGTGGCATATTCAGCCTTTCAGGCCTGGCTAGTGGCAGGACGGTTCATCCGATCTACAAGTGCACTCGGAAGCCAGCGCTCATGCATTTTGCTTTTCTTTTCCTTCTTCACGTCCTTTTCGGTTGTGTACCCATCTCGATCATCCACGACATCCCTTCTTCCTCCTCTCACGGTACCAGCTCCGTTAGGTGACGAATGCGACAGTGTACGCGGTTTCGGTGGGACAGGCGGACGCGCCGCTTGTACGCCAACCGATGACGAGGCGGAAGAACTGGTATCGCGGAAGGAAGACTGGAATGAATGAGAAAGAGCGCTGACTGGGACGAGGGCCTCTCTCTCCTTGCTCATCGGAAGAGCGGGGACGGGCGGAATACCCGAGCCGCTGACGCCACCGAAACTAGCGACGCCAGCGGAAGAACCGTTTCCCGCACTTTCACGAGCAGAAGGGTTAGGCGTCGAGCTTCTTGACAGTCCTCTTGCAGCAGCTCCAGAGGATGAACCGGGTGCGACGGATGCAGACCGTTGGTGAATTGGTGCAGGAGTCATCGATCGTCTGTCACGAGATGGGCTGGCCGTCGAGGTGGCAGCAGCAGCAGAGGCAGATGACGAAGAAAGCCCTGGGGTCGCGGTGGCTGACCGATGGATCATCGACGCGCTCCTCATATGTCCATGTGCATACTTTCCACTTGTTGATCCGGGAGCAGGAGTGGGGCTTGCAGGCGCAGCGCGTGATGGCGCTGTAGATTGCGGTCGAATTGGTGTACCTGCATTCGTCATTCCAAAGCGCGAGGGGGCCGTGGATTGTGGCCTTACGGGCGTCCTCGAAGAATGCGCCGCAGCACTCGCACTCGACATGCCGCCGCTTGTAGTCATCATAGCACTAGCGGTGCTGCCCGCCATACCAGCATTGAGCGTCATCTCGATCGGAGGGAACGTGGAGCCCATTGGCATCAAGTTGCTTGTTGAACTGCCAAGAGCCAAACCAGCGGTGGGTGTCGTTCGTCCACTCGAGCACGGACTATTCGCTCCGCTCGCGCGGTTACTTCGGGAGGAGCTTGTCGGAGGAACAGCTGTGCTGGCGGATGAGATTCCGAATGAAGGGAAGTACCCATCAGGAGAGGTTGGTGCGCTGAGACTTTGTCTTCTCGTTGGCGTTACGGCACCTTGTCCATGTCCCTGACTCACAAACTCGGCATACTCCTCTCCTCGGAATCGTGCTAACTCGGTCTTGAGGAGAGACACTTCATGCGAACGTGTCTGAAGAAGGTTCCTCGTTTTGCGAAGATCAGCGTCAAGCTTCTCGCGGACGAGCTCGCCATCGGCAATACGTGCACGAAGCTGGGCTTCAGCCCCCTTTGCGACACGTGATGCCTCTGAGTGTGCGAGGTGATTCATCAGAATAGCACGTAGAAGAAGATGCGAAAGGTGGATCGCGGCATGTTGCTGGTTATTCATGTAAGTATATGCGTGGAGGACATATGACCGAATGCTAAAACATACCTGCTTGTCACATGAACTGAAACCAGACGAACCGAGGACCTTGTCGACGGCTAGCCACTCGCCTAGCTCGCGTTGGAGCGCCTGCACTTCCTCCGCGCTGCAACGTTTGGTAGCCACCTTTGCGACCTTCTTCTCGAGCTCCCTCGCACGGTCCTTGTGCACGTTCGCATCGAATGAGGCAGGAAGTGCAGGGTGATCTTCGATAATAGTAGTGAAAATGCCGTTATGTTGAGAAGAAACATTAGAGCGTTCAGGGGAAGTAGCACGAGAGGGGTCACGCGAGGACCGGGCAGAGTGAATCGGCGAGCGACTTGTCCGAACGTCGTAGAGAACTGTCTCGTCATCCAGATGATTGGGGCTCGCTGCACCACCGTTAATGCACGTCTCTGATACCCCTAACCCATTTTCGCCCACACCATAGCCGGCCGTTGAGGTCGATGCAGCACCTCCGCCCGAAGAGCCAGAAAAGTCAATACGGATGACACGCACGCCGTCACGAGCGAAGGACTCGCGGCAGAACGGACAAGTAGGGGTAAGACGAGGAGATGTCTTTTCGATGATTGATTCTGCACAGACAGCACAGAGAACATGGCCACATGGGATGCAGCGGGGGAGGTTGAAAGGACCGTACTCCTCTGCGCAGACGTCGCAGGCGGAGTCCGCGTTGAGTGTTAACATCGTTGAAAGTTATGGTTTCCCTTGGTGTTGGTTGGAATAGAAGACAGGACGTCGAGTTTTATCGTTCGAGAGTTGCGCCTTGTTGACTCGAGTCAGAAAATTTTTGCCCGGGGGTTGGCTGCGGGTGGAGGCGACGCCGAGAGAGTGTGTAAGCCTGTATGCGTCTGTCCAGCGTGCGTCGAAAATGATGACGACGACGAGTGGGCGCTGAAAGGCCAGGAGAGCACGTCGGGGGCGACGGCGACGGCGAGGCGGAAGGGGGACAGTGGAGGGAGTTGAGAGAGCCAGGGCTTTCTTTTTGTAACCTCGGGGCTGCATGCCCTTGCCCACAAAAAATTAAAATTATATTCTATTGGCCGCAAATAGGAACAAATAACGGATCGTCTCCTGCCTTTTCTGGTCAGCGGAGGCTTATCCACGAGACCCACGGTGACTCACTCTCCCACGCATTCAGGCCCTGACTTGCCCTGCTGCAATGCTCGAATTGTTCAACCCGGCGCCCTCTGCACTTGGCCCCCTTTTACTCGCCTCTCTCTGCCTTGTTAGTCGTCTCCCTCTTCAGCCCTCGACGCCATTTTCATTCCGGTCTCCTACTTATGTATCGTGCAAAGCGCCGCTTGTCCCCTGTATGATTCCCAATTTGGTAACTCACACCGCCATCACGCAGCGAGATCGCGTTTCAGCATGTTGATCGGAATGACACAACACAACTCAAAATTTTTCAGCAGCTGCTTTCCATCGCATCGCATCGCATCAACTACGCTGCATACAACTCCGAACCTTCCTTTCCTTCTCTTCGAGAATCGCTTGCCTATGCACTCATTCATCACTTTCTCCATCGCTTCTATTGAAACCGACGTCTGTGCGAGATCTCGCTTCGGTTCTTTGACCTTTTTTTTTGAAGACAGGTACCGTTCATATATGCGATATGCGTTCGGCAGTTTAATCTGTTGTGCTATACAGCACCTGTCTGCCCCTCCTTCCACGCGTATACCCGAGCGCCAATCAATATATTTTTTCCTCCATTCCTCCCGCCTCGGCTGCCGCTCTCTAACTGCAGTTGCTTCACCCGCGCTACTCGGGTCGTCTCGTCCTATTCGTGTATCGTTCCATTCCTGTATTTTGTCGCCGTGGTCTTCCTCCTGGCCCTTGCTGCGCTCAGACTGACGACTCACTTTCTTGGTTGGCGTTCGTTGTTGAGTCATTTCGTTCGGGTTAATCGGTCGCTTTCAGATATTTCAGCCGCACTTCTGTATTGCTCGGCTATGAATCATCGTCCTCGGCGGCATACCGCCCATCCAATCTCAATTTCGCCGAACACTCTCGCCAGAGACGCTTCCTAATTTCTTCTCGCCTTGCCTGGAAGAATCCGGATATTTCTACTCTAGGAAGATCGCACTATTTGAGCTTTGTACAGCTTGGGACTACAGCTACCGCCTGACTGCACTTCGCCTAACTTTATGATCCACCTGCTTGCTCCCGTTATTCCGAGTTTGTGAATACAATACAGGCACCACTAATTGGAGTCTGCATGGCCTTAGAGTAAGTGGCGTAATCCATTTCTGTACCAGTTTGTTGACTCGAATTACGTGGCATTGACTTTACTACAGACCATATGTTGTATCACTTCACAATTTTGATCATTGTTGATATGAATTACTTATTGTGCAACAGATTAGAATCGTCATGCTTCATCAATCTATCATTACAAAGCCAGCCCTTGACAATAGGTGCACAGATGCCACTTACCACTCAGTACTAATTTTACCAAACTTGTTTGCTACACAACAAGCAAGTGACTGCAAGTTATGATTGAGTCAGCTTTTTGCACATGCAATGTTGTACTAATAAAGAAATAAACACTGTGTAAAGTGATGCTCTCTTCACCTTTATTGTTCGATTGCACTGTTAGGCGTTCACAGATGAGTAGCACAGCACAAGATACACCTAGCACTGACAAACCTCGAGTCTCTAAATCGACGCGAAGAGCTCAGGCAGCACAGAAACTTAACGAATGTGAGCTTTATTGACGTGTTTAAGCAAGAGGAGGTGATGTACTAATGCGCTTGTGTCTGCTTATAGTCCTACAGAAAAGAAATGCAGGCTACTGTGCAACTTACTCTGCTGACGAAGGGAATCGTGAATATATTCTCGGTTAGTTTGTAGTTTCTTATTTATCAGTGTTTGGTATTCTGTAATTGGCTGTTATAAGTAACCCTTGGTGGGAAGCGACGGGAGTTAGCCATAGACTGGTCTGTAGATGACATTATGAAGAGGTGGGACACATCCAATGTTCTTGGAAAGTACTTCGAGGGGCAGTAGTTAGCTAACAAGTACCTTGGCGCACATGCTCACTGCGCGTGCCCTTCATTTGTCCAAGGCCAGACTATGTTATATGATAGTATACCTTCCCTGATATCTTCAAAACGTAGTGAAAGAAGTACACATAGTTTATACCACAATCTTAGTAACTGCAAACTATGATTGAGTCAGCTCTTTGCACTTGCAAAATAGTGCTAATAAATGAATAGATTCCCTGTAATGCAACGGTTTCTTCACCTTTATTATTTGATCTCATTAATATATTGTTAGCTGTACTTCAATGAGTAGGGCAACACAAGATACACCTTCTTCGCAAGGAGATCCAGTGAAGACACTCAGAGTCTGTAAGTGTTTTAATTCGTTCGAGCAAGAGAAAATACAGTGCTAACACGCTTGTATCTTCTTAATAGTTCTTCAGGAAAGGAACGAGGATTACTGTGTAACTCGTGAACAAGACCCGATGGGAGGACCGATATATATTCGTGGTTGGTGTTTTTTACTCTCATATATCGCTGTTGGTATTCATAACAGACTACAATAAGTGACCCTTAATGGAAAGACGCGGGAGATAAATGCAAGAGATTGTCCTATAGATGGCGTTATAAAGAACTGGGACAAATCCAAGCTCTTTGGTAAATATTTCGAGGGGAAGTAGTTAGGTGATGATGATGTAGTAGTAGTAGTAGTAGTAGTGTTTGTAGAGCATTGAGTTTCAATGAATGAGTTGAACAACGACTCGGACTACACGAGGCACGCACGCTCACTGCGCGTGTCCTCCATCCGCCATCCTCGCCCCGTTCCTCCACCCACGCCTCTCTCGTCGAACACGGCCAATGCCAATGCAATCGCCAGCAAACACAGTCTAACCAGCTCTAGACCGACCTGTCTTCGTTTCCATATTCATACTTGTGTGCGTTGTTGGCAGCAGATACATATACAGCGGATAGCGGATAGCGGATGCTCATCGTCCAACCGACGTCCACCTGCGACGTCTGCCTCGACCGCTATGCATGGGACGCACCCGCTTCAGAGTCCCTTTCCAAACCCCACGTAATCACCTGCGGACATGTATTTTGTCATCAGTGAGTTTGTTCTGCGGTCCGCTTATTCGACAAATATGTAATGTTGAATTATCGCGCGCCAAATCGTAATATCATTACTCTAGATGTCTGCAGAATCTCCGCACACCGCGTACTTGCCCTCTCTGCAGGGCGAGCTTTCACCTTACCAGAGCGGTGAAGATCCATGTTGATCTTGCGAGTGACGATGCTGGGCGACATCTCACAGCGGAGGAGGCCGAAGCACGGCGGTTCGAGTTGCGTATTGCAGAAATCTCGTTGCTCGAATCTTCGTCGCAGGTGCCATCGGTGACGACGACATCAGAAGATGGGCCTACGGAGGATGGCGGGGAAAGAACAACAACGAACGAGGACTTGGAAAGCCAACGGGCTCTTATAGTCGAAGAGGCGCTCGCCTTCCTCGACAACACCCCGCCGGAATCGGTAAGCTACAATAGTGCTTCTTCGTACTTCTCATTATCTCTGATCATCTTCTCTCATTTTTGTTCGCATCTCCGCTCACTTGCGCTACATATCTCTGCATATCTTCCCCCTCGCCGTTGTTCGGTTAACATACATGCAAACAGCATCCCATCCTGCGCAACCTCCTTGCGTCCATCAACACCCAACGAACGCTTTCGGAGAGCCTGCATACTGCGGAAGTAGAGACTTTACGCATGCGTGGTGAGCGTGACCATGCCCGTCGATACTTACGCAGGGCCGAGCGTGCGAGGGAGCAGGAAGTGGCCCTTGCTAAGAGCGCGGAGAAGAACTGGATGATGCGGGTCGCAGAAGTCGAGCGGGATTGTGAGGTGTAAGTATTTCTAACTCATTCCGATTCATTCGGGCCTTCCACTAATACACATGCTGGGCACGTTTATCTGGACTTGTGATTTGTAGCAAGGTACGTATTTCCACAAGGTACACATTATGAAAAATGTTGAACTGAGGGCAATCATGACTTTAGCTCACGGAAGCAGCAGCAGAGCGTCAACGTCTTCAGGATGAACTTGCACACTATAAGCTATCTCTTAAAGATGCCCAGGCAACACAATCGGACATCCTCGTCCAAGCGCACATGCAAATCCGTGACCAATCTCAAAACGCTGTTGCTGCCCCTCCGTATTCTCCTCCATCCCGAACAGTACCAGTAGCCCAAGCCCAGGATCAACCTGCCTCGTCTGCGGTGGCAGCGTCAACATCATCGGTCACTCAACAGTCGCAATCGCAATCGCAGTCACAACCCCAGGCGTATCAGCAAACCCAACCTCAAGCAGGGCCTTCTACTGCGGCATCCTCCTCTGAAGTCGCTTTCGCACGTACCTCCTCCCCCTCGCCATCCACGTACGAATATGAATATGAATACACGTACAACCCACTTCCCCGCCCTCCAGAGCCTGTTCCTCTTTCTCGACTTCCCGCGTTTGCGCGACCACGGCCGGGGAGTAGCGCCTATACGGCTGCGAGGGCTTTGGCGAGGCATGCTCATCGACATGAAAAAAGGGCAGAAGAGAGTGACCGGGACAAAGGTAGGGATAGAGAAAAGGAGAGGGAAGCAAGAAGGGAGAGGCGAAGAGAGAAAGAACGAGAACGCGGGAGGGAGACAGAAGATGAGAGGGAACGGAAGGAGAGAAAAGAGAGGAGGAAGGAGCGCGAGAGAGCGCGAGAAAGGGAGAGAGAAAGAGGGATGAAGGGCGTAGGCTCGGATTCTGGGAAAGAGCATCGCCGTACGCGAGAAGGGAAGGAGAAAGATCGCGGTACGGATACCTCTGCGACAGAGACACAAGAGCGTCTTAAGGCTGCGCGAAAGCACCATACCTCCCGTCAGGGCACCTCAGAGCAGCCAAGCGGGTCGGCGCTCACGAATGGTGCTGCCTACATGAACGAGATTGAAGCTCCTGTTCCGGATCAACCCAACGGAAAAGCGAATACAGAGATAAATGGTGTAGCACCAATGCCTGCTGCAGTCCCGCGTGATGTTGTAGGCGGATGGGGCCTCGAGCGTTCATGGCGCGCTTCCCTAGCTTCTAATTCGTCAGATGCATCCGGGCCCGCCGAAGACTTGTATGCCCCGCATAGAGACGCGGCCGGTGTAGTTGGAGCCGTAGCTGTTGGATCGAGCCATACAAAGATGAGGGTTCGGGAGGAAAAGGACAAGGAGAAAGAGAAGAAAACGGACAAAGTTAAGGGCAAAGGGAAAGAGAAGGAGGTAGACGTGCTAGAGCCTGCAACCGACGACATCAAGGACGACTTTGTCTTTGTGGCATCTGCTAACGAGGAACGGGAGAAAGAACGCGATCGGCACATCCCCTTCGCATCTTATCCGTCATCTTCGAACAACATCCTTCCACAGCCTCCCCAGTCGCAAACTCCTGCGCAAGCTCAATGGCAAGGCAGAGAAAGAGAAAGACGAACGACATTAAGCGCGGTACCCTCTGCTCTTGGGCTCGTCCTTGTCCCAAGTCCTGACGGTCGAGGCGGGTACGAATACCAATACCAATATCAATACCGATTCCCACCACAATCGACTATCCAGCCCGGAAGTGCCGCGAGTGGTACAACATTAGGCGGCAAGGAATCAATTACACCACTAGCTAGCCTTCTCAACAGCAATAATCAGCATAACGGGTATTTTTTTGGAGCAGCGCCGGAGATGCATAGTCGTGCTTCGACGGCGAGTAACGCAACGCTTACGCGACGGGCGACGGATTCTCAACTTCAGGCCCAAGCACAAGCACATGCCTATGGTGTATATCCTACACTTAGACATCCGCGTGCACCGTCAACTGCGCCTTTACATGTCCCGCAACCGCGACGCGTGTCTTTGACAATCCCAGAGCCTCCAGAATCAGAGCCGGAGTCTATTCGCTCGCAGACTCGAACCCAACCACAGGCTCAGGCTCAGACGCAGACCCAACAGCCCTTTCGTGGTGGTAATGAGTCGTACGTGAGTTCAGGATACCCAAACGTAGAATCATGGAGGGATGCATTTAGTCAACAGCAGCAGCAACAACGCGCGACCGCAGTCGATAGTACCAATGGAAATGGAGGCTCAGGAGGGTTTTACGCCAACTCCAACCCAAGTGCAAACATGAGCCTCGACAGTGCGCTTGCCTCTAAGTCTCTCGCAGCCGCTGCTTCTACCTCGTCGTCAAACATTGCCACTGGTACTGATTCAAATGCAGAAGAAAGCGGAGGACCACAACATACTCTGCGCCACCGAACGAGCGACTCAAGCACGGCCTCCGCATCTACGGGCATCAGTTTAACAGGTACGACGAGCGGCGAACGTCGCAAACAGCTACTCGACGCGTTGTTCATGGGTTCGTCGACTAGTACGGACACAGGTGCTTCGACTTCGAACAGGTCGAGTTACGCGTCAAATGGGTCGTTCGACGAGGTTGTTGCGAATACGAATGCAAATAGGGTGTCCCTTGGAAGGACGTTAGACGCTAATACCGCTGGTCCTTCGATCGCAGGAGTCGCAAAAACGGATCCTTCCGCATCTACACAAGGCCAAAACCTCGTCGTAGCCCCCGTCGCACAAAAGCCAGTCGTACCTCCCGCTCCTCGCGGTGTCCCGAGTCGGGACGGTAGGCCTTCACGTGGACTCGATATGAGCACGCGACCGAGTACGACTCAGCCTATCCAAACCATTCAGAATACCCAAGCACAAGTCCCTGGGTCAACTGCGTATCCTGCTACTGCTCTCCCAGTGCCGTCCACCTCTCACGTCCGACAGGCTACTTACCCGCCTGGTACGTATGCTTCTTCCACGATGGCGTACGCGACGTTGCCACACGCGCAGACTCAAGGAGGTCAAGCGACGTACGGGACTACCGCTGCGTATCCGTATACTTATCCCGCTTCTGCATACTACCAGTCTCAACCACAAGCACATGGTGCAAGTACTGCTGCTGCTGCTACTGCTACTGCTACTGCTGCCGCACAAGCAAGCCGCTTTGCTAATTACTCGGTAGCTCCGGCGGCTGTTGCCAGTGCACAGGATCACCGTTAGCTGTTGAAAGTCATTTGTCAATTGATGTTTACAACAAACGACGATTCCGGTGATAGTCGAGGAATTTAGTGTACTCCCTGTCTCTACTTGCGAAAACCCTTTCTTTTTCCTCAACGTTCTTTCCTGACCTGATAACGTTTTGACAACGTGACTTTACGACTTTAGCTTGTACTCACTGCTTTCTTCGCTTTGCCTTCGTATATCCTATCTGTATCGTTTTTATTTCTTACTTACGATTTAACGACTTCGGTTTTTTGTTTTGTTTTCCTGCTTACTTACGCTTATGACGTTACCCCCCGGCTTTACTTTCTTGGTTTTTTATTGTTCTTGATGGAATATGTTCTTGTAATATTTTCTTCTTGACTGTTTGGTTTTCGCGTTTGTCTAGGTAAATCTCCCTCCCTCTTTCCACTTTCCTTTCGCTAAAGGAACGACACTCTGTCATTCTTGGTATTAGATACTAAGATAGAGTCGTGTATCGTTGTAGCTCTGGATTGTGAATATAAATGGAACAACTCGGACTTCTTGCCTGTCACTGTGAATTTTCCCGTGCGAGACTGAGGGACAGGATTGTCGAACAGGATATTAGAGGAAATGTGTATTGCACGCAGATATCCAGCGCACTATACACGAAGGTGTCGGCAGTATCAGATATTATCCAATCCGCCGTCTTCCAACATTTTTACATGTGTGCAGCGAGTACGAGAGAGTGAACGAGCGAAACAAAACCTCATCATGTCTCCTCCCTCCCTCCCGAAGCGCCATAATTAACCCACGTCATCACTAAAGATATCGAAAAAAGTAAGAATGCATAGATGGACAGTCCCTACTTCGAGAAGGACTTGATAATGCGTGCAGAAATGTGCAAGAAGACGACGGAGCCGATGAACACGACGGAGAGGATGAGGACAACGAACGGGTCTCTGTAACGACAATATTCAATTAATATTGGTTTCTTGACGGATTTACGCAGAATAAAGAAGACTGTGGGACGTACACTCGAAGGCCTGGAGAGTCATCCGTGTAAAGTCGAAGCATGGTGTTAGACGAGCCGCCTGCACCTGCTGCGCGTGTCGAGTTAGGCTTGGAGACTTGCGAGCCTGCTGCACGTCGCCTGCGAGCGTGAACATGTCCATATTAACATAGGCACATTGTAGGTGACGATAGTATATTACAAGTCCGGACACCCAATGAAATGCAAGTCAAAATCAGCGAAACGAGAAAACAGTCAGCGTCAAACATGAGAGGAATGAGGACGAAGTAGCACTAACCGAACTTGCGCGCCAGGCGGGGCTGCGACAGCATTTGAACGAGCACTGGGAGACGAGGGACGCGACGAGTCGGACTGTTCATACCAGAGTGTTGTTTCAGAACATAAATTCAGAATAAATGAGTGTAACTACTTACCATAGTGAATGAGGAGGAAGGAGGAAGGAACTTGTACGTGGTCGTGTAGCAATTACGCGTGAGGTGGCAGCGAAATTGCAGCGGTGGGAGTCGATCCCCACATTCGGCGATTCAAATTACGTCAGCGTGCTGCGTACATTGACATAACGACACAGCGACTGCATCCTCATTCTGCAAGCCGCCATGTCTCTTGTACGTCCCTACGTCCCTAGTCCCTTTCACACTCAGCAACAAATAATAACTAATATCTACCTGCCAGATCCACGCACTCGTAGCCCGCGGCCCCGAAGTCCTCGCCGAGCACCACGCCGGCATACGCGACTTCTCCCAAGCAACCCAAACAATCCTCTCCAAGATCCCCCAAGGACCCGGTAAACTCACCTACGCATGGGAACAATACCTCTTTCACTACGTCTCCGATGGTACACTCATCTTCCTCGTCATGGCAGATGACGCAGCAGGCCGCCGCATGCCTTTCGCCTTCCTCTACGAGCTCGAACGTCAGTTCGCCGAGTCCCCCACAGCGTCCACACAGGATTTGTCCTCCGTCCCCTCTCACGGCCTCCAACAGTCTTTCGGCCCGAGACTCGCAGCACTCGTAGACGAGTTCAACACCGCCCCTCCAACAGACGAGATCACCCGTGCAAAAGGTGAACTCGCACAAGTGAAAGACATCATGGTCCAAAACGTCGAGCAGATCCTAAGCCGTGGAGAACGAATCGAGCTTCTAGTAGACAAGACGGACAACATGGCGAGCCAGGCAACGGCATTCCGTCGAGGTGCACGGACAGTCAGACGTCAGCAATTCTGGCGGAACCAGAAGATCATGATCCTCAGCGTGGCGGTCGCTCTCGTGCGTCAATTCTCACCTTGCGCCTTCCATGCAACCTATTCATTTGGCTAATATCGAAATATTGAAATCGTTGTGTTTTTAGGTTATTATATGGGTGATTGCCGCCCAGTTCTGCGGGGCAGGACTGAACCAATGCGGAGCCAAGAACAACGACTCGTAACTTCTCCATTTTCTTTATTGACATTAATGCTATGTCATATGTCATACACTCTCTCATTCACGTCGTTCCAAAGACGCGTCACCTACGATACGCATGTACTATATCTTCTCCCGGACCTCTTTTTTTAACCAATTGCAGCAATTAATCAAGTTCTCCGAAGGTTTTTGTGACTTCGCAAAGCTATGATACAGGAATCTTCTAGCGACGAGTCATAGCAATGAAGAAGAATCTTACCTCCGATGGCACAAGGTTACTGTGTACACTGACGGCAAGCTCAACTGGATGTTTATTGATATAAGTTTCAATTCAATTAGCTCTCCTAGTAGATTTGCTCTTGGGTAAAGGACCTGCCATAGAATCAGTGTAAAAATTAGCGACTTGGAATATAGAATATATGAACAAATATCGTTTCCATTCATTCTACATCAATACCACAGTAATTGATAATTGTGACAAAAGACAAGCTAGGACTAGTATTCATAAACTGTGTAACATACATTTACAACAAAGACGAGGGTAGACGACAAGCTATACTTGTGAACATAGGACGGTCATGATGCGCAAGGAAACGGTATACAGCGCGTCAAGCCATAAACATAAAAGATAACAACAGTCGTGACGTTTAAACAATTGAGAAAGCTTTTGAGCGCCACTCATGCCCATCCTTCGCAGCATCAGCACGCTCCTGTTGACGATTAACCCATCCCGCAGGATGTCCTTGGTCATGGATAAGCACTGAATCGCGCTTCGCGACAACCTTAAATTGACTGTGGCGTGCTGACTTTGAAGATTCGGCCTTGCTCGCACCCTCGTCCTTTTTACGATGGAACAGCTTCGGCGAGCGTCAGTAGATGATTGGACTCGGAATGAACAATACGTACATCTTGTAGGACCTTCGTCCGGCTGCCTTCGTCGCTCGCTTTCGCTTCGTTCATACGGTCGCGAACACCAACAAGTTGTCCGTCAACGTATTCAAGACCAGTCGTCAACGCGCCACTAAGCGCCTTCTGAATTTGTTTCTTTACCAGGCCCGTAGCAAGAGGGCGGAGCGTGTTGTAGAGCGTGTCATGTTTCGAATCACGAATAGAGAACTTGAGCGAGTCGACTTTCACGTTTACATTCTTAACCTTGTACACGCTTGACGGGTCCTTTTGCGCTGAGACAAGATGGACGGTCGCCTACAAAGTCGTCAAGTTGGATGAGTAATTGATATGAGAAGTAACTGGGCGACGTACACTTAGACCTTCTCCACCAAGAATGACGTCCGCAAGACCGGAGTCCTTGATCTTTGGAATTCCAGTCTTCTTGTTGAAGTAAAAGGCAACGTCACGCATGTCTGCCTGAATGTGCCCGAGGTGGAGTGTGATCTCATGGTGGTGCTCATCCGAAATCGCGTCGTATGGCGAAAACTTGACAAAGTTGTGCGCTTCAAGTGTGACAATGCTGTGCGAAGGGTTAGAGGAATATCAAGATTGAACCTGCGGTTACGCACTTCGGGAACAAATTACGCCCAGAAAGAGTGAGGTTCTCGAGTACAAGATCGAGTGAGTCGTCGGTGTATTCGACACGTGGAATAGGGATATATCCGACTTTGTCAATGACTGCGGGAAGTATAACTTTACGAATATCATGCCACAGCTCTGGTTTGAATTTGAGCGAGCCTTCCGAGTCGAAGAGTAGATCCTTCGTGAGACGTGCCCAATCCTGGCCGAAGCGTGCATTGAGAGGATCGTCGCCCATTGCGGAGAAGAATGATCCGATGGCATCAAAGACGGCATCAAAGTGACTCTTGTATTTACCATCGTAGAATTGGCGGCCCGTATCCTGCAACTTGCGCGCTATATCATTGCATTGCGGTTGCAAGACGAATCCAGGTTCAAGAAGGCACTACGGAGACAATGCTCAGATGTGAGAATAAACAATGAGAAGGGAAAACTTACTCGACGAGCATATGAATCAACCTCTTTAAACCAGTTTCGAAGTGCTTCATCAGAATGAGCATCGTCATAAAGAACTTGAATACGGTCGGTGATCTCAGAGAAGCTCCGTCCATTGGCGAAACGTTCAAGAAGCATGCGAATCTCGGCGAGAGCCTGCTGGAGTGAAGGATCGTTGCGAAGTGCGTCATGCGAGTCGGCACCCTTTGACGATGCAGTATGGGCATGACCAGCGTATTCTTCAAGAAAACCAAGCAGCCACCTGACTGCTTGCTGGTAGTCATCATGTCGTTGGCACTCTACAATGACCTACAATAAAATATTAGCACTAGTTCTAAGTAGATAGACAATAGTAAATACCTTCTTTCCGCGGAAAATGAACTGGTCACGACGTTCCTCGGGGAAATACTCCTCGGATAGGAACGTCTTGACGCGATCGTGATGCTCAGATGCTTTGTCCTTGTGTTCCTGTGGCACACGATTCATAATTTGGTCTCTGTAGCCAACGAATTTGTCTTTAAGACCTGACTTCTGCAGAACTTCTTTCTTCTCATTCGGGTCTTCACGTGCATCCACCTCAGCGTTAGTTTCTTCAGTCTGAACTCGAATGTCGTCCTTCTCGCGCTGAGCTTGCTCTTTGCCTGCTTGCTTTGTACTATCAACGAAGCCTCGCGCATCCTGCTTCGCTTGTTCGCCAGTTCGGAAGTCACGATCATCAGGACCTGGTCCACGGATCTTTGCACCAGTGCCCAATGGTTCATGAGGGTGTTGTTGAATAGTGCGTCCTGCCACGTTTGCTTCAAGTACGGGAGTGTCGCCGTTTTGCGCCGTTGTCGTCTGCCCACCAGCTGTGTGGAACTGGTCAGCAGGAGCGGGATCATCGACGCGTGCGAGGCGTTCCTGATCCGGACGAGACAACTCTGCGGCCTTTACGGCACCTCTGGCAAACAAATCGCGTCCGATTAGGGCAAAATCACCAAGGAGCTTTCTTGTTTCAGCATTTGTAAGGACGAGAGTGAGTAATGTTCTCAGATGTGTGACAGCTTGTTGTCCATCCGATGTCGCCTTGTTTTTGTCGACGGGAGCGAGGCTGTTCGGGTCTTGCTTCGCGCGACTAGCATCCACTGCTCGTGTGTGCCAAAGGAAGTTCTGGAATAGCTCGTCCGCATTCTTCTCAGCGACTATAGCACGAGCTGTATCGACGATATCACGGACATCCTGCACGAGACGTTGCCCTTCTGGTGAGAGCTCGCCGACATCCATGGGTGCATTGTCTTTGACATAACGAAGAGTTTCGTCAATCTGCTGATTGTCGGGTAGTCTGCCTTCGCGGAATGCCTCAATTACACCATAGAAGCGCAACTATAATCGACAATTTAGAAGTGATGAGTTGTGCCACCCGAAACAAGTATTTAAAAAATAAATATTTGCCTTGCGGTCGACATCCGCGTCCTTCTGTTGCTTGTTTACGGGGTCAGTGACTGCACCCGCCTGAGGGTTTTCAGAAATGTCGCGAGGGGCTGTGGGGAGGGACATGGTGGGATGAGGAGAGGAAAGAACTTGGTGCTGGGGTATTCAGCGGCAGGAATGCTAACTACTAGTAGTACTGGAGCGAGACAAGTGCAGTCGGAAATCGTATAAGAGGAAGCGGACGAGGCTGGGCGACGTCACTGGCGCGTCATTGCAATAGACTCGAGAGACATGACGTTGGCCAGGTGGGCCGTTGGTGGAATGCGGATCTCCTGTCATGGCCATCTGCTAAGTAGAGGAGTTATGCGGAGCAAGCCAGAATAAAGTCTCGGTCGCAGTTGCGAAGAAGGGTATGATATATTTGGCTGCAACTTTATTTTCTGACGTCATCTCACGGTCAACAACCGCGACTTCACCTCTGTGTCTATGTAATCTCATTGACAGTCTTCTGAGAGCTGCTCGCATTTACAGTGCATAGCATATCTAATAATAAGTCTCGCACGTCTTTTTCATAAAGCAAGGGAAACCCTATTTCTTGGGTGCTCAAAGCGTTGGGGAAAAAGACCCAGCCACTTTCAGTACAGCACGTTTCTGCTTTGGACCTGATTTTTCACCAAATTTTTGGGAAAACTTTAGATACCTACGTGTGCATTTTGTGTACATGTGATGTAGTTGAAGTAATATTCATTCCATAGTTTCCAGTATCTTCGTACATATAATGCAATAAATTTCACTCAAATATTATAATTCCATTGAAAAATTATCATTTCTTATAATGTTTAACAATGTCAACTTGAACTAGTTGACTGAATTGTAGAGTTTGGCATCGAAGATTCCTCAAAAGTTCTCTCAACTTTACGGTCCAAAATTCTGAAACTGAGAATCATACAATGCACTACAACGCCTATACGCGCGAGGAATTTCACTAAGTCCAACCAGTCGCATGGAACAAGACATTATATACACCTTAGCCCCCAAATTGTGTTTAGTCTCATTAGATACGCAATCTGCGGTAATTATTCGTATACTGCACTCAATCAATGATCACATCACCATTCGCAGCATTTTCCCTTGTCATATGCATCTTGCTAGGCATACGGCAGTACTCTAGCTCTTACCCAATGGGAGAAGGAGTAACATCAAATAGTAAGTACATTCATCAACTGGTAAGAATCAAGAGTACAGCAAGTATTTCTTCTCGCCTTCACGCGATAAATTGCATATGGAAAATAACTGAGAACATCAACGAAAGATTGAAATCAATCGATTTACGTCTGCCTTCTCCTGAAAAGAACATGTGCCTTCGGATTAGGCGATAGTGATCCATCGAACTCGAGGTCCTTCGGCCGATCCTGTCCGTCGGGTAGCTTCATATCATAGTTCAACACGAGATACGCCATCATCGCTTTAAGTTCATTTGCAGCGAAGAACCGACCAGGGCTGTTACAAAGAGAGAGGAGAAATTAGTTCTATATCCAGCTCCTACTAAGAGCCGCGAACTCACCAAGCATGTCGTCCGTGTCCGAAAGGTAGGAACTCATTGCTCGTGGACACGAGCTGGTGATGCGTCGCCTCCTCTGCGCTTTCTTCTCGATGGTCCGAGAACCTGAAGGGGCGGAATTCACTAGCATCCGCATATACACCATCATTGCGGTGCACTGAATATGCGTTGCAAGTTACAAATGATCCTTTGGGAAGGAATGTGCCGTCAGAGAGCTTGTAATCAGCCAGGGCTTTTCGTGTCATAGATACTACATTACCATGAAACATGTCAGTGACAAACGAAACAATATTACAGAGATAAGGGTGACGAACTATTTCCTAGTCCACTAAACCGCTGACTTTCTTTCAAAAAGCTATCAATCTTCCGCATTTTTTGCATAGAAAGCTTCGTCCATCCGTCCGACTCGATCACGCGCTCTGCCTCCTCGCGCATTGGTGCAATGTACTCTGGGTGCGCTGCAAGGTGCAACAATCCATGTGTAAAACTCTATAACGCAAATGAGTAACGATGATGAGAAATGTCCATCCAGGAATCTTACATGTGATGAAGTATGGATCGCCGCAAAGTTTAGGCTGAGAATACGCTGAGTTAATCCTTGAACTGATTTTTGTTCGTCATTCGGAGCTTCGTCGATGATCCAAGTCAACATGTCATTCTGTATACGAGTGCGCCTTGTGAGCAAAAATATCGAGGCAAATCGGTATCAAGATGCACTTGCCGGTTTTCCTGGCCACTCATTACCGTGTTCCTCCATCTGTTTCAAACGATATTCAATGATCGGTGCGAGGTGCTTGATACCGCGACGGGTGCTCGCTGGCACAGAGGTGAGGAGCTCGCCGACAATACTGAGAATGAAATTCTCATTTCTACTTATCACTTCTGGGAATATAGGTTAATCACGTACCCTTTCATGAATACAGGGAACATTCGAATGATTTGCGCGGCTTTGATTACGTCAATAGTGAATCGCACGTTAAGCTCAAGGTAATCCTTGTTCCTGCCTAAATTGAAAGTGGTGTCAGGCGGATTGTGAAACAATGTAATGGCATGCAGCTTACAAAGAGGAAGACCGACAAAGACTCGGTTGCTTGCTCTACCAACGACCTGCATCACGGTGCTGAGAGCAGGACGTGAAACCCATTCTAAAATATTGATCAGTGTTTAATTCAGTCCCACCATAGTAGGAGGAAACGCACCAGACCCCTTCGCATTTATGCCTTCTTCGAAGCCCAACTCGATCTCCTCCTTAATGCCTTCAAACAACCCAGAAATGCTACGCGTCAGCTGAGTACGAACTATCGGAACATGGTACAAATCTGCATCCACGAGGCGGCCCATGGTGAATTCTGACGAAATAGACTTTGGAGCGTCTGTCAATACGAATATTGGACACTGCAAACAATAAAATCGCTCACATCTCTCGTTGCTTCCATGAACGACAACTTGTTGTCAGGCGCTCTGCGCACCTCGTCGATAAGTTCCGGGGTGTTGACAACGACCAGCCAGTGCCTCATCTGGGGGACCTTGAATGTACGAGACTTGAACTAATTCCCGATCGAATCAACATCAGTCTCCCCGTGCTCAAGTCCCAACTCACTTTGTCGTATCCTTCTTGCAGCATAGCTCTCGAGCTTGTTATAAATTTCAGTGCTCCATAGTACGATGTCAACCATCCGGCGGGACCGACAGCCGGAACCGCAATCTTTGAGGAAGAGCGGGTCAAGAAGTACTTTTTACATATAACAATCGAAGCTACACACATCGCGTTTGCGGGCCTGAACAAACTGCAGAGCGGAGAAGCCTAGAACAAGAGCACAGCCCGCTAGATATCCTACATTATGTTGTAGATCAATCGAGCCAAGTTCCGGCGGGTTTGGTATTCCCGACGTTGAAGAGTTGAAGATAGACATGATTTCCTTGATGACGAGATACGAGAACGACTTGTTCGGCCAGGATCTGTTCTCCTGGTTTTATTCAAGTTGCCACGGAGCCGTTTTCGCCGAACGACTCAGCAGAATAGCGTGAAGCACCAGCCTAAGTGAGTATGTCGTGCACTTCTGAAGGTCGGGAATAGCAACAATAGAACCACTTTCTCCACGGGTTTAGGCAAGGTGATTCCGCCAGAGCGCATGTTCGCGCGGTACTTACCCACGCCCTTCTGGAGCTATCCGAGCGGGTCTCGGAGGTCTATAAACCTTATACGCCTGTCATGCATGAGAAAAGAAGACATGCGAGCTTAGCGAGCCGGAAACATATGTGCTTACACCGCGTGACGAGCGCACCTCAAATGTACATGACTTAATTGCGAGTTCGAAAGTTTTTATCGGTAGCTCAAGTGCCCTTTAACCCTCAGCATAAAATAATCACAGAGTTCGTAAGATTATTAGAGGGTTCCGATTTGAGACTGCTCCTCGTGCCTTGTCCGAGTCAGGTTCAGAAAAGCCTCAAGTGATCAGTAAATTGAGCAGTTATAACAACCAGGACAGCAGGAGAACGATGCTTACGGCTAGGTGTTCAAAAGATTCCACGCATGCGATGCAATACACAATTGCGGTGGATTCACCAATTCATAACAGGATCCATATTCCAAGGACATAAATCAACGCTCATAAAAGACACCAAGCAGTAGGATAATTTAGTATGGATGCGCAAATGCAGTTGAGTAAGAAAAGTTCCTTAGTGAATGCTGATAGTGGCAACATGGAAGGTAGGCGATGCCTAGAGGCAGTAAAGACAGTCAACTTTCCAGATGAATAGCGAGGTCTGCCCTTTTAGTAAGACAAACACAGTAGGAAGCCATAGACAAGAGATAAGCCAAATCCCAGGAGTGACGATCGAAGTGTCTGAGGAGCACTGAGCTGCATCGATTATATTCACCATCCAGATGTGAGTTAATCAGATATGAGTCCAGGACGGTAGATGCACGTTCGCAGGGAGACGATGTTGTTGCGGACGCGGTGCGGAGAAGGGAAGGTCTGGGAAGAACCGTGGCAACGCGGAAATATAGTACTGATCGGGTCGAGCAGGAGCAAGTTACTCTTCTTTTTTTTTGCGAAATGTTGTACTCTCGATGATCATACTGCTAAGCAACGGGTAAATCATGAAGAATGCAAGCGCAGATTTTCGAGGGCTAGTGGATCTGACATGATTAAAGCAACAAAATGTTGTGAAAAGGCGCGAAAGGAAGTCAAGAAACAATCCAGAGTATGTGAGAAATTTACACTTGTTATGGAGATAACCGGATCACGCCGACCATCGCGCATTTAACTCTCGACGTCAGCGCATACATCCACCCCAACCTTTCCTCCGTTCGTCCACCATCCACAATGTCTCTCTCGAACAAACTCTCAATCACTGACCTCGATCTCTCGGGAAAGAGGGTCCTCATTCGTGTTGACTTCAATGTCCCCATGCAGGACGGCAAAATCACAAACCCCGCAGTTCGTCCTCTCGCTTGTCATGTGTTCATCGTCTAGATCTAACGAGATTGAATACAGCGTATCGTCGCAGCCCTCCCGACGATAGAACACGCAATAAATAATGGTGGGAAAGCTCAGCTCCGTTGGATATTGTCGACATAAGGTCTAACGCGTGCCTGTAGGAGCTCGCGCAGTTATCTTGATGTCGCACCTCGGACGCCCAGACGGCCAAGTCAATCCGAAATACTCTCTGGAACCTGTGGCGAAGGAACTAGAACAACGCCTCGGAAAACCTGTTATCTTTACCAAAGACTGTGTCGGTCCAGAGGTGGAACAGACTGTTGCGTCCGCACCTGAGGGCTCTGTTATTCTCCTCGAGAACCTACGCTTCCACATCGAGGAAGAAGGCTCGGCTAAACAGAAGGACGGGACAAAGAAGAAGGCAGACAAGCAAGCTGTTGAAGAATTCTGTGCGGGCTTGACGAAGCTTGGTGATGTCTACGTCAACGACGCGTTTGGCACTGCGCACCGTGCACACGCTAGTATGGTTGGCGTCAAGCTCGATCAGCGTGCTGCTGGATTCCTCATGAAGAAAGAACTTGATTACTTCGCAAAAGCTCTCGAACACCCTGAGAGGCCATTCCTTGCAATTCTTGGTGGTGCGAAGGTATCCGATAAGATTCAGCTGATTGATAACCTGCTCGACAAGGTCAACAAACTCATCATTTGTGGCGGAATGGCATTCACTTTCAAGAAGACTCTCAATGGTGTAAATGTGCGTCTTTCCAGTTACGCTGATCACGCGCTTGAGTTTATATTTTACGGCCGTGCTGCAGATCGGAAAATCTTTATTTGATGAGGCCGGTTCACAGAAAGTTGCCGAACTCGTTGAGAAGGCGAAGAAGAACGAAGTCGAGCTTGTCTTCCCCGTCGACTACATCACGGCGGATGACTTCAACAAGGACGCAAATACAGGCACCGCGACAGACGAAAGTGGCATTCCGGACGACTGGATGGGTCTCGATTGCGGTGAGAAGAGCCGAGAACTTTTCGAACTGACCGTTCTAAGCGCGAAGACCATCCTCTGGAACGGCCCTCCCGGCGTGTTTGAGTTCGAGAAGTTTTCTGGGGGCTCAAAAGCGCTGCTTGCTGCAAATATCAAAGCTGCGCAGAGTGGAAATGTTGTTATAGTCGGCGGTGGGGACACTGCAACACTCGTTGCACAACAGGGTGAGGAAGACAAGCTGAGCCATGTTAGCACTGGTGGTGGGGCATCTCTTGAACTACTCGAGGGCAAGGTACATCCATATCAAGTATTCACATTAGGTCCAGGCTAACACTTTTCATGTTTGCACAGACACTTCCCGGTGTTGCCGCTCTCAGTAACAAGGAGTAAATTTGTACGCCCGCGACGGTGGTGAACCCCTTTTTTACTCTGTAAACTCTCATGGAGAAAGCTGGTAGTAAACATTATAGGCACATAAAAATTGCTGTACAGTAGCACAACTTAGAATCCGTCTGGCAAATTTGGTGAAGACGTCTGTATGCTTATTATGTACGCCATGAAACTTCGTCATTGCCAATTCGGGTAGCTCCATGATAACTACAGTGTTGCGTATCCTGAAAATTTAAGAGCCCACTTCACGACCTTATTATTAATACTTCATTGCGCCTATTTCACACCGCCGGTATGTACTTATGTAGCATCATTCAGACAGCCCGGATAATGCTGAATTGAATCGACAGACGACTGCAATGACGTAAAGCATACGACTCTATTGATTTGATAGAAACCCTGCCACGGTTCAGGTCATATCCTGACTGCACCTTGCACGATGACTGGCTGCCCAGTACACAAGTGCATCCGAGAAAACCGCGAACATCTCTCGTTGACGATTTGTACCTAGCGAGTAAAAGTCCTGATCAGTATTTTCTATTTGCAGTCGATGCACTAGTGAAGAATATCGGCTTTACCAGTTACTTCTCTCGCTTTTCCGCGCGACTATAATGGCCACATTGGAGAGAAGCTACCGCCAGTCTATCCTGATCTCGTGAAATCGATTCAATCCACATGTAGAACATGCGACAAGACAACTTACTGCCACGTCTCTTTCAAAGAATCCGATCGCCCAATTTAAGAATGTATTGTGGCTTGTTTCTATTCTTCTTCGCGCGTAAATGAAATTGTTCTTCATTGCCTAGGTCCCCGGGGATTTTTTTACCGAGAACGTGCCGACCGACTCTCCGGATACTACTCTTTGTCGATACGGAAGTATTCATGAACCAATGTACTGTCGTCAGGTGTCTCGTACACTGACGAGACCGCGCGGGCCGCACACCATATGACCAACACCTCAAGGATCTTCAAGTGGCCGCGTTTTTTCGCTCCGAAAATATGCCTTCCTTCGCGTATTTAAGGCGCACAACTGGACGTGCTAGCCCTGTGGACTTCTCCGTACCCCGGTTTGAAAATGTTTGTCAAGACTCTTGCTACCGTCCTCCTGTCTGCTGTTGGTGCATTCGCTGCACAGGGTCAGCTTGTGCAAGTAACGAACTTCGGCCAAAACCCTACAAATGTATGTATAACTCCCTCCATGTAGTCTACGAATTTCGATCTTATGCTCTAATACGAACAGGTCGGGATGTTCGTTTACAAGCCGGCGAAGCTCGCCTCGCCGCCACCACTTATCGTTGCTATGCACTATTGCACTGGAACTGCGCAGGCATACTTCCAAGGGACGCAATATGCTAATCTTGCGGACACTCACGGCTTCATTGTGATCTACCCGAACGCGCCTGACTCGGGAGGTATGACATTTTCTTTTTAGTGTTTGTTTTGGTCTGACCGACTATCCTTCCAGGATGCTGGTATGTTTACTAGAATTCCAGTGTTCAAACCAACTAATCCTCAATTCAGGGATGTCCACACGCCACAGACCTTGAGTCACAATGCTGGAGGAGATTCCCTGGGAATTGTATCTCAAGTAGGTGCTCCAGCTGCTCCGATATTGATCTCTCGAAATTGACTGATCGACAAGGTCCGTTATGCGATTCAAAATTACGGCGTTGATGTCAGCCGCGTCTTTGCAACCGGAACGAGCTCTGGAGCAATGATGACGAACGTCCTGATGGGAGCGTGAGTGACAGTCAAGGAAGTCGTTTTTCTCCATTTTGACCTAATCCATCGTCAAATAGATACCCAGACGTCTTCCAAGCCGGCTCTGCATTCTCTGGTGTCCCATTCGGATGCTTCGCGGGCCCAGATATGTGGAACTGTGAGTTGTCTGCCAACTTTGTTAGCCAAGACCTCTAACATTTTTTTTGAATAATTGGCAGCGCAATGCGCACTTGGTGAGCTCATTATGACACCAGAGCAATGGGTGAGCATCCTGTGTATCGATTTTCTTCGCATCCATCCTTATCGACCATTTTTAGGGCGATCTTGTCAGAAATGCCTATCCTGGTTACACGGGACCTCGTCCGAAATTCCAGTTCTGGCATGGAACCGTGTAAGGAATTTGTGTAAAGTATGATGGTTTATTGAGCTCATGTTATTTCAGCGACACGACCCTCTATCCTCAGAACTTCTGGGAGGACATTAAGCAATGGACGAATGTCTTTGGTGTCAGCCAGACTCCGACGTCCAACACCACCAATGACCCTCTTCCCGGTTACTCGAGGGCATCCTTCGGTCCGAACGTCCAGGCTATCCTTGCTCAGGGTGTTGGTCACACTGTCCCAGAGCAGGCGAACGATGTTCTTAACTGGTTCGGGCTGAGCAATTTGACTCCTGGAAGCGGCTCGGGCCCGTCGTCCATCCCGGCTTCGCCATCCAGCAGTGCACCGGTTTCTACAGGCACTCCATCGTCTCCATCGTCGGGTACTGCCGCCCACTGGGGTAAGTCAATAAACTTACGCTATTTAATGCTTTGAACTGAATGGTTTTCTGCAGCTCAATGCGGAGGTATCGGCTATACGGGGCCGACGAGTGAGTGCTGCTTTTCAGTTTATTCTGGCCTGGTATTCACGTGTGCTTTGCTTCTAGCTTGTGCATCACCCTACACTTGCACAGTTGCAAACGCGTACTACTCCCAGTGTCTCTAGTTTAACTTACGGAGCCAATCTGTATGACCTTTTCTCTTTATAATAAATTCTGAGGGATATTAAACACATTAAGCGCTAGAGCACAGTGTTGCCTTAATCGCTCCTGAGACGCATATAAAGATCGGAATGCAAAGCTGTCATCGAAGATACGCAGTATGATTATTGCAAAAGCTAAAACGCATACACTTTGACCTGATGCCATATAGACTGCGCATATTCTTATGAACACTCCAAACTCCTCATTGAGAGTTAATCTTGTACAACTGACAATATACTCACGAATCCTACCGGGGTCTAGCAATTTGGGTCATGATGTCGTGAGAGAAGAACGAATCCTTAGGATGTAGGCATCCACCATTCAATGTGTAAATTTCCTACGATACCGTGACATTGTACTCATAGCAGACAAGTACAACACGTGTTTGCGGCAGTTCCACACCACAGAACTCGCAAATCATGCCGGATACATGATATCTATTGTGCCACTTCAAGAACGAGATCCACTTGTTGACTCGGGACTGGTGATTTGACAGGCATTTGCTTTTTGACTTAAGAGTCTGGCGTACATCTCAATGAGGTCTGTGCTCATGTAGCTCGTGTACCTCGTCTGAGCAATGCCTATTACCCTGTTTAAAATGTCGAACATTGCATAGAACCTTTGTACTTTCAAGTTACCGAATATCAGATTAGAAAGAGGACGATAGAATGACCTATCACTTACAAAATGAGGTTCCTAGTAGCAGTTCAAACTGTATCGGACACTCCCGGATGGTAAGGGCTAGCCATCCTTCCTTCACGCCCATGACTTCTCTAATTTCTGGTGGAAAGACTAGCCCGTGTGCGGGAATAGTGAACTTGGTCCATTTTCCCGTGCACTTGTCCAGAAAGTGAAACGTCATGTCTTGCAAGTTCAGAAGGTGCTCTTCCTTGATTGTCCAATAATTACTTGATCCTCCTTGACCAGGTGCCTCAACGATGACATCAGTTTGCAACATAGCTAAAACCAGCTTCTCGAATGTCGCTTTGAGGAGTTGTATTCCCAGCGCTCCGGAATCGATAACTCCTGGGACTGAATTAGACTTACCCCTTGACCCAATAATATAAAGTCCACTGTCGCCATATGTCAGTTTTGCTTCAAGACCATAGTAGTCCGCGGTCAGTCCGGTATCAGTCATATCCATGTAGACCATGTTTTGTGTGAATGAACTTTCATCGACTCCTCCGAAATCTAAATATCCTGTGAAAGATGCACCATCCCCTCCTGTTGGAAACGGCAAAATATGTAAACCTAATACGCCCTTGTCCAAGTCGTCATGTCCCATCAGATTTTCCAGCACTGTAGGTACCGTCTCTTCAGGATGGTCAACAATGGTTCCCTTTGTAAGACTGCGGGGACCCAGACCAAGCACACCGTTGTATTTTGCATTCTTAGCGACGAAGAACATTTGCTCCTTGATTTCAACCCTCTTAGTATTTCCCACAGTGATTGTCGTTTTATAAAGTGGACCTTCTGTTGAGACGGGATCTGTCCCAAAAATTTCTTTCACGTACCGTTCGGGCTGAATCTTGCTTTGTTTGAGCGAATCGTCACAACAGTCACGAATGAGCTTCTCGTCAACATGAGTAAGTCCGGAGCCAGTGTCGACTACAAGGTCAACCTCGAGTCCGGGGTTGTCGCCAAACTTGACTATGGCAACGATCCAAGTATAAATCCCAAAAGCATCTGATCTAAGGGCTTGTTGTGCAACTTCTCTGGTTCGACTTGGCGAAGCTGTTCGGGCTGTTTCCTGGGACAAAGACTCATACACATTGGCAATAGCAATTGCTAGCTGTGCTGTAAGTAAGTCCCAATGCCCAGTGTGCCTTGCATCAATTTTCCCGCCGACAGTCAGCCTGAAAGGTTTCGTGCGTTTCCTTGGTTTCTTTGAATGGCTTGCTTTTCTACCACTCTTAGTAATGTGGCTGTCAGTTGTTCGCAGTTTTCTATTGTCAACGCTATGCTTGGTTGTTTCAGCGGTTCCCTTTGATGTAACTGAATCACGACTTGACTTCGAGCTCGCCCGTGGTCCGGGATCTTCCCCACTCGTCCCAGTCTTCAACGTCACCCTCCTGCTTGCTTTAGTGCTTTTAACAGTAATTTGTTTTTTACCACCATTCGCATGTCTATGCGCCTGTCCGCTCTGTTGCGAGGACGTGTTGCTTTTGCCTGCATCGCTGCGGCGGTGGGAGTCAGTGTCGCCTGTTTTTGCGCGTCTTGACCTGTTTGAAGACAGAGACTCGGAACCTTTTCGACCTTGAAGTGGCATTGCATTCATACAAAGAGTGCGACCTTCTGCTAAATTATAAGAGGGAATGCCAAGATATCGCGCTTAGAGGGGTCCTTTGATGCCTCCAGGGCCAAGGCGAGTTTAGTCACAGCCTTGTCAAGTGGCGTCAACGGATTCAAGTGACCAACTAATCACCCCAAGAGCAAGCCTTAGGAAATAGTATGCCAGGCAAATTTCTTAAAGCACGGTTATGCTTACCAGATAAAATTTTATAGCCCTACCCTTCCCGGGTTACCTATTGTTTGTTCAATGTACTGTATAAAGACGCGTATATCTTTTATACGTACGCAGCCAGAGGATCAGGGAGAGACCGCTTCTAGTAACTAGCGTCTGAATGCATCAATCATTGAGACAAAGCTACATTACCATAGAGATGGCTTTGCTCGACCTTCGGCACACGCCACGCATGCACGCCACACCCACGTACGCGCACCGTATTAGCATTGAGTATTCGCCTTGGATTGGAGAAGAAATAGAAGAGACTAAGGGAGGCATTTGCCTTCCTCAGGCTTCCTGATCATGATTTTCATCCTGCACTCGTCATGTGACTAGTAAACTAACAGTACTCTAGTGTCCAGTGACTCCAGTCCAGTCGCCTCATACTATACCTTCCCACTTGTACCGTGCTTTCTTTAACAATGGTGAGTGACGTACCCATCAGTGAATATATGGATTCTGATGAAGGTCGAGAAAGTACGCGGACTTGGACGAACTGGTGCTTTCCGGCAAGCTCTTTAATAACTCCCGCTCTTCCTCACCCGAGCGCACGCCATCCCCAGATCGCGAACCCCTTTCAAACTGGCCAAACGCAGAAGACGCGAAAGATGTAGACTACTCCTCTGATGCCGAACATGAAAGACAGATATCCAAGATTATCAGCTCCCCATCTCAAGACGCTCCAGATGGCTCAATCGGCATGGGACCTGGTCGTACAGGTGTGAAGGGCGTCATCCGTGATCGCGCGGAGGCACAAGCTCGCGAACGCGAAAAGCGTACGCAAGGAATTGCCGCTATGAATGCTCGGATGGAGCGGATGAATCTCGGCGGAAAGACGTATCTCGAAGAGGAGCGTGAAAGGGAACTAGAAAAGATGATGTTAGAAGGAGCCCCTAAGGATGTAAACGCTGGAATCACTGGGAGAGGCAAACCGAGATTTGGCCATTTGAGAGAGGTCGGTGTCAAGAATTTCGTGTCGGCGGTGGAGAAGGAAGCGCCTGGGACCTGGGTCGTAGTACACCTGTACGATCCGGTGCGTTTCCATTGTTGTTTTCTTCAAATCAATCCATTCCCTGCTCACGTATTCTGTTATAGTCCCTTGACCGATGTCATGATTTAGACACTGAACTCTCGCAACTTGCTCGTACAAACCCGGACACTAAATTTCTCCGCGCGAGAGCATCCGTTCTTGGTTTTGCTTCATCATCCTCTACCATGTCTCGAACGATATCCAGTTCAAATACCCGATCGAACTTACGCGCCTCACGAAATCGGATTACCGAAGCAGATGATGAGGATGACCCATATGCGTACGACGAGAAGGACAACACCTCGGATGCGTTCGATGAAGTGGATGAAGATGAGGATTACAATCAGGATGCCGACGTCGACCTTGATGTATTACCTACCCTCCTTGCATATTGTGATGGTGAATTGGTGCATACATGGGTCCGCGTTGACTGGGAAGCGGGCCCCGCTGGCGTAAACGACCTATTAACTAAGTGCGTCTTATACGATTGCTCAAATGCAATTAGCTGACCATCCACTGCAGACATCATATCCTCAAAGGATCCGGGTTCGGAAACTGCGGGCTTCCGTCCGATGACGAAGATTTATGGGATTCAGACCCTAACTAAGCCAGCTGCCCACTGCTCACCCCTCTGTTCATAATGGATGTATTTTAGTTAATGAATGTTATGTTCTAGAACATTGGTCGACAATTTTTCTGCATCCTCCAGCTCCCGGAAGTTGAAGGAGTAGTCTAACTTTCGTCCAAAGTCACTACTGGCGCCTTGGATGCGGTACAGCACAAGGGTCATACTTTTTGAAGAGGAACGACTGCCTTGTCGAGGTCTCAGGTCTGTAACGGACGAAGGGAATGCTGCATTACTGTAAAAGGATGCTCTCGAAATTCATAGACTGACATGGCTTGTAGGAAGTGACGTAGTGCAGTTGTTGTGCCACAGATACATTTTTCTCGGATTAGGTGTTGAGGTGTTAAATATAACATACCTGCTTTACTTCATGCAATAAGTAAAGGACCAGACTTTCGTCTTATAAATCAAGTCTTGTTAAAATAGCTACGGCATGTAAAACGGCTTAATTCGTTTCAAATAGCAAACAATATTTGGTTTCCAAATAAGAGATCAGATATACAGTGTATTGTCTAGAAACATTTGAGTCCTTTGGGAATGGGAGTTATAAAGATAGTATGTGATCATTATGAAATTAGCAATTTTAGAAGAACACATATATTAAATCAATATACTTTATAGTCTAGTCATTATGACTTTGGAGGCCTTGTTTCACAGCATCCATTAATGCAAACTTACTTTCTAATGATAGTAGATTCTACTTTTGTTTACTCTCTTCACAAGTGTAGTCTCTATGGGCACTGATCTTATACTTCGAATTTTTGTGAGCAATTCTGCTCTTGTAAATATTCCTCGGAAAGCTATTTTGTTTATCTTACTTTGCGTAATAACATGCAGATTGTCCACGTGCTCTCTATAAACATGATAAAGGAAAAGTCAGGTTGCAGAAGTATAAAGAACTAGCACCTCTTTTAGAGGGTCAATCCAAAGTGAGATAGATACTTTTAACAAACTCGGCGAACTCAATGTCCTCACCACTTGCAACCCCACCGCCTTCACTTCGCACCCATTTATGACTGTGTACATCTTCCGCAGTCAAGTTTCCGACAGCCTTCGCCGATTCGCCAATTACAGTAATACGTGCTAGCAATCATATCACCAAGATACCTCCAGCCCCTCTCTTCATCTCGGGAATGCCAGACGGCTCATGAGGTCGCCGCGATGATACTAAGTCTATCTACGAATACTAATACTGTGCGGAAGCTATAAGGATGATGAACAGCTGATGAACAGTAGAGGGCCGAGGCACAGACCATCTTACTCTCTACTGATGACCGAAGTGTTTGAGATGATTCATTACCGACTCCTTGATGATGAATACGTCTCGAGATCGTGTCGCAAATCCGTCAATCTTCTAGACGCTTAGCCCTTCATTTCGATCAATCAACCGATCAGACAGTCAACGATGTCGAGGGATAAAGTGTCATTATGCCACTTGGGTTGTAGGATCTATCATCTATGCGGGCCATGGTTTGATTGATATAAGCATTAGTATGCTCGGGTGTTTTTCAACCTTCAATCGTGTTCTGATATTTCTTGTAAATCATGTATCCCAGCCCTCGCACAGCATATTCTTCATCATATTCTTCATCATATTCTTCATCTTCTATCCAGCGTCAACCAATGACCGGTAAAAGCGGGAATCTTAGAACCATCATCCCGAACACAGTGTTGCTCCACTCTTTGTCCGGACGGACAGCTACACATTGCAATTCGTTGCTATTTCTACACGTTAGTATATATATATGATTGCACTTCTGACATTCTATATGTTTAAGAGAGAAAAGAAGACAGGAATAATAGTCTGTATATGCGGAGAAGAAGGGGAAAGAGAAGAAAATCAGACGGAAGCTGAGTGCCCAAGAAAGAAACCTAGCGGAAACAATGCTACACTGCAAGGAGAAATGGGGTCTAGGAGCAGCATGCAGAAACGCTCAGACGGTAGCGCGAATGAGGAATGTGGATTGGTGCCAATGCGTTAAGTTTACGGAAGAGGTTCGTGGAGACTTTAAATATGAATGCGAAGTGGTGTCCGCGGGGAGACAACGGGTATAGGGTCATGAGAATTGCACAAGAAGACATGTGAGTGTACAAGGTTGGATGCGCGGTTGTGAGACAATGTTATGCAAAAGAAGGCCAGCCGAGGCCCGAGAAGCTAGAACGCCACTTCCAGGGTACAAGACAGCTAAGGATGTAAGGGTATCGTCTTGGAAATTGGATGAGTCGTAAGGGGAAAGGAGAGCCGAAAGCAAATACGCAATACATGCTATAGATAACAACGCTGGAGGAGGACAAGAGAGGAAGTGAAGAATGCGGGGTTTTTATGCGTATTCACAAAGCAATGCAAGATAACGTTAGGGAAAAGAGAAGAACGCAAATATCACCTAGTGGGACCATAGGTCGAGGCTCGCACGCTTCAGCGCACGATTTGTGATGTTTACGCCATGGAGGTCCTCGAGCCATACACCTTGCTCTTGACAAGATTTGAGTAAGCGTGACCAGAACGACGCAATACGAACACTAGGACGGTGTGTACGAAGTGCGTGACTTTCCGGGCTGAGGTCACGTATGAAGCGCAAATTCGGGAACAAGGCACGCTGCAGAGAAAGGAGTTGCTCGAGCAACATGAACGTTTCCTCGCATTCCGCGAGGCGTTTGTCAATACCGCGGATACCGATGAACTCGATCCTCGGATGAGTGGGTAGTAAGACGTGCGCTATGCGTAAAAATATCAGCAAATGCTAGAGCAAGCCTTCGCGCATTGCACTTACGTGGTATCCAGTCCGGCGTTTGCCAGTGCCACTCAGCGTCCGCACTACAGATAAACTCGCGGAGATTAGGACACCACTTCGCCAATTGCAATTCAGGGTGCGCGAGGTTGAGGACATGGGATTCGATGAGAGACGAAGAGTGGCCAAGCTCAAGCTGCCGCAACGACGATCCATGCATTTGGAAAAAGGAAGAAAATCCAACGCCGCGGTAGTTGAATTCACACGAGACGACAGAAAGGTTTCGCAACTGTGGCACTTTCCAAGCAGCCAAAATAGAGAAGGAGAAGTCGTCCACCTCCAATTTGAGCGAACGCAATGCCGGAAGCTCGATCGCAGGAAACTGGACAGGTGTTGTATATACGGCGCGATCAGGGGAGCCTGATGTGATCTCTAGGTATTCGATGGCACTCGGTCGATATAATAATGCCGACATCTGGATGTACAATGGCGTCTCATCATCATTTTTCCATGAGACTCGGCGAAGATCTTTGCTGCTCTGTGCCAACAGTGAGAAGATTGCCTGAGTAGAGCAGTCATCCGGGTCTGGCGCAAACACGTTTTGCTTGACCGAATGCTGGTCCGTGTACACAACGAGGTTTGTCGCATGATCCAGAATGTCACGGACATCGATCGGCGCACAGGGGTCGAGTGTCGACGTCTCGATATGCAGACGACGGATATACCACCCACTCGACACAGGCGAGCCCCTCGCCTCCTCAGACGACAGAGTGTAAGCCAAGGCCTTCGCCTGAGTTTTTCGACCAATCCAAATGAATTCGTACAAAAACTCTCGCATGAGAGCATTCCATCGACGACAAACATATGCTAGGTTCAGTTTTACTCGGATATTATCACGGTACGCATCGAACTGACGTGCAGTAGACTGCTCGCGCTCCAGGAAGGAGACTTCCTGTGACGTATCATCCAGCGGAATAAGTGTCGCCTCTCGGAAGATAATGAGCCAAAGCTCTGGAGGTATTCGCGCAGTAAATGACCCGGTCGCGCTGGTAGGCGGCGAGGGCGTTTTCTGGTTTTGATCATGTGGACGCGCGCGCCAGGAAAAAACGCTCGCTATTTTCTTCGTAAGAACCAAGCATTTTCGCTTCGCTATCGCAGTAGACGGGCGCATGGAGGTCGCACAAGAGAAAGAGAGGGAGAATGGGGAGAATGAATCCGAGGTAGTCGCTGGAGAGAAAGAGGTAACTCGCCGTGATGTCCCCGACTTACAGGTCGGTAGATGGTCATGTGACGTATTGCCATTCTTGCAGATAGAGTTTATATTTATTTAACTCGGGCCTCGGCCTCCACAGCGGCAACAGCGGACAACTCGGGATAAATTCCATAAATTAATCTCGCACCTGTCCTGCCTGGATCAACACCCGAGAGCAGAATTTCGACTGATCGACTGGCGGCTACACCATGTCCTTAACTGTAACTGAACAGTCTGCGACGCTGAACTCATGCAAAATAACTTGACTTGACTTATAAAAAGCCTGACACCTAATGACTTGCATTACCCGCCGGGCTCCGAGAGCACCGCTGTCTGGATGCTTACAACAGCGCTAAGTCAGTGCTGCATTCCTAGCTCACTCGTTTGAATGCCGACTCCGGATCCAGCGTGTCATTACTGAACTGAAAATACAATTAATAACCGATCCGACGTCGGACCTGACGTACAGGAAGCGATGGTGATTGTGGAACTGAGCGTCTATCTAGTGTACATACAAGGCATGAATAACGTCACAGAGTCATGGCTATCATTACCAAAGGACGTTACCAGAGCGTCCAAAGGTCAACAGATCTCGAGCATGTCATATACATCCAGACCAAAGGGAGAGAGAAGAGGAAAAGCCAGGAGGCATGCAAAGAATGAGAATTCTAGGCGGAGAGGAAGAAACACGAAATCAAGGAAGGCCCCAGCATCGAAGTGGGTTAAAAGAAAGTTCGATGAGAACGAAAAATTGTCCAAAACAAGCCGTATCGCATACGAAATAGTAAGAAACTGGTGAAGAGAATTTGTTCTTGCTAATAGCGTGTAGGCTGTCATTCGTTAAATGGGTGACTCTGTAGGACTAGCAAATCCACTCGCGCCAGGGCAAGTGCCCGGCCCTTCAGAGGAAAGAGACGACTTCGCCTTATCGACCGGAGGTTTGATATCTACACAAACCCAAACACCATCTTCGTCATCATTAGCATCAGTTGCAGATCTCCCGGACTGCCCATTATGCGAGTGACGGATGAACGATCGAGCACGCCACAAATTTCGTAAAGGAGCAGTAGATGCTGAAGCAAGGGCCTGAGCAGTGCCTCGCAGACTTTCCAAGCTTCGTGTGCGTGACCGCAAGCTCGACGTGGGTTCCACGGACATTCTATGGCTTTGCGAGCGGGTGAGAGGATGAGCAAGTCCCGAGAAGCGTGCTTGTGAGAAAGCGGCGGAAGACATTGGTGTACGTGAGCGCCCTCTTTCACGTCCACCAGCCGAAACAGGACGGAACGACGTGGGAGGCGGTCGGTTCTTAGGTGGAACAGGCGGCATACCAGGAATAGGCGTCGATGGACGGATTCCGCTTTGTACGCCGCGTAAAACGTCTCGCATGTCCGATACGTGTTGGCACATCCGAGTCGGAGTTGTAGATCGTTGCATAGACATGGTGAACGCTGATGATCCAGGTTGAGGGGAAGAAGGAGAGCGAGTATGAGAAATGGGGCGTGAAGAGACAGGATATGCCCACTCGTGGTTGTATGAGGCACGAGACAACACCTCTGCAGGTGTCGCAGCTCCCGAACCTGGAAGCGATCGGGATCGGGTATGCGGAAACGGCAGGGAGGCCGGGGAGGAAGAAGAGCGTACGGCTGCCGGTCGACCAAAGCTGACCGTATTCCGTATTGAGTCGGAAAGGCCTGACTGGGAATTTGCTCTGCCCTTCCCTTTCGAAGTTGTCACATGCTGTGTTACTTCCGGATCTGCACACCCATTTTGGAGGTGGCACTGCAGGCAGGCTGGATTATGGTGCTGATCCTCGTTGGCTTTAGAGGCCCTTGAATGCGATGCCATTTTCATTGCAGGAGGAACGGCGATCTGCGTCTTTGAGTCCTTCCTGAAGAGTTTGCGATGAGGTCTCTGGTACGGAAGGACGTAAGTCCCGGCCCGCGGAGTCGGAGGATCAACAGGAAGCCACGCCGAGTCACAATCGCCTTCATGCGCATGAGCAGAAATCGAATTCTCCTGCTGTGAGTGGAAGGGAGAAACAGTCGATGCGAGGGGTACACCAAGGCTAGAAACGGTCGAGTCTGTGTCGGAATCTGCGTCGAAATAGTCTGCAACATCTATGTAACGCGAGGTAGACGTCGTGGTCCAGGAGAATGTTGATTTCTACAATTGCTTCAGTTTATATCTTGCAACCGCATAAAGGGAAAGCAATGCTTACGAGTTGGTTGACGTCGCGATTTAGCGCCGCACTAAGCTCCTCGTATCCACTGTCATGCCGCCTGAGCCAAGCATCGTCCAAGTCATCATCTACGTCGATATGATCAAAACCAGTATCGAGGGTAATCCCGTCATGATCATCCTCGATCGGCGGTCTGTAAACGATTCCTTCGTCGCGTCCAGCTTCAACTCCGCCGCGAAGCCAGATTGAACGAGCAAATATACTGCGCAAACCTGCAGACTTTGGTGGTGGCGACGGTGGTGTCTCCATGTGAGAACCGCCAGCACGCGTCTGGGCCGCTCCATCGTTTTCTCCATATTCCAAAGAGCTTCCGATCTCCTTGGCGGCAGCAGTGCGTCGCAGGAAGGAATACCGCTCTGCTCGGGAATGGCCTTGCCTCGGTGTTGCGACGCGACGGAAACGGTTATAGATACCGGCGCCGAAGGCTACAAGGCTATTTGACGCGGTTGAATCGTGCGACGAGGAGTGGTGATGATTGACACGTGCCCGAAGCGATCTCCCAGATTTAGCAGTCGATGGCTCCAGACGATGCGCCTCGCCTCGTTGTGTATGCCCATCCTTCTCGTATATTGCACGAAAAGGCATGTCAAGGGCCAGCCCGGTTCCTGCGGAGCTGCGACGCGTCGGAGATACGGGAAACCGCTGGGTGGAAATCTCACTAGCGGCGAAGCGTGATTGCGAATAAGGGTATGGTAAACTTTCTTTGCCAGTGTCTGGCGAGCTTCCAAACGTAAGAAAGTCAACAGTCAGCACTTGAGAGCGCGTATCGGCATCCTCCGGAGAAACGTTGCAGCCTCCGTTTTCAGAAGTGCTGAGGGATGCGCCGCCAAACGTAACCAAGCCGTCCTCTGGATCCCATACTGCAGCAAAAGTCAGCGCAGTCGATGGCGGAACAACTTCTGACCAGCGATGGTCTGATCTGGGAGAAACTGGGACGGATTCTAATTCGTTAAGGCCACGCTTATCACAGCGGACCTGTGCCGTCTCTGGGGGTGTTGGGAGGGCAGGTGAAGTAGCGGGTCTAGGAGGCTTTCCGAGCATTGTCATTTACAAAGCGAAAATCACTGATGCAGTATTGTTACTTACAAGGTTAGATCTTGTGGAAATTGGCTTAGGTACCGGCCGAGAAGAGTGGAACTTGTTCCAGACAGGTGTCGGTGCTGTGTTGTTGGAAGTCATAGCAAGCGTCGTAAAAGTTCGTTAGTGGAGATAGAGGGACTTTGCACCTCAGAAAGAAGAAGGGTATCGCAGTTGTTATCTTGTCAAGAGCCCTGCTCAAGCTAGCAAGCAAGCGCTCACGAGGGCTTAAAAGTCAGCAAGAGACACGTTCCGTCTACGGGCTCGCAAGTGAAGAGCCTTTTATATTTCCTCATACGGGTTCGTCATCAGCAACCATATTATGCGTACTCACGCTGCAAAAGAACGACAAACACAGTCAAGCTAGCAACGAAATCCAGGGAGGTTCTTGTAGTGTTTGCTAAATTAAACACCAGGGACCGTCATCGCCTCGTGCGGGAACCGGACGAGTTTACCCAGAAGACTTCTTAGAAGAGAGAGATGCCCGCTAGGACCGAAGCTAAACTGGTATGTTTCGACCGCCACATAGGCTTATTGCTTCTTCTTCATAAGAAGTCGAGAATACGAGAGAGCTTTGACATGAGGATGACATGAGGTCCAGTCACCTGAGAACGAAAGAGGCTTTAGAAATGACGGAAAACAGAGTTCTTCCTTCATGTGCTTTGAATTTCTGGCCCCGGCAGCGTATGTTGCGTAGCCAGTGGCATGGCGATGAGATGATACATAGATAGGTTGTCTAGTCAAGTGAATAGCAACAGCAGCGCCGTGTATGAATGTGTGTGACGAGAATTCGAACGCACATGTGACGCGTATTCCCACCAACTTCTCCTAATGGAAGACCACATCACTCTTGGGCCTCTGTCTCCTTTCTTTAGCATCAATTGCACACACATGAAAAGAAGGAACAAGGTGCCTACAAAAGCAGTCAAAGTCTGCAAACTATGTTAAGGACTCTTAATGCCCTACATGCCCGGGCCCGAAGACTGGTACAGATCGTGTGTCCGAAATATTCGTGCTTATCACAATCATCTCCCATGGATGTCTATCATTCGACGGGACAGCGTGGCCGTCAAAGAATATCTTTCAAGAACCTAGGGTGCGTCTTCGTCTCCTGCGGAAGAACCACAGAGATGTTCATACCGGCGCAGAAAGGAAATAAAGGGAAAACAAACGGTGCGTGCCTTCGGACGTGGGTTGGCAGAGCGTGAGGAATGATTCCCATTCGGTGCACAGATAGATCGGCTGGTGAGAGCCTTTCACCTTCAGTGGCGTCTCCGATCGGGCTTTGCGGGTAGCTAAACAGTCTGCGCTCACTTTGGATCTCCATGTCATCTTGCATATTTTTCTCATCGCATGCTTTAACATCTGCCAGCAATACTCTTGGAGAATGGGGTCTGTCGTTCCTAATAACAAAACAAGGTGTGACGATGAAAAGAAGGTTTCGAATTCTCAAAAACGCTAATTTACCTCTCGGATGCAGAATAACTCGCTTATGTGTACGCGTACTCGCTGTGTTGGAAAACGTCATCTCAGAAGCTTCTGTCGCTGTTAAGACGGACTCCCGCTTGTTCACAGAACTTGCAGTTCTCTCCCGCCGGGACAATTTCAATATGAGATAGTGCCGGCATTTTCTAGGAAGCAAATATTCTGGCGATCCTTACTATTCGAGTGTGGAGTAGCTGCATTGACAGGTTTTCTGTGAGCGGTCACCGTGTCTTTCATTTCCTCTCTTGTCCTGAACGTGACCTTCGACATCCCGCCTATGCCCCCTGAAAAGATTCCGGCCCCGTCTTCGCGTAAATAAACCTCCTCCGCCCTCTCCTCCCCTGATTCTAGGATTCTCGCCTCATGAATTCTTCCCACAGCTATACTTCTTGTCGTAAGGTTACCTCGTATCCGACTTCCGGCTTTAGAACTTTGCTCTTCCGATCATTTCATACAGACATGAGGCTGACACGAGTGTGAATTATAGAACATACTGTGATCAAGACACAAGGCGGATGTGACGGTGCTATCTTCCATAGTACCCCGATCCTCATCGCCTCGTCGTACCTTACGCTGATGCGCTGGTCCAATTCAGCTTCCGTAAGATGAAAAATTCGACGGCGTCGCCGAAAATCGGGTTCAGCAAAAAAACCAGGGCGGTCTTGTCTCTTGTTCGGCGGAATTTGCGGTTGAGTATGGAACGAAAGAAGAATCATTAGTTGCATGGTTGTTCGGTTCAGCATAGAAAGAACCGCCATAGGGACGGTTCACTTGTGAGTTATACAGGTTTCGAAGACTGATTTACGAGCTAAGCCATTTGGCATTTTTGAGTGCCGCCAAACATATCGTCATTATCACCGTTCTGGGGCTGCAATGGTACGTTGAGAAGAATTGATAAAGTTCTCAATCTTGATAACGAATTTTATAATTTATGTTTTGCGCCAATGTTACGGACATGCGGCGATTGATCGATACATCCGGACCATGTTCTTCTACTTGTCTTGTTGGAATGCTCATCAACCTTGGTGCAGAATGAGAAACTTACGACATAACTGGAAGATTTGTATACGCTCCATGTCGAACGATCTCTAGACTTTTGAGCAACATAAATGCAGAAGAATACCCGACATAGGGATGCGCCAAACTTTATTCCAAAACCACCCTCCTTCTCTGCCCGGTGTAATGAATACTCGAAGAGAAGCGCATCGCCTACAAGCACATGGAGAAAAGAAGTATCGGAGCACACGTATACCCGGTCCACGGTTAATCTACATGTTAAAACACGGTTGTTGCTGAAATCTTGTTAGACATTTATCAATGACGTTTTACAACACTATCCTTCTGTTGTGGATCGACAACTTCAGCAAAATTGATTATGCGGAGAACTCTGCGCTAGTTTCCTCGTTCACTACTTACTATAAGTTCATAGGCTATGTTTGGTTTGGAAGGGAATGGTAGTTATCACGTAAGGACAAGTGGGTGCGCGTGCCCATAACCTTGTGTACACCTACTGCAAACCTCTTTGGACTTCTTGTGCAACAGAGACTCAGGAAGTCTTCGTACGGCGATGCCGATAGGAACATTTCGACTCCCATCTCCCGAATCCATGGAAATCTCAGCCTTGATCATCACCAACATTTCGTCCTTCAACGTTTCTTCACGCGTCTAAAGCGTTGAATCGAAATCTGGCCGGCGTAGTGGAGGGGTACCTCTCTGCGTGAGGTCAGCACGGAATGGATACACTTGTCCAGCAACACCATCTTCCGGGTTTGTACCAGCAAAGGAATATAACGATTGTTTCTGTATTATGTTGAATCATTATTATGTTGTTTTGTTTAAACACTCTGACTTACACTGTAATCTGACTCTGTACCTTGTCTTACATGTATCTGTACAAAATTTTAAATAATTAATTAAAAGACTTGACATAGGGTCAAAATAAGATAGAAATGTGTTGAATCAGTCTAGATTGTCTCAAATAACATGGTGTGGTTAGAATTCACACACAATTTACTGTACAATGTCAGGAACATATTATCTTAGTATATATAGTATCAGTTAGATGTCAAGTAAGTTTAATATCACATTCTCTTAGTGTGGAGGTTCTGTGTATGACTGATTGTATATAGTAATTCCTTATGCACAATCTGGTGTATTACAAGGTGAGTTGTTCAATTCCAACCACACTTATTTTGTGCTAAAGTATAACTAATAAATGCTGATAATATAGTATCAAGGAAAACAATAACAATTGTAAGTTGTGAAGGAAATCATAATTATACAAGAGATTTATAATAATTATCATATTATTAAATATAAGTATTACTTTATATATAATAAGTTAATATATATACTGAACTTATTATAACTAGTTTATACTAAAGCTTGTGTTACTGTAATATTTAACTATCAAGATTTTAGCTTTCTATAGATTATTCTAATAATATTGTTTATTTTGAGAATTAAGAGAAATGAATTTATATTAAGTGCATGAATATAGTTGCTAAAATACTTATTTTCTTACTTAGATCAGTAAGTTTCTACAGAATGCACCATAAATCCAAATTCTGGCCAATTATTACAGTAACTTACAGTACTGAGTATAGAGGATTTTTAAGAAAAAGAAAGAGAAAAGTGTAGTTTAACAGCAGTGAAGTAGTGAGCTTCCACTACGTACTGATAGAGTGTTTGATTAGAACGATTATGTCTAACCCACTACATCATATTTAAATCTATACACAGTCTGTGCATACGATCATCGTTAGTGAACAAGTGTTTGACCTATTGGGCTCTATAAAGACGTTTGGATGTTCTCCGAACTCGATCCGATAGCGGTCAATCAGTATTGAATCTCGGCGCAATTTCTCCTAGCACATGCATAGATTGTTGCATGTATAACAAATTTCGGAAGAGCAAACACGCGCTTTGTGCATTGTACGCCTGACTGACGCAGATTAGAAGGCACGTTCATATCCTACTATGTACCTTTGAGCTCCAAAGAAGCCACGAAGGTGAGGTACCACCGTACCATACGCACCAACTCGTAATTCTTCGCAGCCGGTCCGAGATGCCAGCGCCGCAGAACGCTGAAGTTTCCCATTCTAAAATAAGCACACGAGATTGGCCGATACTTCACCTGCTAATCTACATCTGAGACAAAACGCAAGAAAAATATGCATCAAATGTACGGGGAGGCAGGGGAGAAACGAGAGAAAAGAAATGCTTTGTCGTCTCGACGACCAAGGTGCCTTGCACCTCAGGCGAGACGAAGAGATAATGCACAGCTTGCGAAGGGCCAGACAGCCTTGTTGTCTGATTTCGAATTGAATTGAGATGAGAAATGAATTGGATGGCGCCGTGCCGGGATGGAATGGACGAGAAAGTCGGGATCTCCGAGGGTGCACGTTGCACATTGATAAAGCACAGCACACACAGCACAGTGTCCGACTGTTCGTCGCGAGGGTGAGGCGAGGCGGGCCCAGGTATATAGAGGAGCCACTGGTGCTTGGCAGCAAGCACTAGATAAAGCCCGCGGCGCTTTCCCTTACACTATCCCTCGGACTACTACCATCCTCTATCCCCTCGTCATTATCCTATCTGATTCTGGAGCGTCTCCTCGTCGATTGCAAGTTGAGTAGGCGGCTGATGTGACTCCACGTGACTGTGACCTTACGATTTAACTCAAACTTTGATGTGACTGTGCTGTGCGTCAGAGCAGAGAGCAGATTGGTTAGACTGCCTGCCTGCAATATTGAGGACACAGTGGACGGATCCCCATCCATTCCGCGCAGCTTTTAACTGTAAGTCATCCTACTACTTCCGCGTCCCCACTCAATCTGCGCCTTCCCTCCCCACATCCCCAATTATGCTGCCGCTTCTTCCTATCCTTCTCTCTGCTGCGCTCTCCTGTGGCTCCGTCTAGTCTGCGTCAAATACTGCACACGACAAAACGTTTGGAGCGCCAAGAGATATATAACGTGTAGCGGAGAAAGAGTGAAAGAGCGTGTTCGAATGATGCCAGCATCCGCTGCTGCAGCTGTCGCGTCCCGGACTGCTTCCGTCTTTAAAGCATCTCGTAGTCTGACCCGAAATGCCTCATCTTTCTTCCAGACAACGACCTCGTCCTCCTCATCTACTGCTACGAACTCATATTCACATTCTTCCTCTCGAACGACCAAATCTACAAATACAAATACGTCTGAAATCATGGCGAACGTAGAAGTGCAGCAACAGGTCCAGGCGCATCAAACTCAAGCCCAGCTCGAGGCTCAAGTAACAAAGACGACGAACATGTCTAACTTACAAGCACCCCTGCCGAGGCATATCCCGCACTACGGTGCTCTTCGTCGACCTTTACCAAATAGCTATTGGGCTACACCCTATCTTGTGGTCCGTATTTTGTATTACCCTACTTTCAATCATTATCTCCATCAAGTTCGGATTCTTGCTAATCTTGCGTCCGCAGGCCTGTGAATATCCTTGGGCCCCAGGGACAATCCGTCCCAAGCTCGACGCACTCCTCGCCGCAGGTGTACGGACCTTCATCGACTTAACCGTTTCAGGAGAACTCTTGGGTTACTCCCAACTTCTCCCAGTCCGTGCACACTCCTGCGGCCTCTCACCCAGCGAAACACACACGATCGAATACTACCGCTTCCCCATCCCGGACCGTTCCCTACCTTGTTCTCCGGCATTCCTCGCGCGAATACTCACTGTTTTGCATAATTGTGAAAAACGAGGGAGAATTGCTGCAATTCACTGTCGTGGTGGTATTGGGCGGACAGGGACGGTCGTAGGATGCTGGTTAGTTCAGAGTGGAAGGTGTAAGGATGGTGAAGAGGCGTTAAACGTTATTGCACAGCAATGGGCAACCGTTGAGAAACATGCTCGCTTTCCGTGTTCCCCCGAGACGGGTGCGCAGGCGGAATTTGTGAGGCACTTCAACAAGATGCTAATTGCGGCTGAAGAGAACAAGCAGCAAGAGGAGACTAGGGATGGGAAGAGAGGTTTGTGAGCGGCTAGCCGCACCGCACTGAGTTATTATTATGTCTTGTGCTTTTCTTTTGGTACGTCCTTCACTTCACTGTGTTCAATTTTGTTGTTCACCGTCTAAATCATTCAACAGGGCCTATCTCAAACTCCGTCCCCGCCGTGCCCTCGCCATGAACACCTGGCATCCAAAGTCTTTTCTCTTGCCATCATCTACTGTTACCCCGTAAATCTACGCACTCTATATTGGATCCTAGAACGTACCCTCGGATCGGGAGCATACATTTCCGTTCCGAGTCTAGCTTTGTCATCAACTCTCTAAGTATTCCCTCTCCCATCTAGTTCTCCGTCATTGTACATATCCACCTATTACCATATCCCTATCGACCCGGCCTAGATCTCTATCTCTTCCCTCTTCACTTGGACTCTTCTCACTGGACTCGGCTCAGAGGGCTCAGTCCGACTGGACTTTTATTGTCTTTTTTTTTGCTTTTTTTGCCTTTTGTGTGTACTGTGAAGCTGGAATTTAAGTGAAAGTGTACATAGTAGTAGTATATCATTGATAAATTCGCCATCTCTTCTTCTCTATATTGTATACTAGATCTTAAACTGTGGTGGTTTATAAGTATATGACATGGATGAACACATTTATTTCTGTACTCAGATCTGTTCAGTTGGATCAAATCAGCAGCTAATGGCTTGCTACCACTACAAGGACAACAACAATGAGTGGATAGTAGTACCTATTGAACACACGTCTAGATAAAATGAACACACATGATAATTGTACTACACAGAGTTTTAATATTGTTAAGTATAGACTAATTTTAAAACTCTTAAAACAGTCTATAGTAGTTTTTCAATAGAAGATATTATTCTGTCAAAATAAATAGTAATTGGAATGTTCTATCATATAAGCTTAATTACTCATACTACTTCTAATAGTTCATTTATAATTATTTTCAACTAAGTACAAAAATTCAAAAACAATTAAGTTAAATTTAAAGTAGTTACAGTAATATATGTGCTTTCAGTCTTTATATACAAGTATATTATAAAGTATGTATTATTCTAGTAGAATGTAAGAGAGTATAGATTTCTGTTCTGAGTCTAACTTTACTATCTACTATCTCTTTCATTTATTATTATTATTGTACATTTATTTATAATTTACATATATACTTATTAACTTAGTCTAAATCTTTTTTCTTTTCTCTATCTTAACTTAGACTATTTCTTAATTTAGAGAGCTTAGTCTGACAGACTAGATATTATTTCTTTTATCTTTTTTTATTACTTTACTGTTTTACTCTCTTTTTTCTTCTTCTTATTTATAGTATCATATTATTATTTATAGAAAGTAAGAGAGCTAGTAAAAGTGTACATAATAATAGTGTATTATTAATGAGTTTTATACCCTTTTAACTCTATATTGTATATACTATACTTTAAATAGTAGTAATCTAATTTATAATTTTGTTATGTAAATTTTCAGAATTAGCTTACTTATATTAGAAACACTTTAAGAATTAATAAACACATATAATAATTGTATACAGAGTTTAGAGTATTTTTAAGATTTAAACTAATTACAAAAGTCTTAAAACAGATATAATTGTTAAATAATTCTGTAGCTTTGTACTCTCTAATCATTTTTTAAAATATTATACTAATGAAATATTAAAAAAATAGAAAGTAGCCTATTTTATAATGTCTGTAAATTTTCCACTTGTAAACTTAATTACTCATATAATTATTACAATCTACACTTAACTTGACATAGTTTTTACAATTACTTCTAATAATAACTGTGTAAATTCAAAGATGGTTGAGTCAAATTTAAGGTAGCTATAGTAATATATGTGCTTCCAGTCTCTATATTCAGTTACATTACAAACTTTAAAGTATCCACAATTCTGGCAGAATTTAGGATTAATTATAATTACAGTCTACAAATATTTACAGGTCAATTTAATAAGTAAGACAATAATGTATTACTAATGGTTTTGTATAACTTCTGTTTATTAGAGGTATTTTACAATAATGGAACTTTTATCTGATAGGTCATTAATTCTTTGGTGAACAATTTTACAGAGTTACTCTAGTACTAACAGTAATTTTAAAATTATTGTACTATAAAGTAAATAATGAATAAGAAATAATGTATTTTACACAATTACAAATCCTTGGGTTCTCCATCTTGTACACTCGATTATTCATGGTATTTACAATAAGCTGTACTCAAGTGGATATGGTTTTAGAAATTATCTTCAGTCAAAGCTACATAAATTCAAAGATGGTGGTTATAGCAACATGTATGCTTCCGATTTCCATGTACAAGCCCATTATCAATCATCCACGATTCCAGCAAAGTATGGGAGTAACGTTGTTGACAAAGGCTACACGCCAATCTCAATCTGTGGGACTGTTGAAAGCATTCCAGATAACGATCACTATAAAGCTTTTGCCTACCTTTCGTTCTTTGCTGGAAGCATTTCACCACAGTGGAGCTGTTTACCTGATAGGTCAATATTTCCTCCTCTGCATCTCTAGTTCTCGGAATACCACATTACGTCGTGATGCATTATCCGCGTTCTATTCTAGTTGACCAATAGCCTATGCGTAATGAAGGCATTGTACGTCGAGCAGTGATGTGGAGCTTCGATCTTACAATATATGCAACCCCATTGGTTTATGGGCAACTTCTGTCCTCATGTATGCATGCCGATCCTTGTTCTACGAAGCTGAAGAGCTCGAAGCCTCCACTGTGTCCGCTCCTTCCTTTCTCAACCAAACCGCTCTCGCGGCGAGTCTCGCCGTTAGCGAGGAACAATCCACGGCTGAATGGTTCACATACATGTCTGCCACTCTATGTCTCCGGCTAGAAACAGAAGACTTATTCAGTGGTGGCAACTCAATGGCAACGCGGGCCCGCTTGTGCCACACTTTGTGTTTTCAGGATTCTGTTAGTGCACGCCACTCTTCCATGCTAGCCCCAGTTACCTGGTCGTCTCTCATGTTTCCGCTTCTACTTCTCTTACATACTGTTCATGATCGGACTCCGTTTCAATCATTCACCACCGTACCATCTTTTCAGATGCACAGGTATCATGTCGCTTTCTTTTTGTATGTTCTTTAAACTTTCTCGGATCAAAACCCCTATCTCCTACATACCCCCCCAGTCGATTGGATGTGCATTGGCCTAGTAACTGTATAGTATAACGTACTGGATACTACTATTGTATAATCCTTGAGTTTAACTGTTAGTATCATTCTACTAATGACTACTTACGTTAATTAGTAAAGTCCAGAGTAAAGGCAGGACCAAGCTACTATTACGTAGTCTACTTCGATACTATAGTTGTCTCATGGATATCCGCGAGTGTGAGGATGCTAATGTCATTGCTACACGTAATAGTAAGGGGGAAACGCGAATAACATCGGCCTCAAGTTGAGTAGACAAGCATAGTCTAAGTCTGAAAACAAATTCTGCACTTATATTCAAGGGCATCGAGTTAATGCAGATAGGGAGAAAACAATCGAATGGTGAATAGTATCTTTAGAGAGCTAGCTGTCTCTGTCCTGAGCAAACTCGGTCGACAGTAATCCTTGCGGCCGCCACCACTCAGGGGTCATGTTAGGATCAATGCGATCACTCTGGTTACATGAAACACGTCTGAGTCTAGGCATAGCAAGGTATTCCCGTCAAGCTCATCTGCTCTTGAACGAGGCAAAGGCTGCAATTAGATCCTCCAAGCGGTAGACTCTAAGAAGGAAGTGGAAAGCCCACTGACAGCTGCTACTTCGAGCAGCAGGATGAAAGAGCCTGGCGATAGTCCTTAGAGTCGAAGAAAGGTAGTGGGTAGACTACCACAAGTGGGCCTTTTATAAGAGTGGACCAATACGCATGATGTAAGATTCCTTCGATTCTCTACAACAAAGTGCCAGGAAGTTTGGCTGAGAAGCGAGCGCGGCAAATACAATAAGGTATCTGTACCATCTCAGTCTGTGCTTCTAGAGTTCCTGTGTGTAATGTAGTTACCAAACTCGCTCCGCTGGTCAATGCGGAGTTCGGAAAGCACCACTGAACGCGAAGGACCAACCTTGAGCTTCACAACACCCGATTGTCTCAAAACGCTGTATACTGCAGAGTATGGGTCATCTGTAATGCCACATTCCTGTCTTGAGAGCTATACAGCGAGTAAAGAGAGCCATGGCGCCTTACAACGGCTCCCACCTCGCATATTCGACTCCTGAGCACTCGTGTCAGCACACAGGATGCCGGCCGCGAAAGGGACAGAAGCTTTGGATCTAGAAACTTCGGAAAAAATGTTCAATATAAACTTAGCTCAGAGACACACGGAGATATCTTTAAAATACTCTTGGGGCCGCGGCTTAATGGTGAGGTTGTGTAAGGTTTGACAGAAATTGTGGTCGTACACATCAAGAAAGGATAGTGAAATACCCAGAGGAGTAATCAATTCATGCGTTTCAAAGAGAAGGACGGAATGAATGTAAGGAAGTAGACCTGAGGCACGGGGCAGCGGGCGTCGCGGGAAAGTCTCCAAGTGGCAGAAGCTCTTAGCCTTATGACAGCGAAGCTGATTCGATCGACAGGTACTCGCTAATTGTTCATTGTAAGCGATCGTCGCTGGCAAGGAATGTCTATCGGCACTTTTATCTGCAGTCCACTTACAGGATTTGTAAAGCCCGTGTGGAGAATCCGACTCGACCGCGGAACTCTTGAAGTACAAGATACTCATGCCTGCCACAGTCCGACACTGCAGTGAATATCCAATGCACAAGATTTCTAGCCTATGAATTCGACCAACATGGTGGCTGAAGTATAGTTTGCCAATACTAGTACTGACTCTACTGAGCCACCCTACGGACGTACAGTCTGGGTACAGAAAGCTAGGTCGGCATGTACTGATCCTTCCTACTGATAGCCACAGTCGACCTAGCCCAGTCTACCTAGGTATAACTCCTGGAAGACATCTCAGCTTGTAATTTTAGACCAACTCTTGAATGTTGAATAAGGCATTATTTACGTTACTCAATTATTAATGACAGCTCCGGATTACTGGTCAAGAGACAGAGTAACCACCTCTAAGGCACTTTAGTAATCAATAAACACACACGATAGGTTCATTTCACTCTATAAATTTCAAAATCGGCCTGTGTGTAGTATGTACACTCTGTCATTACAGAAGAGTGATATAGCAATGAATATATCTAAATGGACCTATGACTGAGAAGGTCAGAAACGAGTGTCCAACACGCCTAACGAGACAGGGCAGAGATAGTTACTTAAACTCACAAAGAAGTTGGGCGGTCCTATACACTGACACATACTAGAATAGAAAATAATCTACACATAGTATTCTCTAAAATTTAGTACTGTCTTGGTAATACTCGCTTCAGTGGGGCAACTGAATCTGCAGAAATATATCGCTTTTACAGAAACGTCAACAGTGTGGCTTTTGGCATTGTGGGTGCAGAATTTCAACTTCTGCCTTTTCTTCCTCCCTTAACTTAATTTTCGAAAAATGACATGAATAAGTACTACATATGCGTCTATTTCCTCTAGAGAGATAGGGTGACTTTGAACCAACGATTGCAAGAGCAAGTGATTCTTTGCCAAACTCTGGCAAGGCGACCAATGTCCGATTCCTAGCAATACAGGATCATAAGCTGAGCAGATGATCAAGTCAGCACAAAGGAAGAGCGGACTCAATTAAATATTTGGTAAGTTTATGTACTATCAGTTACGAAGTGATTCCGAGACAGTGGAAAGACTCTTTTAGCCCTCATTTGGATGTTATTAAACATGCTTTGCTGTGACATTTTCATGCCTAGAGCTTCTTCAGTGCAGTAGAATGAACGGACGAATGGATTAGGGAACAATCTGCGCGAAGCTGCAACTGTACCTTCGCGCACATTACAGCATTCGCATCATTCGCAGTTAATAACCGATTGCGCTTCTTGAAACGATATTCACGCTACATGTTATTCGATTCCTTCCGTAACAATCCTCGTATTATATCAAAAGTTACATACTATCCGAAGTCCAATCCAGTGGCACTCCTATTACAAGTACAGTCACTCCGATTCTGTTCAAATGGAACTATTTCAATGATGTTTGAATTTATCACTGCGGATCACTGCTTCCACTTCAGGACGAATCGACGCAAGAAGATCTGCTGTGGTGTACTTGGGAGCCCAGCCAATGGCTCGAGATCTTGATGCTAAGCACCGACTATTGCTTCCAAACCAGTCCGGCTTTTGCGTAAGTAACTCGATCAGTCAAAGGGAACCTGGCACAGTGAAGCCAAGAATACTTACCCCATCACCAAAGTATTTCAAGCATTCTTCTCGCTTAAACGTGGTAGGCTCGGGTGACTTCGACTTCCCCAGCGAGAAGAGTACCTCGGAGATGCGTTTGCAAACGTCGTACAACACATGTTCACCATTCTCGGCAAAGTAGAAACCTTCACGTCCGTGCGGCGCATTCCTATCCCCGCGGCTTTGATCAAAAACGCGGATGTACAGATCAGCCTCTGGGCACAAGCAGGCCATACCGAAGAGAATACCAAATTGTAAGGCCAGCAAATCAGATAAATTTAGACACTGAGAAAGTCTTACGATCGTCGATGTGTACATTCGGCCACATGTTCTTGCCTAATCCCACGACACCACCTTGCCCACGGTCGAGGCCAGCACGAATGAGATAGGGGACTTGAATCGAGTATGGATTCTGAAGGCCCTTGTCTGTGAAGCCATTCTTGGCGATTCCGTAGACAGTCGAGGGAAAGATCAAATATGTCTTCGCGTAGCCTGCCATAAACGTCAAATAAACATCGGAGAAAGTGAACCTTAATGGTTGTAGCTGCACCTTCTTTATCTGCTTCGACAATTTGTGAATCGACAAGCCGATGGGGCTGAGTGAGTGGAAGCGCCTCAATTTCCTCGATTTTCGTGTCATCAAACACCTTCGTGCTCGCATACATGCCGGCAGCATCATCATCAAGAACACCAGTACCAGACTATTCACAATACCAAATGATTAGTAAGCCGATTGTGTATAACTCCATCATCGAATCGGACTACGGACCGTTTGAATTAGTACGGGAACTTTGCCCGTCAGTTTATTACGCTTCTTCATGCCTTTGAGGATTGCTTTGCAGGCATCATAATCAACAACGTCAGCCTTGAACGTCCCATGTGAATGTTAATATTTGAGCAGCAGTCCAAACCTGCAGTGACGAGCTTACCGTTGTGATAACATAGTCGGCCTCAGAGGCATGATGCTCGAGTTTCGCAATTTCTTGAAGAGAGCCTATGACTGGTTCAATGCCATATTCGGCTGCAAAGCGTTTTGCTTTCGCCGCGTCGCGAATTAGAGCCTTGATCTTGAAAATACCAGCATCCTTGTGGTGAACAAGTCGCCAAAGAATAGAACCACCGATGTATCCTTAGTACTCATAAGTATAGAATCGTTTCGAGAAGGAAGAGTAATGTTACCTGTAGCACCGGTGACGAAGATGTTCAGCTGGTTTGGAGAATGCATGTTGGAGTCTTCTGCGCAGAGATGTACTGGACAGCTGGTTTGACGGAGTTCTAGATGAGTCGTTTTATACTGAAACTGTGACTTACAAATAGAGATTATTCAAATGTAGTGATCACCTCGTGTGCAACTGTTTGAGAAACTTCTCCAATATTGCCCATATCTACCTCAGCCACGTTCCGCCTGGTGTGCCCTCATCCCATATCCTCCGGACCCCGATCTTCATTAGCACGTCAAAAATGTAACCGATTAGTACTCCATGAGCACTAACTTTTTGGTCATGGCCGTGATGGAACAAATCCACACGTCAAGACAAGCAAGAGACGCGTTTGGCTATGCTGTAAAAAGCATGGCTACGCGTCCAGACAGTCTAGGAACCGAGATCTCCGTCAAGTGTGACCATAGTAGCGTGGTGGACGGACATGGCGCAGTAACTAACGGAGCTGTATCTAACCACGGCGTGCATCGGCATCAGACGTAACCGCCACGAGCTCCGCGTCGATATACGACAATAATTGCGGTTGAGATAAAATCAATCAAATTGAATACGGCGGTTTCTAATGTTCCGGAGATCGCGCTCTAACTCTACATGCGCCGAACGATATATCGGGAGTTTATAGAATACACCTATTAATCATCGGAGACACACGCTTCCGTAGTTATGGAAGTTCCGGACCGGTAAATTCGTTGGTATTATCTGACAAGAAAGAGGTCATTCAGAGTACAGATTCCCGGAAGACATTAACGTCCATGCTCTGATATATGCACGGAAAGCTTTGGAGCAGCCAACTTTTCAATATGTGCCTAGTCAACATTTGAGGGTAGAAACAGTTGGTTCCGTCAACTTGGCGATCAAATGAAACAGGCACACACCCTAATCCACTTCTCTCGCTGATCCGGAATATGATCAAACACCGTATAGCGCTTGTCATTCTGACAATCAAGTAAAATGAATTGAGCTAAACATGGACGGATGTCAAATTCATAAACAGAGCACAAACCTTCAGCACTCTTTCGATCTCCTGTACATCCACGCTCTTTGCAAGAGTTTTCAGATCGATCTTCCCGCTCTCGTCTTCTTCACCGGCTAGATCTTCCGCACCGATTTCAACCTTTATACCGCCTTCACCCTCCTCGCGCATTTTGCGCACGCGTCCCCAGAACTCTATGAAAGCGTTTTCGTTGAGCATATCTTGAAACTCGTGTTCGGCACGAGCGGTGCGGGCCGCTCGCCATTCCCGATATTCACGCTCCAATGCGTCAGTATCATTATCAAGTCGCAATTTCTGCGCCGGAAGGGACGTCTGAATAGAGGATATGGGAAGCTCGGCGAATTCCGTATTTAAAACAGGTGCATGCGCCTCGAAGAGCGCGTGCAGCGCAAGAAGATGTTTGTTCCGCAAGGCACCGACATGTTTGTGGAATAGTGTCTGTCGAGTTTGGTTGGGGAGAATACTATGTGTGAATCTAGGGTCTGTCTTGAGTTGGTCAAGGGACGAAGTCCAAGTAGCCTAATTGCAGAGTATAGTTAGTATCAACTCTGGGTATAAGGACGGTCGTACCGTTGGTTCCCGGATAGCGTCTGTTAGTAATGTCCTAAAATGGAGACATGGACCAAGATTAACGCCAGACAAGACCAACGCACTTATGAAGAATATCTGAGAAATGGCGCACATAAATTCCAATTCGCTCTCTTCACGAGACAACGCTTTGCGTGATCGGTTCATTTCAGTTTCCACGCGTCCACGTTCTCGCCTGACTTGTTCCTCTCGTTCCTTAATAGCTCGTTCCTTTCGTTCCCTATCCTTGCGCTTTTGATCGGCTTCATTTCCATTCGAGGTGTCGGACTTGCTTGGTCCCACCGTAAGTTGTGCTTCTCCCGACAGCGATTTCTTATAGGTATTGAAGAGCTCTTCTCGAAGAGAAGACGAACCAACTGCATCGTAGCGCGGGTCTTTGTCAAGCCCTCGCTTGACATCCTTCCAAGAGGACGTCTGAGAAATATGGGTTTTCTCTTTCAAAAGCATGAAGAAGTCCGACTCGGCCTTAGCGGCGGCCTTACGTTTCTCTGGCAATAATAGCAATAAATTAGTGTCAGTACGCCACCAAAGTATCAGGAAATCGAATCCAAGCTCACGCTCGCCAAGTTCTTTGAGCCAATCCCTAAATCTCTTTTCGCGTTCCCGGTCATCGCGACCCCACCCGTAAAAGCGCCGATCCTTCTTCCATGTTCTCCGCCACTCTGTCCAGCTGGTGCGAGTGCTTTTCACCTCCTCATGCAGTAACTTATCGAATTCTGCTTTCGGATCTTTCATATCCTCGGAGGCCGTGGCATTCTGCGCCGCAAGTTTTGCTTGTCTCAACTCACGGGCTCGGTCACGACAATATTCGTCAAACGCGTCTTTCCTTGCTGAAACAGATGGGAGAAGGACATAACGCGGATCGGATACAAACTGAGGTAAAGCAGTATCCCAAGGTAGAAGAGGATTAATGTCCTTTTCGCGAAGTAGGGTCTGGTTCCATCATTAGTTATTGCAGAGTTTGAATAAAGCAGTCTGCCAACCTTGAATAGTGCTTTCGCCTCTTCAGTTGATAGATCCACACGAGTAGGCATGTTCAACGCAGGGGTACCCTTTTCCATCTCATTTCGTTTCCTATCTTCCTCATCGTCCCGCTTCCTCCGTTCTTCTTCCTCTTTCACCCGGCGTTCTTCTGCCTCAGCCTCAGCCGCCAGCTGGGCTGCCGCCTCCCGTTGCCAGTCCTCTTCCTCATCTTCTTCCTCTTCTCCCTCGCTCTCTTCTTCGGCTTCTTCCTCGTCCACTCTCGCCCTCTTAGACACAACTATTTCGTCTATCGGTTCGGGCTTGCGTTTAACTGCCACATCAGCTTCAACTTCGTTTCTTAGCCGTTCAACTTCCTTCTCAACAGCTAGTCTAAGTTCTTCTTCGTCTGCACGTTTCTTCCGGGCCTCTTGCACCTCCTTCTCCTTTTCTTCTCGCTCCATTTGCTCCACCGCTTCCTTGATCTCATCGGGAACACTCCAAACACTCTGCTTCCGCTCTGTATGAGTGTAGAATACATTTCCCAATGTTGTGATAACACGCATCCATGCCGTTCCAGGCACGGGTGTTTTGATTTTCGGCTTCTCTTTCTTCTTGTCCTTGTTCCGTAAGGACTGTGCCGCGACAGACAACGCAGGCATTGGCCGAACATATGTAGACTCTTTTGTTAGCGTATTGTAATAGTACGGATGGCCGCTTGGCGCTAAGGAATCATAGGTTAGGTCTGCCGTTGCAGTCGGAGAACCAAGAGATGGGCCAACCTCTGTGCTCCGTCCACCCCGGAGGAAGAGGTGGTGGCACCATTACATTAGGAGTGATAGGGAAATTAGATTGTGGGACGGCCATTTCCGCTCAGTGGATCGCGATCATCGAAATGTTTAGGCCAAGGCTAAAAGCGAACGGAACAACTAATCGCAAGCATGACGGATTAACGCGCAGGTAACACTAGGACGAGAGCCAACTCACCAATTGCACCTCCCAAGATAACGGGTCCGAATACAACGGTGCTTGGAATGAAAGCCTCAAGAACACAAGCTCAGCGCTGGTGCTGTGGCGGTCGAGGTCAAAGATTGATTGTCCGGCAAGGAACCGTGACAAACTATCCGCATGAATTACGAGTGTCACATATCATGTGATTAAAATGCGACATCACGTATCGACTTTATGTAAGTAATATAACCTCATCGATCCAGCCTGTTGCAAAATATATTTGTCTTGCATACTATTTGTGAGTTGTAACATCCTCTCAATGCTTGTTAAATTTTGTTAGACCTCACGTAAATAACCTGAAATACAGTACCAAACACCTAAGCAATTGGATCTCGCGCCATATATGCCCTCCTGACTACACTATGTGAAATTATTGGATGCTTACCAACCATGCCTAAATGTTCAACACATCACATCAACAATGAGATTGCTTACATTGAATGCACCAAATAGTCTGCCCAAATAGCTCGGAAAATCTGGTTGCATAAAGTGCTGTAAAGGAAACAGATTAAAATCGTATCTACATCAGAAACATAATCTATACAACAAATCAACTTGCTATCCCACACATATCAAAGCATGTGTAAAGTCCCAGATCTATGATGCCTTGTGGTCTGTGCAGCATTGCCCGGTGTAATATACTCTCTCCACAGACACTGACAGTGTTGTGAGTAAGAAATCTCTGTTGTTCAATCTCTTTCAATGCAATACAACAGAAAGCAAGATCTTCCATTCCCTCTTTCCTTTACCCTATCAACCTTTCATCTGTCATAATTTGTACTTCACGCCAAATTTACCGCTTTCTAGGTAAGCAAGGCGAAATCCAAACATAAATCAATTCACTTCGTCGAGTAACCGCTTCCAACCTGTGTGCTTTGCCCTGTTGCAGCACGCATATATGCGGCGTACGTCTGTGCAAGCACGTCAACGTCGGTTGCAACACTGATCATATCAAAGCCTTGCTCGGCGCGATGGCGAGCTTGATCACCATTGGTACCTTTGCATGCCAATCACATATTGCATACAAAGATCGGATTGAGATCAGAGATTGTAGAGCGAGAAGGGTTGATTGGCTACGCACAGTAAATAGCAGCTTTCTTTCCATATTTGTGCGAGATCGTCAATACTTTCTGGATCGCCTCTTCATGTGCGTCACCACCAAAGTTGACGCCCAGGTTAAGTGCAAGATCGAATGGTCTAATAAATTAGGAAAGCAACATATGGTGAGACGATGTATAGTAGAAATCGACGATGGATTGAAGGTACCCGATAAAGAGAATATCGAGCCCCTCAACCTGCGCGATCTCCTCCAAGTTTGCTACCGCTTCCTTCGTCTCGATCTGTCCAAGAACGAACTAATGCAAAGCAGATCTCAATATCATTACAGAACAGAGCTAATTTTTATTATTTTTTAAAAAAAAACACTTTACCAAATCCCCAGCACCTGCTTTATATTCTTCAGTAGTGCAAGTCTCGCCAAACGCATGGTGTGTATACATTGGTCCGAATCCCCTCTCGCCTATAGGTGGATATTTACAGTTTCTCACAATATCCTTCGCATCTTGCGCATTCTTGAGAAGAGGAACCATTAACCCGTGTGCTCCTGCATCCAGCGCGCGTTTAGCCCACCACGCGCTTGAGTCGGGTACGCGCACGATAGGAGAACGACCCGCAGCGGAGATCGTAGTTGTGTGTGTGTACAGATGCGTATCCTGTATGTCGTAAAGAATTCGCGTTATTTATCTGATCTTGACCATGAATCGGACGTACGTTAATTTGACCATGTTCAGCATCGACAGCAACCCACTACGTTGAATAACACGTTGTCAGCTTCTTTTCATGCAGTTCAGTGATCCAGTCAAAGCTCAACGAAACAAATCTCTATTCCAGATCATTGCCGGACCCGGAACACGTGGTTGAATACTTCGCTATCGCTCTTTGAACGACTTACACTAAGCCCAGGTGTACTCGCAACAGTCCTCGCAGCACCTGCACCTGGAATCGTTCCCCACGCACCAAATGCAGTTTTACCAGCAGCAAATGCTTCTTTCAAGGGGATCTTCATAGCCATCGTTGAAGCTGTTAATTTGACTATTCAGTTTCCCGTTTCCAAGCCTCAAAGTATACAGAACCGAAAGTGTTGATGCAAGTGGTGTGCAACAGCGTCGAGTCTCAGTGCACAGAGAGATAACCACGGTCCGCAACCTGATCAGCCAATGGGTCATCTGCCCCTGACCGATGAGAAGCCTGAAAGCCTGAGATCGGGCCTATCGGACGTTAGAAGGTCGCATTATTTTGACACAAGCCAGAAGTCGTATTGCTATTCTGTAAGACGAGATGGAAATCTTAACTTCATGGAGCAGAGTAGGGAGGGTACTGTAACTGCAGACCGTAGAGCTCCTAAATATAGTAAGAGTAGATAACATAGCGATGATCGTCTCTGGCCTTTAAGTAAGGTAAATTATGTGACGAAGTCAGAAGGTGTAAGTAATTTAAGCAAGCGAATACATTCGGGAAGTGCACTTCAGCGCGCATATACATACATTCACCAACATATACACAGTTCTAGATATATTATATTACATCGGATCGAATAGTGAGGCGGGAAGTCCATTAGAAACGAAGGAAGTTTAGTAACACAGCGTCAGCAAAAGGAACAGGCCAGAGCAAAAGTTGACGCGTTAAGACAGCCAGCTAAACCTACGGAGAGCGAAGAATATACGGGCAAGCTCATCTATCCAGCTCGAACGAAGAGTGAGAAGGAAAAAAGAGAATTTTAGAGATAGGCATAGATCGACAGATATACAAAAGACACGACAAAAGAAACGGCAGACTCCTTACCCTGCGCTTCCGTATCCTTTAACACTTCCCCATCCTGAAGGGTATCGGTGCGGACTTGGTGCAAGTGGCATAGCCTCATCCGTCTCGAGCTGCAAGTCATCTGCATCATCCGCAACAGAGAACAATACTGTCCCACTGCCGGAGACGGAATCACCGCGTCGCGCCTTCTTACTTGAACCCTTCCCACTCACGGATTTCCATCTTCCCCAGACTCTTCCCATCCCCTTACCGGGAGCGGTAGTTCTAGATCCGTTGAGAGAAGCAGACGTGGAAGCAGAGGCAGACGAAGATCGCCTCGGTGCTCCAATCATGAAATCTTCGTCAGCACCTAAATCAATGGCCTCCGTCTCTTGCGTATGAGAGTCCTCGCTTGATCCAGAAGACGACCACGACAATCCCTGTCCTCGATCACGTTCATAGTCTCCGTCATATTCATAGTCATAATCATTCAAAAGTCCACGTTCGGCATCTGCCCAAGCACGTAATCGCGAAACGTGAGGCCGGAAGCCGCCCTTTGCCCGACGTAAGCGTCTGCGACGAGCTCGCTGCGGAGCGGAGAGAGTTGGGAGGGTGAGAGTTGGAAGGGAGATGCGTTTGAAGTTAAAAGTATTGAGCCGCATTTCTGGGAGGTGTTGCGTGATTGTAGAGAGTATTTCGCGGAGCCGCTCTCGGCGCGTATATGCGCTGTAGCCCAGCGCACTTGTCAAAGCGCTATTTAGAGAAGTCGTTCATCCGGATGTACGGAAGAATCCACGCAACGTGCAGGTCAAATAAAATTATCGAGATAGCTAAAGTTAGCCTCGCAAGAATAACCGCTGAGAAAGGAAGAAACGCACATTACTGCGAGGATGCCTAGAATGCCAGCACGTCGTCGACCCTCGTTAATCGGACTTGGGGGCGATGCGAAATCTTGCTCGTCGGATTCATTGGAATCACCATCGGACGAGTCGCGTTCGTCGTTCTCTGCGCTCCTGAGTTCCACAGTGTCCTGCACCAGTGCATCAATTTCTAGTTGATCAGATCGCAGAGTGTAGACGCCAGCCAGTCCAGTAGAGTCTACTCGACCGTCTTCTCGACTCGATTCATCAAGCGCATCAGGTTTGACATCTTCCCGTAGTTGCGACGTCGTCGGTTCTTCGTTGACAGACAGACCATCACGACGAGAATCAACTGATTTGGCCAACGTCAAGTGCGTTGCAAGCGCAACGAGTGCGCAGACCAAGATATGCCCAGATACCCTCATGAGTGAAGAGGGCTGAGGGAAAGAGAGAGGGACGAGGCTGTGAGGGCGAGGGTAAAGGAGCTCCAGGAGGCTGAGCGATTCCTTTTGCCTGAGAAGGAATGTATGTCACTGCATACATCGTGCACCCACATGCGCCATTTTGGTGTGGTGGAGTACCCCGGTTACCCATCGGGCCGCATACACGTGACCTCCCGTCGCTCCGGCTCAGCTCAACTCAACGAAGAAATATCTTTCTCCAGCGAAATTCATACGCTATATATCGGTAAAGATGCGCTTGAAGCGTACGGATGCCGGTACACATCTATATGTATCGAATGGTTAGCACGTGCATGCAGTCTTAAATTCTCCAAACAAGCCGGAAGCCGGATTTCATCCTGTTGTAGAGTGCCAGCGATACAAACTGAAGTACTGGGGCCAGCCTGACATGATGCCAGCAGGGCTGAACCTCCACCCAAATCCGAATGTTTAAGATTTTCTTCCGCAGAAGATCTGTCCGTTGTGTATAATGTGCCGGCAGCCGGATATTCTGGTGAAATGGAGATTACCGAGGCAGTTCGACATATCAAGCGTTATTTGGGCAATTGCTTCGAAGAAGCAAAGGAAATGTCTGAAAGGCAGATAGTCGTCGAAGTGCTACGCGTTATATCACATTTTCACAACTGCCGTACAACCCGAGAAAAATACCAAATTCCGTGTACTACAAGATGACGGGTACAAAGCAGCGGGACAGCAGGACATTGGATCATTTTGGTTTGCGGTAATCCTTATGAGATTCCGCAGGATACTCTAGTCGACAATGAGTCTCAGTGACCAAACACTTTATTTGGCAATTATGTTATTTGTGTGTATTTGTAGTATTCCCAATTTAGGTGTCCTTCTTTTTCCGCGGTGAAGACCCTTGTTCTCAGCAGTCTTCTCGCGCCCGTGTAGACAACAGGTTTATCAACTTCACGTCCCACATCTCTCACCTATCTGACTGCAGGCTAATGGAAAACAAATCGCAATGTACTAGTGGATAAACATCACCTTAACTTGGACTGACTTCTACCGAGACGACAAGGCAACTTTGGAGTGCTCGCCATGCATAGGCGGTGTGCGACCGTTTCTGACGGATAGGCTCCGACAAGCGAGCAATGCCGTGGCAGCCGCAGTGCGCGCTTATTATAAAGTGTCGCTTCCCTCTTCACCTGTGCTGTTCTTTTCACCCGTGTCTTGCGCTCTTTCTACGCGGGGTCAACGATCGACTATAAGCCTCCTCGTCCCTTCCTTCCCTTTGATTCCTTTTGTCTATTTCTACTAGCTCTTGACGAGTTGGTTTTAATTATTACGCTTTATGTCGTCGACCACAACTACCTACGTCTCTCGTACACCAGTGTTCAACACAATGGATCCTTTCTCGCGAACGCGTCGAGTCGACGAAGCTCGGAGAGCTGGTAATACACTCCGGAAAGCCCCAGTTTTCCCCGATGGCGTCTCTACTCGGGAGTCACGCTCCCTCGATCTCGAGATGAACCGACGTCTTCCCATCGGACCTCGCTCCATGGGCTCGGGCAGTCACAACAACTCAAGCACCGTATCATCGCGTGCAAGCAGAGAACCATCAGACAAACGGAAAGCACAGGCTGTTCGAAGACAAGGATCCCTTTTCAGTGTCCCTGTTGCGCTGAACCCAGCCGCGAACATCTCGACTTCGTCACTGTCGTCTGTGTATTCTCAAGCATCTGTCTCGAGTGCGGTTTCTCTATCAGAGGTGAAAGGATTCTCAGCTGCCCGTCGACGGAATGCCAACGTCCCTGCTCCTCTTTCTCTGAACCCGAGACCTAGTCCGTCCTCCGTCTCAAGCCAGATTCCGAAAGAACCGTCCTCTTCACATCCAGCGCACAGACGCTCACAGACAATATCCGTTACTCTGGCGTCCAACCCGAATTCGGGCGTTGGGACCCCTACACCTCTCACACCTTCCTTCCGCTTCCGAGCAGCTGCGATCCCGTCTCAACGTCGCAAGAAGCTCGCAAAACTAGCTCGAACACTCGGAGAGAACGTGCCAGCAGATCTTGTCTTCCCTTCATACCCCTATCATGATAGTTCCGCTCCGACTACACCTGTTTCAGCGAAAGAAGATACATTGCGGGACGTCTCGTACGCTGACATGCCCATGCCCTCGTTGAACATGAACACGAACACGCGGCGCAATTCTGTTGCGAAAAGGCCGGAAAGGGAGAGCGGGTACCGCAGAATGTCATTGTCAGCTGGAACTTTACATGTCCTTGATGCGAATGTGCTTCGTCGACTATCTATCCACAAGAGGAATTCCAAAGGAGTATCGAATTGGAAGCCTCCGGCAGAATGGGAGTTAGGTCCGTCTGATACATATACACCTGTCAGAGACGATCGTGACGAAGATGAATTGCTGGGCTTGTGGAATGCGGACAGTTACGACGCTGTGATGCACCGTTTACGACACTTGAAGAGGTGATTCGAGATCGCTCCCGTGATTAATTATTCTTCTTCAATTTCTTCTCTTATATTATGACATGATACATACTGAAATCTTTACCATTTTACTCTTATACGTTCTGGTTAACGCTTGAAACCCCATTCCTGTAATGAGTCTATTATAATGCGTTGCATGCCCTATATTTATTAGCTCCGTATTGTATTGCATAAAGCAAAATATCTAATTAATGTTATAATACGCATATTCTGTTTACGCAAACCTGTCATCACCGATGTCAGCTTGAGTGATCAGTCTCACGTTAATTTATTCTGGTGTGAGACTAAGGACACCAACTGCATACGAAACTCGATATCTCCCCATTCTTTACAGGAGCATAAACTCTTGTATACACTTTCATCTAGCACACAGTGGGACAGCAACAACAATAATAACGAGTACAAATTTTAGTGTGCATTGCATTGACAGGATCTACAATGACGTCATGCAGCAATGGAAGTAATGAAACCTCTTTCTTAGCTTCTATCCTTGCCACCCATGTATTGATTCCTAGACTCATCCTTATCTCTTTTTCCTTTCAGAGTCTCTGCGGATCCCAACTTAATTTAGACCTGCACAAAGAACTTGAGCACGCAAATGTTGCTAATCATCACTACGAAATTTAAAGCCATGTCGATTGTTACTTCACCAGATCGAGTCAATTCCTGTCCCAAAGACCAAAGTAATATGTAATAATTCGAGAAAATTTGTCATATCATGAATTTCCAGCCAGGCGAATTAAGATAATAGACGGGAAAATTACAGAAGAAACAGGATTGAAAGTCCGAATTGTTCTGCTATCAAGATACAAGTTCGCCTGGCTCAGCAAGAATGTAATTGTCGTAAAGCGAGGTCGTCACAGTATCCATGAAAAAATAGTCGTGATCATGAGCACTAATGTCAGATAGGAAAGAATCGAAATCGAATAGTGGATTAAAATGCTTGTCCGAATTGAATGGTGATAATTGTCACAAGAAGCGAAAGCGGGAGTGATGACGAAAGGTTGAGAGTCCGAAAGAGAAGTGTCTGAGTAAATGTCCATCTCATGAATAAACGCATTTAGCAGGTCCAGGAGCTCTGGAAAACATAAGTAACATGAGCTTAGAACACGCGAAATACAATGAATATTAAACTCACATCCTTAGTGCCTCGAGGACCGACGCTGTGATAGGCCGGTAGTCCACCGAGACATTCCGCTACAGTAGCAAAGTTGTACCCTTTCGCCTTGAGAGTCTGGATTGCGAACGGCAGCACATCATACCTACAAGGCGCACAATGTCAAAAATTCGGCGTCCGAGACAAAACCTAGACAGAAGACTTACGCAGTTGATGAATATGTCTCATGATTGAGAGCAAGAACATTGTTCGGACGACGATTGGCGAGGTCCGTGTACGCTTGTTTGCTCTGCTGTGCTGATGAACCAGTGGAATCACCAGAATCGAAATCCCAGAGGACGAGGCTCTGGTTACGGATTGCAGATGCGGAGCGAACTTGGTCGTTGTAGTTACCGTATGGCGGACGCATCCACGCGGGTGATGCGCCAAGAATACGCATCATCGCAAGCTCGACTTTCCACATTTCGTCGTGAACTAGATGGAGGAGTAAAAGCGCCGCAGTCAGTACCGTGGGTAGTATGAAATAAATTACAGAAGAAGTGAGATGCAAAATGAACGTCGGGAGCCAGAAAGGGGAATGGTCGGAAGCATCACAGGAGAAAGTGAAATCAATTGGCAAATGCAAAAGATGAAAAACGTACTCTTGTCCCAAGACTGTTGCGAAAGGTCCAAGTGTGCCCACGTATGACTTCCAATCAAGTGACCCGAGTCGTATGCATGTTGAAGTTGTGGATAGATATTGTCATCGTAAATGCAATCATCTAAGCGACGCGTAGCATCGAAGTGGCAGTGATCAACCGGCGTTAGCCTGAAACAGAAAGAAGCGATATAAATAGTTCGGATGTACGCACAGTTGTTCCCGTTGACGAAGAAAGTGGCCTTAATTCCGGCATTGTTAAGCGTATTAACGATGTCTGCGGGTCGGTGCTGCCTTAGCGGGGCGGTACGAATGGTATTAGGGTAGTACAAACCTGATTCATAAATGTACGGCCCATCATCGAAGGTCAATGCAACCTGTTGTTATTGACTTTGATTACATGCATGCTAGAAGAGCTATGTTGTATGGAAGACGTACGGTATTGGGCTAGACATTGAGTGGGTGCGTCAATATCTTGCAGTTGACAGCGGGATTGAAGCGTCAGCTTACCTGAGAGCAAGAGCTGTATACTGCTGCAAGGCCCTGGCGACGAATGAGCTCAAACTCAGGCTCGGGGTCCGGCGTCGGCGCAGCTACTGCAAAACGTGCAGCGGAGAGAGTGGCAAGGATAACGGAGACGTGAGACAACATAGTGTGTATAAAGGGTTCAGAGGCTGCTGGTCCTGGAGATCGTTGCTAGTCGTGAACGAACGCGTGTAAGTAGCGGGTGCAAGTGTAATAGACGGGAACAGATACGAGAGGGTATCTGGAGGTGTTCGAAAACTGGCGAGACAGTGCATTTTATATCGAATGGAGGGGAGGGTATAAACAGATGCTGTCTGATTTGGTAAGGCGGGTGGCATCGCGTGGGGAGTGAAACTAGCCGTACAGGGGACCTGCCGAGCTCAATCTCGGCCTCGACGCCTTGCCCAGTCAAACACCAGTGGTCTTCATGGAAGCCCAGGAACTAGACTGAATGACACATGCGCTGCAATTGTTTCCCTGTTCGGTCCTTTCTATCCAAATAAGGGATGAATAAATAGAGTACGCGCTATACGCATGGTACGCATGGCATTTGCAAATCGCCCGAAAGCACACGCCGGCTTGGAAGGCCGCCCTCTTAGCCCGCTTTATCATCGAACAATGTATTTCTCCGCAACTGTCGGCCTGTAGTTTCGGTATTCAAGATCCGTGTCTCCGCTTTTTTACGAACTTAAGCTTTCGCTGACCAGCACTAGTGCCATGCGCACTGTCCCCTAGTCACGCAAATACACAAAAACGAGTACACATTTATGATGGAACAAAGCGCCGTATCTTCCCGGAACAAGTAGCATCGCTCATTGTGCGCTCTGGACTGGCGCAACAAATTGTGCAAAATAGGGCTGATTAAATGGTGAACATACTCAGCTGACCCGAAGGTGTTTGTCTCGGAATGCATCCTGTACTCAATTCTTTCCGTAATGCTGTCCTTCAGGCTGCCCACCCTAGATGCACTTCCGAGACGTTGTGGTACTAAGAGAAGCAGGAGCGCTAGGATGAGTGTCGAAGTCGAAGCCAATGAATCATCTTCCTCTGTAGAATTGTTCCTGGACAAGGGATAGGCAGATCATCCTCCACTTCTTCGGTCTCGGTCCCGGACCGGACATGGTTGGCACATGATGATCCGGCACCGAACCCCACTTTCTTTCCATCTTTGGCCGAGTGAAATGCCGACGCCGTTGACGTCAGGCTTACATCTTTCAGTGCTAGCGCTCAACATTCCACTCCCATCATGATCATTGCATGCACCGTTGAGCATTTTGTCTGCATCTGTTCGCCTCTCGTATTTCGTGACGACTTTTTGTGTGTGTTCTAGTGTACTTTTTGCGATTCACAAACTTACGGAGACGTCTCGCCGCCCCAAGTCTCTCCGGCTCCGGAAGATTTCGAGATGACCATTGACATCGCCTACTTAATCACCAGGCCTTGGCGTATTATTCAACATAGCAATACGACCAAACAGCGGAGGTGTACGGCTGCTGTCAAGACATGCCAGGTCCAGTTATTTACAAGCAAACATGATTTACTTCTTCAATTTGATCACTTCAGAAGGACTTCCAACACACGTTCGATGACCCCGCGGCGCTCTCGCTGAAGCGCTTCTAAATTCTTCAGTTTCCTTGCATAGGGAAGGTGTCTTTCAAGTTCACCTTCAAGTTCGCCGCTATGGCTTCCCGAAAAATCCGAAATCACGAGGGACAAGTAGACGCTCTTCATAGCGTTCTGAAACGATTCTTTTCTAGTCCGAGCGCGGCAAGTTCTTCTTCTCCATGTGCGTTAACGCGCGTGTAAAATCCGTCTACTGTATGCTCTTCGAAATTGCGTGATGAGGCCTACGCAACTTCGTACTGACCCACTGATCGGCTTTGAGAGCGACGAACTACAAGTTTGTTCGGCCGCCGTTGCTCCGCCAGGTCGTCTAATAATAATATGGAAACTGCAGTTAAGATCCATTCGGCTTGCGAGGAGAACTAGGACCTTTAAAAGTCCGTCTCTCTACTTTCCCTTGTCCATGGACTACTCGAACGTTCGATACAACTTCGTAAAGACGTTTTTTGTGGTTCGCCTTCGCAGGCCTATTTCTCACTCCTGTTCCAGACCAGCGCTCATAAACGTGCATCATGGAACTTATAATAAGTTATATTGCACTGTTCAAAGCTTGGGCTGGGTACTTGCTATATCTGCTCTAGCAACTTCCGATTGGCTTGTCCTTATATCGGGTTGCGATCACAGTGGAGGATATGTCTTCTGGCCTATGAGACACTATCTGCTATGGAATGCTTGTTTTAGTTGAGAGAACTGACGAACAAATGAAGGCGCTAAGCTCAAAGAAACCAGTGTAAACTGCGGTACAGTCCCGTTCCCTTTTAGTATCTTCATTCAAACTTCCGTAACTGAATAACTATGAATGATCATCAGCACAACCCTTCTTTCTGTTTAATTCTGCAAGTACCTACATTTGGAAAAAATCTGGAATTACAACCTGGAGCAGAACTGAGGCATTACGATCACATGTAAAACGAATATGTCATCAATTTCCTTCCATCCATGTCTCTCCTTCCCGAACACATCAACAACCGGCTGTTCTGTTTGCAAGAAGTCGAAATGCATTTCCTATTTGACTACCGGCCTCATTGTAAGGTATAAGAATAGATCTTGACATCCATCGTGATGCGTCATTTGATGTCTGAGAGGAAAGACAGGGTCTCATTGTGCTACAGAATTGATGGAAGCATACTAGGCATTGGGGTCCACAAATCATTGACATCTTCGAATTTGTCCACAAGGTAGACCAATCGTTAGAAGCACGCCACTTTCCATTACCTCGGCACCTTCAAGCAAAGAATTTGCATTCTAAGCAACTATATGTAGCTCATGGAAGCTGTCAAGTAATCCAACTTTCCGTTCAAACGTACAGTACACTGCACTTAGGTCCTTTTCAATAGCATATGCTGAACTTCCTGTTGTCGTGCCTGGGTCCTCTTCAGTAGCAGACGTTGAACTGTCCTATTGCAGCCGCTGAAAATTTTCAAGGGCTGAAGCCTTCACCCTTCTCTTCTGGAGAAACATTCGAGAAACTCTCAGTAGACGTTCCGTGTTTCGTGAACACGATCTCCTCTCCTCAAGTGGGCGTCATCTGGTTCTGATGATTCCTGCTGTCGCTGTTGCTGACGACGTTGTCCATTTATCCCGAATGTGTTTAATCTCCTTCCGAGTCCAGACATGAATAAAGTGCTTCTTTGCAATAGAAATTGAATTCGTCAGGAGCAATGAGGATCACAAGGTCGAAATTGACTATTGCAGAACCAATAACAATGATATTCCTCTCTGCTTCTGCGGAGAGAACGAGGGTGGAGATCTTGTGGATGCATCCTGAGTACAGGGCTTTCATGGAGTTCCTCGGCAGGACAAGAGACCAAAAGAGTGTGTCGCTGACAACTTGCCTGTCGACCTAATTGAGATGCTCCAGACCACTGGGAAGATATCATTACTCTGCAGTAATATCCTCCCGTAAATAATATCAATGCGTACATGAGCTTGATACGTGCTGGTGGTGTTCCTGAGTAAGCCTGCCAAGATCGTCGTGGAAACCACAGGGCCAACTCAAGCCTTGAGAATATGTGAGCCTAGACAGAACCCAATAGACGAGACTCCAGAGCATTGACGAATCAGTCCAAAGGACAAGTCATAATAGGGGAAATCATTATTAATAAATTATACCATCCAAGAGTTGTATTCAATTCCCAAAAAATCCAATGCGAGCCAAGCCAATGCAACGAAGACAAATTAATATCAGTTATGGTTGTCTTTTATATCCCTTTGATCTAAAGAAGGATCTGCCGGAACTGGGTCACCGCCTGTGAGCTCTGCAGCTGCGATAGGCGGTTCACCAAGCGCTTTATGAATTGCTCGGGCGTTTAGGAGCTTGGCATATTTAGGCTGGACGAAGAGACCCCTGCAAGAGAGAACAATTGCAGATCGTTAGCTCTATCAAAGTAAAGGCCGAAGAAAGGAGAAGAATAAAAGGGGTAGGAGTGGGGACTGACTTCGCTCTTGCTAACAAGGCGCCGTTGACATCCTCTATTGAACCTTCTACAATTGCCTTGCGCCCCTTGAGCTCTACAACTCGGCAGCGAACCACAACGAACTAGAAGGATTCAGAACTGGATAGAATAAATGTAATGTACGATATATGAACGTACCTGGTCCGCTTTCGTTGGCGCTTTATAGTCTACTGTTAGAGTCGCAGTTACAGCTATCTTTTCCGGAACATTCACTATTGCCTATCAACGAAGATCAGAGTTCAGTGACATGATGACAGATGGGATTGAATTAAGCTCACTAGACGTCCAAGACTCTCGTCCAGGATAGTCGCAATTAGACCACCGTGAACAACACCGTCATGACCACAGAGTCCACGTCCAAAATGAATGACGGCTAGTGACTCCGACTCGTCCCTCTTCACGCGCAACACCGGTGGTAAGGCAAGTTTTCCTGGCCCACGCAATGCACCAGCAGTCAAATGATTTATCCTCTGCTCCTCAGGATATTTTATGTAAGGACGCGTCTCATACCATTCGTGCGCGTCGGGCGCATTACGATGTCGTTCAAGAAGTGGAAGGTGTTGTAGCCTCTGTTCCAACTCTTCTACATATGCTTTTGCCCTTGGATCTTCTGGGTCCGGAGGGCCGGGGGCAGCTCGGGGAGAAACTAACGTGGCGACGTCGGGTGGGTAGAGCGCGCCGACCGTGAACGCCAGACAAGACGCCCCAAGCGCTGCAGTTAATGCATGAGATCTCTTTATCCGGTTATGTGTGGAATGAACGTGAGCATGCGGACGAGCTTGTCCGTGAGTTGGTGAGTGGTGATGAGACGTTGAGTAGCGTAGCGAGAGTTGCCGGTGAGGATTGGGAGACAAGAGCGACGAGCGTAGGCGTGCCAGTGTAGACGAGACCGAACTGAACCGAGAGACAGTAGACATTCTAGAGGACGAAACCACTTCTATGGGTATTTGTTGAATACGAGCGACGCTGTTGTCGCCGTCGCCAGTGTTGTCCTCGTCGTCGTGGACGTTGAGTTGAGAACAGGGAACACGGCCCGTGCTGTTCGTGCTGTGCGTCATTCGCTGCATAAGGAAAAATCTGAGGGAGAGAAAATATTAAATTTTCGTGGCGCAGACTGATCACTTTGCTCCCTGCCTGCATCTTCCCTCCTGACCGCCATCTCACGCCTCATCTCACCTCACACTCTAATTTGTCTGGCTGTAGACCTACGCACGACTACATAGCTCAAAGATGGCACCAAAAGTCTCAGCATCAAAAGCGAAACGCCTCGCACAAAAGGTTGCGATTCAAAATGCTAAGGGCAGCACTACAGCGGGGTCGACGCCCCCTGGCTCAAATCTAGGAAGCGAGGCCAGCACTCCGATCACCAGCCTTTCCGCTGCCGCGAGCAGTGATGACCTGACTTCAATGGCCAAGCTTCAGATTGCAACTGATCGGTGCGCATACATTCTTCATATCATGTCGAGTGTGCCCTTGACCAAGTTTGTGATCTTTCAGGAGTGCTGCAGGCAATTTGGCATCTGATGCCAAAGGCCGCGATATCAAGATCGATCAGTACACATTGTCATTCCATGGCCGATTACTCATCGAGGGCGCGGAGATTGCATTAAACTACGGACAACGTTATGGACTGTTGGGCGACAACGGCTCGGGGAAGGTGCGCATCTTATTAATCGTCTTCCAGCATATATCTTACTTTACTTTTTCTTTCTTGATTTCCGTTTAGTCAACCTTACTGCAATCGATAGCTGAGCGGGACATATCCATCCCCGATCATATAGACATCTATCTCGTTCGCGGCGAGGCAGAACCATCAGACATTAACGCCTTAGATTTTATCATCGCATCCGCTCGTGAAAAGGTCGCGCGACTCGAGAAGCGTATTGAAGACATGAGCGTGGCGGACGATGTTGATGAACTGGCATTAAACGCTGCTTACGAGGAGCTAGACGAACTTGACCCTAACACGTTTGAGGCGAAAGCGGGTAGTATTCTCCACGGTCTCGGCTTCAGTCAGGAGATGATGAAACGTTCAACAAAAGACATGAGTGGTGGTTGGCGTATGCGTGTCGCACTTGCTCGTGCCCTATTTGTTAAGCCACATCTCCTCTTGCTTGACGAGCCGACGAACCATCTCGATTTGGGCGCCGTCGTCTGGCTTGAGGCTTATCTTTCTACTTACAATCACATTCTCGTCATCACTTCGCATTCGCAAGACTTCATGGACAGTGTTTGCACGAACATCATGGATCTCACTCATAAAAAGAAGCTCGTATACTATACTGGTAATTACACGACTTACGTCCGCACTAAGACGGAGAACGAAGTCAATCAAATGAAGGCGTACCAAAAACAACAGGACGAAATTAGTCACATCAAAAAGTATGCTTGGTTCTTATTAATTGGTTGCTTTTCACCTTACTAATACTCTGCCCTGTGTAGATTCATCGCGTCGGCTGGTACGTACGCCAACCTTGTCAAACAGGCCAAGTCGAAGCAGAAGATCATCGACAAGATGGAAGCTGCTGGACTTGTCGAGAAGGTCGAGCAGCCGAAACCATTACGGTTCAACTTCGAAGACATTCGCAGACTCCCACCACCTATCATCGCTTTCACGGATGTTGCATTCTCGTATTCAAGAAAGAAAGAGGACTATCTCTACGAGAAGTTGTCCTTCGGTATTGAGTTAGTGCTGTCCCATGATTAACTATTCTATACCTTTTGTGCTGAACGAATTTTACATCATTTAGCATGGACTCCCGAATCGCTATCCTTGGTGCTAATGGTGCCGGAAAGTCAACGCTCCTCAACCTTATCACCGGCGTCCTGCAGCCTGTCGAAGGCACAATATCAAAACATGTGAACTTGAAACTCGCCAAATACTCGCAACATTCTGCAGACCAACTGCCTTACGACAAGACGCCGATTGAGTACCTCGAATCGCTATACAAGGAGAAATATCCCGAGAAGGATGTCATGGTACGTCTGTCTTTCTGTTTTTTAAGCTGAGTCCAGGGAAGCGTATATATGCTGATGATGATATACGCAGTCGTGGCGGGCTCAACTCGGTCGTTTCGGTCTTTCTGGATCGCATCAAACCTCCTTGATCAGGCAATTGTCCGACGGTCTACGGAACAGGTTCATTCACTGCGCCTCATTCGCTGGATGATATTTCTAACACGTTTATTGTTAACATCAACAGAGTTGTTTTCTCACAACTTTCTATGGAACATCCTCATATTCTTCTACTCGGTAAGCATGTAGACGCTTCTTGTGAATTGGATCATACTAACGCGAACTTGCAGATGAGCCAACGAATCACTTAGACATGATGTCTATTGACGCTCTTGCTCGTGCGATCAAGGAGTTTGAGGGTGGTGTAGTTATTGTTTCACATGACTTCCGTAAGTCGCCGTTTTCTACTCCCCAAACGTATTCCCACAATTAATGTTTCTCGTATACTATAGGACTAATCTCGCAAGTTGCGGAAGAGCTGTGGGAAGTGAAGAACAAGACTATCCGTAACTTGACGAGGGAAGACATTTCGATTGTTGACTATAAGAAGATACTCATGAGCGAAAGTAAGCTTCTCACTCTTTCTTACATTTGATATGTGTCGTTGATGTCCAAAATTTTGCTTCGTTTCTAAGGTCAATCGGCACTCGAGAAGGCGAAGTTATTCAGCAAGACAACGAGTCGAACAAAGGCTTGAACTCGTGCAAGGTCATTTCGCAGGGAGGAGGGCGTTGACCTTTCAGGGGAGACTACGACAGTGCTGTACATCGCCGCATACGTGTGGGCTTAGTACTGGTTATGTTCTCCAGTAGTGTTGTAGGAAGAGGCGTATATCGATGTGTACATGTATGATACGATACGTGTACCCATCTGACCCATTCGAGTTGTGGACACATAGAGCATATTGAGACTGTAATGATCACTGCACGGGTGCTTTCGATTCTAGACGTACATTATCTAGCTTTTTGGATGCAGGACAGCCACGGGGGGTGACTTATTCAATGTCTTCCCAGCCCAGCAAAATTCAGCACTAGTGAATTCAGAATCACATGGTCGGAGACGTCTTGACTGTTTCCGTTTGTTACACACAGAGCAAAATCAAAATTTGAAAATAAAGAACTTTTTATTGGAATGTAAAAAAAATCTACTTTGTTTGGCTACTTTTGTATTCTGACGTTCTAGAGCTTAGAGCTGTATCTAGACAATCGTTTTGGTAGAGCAGGATTACTAGGATGTTCGATCTTCACGTAATATGCTCCTTTTTGCACGAGCAATGGAGTACTGTCAACAGTCGGACCATAGTGTGCTCGAACGGCTAGAATTCATGTATCAAATACGTACCTGGATACTTCTCCTATGTTGGAGGATCTAGTAGCTTGAAGCTCAAATGATAAGGATGGCTGACGGGGAAGTGGCAGGGCAAAGTGGAAAGAGGTCAACCGGAATAGCAAATGAGTCGTTTTGCATAGCTCTTCCAGTCTTGTTCCATCTCATCCGAAAAGGCTTTAATGCAGAAACCCGGTGCTGTATTTGAGAAGAGCAAAAAAGCAAGAGGAGTGGACGTAAAGGGAAAGCTTGTCTGGAGGTTGATCGAGATGATGGCCGATCGGCAGATGTTGCCTAAAATACACCAGGTTTCCTCCCTTATGTTACGCTTATCGTCTTGTCTGCAGTCTTTGTACCCTGAGATGCTGCCTCAACTAACGTGTGGAGAATCACAAATGCTTTATGTGTCTCTGCTGAGCTGAGCTTTTCAACAATGCACTCCTCCGGATGTGATGTCCGCGCCTCAAAGTTGGATATGCGAACAGCGCCGACAAGGGAATAACGAAGCACGCCATGAGGAAGACAAGCACCTTTAATTCATCAGCGACGAATCGAATGTGTTCTACCGTCCGGTTTCCGATATACGCTCAAGGTTATTTTAAGCGACCAGCGCACTACTCTTCTGCAATGGACTTTCATGTTGTGAAATGGAACCGAACAGAAACGCTGCCTCGGGCGCGGATAGAGCGTTGCCTCAAAGACAAAATGGGAGAAGCCTTTTGGTGGATCCACCAGCGACGACCAAGGGGCCAGGACTCGACGGATCTGACACAACTACTGAATTTCAGGGGCAGAGACGAATGAAAATTCTATGCTTGTCGTGATGTTTTTGGGTTTGCGGAATGTCTTGAGGCCGGTGAACGGAATTACGAACACATCAAAGCTCGGGTAACATATAGAATTTATTGCAGCATATGGACGGGCGGTACACAAAACGGTCATGTGTTACGCGCGTATTCAAAAGCGGTAGGAGACGGCACTTTTGTACTCCAAAGCATGAAACCTTGTTCGCCAACCATTTTTCCTCCAGGCACAACCTCGACTACTTGCACAACCACCTGCATGCCCATTGCTGCTCTGAGGTATTCAATTTCCCCGATGGGCCATGTGAGACTCTTGTCGGTACCAGGTGCAGTCGCCGGCTGCGTCAAACGACCACCGAATTGAACACAAAGCGCGTGCTCCGTACGGTCCGTGGAATCCAGAATAGAACAAATGCGATCGTGATTGAACCTTCATGTATTGCACGGACATCATCACTTCTCGTCTCGGCTGCAACTTACCGAAATCAGTCCCAGGTATAAAACCCATAGGGGCTTGAGAATAGACGCCCCGGAAGGAACTGCTCCTCGCCGTGCCTTCTGTGTGCATTGTCGCCTCCCCGTTGTACGTTGCGCAAGAGTAGTCCGCCAGTAAAACACGATGGGTACGGGCAAAGGCGTGAGTGTCTTCTGTTACGTATACATGTTCTCTTGGCAAGATACTTATGTATTGTGATCTATTTGTAGTACAGTTCGCGCATCGCGTCGAACTCGGTAGGTTGATTTCTGTATACCACGTCCAAGTGAGCATGCTGAGCATTCTTGGTGCAGTTCGTCGTTGGGTCGTTTGCATGTATCGGTGGTGGTCTCTTCGGACTGGACATATCGTCCATGTCTGGAGTGTTGACTGTGAGTGATAGTAATAATGTGGAGCGGTGAACCATTTTCTGACACTTCGTTCGATAGAATCCGGCATACCTTCGCGTGTTCAATCATGTACGATATATTGTCTACATTCCGATGCATCTAGGCTGATAATTTTATCTCCCGATAGCCTGCATCCAATCCTCAAGGTGCTATCGTCGCCTCCATGCCTGCGGGGTCCTTCATCGGGGCACTCGTGGTAACGAAGCTGGCCGATCTAGTAGGCCGGAAGCTCACGATTATTCTCTCCGGTATTCTTTGGGTGATTGGTAGTATTATTCAATGTGCTTCAGTGGTAGGTTTTCCTCTACTTATTGCGGTTCGGCTTCGAAAACCCTCCGATAATTTTTCTCTGTGTGCAGAACCGCGGTATGCTTGTTGTTGGCCGTATCGTTTCTGGTCTCTCCATCGGTTTCGCTTCCACTACCGTTCCGTTGTACCAGGCCGAGGTAAGGATTTTAATCAAGTCTTGGTCCTTAGCCCTTGAAATTCATATTTTATACTAAAGATTACCGCTCCCGCTGTTCGAGGACGCATGATTTCTTTGCAGCAATGGTCGATCACCTGGGGTATTCTGATCCAGTATTTCATCCAATTTGGATGCTCGTATATCGACGGTGTAGCTTCATTCCGCATTCCATGGGGTCTGCAGATGATTCCTGCTATCGTTCTAGCGATTGGCATGTTATGGTTCCCGGAGAGTCCTCGTTGGTTGATAGATCACGACCGTGAAGATGAAGCGTTACAGATATTAGCGGACTTGCACGGAAATGGTGATAAGGATCATCCTCTCGTCCAGCTGGAATATGAGGAAATCAGGCAACAGGTGTACTTTGAGAGGACAGAAGGTGCAAAGAGTTACTTGGATCTACTCAGACCAGGTGTTATGCGTCGTGTCATGCTGGGTACAAGCTTGCAGATGTGGAGGTACGTATAGTTTCGATCTTAATTCATCCCAGGGTTTATTAACTGTTGGATTACTTACAGTCAACTGTCCGGCATGAACATCATGATGTACTACATTGTCTACGTCTTCCAAGGTGCAGGTCTAAGCGGCAAACGCGGAGATCTCATCGCCAGTTCCGTGCAATATGTTCTGAATGTCTTATTTACAAGTACGTACATGTCGCTGTATTCAGATTATCCGCTTACCAAATGCGACGTTTGTAGTTCCCGCCATCATCTACATCGACAAGTGGGGACGACGTCCAATGCTCCTCGTGGGAACTGCACTGATGGGCTTCTTCCTGATGCTTGTTGGCGGCTTACAGGGACGCTTTGGTGCCTGGGGCGACGTGGACGGCTCGCGTGTTTGGGTTATCAGTGGACATGGTTCTGCAACTCGTGGCATCATAGTCTGCTCGTATCTCTTCGTCTGCTCTTTCGCAATTACTATGGGTCCTGTGAGCTGGACGTATCCGGCTGAGATCTTCCCGATGCGTGTCCGCGCGAAGGCAGTCAGTTTGAGTACAGCTTCGAATTGGTTGTTTAACTTTGCCCTCGCGTGGGCTGTTCCACCTGGATTGAGCAACATTGCGTATAAGACTTACTTCATCTTCGGGGTGAGTACTCTATACATTCCCCTTGAAGTCAGTTCACTCACAATCTTGTCGGGTAGACGTTCAACTTCGCCGCATTCATCCACATTCTTTTCATGTACCCAGAAACAAAGGGCCGCACACTCGAGGAAATCGAGGACGTTTTCGCCCAGGGACATCTCTTCACAGCCTGGAAGATCAAACCCACTGTCGGTCTCAAGACTCTCGAGGATGTCAAGAGGTCGGCAAAGGCAGAATATGCCGACGAGAAGTCAAGCGACGCGGGCATACCTTGAGTGGGAGCTCAAGTATGATGCGAGTGGTGATGAGCATGTGGCATGGTTTGCTGAGGCGTTTTTCCTTGTTTGGGTGGCATAGTTGAACGATGGTAATATAACTGAATTAGTAGTCTCTTCTCAGTTTTTATTCGTTCGTCCCATTCGATTGTTTCGTGTATTCCGTATCGCGACATATGCAAGTTTGTCTGTTTTTCACGATATTCATGATCGGGGTTTCTCTTCGCATGATTATGTAGAGATGATCGGAGCCGGGTGGAAGGGGAAATATTGTTGCCTGAGAACGCATTTCAAGTATGAATCACCTTTATTTTTGTGGTGGTATTTTTGTTACGCACGGTGATGACTAATAATTATCGTTTATTTGACACAGTAATAAAGCTATGCATACAGATGTAAACAGAAGCTGTGAGTGATGTTACGTAATGAACTGTATCAGCAACAAACTTTCAAGAAACAAAGTACTACTGGAATGTTGTGCTCGTTATATAGAGCTTGAGCGTGCCAAGCGTAGGGTATAACAACATAATTTATAATTATCTGAGTATCATCAAGACTATAAGCATAATTATTCCTTGTGACCAACCTCAGCTATTTGAAGTTCCTTTGCCCCACTCCATCAAGTACAGTACAAACGTGTCATGGCATGGGATTCTTGACCGTCCAAGGTACGATCGTCGTTCCATAAACTGAGGTTTCTCGTGTCTGTCAAAATACTTGACGTTGATTTGATATAAGGGGGGCTTTTCAGTTCTTCCGTTTACAAACCGGAACAGGAGAGCGCGCATCCAAAGTGCACTTCACCATAATCCCAGCTAGTCTTATCGTAGCAGAAAAGAAAGAAAAAGTTGTCCCCAAGGCAGTGCAGGAGTCCATGACTTACTCTGATCGCGTCTACGTTGGGAAACACGCTCGAGGCAGGACAATCCACATCAGACGGCTTCTGAGATCGACGAATTATGAAAAGGCTAGGCTGGCTGTAGTACAATCGAGGTTTAAATTTAATGATCAGCGGTTGGTAACGGATGCTGAAGCGGGATGTTACGTAGGTCTTGTTCCGCGAACCGTGCGATCTAAAATTTCAATGGTTAATGACCTTTTGGGTCAAGGCGATCCTTGAACGAACTCTACCATAAGCAATTGGAAAAAGGGGATAATTGATCCAATGATTTGGACGACCTGAATTGTGGATTAAAATATATTAGCGGTACAGCTCAGGAGTTATTACATTTACCAACCGCATGGCATCGATCTTATTATATACAAGTCATTGTCTGCTGGATACGCGAATGTGAGTTGGCATGAACCGGAACTGCAATATGTAGCGCGTTGCCATAAAGCAATGATGATGACGTACAGAAACGGACCAATGCAGGCATGTAATTCGCGGTTAAGACGCAGCCGAACTGCAGAGACGATGAATGGTGAAGACCAACCAGTTTGCTAAGGACGAGTAGCCCTCTTTGCAACGTTGATCAAAGTTCTTGCTATTCAAGTCATGCTGTATATGTATCGTGCGCCATGCTTTTCGGCTTGCATGGTGGTGAAGGTTGTATGCCAACTTGTACCTAAGTTCATTTGATTGCACTGCCGCTTCGCCCTTAAGAAGTAAGTAATGACTGTGGGAACGTCACTACGATCTTGATTGGAATCAGCAGACTCTGGCACCTACTTCGCAAATAAAAGCGAAGAAGCCGTACCTCTCCCAAAACTGCGCTATCCTGCGCGTGAATACACCGTCGATTGCGAATGACCCAGACGACTGTGTTGCGATATTTAGGGCGCGGGAAGTGCAGAGCACGTCCCACTTCCTAGAGTTAGATAGTTCCTGTTGATGACATTGGCAAGTTGATAACTATGACACCAATCGCGAAATGCAAATAGTTTCGCGGGTCGGGTCCGGTAAGATGCGTGCGAAACACTGATCCGGAATAAGTTCAAGACTGATTAGATCCGTTACTTATTATATTCCCGGAGCTAGCGGGGCAATAGAGAAATGAAGAGCCATAACCTGGAAGATCAGGCAATATCAAGTCGAGAAATCTGTATGATAGGTGCTTTGCCAACTCCGCTAGGTTTGTAAATGGATTAAGTTTCATTGAGTTGAAACATTCATATTATGGGAACGTATCTACCCGCGAGCTGACTACACCGATCTGATCTGCGTCTGGCAAGGCCGATGCGCAGCTCCGTCTAATGTGAAAAGTACCACACTTCGCAATTGTCGATTTGATGACGCGGGAAGAGGTGATAATCGCACGGCAGAAGACCGGCTTGCCGGTAACATTGAGCCGAATTCACCGGACACAGTATAAAAGACGCGACATTCTGGCCTAAAGTCTTTCAGGTGAACTGTGAAGTCCCCAGCTCATTCCTCATAGCTTTGGGGAGACCCAAAGTTCTAACTGTGACGACACCCTGTGTTCACAAGCCTTCCTTCTATCATCTCTCTCAACCCATTCAGTTGATAAAGTGATAGCTGTCTGTACTTATGGTCGGACGTGATATGCGGGACCACCGGCGGAACCTTGTTCAATGCCAATACTTATGCATGCATTCTAGGAAACCTTTTGAGGTTTTTAGTATTTTGCTAAGTGGTGGCGGCCGCAAGGATCCGCCGTTCGTCTGGTATGTTTTATTGTCGAACCATGACTGGTCTTGCGACCTACAGAGTTATGCATTTACACTCATTGGACATGTCGTATATATCGATTCATACTAGCAGAGCATGTTGCTCGTCGTCGTCCTTTCCAGAGCGACTGTCTATTTGCTTTCTGTTAGAATGCCTAAGCTACGTTCTCGGTGTTTATTCATGACCTGTACAGCGGTATTTCAAGCTTGCGTATGTGATTTTGTCTTATCTATGAGTTCTGTCCTTGGCATTTTGTCCTGGGAGAGAGGATTCCACCGAGTGGTTTTAGCTGCCCACGCCATGCACAAACTGCAACGTTTGGGAGTCGGAGATTCATTATTTGAGCCTAGGGCCTTCATCTTACAAGACTTCGCTGCATCTCGATAGTGCACGCCATTATAAGCTCAGACAGCGTGATACATCGACACGGCCCAGCCACAGTACAGGTTTCCTCTTCTTTAGGCACAGAAGCGACAGGAGCAAAAAGTTAAAGTGTATCCGGTTGATGATATGAAGTTGGATCGAAGCTGGCTGCTCGGTGAGTGTGCGTCGTTAAAGCGCGGTAGAAGGTAATTTGTATCTATCTTTCTATATCCAACTTTTTTTGGAGCCATCCGCTCTATCGTTCATCCCGGCTGGAGGATAAACCATAATACAGAGGCACACTTAAGGACATCTCTGATGATCCAGGCTTTCTCGGTTGATATTTGAAGGCGGCAAGGTGTTTGCATGGCCATTCAGTAGTGATTGCCCTGACAGTCCAGGCAAAGTCACAGAGTATTTTAATTGTCACCCTCGAGGCGGCTGCGAAGTCCAGGCCACAGCTCTGGTTAAATCTATCGACTTTGTACTATATCAAACACCTTTTATATATGTTGCAGAACAAATCCGTGATCATTTACTGTGCAGCGACAAACAGCGCGAACGTCGTTGTCTCGTGAGGGTATTCATCTCAATGTCGAGCTTCAATTCCGACGAAGTAAAATTGAATGACCGCCGAAGACTAGTCATTCATGGTTTCATTCACAGTCATCTGTGTGTTGTCAGATTAGAATTAAACACTCACTATGGCAGAAGACTACAATTTAACAGTGTTAACATTTATTTCAGATAAATGCATCATATGTCTCAAATCACACAAATGTCTTGCAAATATATGCTATTACAGAGACATGTCTTCTGAGACATACATTCAAGACATCCAATATTAGATAGTATATATTACTTTAATCTACAGACAATGAAGCTCATATACAAATATACAGACATAAGAACATACACACAGTTGACTTGTATCAACACCTATACACTATGAGCAGAGTCCACTAAACCCCTACTTGTGTGACTTACTCTTAGTATTATCCTGAGCAGCATGCAAACCTACGGAAGAATATTTCCTATCGTTTAGGGATATTTGCAACCTCAACACGCTAACAAACAGGGTGAACAAAGCGGACAGGCCCTTGATCTCACCAATACTAGCTGTATAATCTTGATATTCAGACAGTAAATGCAGAACGTCGATGCCTGGAGGCAGAAGAACTAGGAATTGTTCTGGAGGACGAAATGCAGTGGGGGACACATAGAATCCTTTCCCTCGTGTACAGATTGTATTAAAGTGACGTTTTTTTTATCTATAGGCGGTTAATGAAAATAGTCTTGTCTGCTGTGAACGAACGGCAGAAGCATTCTTCCTAAACTGATCTTTGCGTACATATCGGACTCGGGTAGACACAACCCATATGCACAATAGAAAGAATGAGAATCCTGATCCACTTGGTCGACGCAATTGGAACGGATCGATCATGTCATCAAGCTTCGTCCTCTCACTTGCCGGCACCGCATTGGATGCGAAGCAATTCATAGCCGCACTAGACAAGCGCGCTTCATGTCGACGAGACTTCGTTCTATTGGGCGTAGACCTCCCATTGGACACAAAGACGTCCAGACCTTATGGAAGTGCCCCTTGCATCCACGGCTTGCACTCAACAGGCATAGGCGAGATTCAGTACAAGAACCTAATGTCTTCGACAAACCAATCAGGACAAATGCGACGTTCATGTTAACAGTAGATCTCCATTCTAACACGGGTACAGCATTCAAGTCTCGTCCGCGCGTGAATAGTTGTCAAAAAGATGTTCCGCCCGACCGCGAGCGCTGTCTGCAGAAGCCAATAGGGAAATACCGAGAATTGGAAATGTCTCCGTGGACGCTGGTCAGAATCAACGTTACACATATGTTGGTGTCCAAAGGCAATAGACTTGGCATATTTGCGGCCCTATAAGACTAATAGATCCTTGATTACGCTCTACATCCTACTTTCAAGTCGGCGGACAACGGCGTAAATGAGTAACAATACCCACTGATAACCGAGATACGTTCAGTACATTGATATCACAACAGCAAGAGACACAGAAGTTCTTTCAAAATTTGGGTTCAAACTAGAATCCGAAGTCTTCGAGAGGAAGGCCGTTTGCTGCAATTTGGGCGAGATATATCGCTGTCTCTGCCAGGATCACAAGGCGACCTGGGCCAGCAAAGGCCATGTTCGCAGACGTTGTGCCGAGGAAGAACTTGCCCAGCAGTTCGCCGTCGGGGCTCCAAACCTACAAGCGGCAGTGAGTGGTAATTCCACAAGTAAAGAATTATGATAAACATTAGTAACCTACCTGCACGCCGTCGCCCGTTCCAGAGTATACCCTGCCCTGTGTGTCGACTTGAATACCGTCGGGAACGCCATTATCGATGTACGCAAAGACGCGGCGATTCTTGAATACTTGGGAGTTAGGATCAACGTCGAATTCATAACTAACGGATGATTGCGAACGATATCAGTTCTATTTAAAGGCGTAATCGTGATGTAGACAAGACGCACATCGTTGCCGGGTCCGTTTGGTTGTTGCCGAGGAAGCCGCCATTAAAGCCTGTGTCCGTACTGCCGAATTTGCGCAAATGGGTTTCATTCATAAACGTAACAGAAAAGAAACTCACACAAACGCCGTCTGCCCATCGCCAGAGAACGCAATGCCGTTACATCTGTCGAAGCCATCGGCGATGACTCGAAGGGCCCCAGTGTCGGGATCAAATCGGTACACCTGATTCGGAAGCTGGGGCGCAGGACGGAAATGATTCAGGAAGCCATACCTACGGATACCACAAGTATATGCCAATCAATACAAATTCAGTTTAAACCTTTCATTTCGGTGAAACTGGAAATGCCGAGGGGACTATTCACGCACGTAACGTCGGTGAAGAAGATTTTCCCGCTTGTTGGGTGGATTTTTACGTCATTCAGAGAGTTGAACTGGCGGCCAAAGAAGTTGTCGAGCAGCACGGTCGAGTTAAAGGGAGGATGAGGGTCAACAAGTACGACACTTGGTGGAAGCGGCCCACGGCCCGAAGTGACAAGCAAATTCTGCCCACGGAAAGGCGTACCGCCATTGTCCATTTGAACAACGTCCGACAGCGGCACCTTTACACGGCATCAACAAAGAACGAGAAGCGCGAAAGAATTGAATTATTCACCATCGTGTAGTTTATTGTACCCCCACTAGCAATCGCTGGGTCACTCAAGTTAATTCTCGAGACTTGGTTGTTGTGATCGATGTCGCTCATTCCAAGTGCTCCACCATCGTTGCTGGCAAAAAACAGCTAAGACATACGCATCAGCTATAGGCTCTTGCCGTCGAATTGGGACAAATTGGTACGGACTTCATTGGTTGATGGTACCCAAATAGGCGCCTCATGCGCAAATGCAAATGTTGAATTTTCAGCTATAAGTCGAATTGACGCATTCGGGCCGAGAACATCAAGAAAGCCTTGCGAAAAGGCTTGGAAAAATGGTGGTGAAGTTCCCGTTGGATTGAAGAGTTCTGAATCATTGCGGAAGGTGCCATTCGCGCCAATGACATTGAATGAAAGCGGATCGATGAACTGATGTGATTAAGGTCAAATTATCGGTTCACTGGGACGAGAGCGGATCGACTTTACCACAGCCTGTGGGGGCAGATCAAACCCACTGCTATTACTACTGGTTCCTCCTCCTACGGCCCCGCTGGAAAGCTCAACCGCTAAAAGCGCCACAAGGCCAGCAACTATTGCAGCAAACACCATTGTCGCTGAGGAATTTGAGTCAGATTCGACGGTCGACTCTGCAGCAATCTGAGAGGTCTCGACGTGGGGCTTTGCACCACTATTCTCTGCGTCGCTTCGAGACCCGTCATTAGTAAATGCGCAGTTATATCACGGCGGAGGGAAAGAGCGACATTACCGGACGTTCTCTCGCCGCCCGCATCACCTGGCCCAGACATGACGTTCGATGTGTGTGAAAATATTCAATAAAAAATAATTCGAAGCCGACGGAAGTAATTGAATTGAGGAGAACGTATAGGTTTCCGTCTAAGAAGCGCACAACCTTGTCAATAATACTCCAGTCAGTAGATACAATATTATGTATACTTCGCCACAATGCCTCACAGAATAAGTATGAAAGAATCCGCAAGCTCCAAGGGGAAAATGTCGAGATTGGTCAAGAACTCGGAGTTGAGGGTGTTGTCAGTACTCTGTTGACCACCTGATCATAGGAAGGAAGCTCCAACTTAACACGAGATACGGTTGGTATTCAATGACCGCTCAGCATCCGGGGCTGACATGTTAGTGACGCAACGGACGGAACGCTGAACAGATTCCAAAAGTCCAGAAGATTAAGCACGTGACATGCTAGTTCCTTTTGCAGGATTGCCAGAACATCTGGCCGTTGAACAATTGCACTCGTCCCTCACCAGACTGCACTCTGGGGGAACTTGTCGCAAAAATCATGGTTCTCTGGTGTACTTCAGAAAGTGCACTAACTAATACAAGCTACTACCTGCTTCCATTGAGCTGGAGAGTGTTTTACGTGATGGAATATATTACGATTATTGTTGTTTCTGATTTTTCCGAAAAGCGGTAATAATATATTTGCGCCACCCTCGAACATGCAAGTGGTGACCTTGCACGTTCTGTAAAGGTTCGACTTGTCCGCTGTTGTCCAACCTATCTGGTTCTGTGATGTTCCAGGCCCTGGTCGTAACGCTCTTAGGAGTGAAGTTGCTTGTCATTGCGAGCAACACAAGTGTCCCAGATGGTGCAGTAGTTCGTACACTTTATCGAATATGTTGTTTGTAAGCGCTCTAACGGATAACACCAGCGAATTGATCCGGTCACTTTTGCTGTCATAGGCACTAATGGGACGTTCCGCGATGACGATACACCTTTCAATCCGACAAACAGCTCACCTCCCGTATTCCAGGTCTTCAGTGATGAGTTCCTTGATGTTCTTGGCCCTGCGCCCTCTATTCGAGTCATTGCAGAGAACAACACTTTCGCCTTTGCCCACGAAGCACCAGTATATATCTCTGCTAGCGAGGACGTACGCCTATACCTCGTCATATCACCTTGTACTGCACTGTCTCATCTATTAACAGTTTTTCTTTGCATCGAATGGCGGAGGCGCTCTCGGCTACAGTGGTCTCAACCAGAGTAATCAGTACTCGAAGATCAACTTGAAGGAAGCAGATGGAACCAGTGGACTTGTGAATTATACAAAGGTTAGAATTTAGTAGCCATATGTACACCATACAGCTAATTCTCTTCTTCAGATTACCCTTTCCAATGATCTCCAAATGATGAACGGTGCAACGTTGCACCAAGGTAACATTCTCCTTATGTCTCAAGGCCGTGGCAATATACCAGCGACTATGGCATTGCTCAACCCTTTCAAACCGTACAACACCACCGTGTTGCTAGACAACTTCTACGGTCGGCAGTTCAACTCGCTGAATGATGTCAAAGTACACCCAACGAGTAAAGCTTTCTTCTTTTGCGACGTTGCATATGGATATTACCAGAATTTTCGCCCAACGCCGGACATTCCAAACCAGGTGTACCGATACGATCCCAAAACAAGAGCTGTGCGGGTCGTTGCGGATGGTCTGAATAAGCCGAACGGGATTGCTTTTTCTGCAGACGGCAAGACAGCATTCGTGTAAGTGCCATGTTCATTATTCGGACCTAGCTCGTTACCATCGTGCAGCACGGATACCGGGGCTGCTAGTGCAGCATTTGGGACTAACTGGACCCTTCCGTCTACCATGTGGGCCCAATCTCATTGGCACAATCGCTACAAGCACTCATTCCGTTTTTCTCAGCTACAAGTATGACGTTGAGGAGGGTTCTCAATCTTTTGCGAATCGACGGGTCTTTGCGTATTCGGACAACGGAATTCCAGATGGCATCCAACTCGATAGCAAGGGGAATGTATATGCAGGTTGTGGCGACGGTGTTCATGTCTGGAATCCCTCGGGTGAACTCGTAGGAAAATTCTTCCTTGGTTCTCTGTCAGCCAACATGGCATTCGCGGGACCTGGCCGCCTCGTCATCCTTGCGGAGACGAGGATCTACTTGGCAAAGATTGCTGCGAGTGGACAGAATCTTGAAAACCTGTAATCAAGGTGGTGTTCGGGAACCATACTTGTTCACTTTGGCGTGTTGTTTCTTGACGCGCATTGCAATATCTTGTTATCATGACATGTGTATGTGTAAAATGTGATATCTTCCCGTGTCCCGTTAGAGGTTTGATTATAAATTGATGCACGTGATGCTTCTTGTCACGACACTGCGTCTGGAGTTAGGTCCTAGAATGGATAGGCTTATCCGTGGATCCATACCGTGGTAATAAAGTTCCCACGGTAACTGTACCACGGTAAAAATTCCCACGGTTACTGTGGTTTTTTGTGAATCCACTAGTGTACCCGAGGTAACTCAGGTGATACCCACATGTGGTTAACCATGTGGATAACCACATAACCAACAGCCTTGTGCAAAAAGGCTGTGTGGGTAATGTTAGTAACTGTATATTAGATAATACAGGAATATAGTAATTTGTCCCTGTAAACAACCTGACAAATGCTCTGCCTGGTATAGAAAAGGACTCAGACAATGTTGATAATCAAGACTCTCTAGGTAATGACAAAGAAGATATAGAAATGGATGGCTTGGATGATAGTGATGATGAAGCAGAACATTATTCAAGGAGGACATTGGATTTGGAGGGTTCAGTAAATCTTTCTTTACCTATACTCCTTAACATTCTTGCTGACAGTAGGGCACTGACTCAAAATAATGAGAAAAACAGTATTGCAGGAGACAGGGATATTGAAACAATTGAAGACAGTGATGACAGCTTTGATATTCACAATGAAAAAATGTGGAATATGTAAAAGAATGGTTCTTTTTATATATAACAAATGTGCTCTTAGTATAAATGTACCTTAGACAAGAATTTGGCTCTTACTTGACCAACAAACATAGATTTTTTGACTTATATATTCTGTTATTTTGTTTTATTCATGCTTTGACCTGTAAATAGTGCACATATACACTATATTACTCTTAAAGTACATTACTGAACTAATACATGATTGCTGCATACTAAAAACAGATACCCACATTACCCACATGCCCAAATGGGATTCCTCAGGTACACTAGAATCCACCAATGAAAGAATAAGAAAACATATTCTTCCTATATACACTTCTTTAACTCTAAAGTTTGTAATATATTACTTTTTGAGTATTTAGAAGGATGTAATACTAGAAGTGCTTCTATTGATAGGGAGTGGAACATACAATACTACTTGGTTGTTGTCTTTCATTGTGTGAAATTTGTTCTTTTGTCACATGCTGAGGTGTTCACTTGCATTGTGCTGAGTGGATGCTGTAGACTAGGGTAAGAAGAAATTTACTTTTATTGTAGAAATTATAACTTATACTGAGATAACAACTTTATTTATTATCTAATAATACATATTAGCTGTATACACTTATATGTAGAGTGAAACATGTGGTTTCACTAGTAAGAATCAAGTATATAAAAATGTTTTATTACACTCCCAGTCAAGTACTCGAAGATTGGCACGGTAACGTGGATTACCACAGTAACCGTGAGAATTTTTACCATGGTAAGAAAAAACCACGGTATGGATCGTGGTAAGCTCGGATGGTTACCATTCCAGGGCCTATCTGGAGTATCCGAGTCGGTCACTCCAGTCTCCTGCTCAGGTCCATTGGCGCAAGCACTTCCTCCGAGTCGCACAAATTCGTTGCAAATTCGTTGAAGTTGAAGCATTTGCACCCGCATGGCAACACATAACGTACTGCTCTGTGCAAAATTTCTCGGAAATTATGGATGAAACATTTCACCACGAAGCTGTGCATGCCGACCCGGACCTCTGCCAGAACCCGACGTCTCTTGCTACCAGCTCACGAACACAAAACACATGCTCTACGCTGCAGACGCGTAAACTCCGTTCATCTGACAAGTGAGCTCACTTCGGCTATTCCACGTGCTCGTTCCTGCTGCCCTGGCCGTCTGGTCACCTATGCTAAGCGAAGGCGATACTCACTCTATTCTCGGGTGATTACATCCCCGACACGCCGCGCCTCTCGCATGACAGAAGAGTATTGCTCTCCAGCGTTTTTGAGACGAGGCTATGTTAGAGTGGACGCGTAAGCAATATCCGTGACACAGGGATGCTTTGCCGAAAGAATCAAGTCGAGAGGGGTACTCCTCAGGTAAGGAGTGCCATTTAAAGAAACTGAGTGCTGAAAGGGATTTGGCATCTAGCATAGCTCTTATAAATTTACAATAAATTACGGATAGCATTCGTAGGCCCGCATTTTTGACAACACCCTTGTGGCTGATGACCCCGTGTTTGTAACGGTAAGGCGGTTTGCAGTGGCCCGTTGCCCTCGTCTAAGCAACCGACAAGAGGGTTTACGTTCCTGCTATCACAGATGCTCTGTTCTGTACGGTAATGAGACGGGATAACCGTGGCCATCAACGTCGTTCAGCACAGCAATTTGAACGGAGCCGGCCCTTTAAGGCAGGACGTCCAATCTTAGTTCAAGCTTATTTCAAGGAAGCAAGTTTGGGACCAACAAACAAGCTGAACAAGAAGTCCCTCTTAGTATAAAGCTTCTAACGGATGACGTCTCCCTCAAACGTCCTTCAGCCTCCGTTAGTCTACTCGCATCTGCTCGAGCTTATCTAGTCAACAGCGGGCATTATCAAGACGCACCGTTCTTTCTTCAGTTTCTTTGGGCGCGGATACTACAATACAGGTACGAAATTGATTTCTTAATCACTTAATTTCGCGGAACCTCTTTTTCGACTGATTCAGCTAGTTCCTTCATTCTTTAGACACTGATTTCTTTAGCATATGGAAAATCGTCAACGTCAAGAAGGACGGCATTACTCTGGCCAAAGACAATCTGGACAGGCTACACGGTACCGTAGTGATGTAATTGGCACAAACATGGCTTCAAGAAGCGCGGAGCATAGCGAATTGGGAGCTGCGTCAGTTTCAAATTTTACAAGGTCCGTGTCGGATGCTGTGCACGTTGTACACCGGGAATACTCAGCGTCTAATTTCGCTTAGCGTGCCATGGCCCAACACAGCTGCCTCGGACAGTCGTGGAACTGGAATCCAAAGCTATGAACCTAGTCCGAATTTATATATACACACCCCGTCATCAGTGGCGGGATCTGTCGTGTCCACATAGTAGGTCTTATCCGCTCCAGCTTTGTTCTCTAAGCTTAATTCTTTTGTTCTGATAGCATGCACGATGATTACCCGACTGTTGATCCTCGCAATACAATGCTAAACTATCCTTATGCACAGCATCAAGTTTATTCCCCCCTCGTGGTTGGGGATGGAAGGTCAGTAAAACGTACTTCATTTTATGGATACAGAACGTTAAGGCAAACGCAAAGCTCACATGCATCGAGCATCTCACCGGGCATTTTCCCTAGAAGGAGCTCTGATTCATCTCTTGCAGGTGCACTCGGTGGACATCCATCTCCTAGTTCTCCAACCTCCGTTGTAACACCGACAACTGCGGGAACATCACACTCCGATTTCTGGATAGGACACGGAAATCAGCCTTTTGGATCCGGTAATGAAGGTCCAGTGCCTCACTATCCTCCGTATGTTCTGCTCGAGTAGTCGCACGCATTTTCTAATGAGCTAATACTGCTGGGATAGGATGCCATACCAAGAGTCAATTCAAGGAAGGATCTATGATCACGCGGAACGGTACGCAGATCTACATGTAGTGCATACAGCTTCACTGAATCGCCTTCCATGTAGTCTGGGCACGATGCACCCAGGCGAGCTACAAGGTGCAAGTCACAATATGTATAGGTATGTCACTTCTCATAAGCTTTTGTGACACATTCAAGGCTACTGACATCAAATCGGTATCATTCAGGAGTTGGGGCCCTGCTATAGTGAATGCTGCACCTGGACAATTGGACAACGCTACCCAGTTGACGGAACAGGCTGTACACCAAGATCCCGTAGTCCCTGTCCCCTCCACTTCCTCACCAAGAATACGTCTATTATCGACGCGTGAAAATGACGCCTCTCCGTCCAGGAACCCTCGGGCAAACAAACGTGCACGAGGTTCCAGGCCCCAGCCATTGAGGGGAACTCATGTATCAACAGGGCTCGGCCCAGGGAACAATATGATCCATTATGGCACTGTGTTCACACAGAACCCGGGACCTTCCCCTCTGCCCGGCGACACAGGCTCTGGTAGTATGAACGTGAGGTTTAAGTCCGAGTACCCAGGTAGATCGACCAGTGGACGACCTACGGCAACCGGCAAAGGGAAGGGAAGACTAATATTACATGAGGGGGACTACCTCCACCAATCAGCGCCTGGACCCAGCAATCAGGCTGAGACTTCGTCGACTGGAAAGAAAGGTGCGTCTGACGCCTGCGAACAAGTCACAGCAAGCTTATATTCAATGTTCATTGGCGAAGGCAGGCCCGAACAGAATTCGAAGAAGGCATCAACACTACTAAGGAGTGTCGGACCCAACCGCCCCCAGTCCATTCAATGCCCGTTCGCAGACTGCAACCAGAATATTCCAAACCATCTCGGCTTCATTCACCAGCACGTCCAATCCGAGTGTCAGGCTCCTTCAGTTCGTGCCGTGCGCGAAAGTCAACAAGTTGGAAGTAGAGACCTTCAAAGAAGTAAATCCAATCGTCCCAAAATAAAGTGTCCAACGTGTCGCGGAAGGGTGTACGTGCGACTGGACAGATGGGCGGATCATTTATGCGGGATACATGGCGAGTGGCATAGGTATAGATGTGAGGAGGTTGGTTGCGGTGCTGAGTTCACTAGTGAAAGGGATCTCAACAGCCACATGAAGTCCGAGCATTAGGTAGGTCTCGCCCGCATTTTGTATTAATTTCGCTAATGGCGATTTAATAGTATTTTACTCTCTCACAGTCTTGGCCCTCTGTTTTTCTTTTTCTTTTTTTTTTTTGGTACATATCTTGTTCTTGCCTTCGATACCCATTAAGAATGCTTGTTCCGTGAACAATGCTTTGGTATATAGATTACTGCATTTGTGTTTATTCGCTTTTGTTCCGCATCAGTTCCCGCAACATATTTATAGCATATCCCTCTGTATGTTCTGCACGTAGTTGTCGTCCCACTGTATCGACTAGCCTTCTAGTTTTTACACTATATACCCTGTAAATAATCATTTCTAGTGCGTGCACCCACTGGACACTGAATATACAGTGTCAAATACCTTGGAAAATTGTTACAATATTTGTGGGCCTAACCAATGATAAACACCCCAGGATTGCCGCCACTTATACATAATTGTGAAGCCTGGGAAAGAGGCACATCCGTACCTTCTGATGATTCAAATGCGGTGGCACTGTTATAATGTTACACTGCATCTGGATAACTTGCAGTTGACAATAATGTATTGACTAGTATTTGCCAAATACAGACATTAACCAGCAACCCTCGTTGTTCATTTACTTAAGCATCAAATGATCGAGTAAACCAAGCGTCTAATACTACTGTACAATTTTAGATAGACCGTCTATTAAAAAGTACACTTTTGGGTTATGAAAATGAGAAAAGTATCATCCTTCATCAAGCAAGCTTTTAGACCAGATAAGAAAAAGAGGCGCATGGAAACGAGGCATGAGCATATGTGGGCAGAATGAGCAAGGACGGCTGACGTGGAAAAAGGCGGGATGACGGATTAAAAGAAAATAGGAGAAGTGGTCCGGAAAATGACATGAGAAACGAGAAAGGCAGTTAGACCAGCAGTAATACGAGTTCCCTATAAATTACTTTGTCAATCGGAAATACTCGCTCATGAACAGTAGAAAGTATATGAAAATAGAATGTACGAAGAGATTAAGTACGAATAAAATTAGAATATGAACAAAACCGAAGAGGAAAGTAATCGAAAAGTGGAGAAAAGAAAAGAATGCGCATGGGAGTAGCATAGCATAAACCATGTGCACGGGCATACCATATCAAAATACAGCGCAACAACCATACAGCGCCTCCTTCGTTACGATCAGACCCACGGAAATCCATGAGACATTGCGACGAATCACCGACTTCGGAAAACTAGTCAAACGAAACATGCACTGGCATCTAGTGGATGCAAACGACACAAGGAGAGGGGGCAATGGCTCATTTGAGCCGCCGCAACCTCTTCACCACGTCCTCATACGCTTCAGGTGTCCAGTCGTCCTCAACAAGTTGCCTCTCCTTCTCTCTCCTGTCCCCTCGTGCGACATGAATTTTGTTTTTCTCGCGCATGAGAACGGCATGGATACGTCCAGTGGTCCCGTGCTCAGGCTCACTGAGACAGTCGAAGCTAGTGGTTTGATCCTCCTCCACAAATGACCGGTCGGGATCACGCCTTCGATAACCGGAGATGACGCTGACTCGGCGCATCACACGCGATTGAGAGTCTTTCGTCTTGCCCAGCCCCGAGTTCCGTGAATCTTGTGTGGTGGGTGACATCGGCGGGCTGCAGATGGAGATAGAAGTCGCTTCTCGAGGGCGTGAGTTCCCGAAGACGAGTTCGCTGGGGACGCATTCACCGAGGTGACGCATAAGTTTCTCCATCCTTCGTTTGCGTAATCGGGACTCGTCCACGATCGTGTTAGACATAGCACCAATGCCAGGGTAGGAGAGTATGTCGTCAGGCAGAGCGACGGACGCATTTCCAACCGGGTCGATCAGTGCTGAGGGAGGAGTCGGGGGCATTTCAGAGGACGGAGAAACAGGGGACGTTGGCGACTTAGGGGAAACGGATGTAGCTAGATCTGCGCGATTTTCGGAAACAAGTTTGTAGTCTGATGGGAAGGGAGATTCGGGGAGTGGCGAAGGCAGATCCTTGTTCATGCAACTGCTTGCTGGTGGAAGGCGCAGAACGGGTTGAAAATGCTGCGGCCGTTTCGACTTGTGACGCCCTGAATCGGAACCGGGAAATCCTGGTAGCGGAGCGAGCCCATCTGAGCTTGCTTTCCTATGTTGGCTAGTATTCGTCGAGTGTTCCGCGAGAAAAGGGTGTGATGAGTTTGACTCGCTTTCGCCATCGGACAACGTAGATACGAGCGACACTTTACGGGTGCGACTAGAGCTAGCACCCGACCCTGATTCTGAATTGAATTCGCCGTAAGTGGAAGTCGGCGTCGGTGGCATTGAGCAGCGCTTCCTCGCCGCATCCTTCACGGATCCCGTCGATGGAGATGAGGGAAGAGGAGGTAGAGGAGACTCGAGGACGTACGGCGTGGTGCCGAGCACCTTGCCGAGCTTGCGGGTTGACTTGATAAGGCGCGACCGCTGAGCGGCATCCAAGTGATTATACGTCGGAGGGGGCATTGTGCCCGCACCAAGAGAGGCAGAAGAACATAGTGTATGTACTGTCGTAGACGAGGTTGATCCGTGGGTCATGAGCGCCATCGAATTGAGCCTGAGTTGTGGATGTTCGAGGCCAATGAATTAGCTGAAAATAAAAGCGATCAAGCGCAGCCAGCTAAAAGCCTTGTAGGGCTCAATCAGATGTAGCAGCCTAGTTAGGTCGTGTGTAGAAGTAGAATCAGAGTCGTGGACCTTGTGCGCGATGGGCGACGGACAAAGGCGGGGGGTGGGAGGCAGTAAACAGAGCTAGTGTGTGGCGGGAATGGAGCAATATAAAGAACTGAGACTGAACCCATGCGCTGTCGTTGTCAGGGCAGTGAACGTGTATTTCTCCATATATTGTGGCTGTGAAATCGTACCTTCTCACCCAGAAGTTTGTCCTTAAAACATACTGAAACAGGGGTGATCCTGCCAAATATGGGAAAAGGCGCGGAGCAACCCGTCTAAGCGACGGAGCAGAAAGGGAACAAGATCCAAATTTCGACGTACTCCGGCCTGTCCGGCTTGTTTCTCCGATGTCTGAAATTTAATTTTCGTCACTGCGTAACCGCGATCGTCCGCGCCTTGGCTTCGCTTCTTTATCGGTCAATGAAACCATCGAGGTAAGGATGGACTTGCGTCCGCCCGAGGTAGAAAAGCTCGTCAAAGCCCTTGCTCTTGTAGTGATGCACGTCCAAAATTACTGTCAGACGGAAAAGATTCCCGCGTTCGCACCGCGCGCAACAGCGGCAAACATTGGCTGGACAAGCGACGAGGATACGATTTGATTTAGGTCTTCTTTGGCGGATTACGCTTTCCCGCTTCCCGCTTCCCCTTTTTCTTCATTCCACTGGTATTTCAGACACCCACTCCGACGCAAGAGGGGGAGCTGTCAGGAAGAAGAGCTCTAGAAAGAGCTCGTCGTGTGCTCTTTATTTCGTCTGATTGGAACGTATACTTGCCATCAGCTAAAATGGTGCTCTATCCCATTTTTGTTGAATATTTGTTCGGATGATTTACAAGTAATCAGCTTGGTCGACTTGATGCTGGCAGGGACTTCGAACTGAATGGCAGATGGCTTCGCAATCGGTCGAATCGGTGTTCTTGGCCCGATTTCTGATAGGGTTGCAACGCCCAATGAAATCTTCACATGCCCGACATCTGCGTCATCGCCTGTTGCCCGTTACTGATCCTGCAATGCGCCTTACTTCGCTTGATGTCCTTGACACATTGTCGCATTGTTGTGTGGTCACGCATTGCATAAAACTCTTGTGAAACACGTGCGGCTCTTCCATTTGACACTCCCACTTGGCCGATTACCTGAACTGCAAATTACACACCTAACAAGCAATAAGACCACTGCTTACTCTGCACTGCCCTACGTCACCTACAAAATGTCGGATAATCCGGCCTGTTTTGAGCGTCGCAAGGCTGCTCAGCTCTAACTTGATATTCGGCCATATGGAGAAGAAACGCAGTCGTCCGTATGCGCTCCCAGGCTACGGTTTGAAATTTGCACGACCCTTACCTGTCTCCGCAACGGTTTTTCTTTGTCAGTCATTTTAATGGGACTCTAGTGTGGCACAATCTGGCAACTTCCCCATAGTAATCTAATGATACCATACCAAATGCCTCCAGAACACTCACAGTCGCCAAATTCTTTAATTATAGAAGTTGGATTTCTCCTTTCCAGAGACAAGCGATTTGAATCAACGCGGCCATTGATCCGACTACTAGTAAACAATTTAAACAAGTAATGTGAGAGCTTAATCTACTGGCTCTCCTTGTATCATATTTTCGGTATGTATAAAATTTTACCAACCACGCGATCTGAAATCTTCAATCGTATCCCTAGCCGTCGTCAGCTTATCACGGAACTGGATTCCAAGAACATTGCGAGCCTTCGTGGAATCGAATGTGAACTTGTACTTGAAGGTCTTCCCCGAACCAGGCTTTCCTTTGGGGACATCGAGTCCTTGCATATCCAGAGCATTCGCAGCGTCGACTATACAGTGCACACTCAGTACACATTACGAATATGCAGAATCAATGCAGCACGTACGCCAATCTTGCCACACGAAGCTGCCACTAGTCATGATGAATCGCTGACTTCCTGCCTCTGGAACTTCTAGCGCACGAACATGACCGAGTGCAACATCACGAACATCGACCCAGCCGGCCCAGAAATCAGCCAGCTCGTCCAGAGTCTTGGCCTTTGAAAGGAGAGCTTCGTAGAAGACCGCTTGACTCGTCCCGAGATCCGAAGGAGAGTGGACTTCATTCAAGTTTGGACCGAAAACGAATGGAGGGCAAATTGTAGCAAGATCCCATGTAATGGCGACCGAATTTCTGGCAACGAAATCGAACGCCGCTGCCACAATCAAGTTAATATCGGATCACTATCTGTGAAACCTGACGACTCACCCTTTTCTGCAAGCGACTTAGATGCGCAATACATGTCTACTAGGGACGCATCTTTCCCTTTCTCACGGACGTTTGCAATACTCCCTTCGTTCCAGTTACTCTCATCCTGCAACCCTTCTGCATCTGGATTATGAACTGCTGCGACCGAAGACGTAACAACTACACGCTTCAGCTGTGGCCCCCTGCGAGTTTAAGTTTGCATCGGCTCACGGAGAAATGTGTAAGGATCAATACCCACGCATGTTTCATCGCAGATTCTAAGATGCCAACGGTTCCTTTCACAGCTGGATCAATGTAATCTATCGTACCAGTCGTTACTTACGCAAGACATTTTGAATTACAACGTTACACTCGCCTGCAGGGTCACTCGAGTTATAACGGAAAGGGGAAGCAGTATGTTCAATAGCATCAACTCCCTTCACTGCCTCGTCAAATGCACCAGGCGCCGTGATATCGGGAACGACGATGAACTCCAGTCTACCATTGTCTACTTCGTCCTTGAAGACTTTATGCATGTGTGTCGTCTTGCTTGCTGAGCGCACCGCACCACGCACGGAGTACCCGTGGTCCAATAGCGTACGGACAACCCAGGCGGCGATGAAGCCGTTCGCGCCGGAGACGAGTACCTTTGCAGGACTTGCAATCGCTGGCATGTTTCGTAGCTACCAAGAGGACAAGCAGATGAGTTGAAGTGGGTCATTTGCTTTTATACAACTCCTGGCGTGAACACTTTTCATTTGGATCTCTTGAGACATAGAGGTTGAATAAACTGAGTACATGCCGGTTGATGACGTCCTCATTGTGCCGAACATAAGAAGTACTCCTTTATGCAGATCTCCACGGCGTTCACGGAGGATAGTGACTCTAAATTAGTTAAACCGGGACTCGTCTAGTTTGGGATTATTTCTCAACATATCTAAAGCAATGTATATCCAAACGTCCTCGTTATAAAATATTCACGCAGAGTTGCAAGGATCGTATACAACACACTCCTCCTTAGGAATACTAGACGTGATTGTCAGGTTATAGAAATAAGCTGATTCGAGAAGGAAGCCTCTTTTGAGCAGTCGACTCTCCTCCCAGGAGCACACACTCTTTCCCACATTCGAATGAGTACTAATGAGTCAGGTTCCCCTCGTATACCGAACGTACTTACTAAACACAATGAAAATTTTCGAACTTGTAGAGCTTGACCAACAATTAGGCTTAACCCGTTGCTTCGAGTTGATCAAGGAAACAGTCTGTAAGCACTTGGCACGGCGATAGATGGAATTAGCCCTTATTTGCTTTGGCTCAACGCAACTAAATCAGGGATCAGATGGGATTAAGCTGTGGACTTGCACAAGTCAATCAGTGTGTTATGATTGTAAGAAAATCAGTCGTATTTGTGTTTATGGTGACCATTGATGCTGCAAAGGGGGGATATAAAAAATGTCGAGAGGTCCTAGCACGAAAAACAATGAAGCATTATATAATAATATCATGATATTATAGACATTCACACTGTCTTACACACTGCTATATCCGTATGCCTGGATCGAAATTTTAGCTAGTTGGATCCTGCAATCTTACATCAGAGACTCGTATCCTAAGAACCATTGAGCGTAAGACGAGTGTTGCTATGTCTCATACTTTACTATAGCTCCGTGTAGAGTCCGATAGTCTCAATAAGCAAACATGTTCCTTGGTTACTAACCATCTCGCTAATTGCCGCCGTGTGCAGCGGAACCGAACATTTCCAAGTCATAAATTTAGAATCGCGGATCCGTTGCTCGCATTTATGGTAACTGCACCCAAATTGGAATATCCGAACTTATCGTTGATGGAGCGGCTAATCATTTCTCGACCACATATCACTAGACGCCCTTTAAATTTTTTATCGGAGTCCGTTGGGTATCGGGAATGTTTAGCAAGCCCAACGATACCTGTACTAGTAGAATCTTGTAGCCAGCCCAAACCGTAGTTGTTGAGCTGTTCTGTCGCCTCAGTGTCGGAGTATTTGCCTACTACGAACACGAAGAAAGGAAAGGAGAACCGCTTCAGAAAGATGTAAAGGCAATGTTAACGTTGTTTACTTGGAGTGGTACTGACTTCTTAATCTGCCCATCTTGTGCAACAGTATTGGCCTGCAAATAAGCGCCCATGTAGCAGACAGAATATCAGTATGTTGGTATGATGTCATCCCTTGCTTCCTGGAAATGGTTGTTACTAATCTAAGTGCTCACACGATCGATAGTCCACACAGCTGCATATAAAGTGCAGGCACTCCTGGTTCACAAGCTCAGCCATCCCCCTTCTATTCAGTTCGTCGTCAAAATGCCAGCAGTTCCGGCACCCGCAAAGGTACTAGTTTCTGGTGCAAACGGTTACATCGCAGTCTGGGTTGTCCGCACATTACTTGACCATGGTTATTCTGTCCGTGGCACAGTACGCTCGGAGAGCAAGAACAACCATTTGCGTAAGGTTTTCAAGAATGAGGTGGACAGCGGGAAGCTGGAGCTTGTTGTCGTACCTGATATTACTCTCCCCGGTGCATTTGACGAAGCTGTGAAGGGTGTGGATGCTATTGAACATACAGCGTCTCCATTCCACTTCAATGCGGACGATCCGGATGGTGAGTAGTGATGACAAGTAGAAGCTGCTGTAACTGATAAGACTGCCTGATTTAGAGCTTATCGGGCCTGCTGTCAAGGGAACTATAGGAATGCTAGAGTCTGCTCTCAAGTTTGGGTAAGCATCTGGATGTATTACCGATTATTGAGTCTCATGATCTAACTTAACTTCCATTCTAATATTCTCATAGTGGTTCGCAACTGAAACGTGTAGCTGTGACCTCGTCCTGCGCATCTATACTTAATCCCTCCTCAACCGGTGTATTGAACGAAGAAAGCTGGAATGAAGAAAGTATTGCAATAGTCAAGGAGAAAGGAAGAGAGGCCCCGGCGCAAGAAAAATACCGTGCATCCAAGTCGCTTGCAGAGAAAGGTAATTACTTCCATTTCTTTGTTCGAAGTTTGTGGCTAATCCGAATATCCCAGCCGCATGGGACTTCGTTGAGAAGAACAAATCATCTATTACTTGGGATCTCGTTACGCTTTGTCCTCCATTCGTCTTTGGGCCTAATCTGAACGAAGTTAACTCATCCTCCGAGTTAGGACAAAGTCAATCACTCTTCTATGAGGCATTGCTCACAAAGAGGAAAACTCCAGAGCAACTTGCAGGTGTGTCAGGCGGTTGGGTTGATGTGCGAGATGTTGCACTAGGACACGTCCGTGCGCTTGAGGTGCCTGAGGCCGGTGGGCAACGATTCATCCTGAGTAGCGAGATGTTTATTTGGCAAAACTGGTGTACGTACCCATCTTCCATGCAGTATTCTGCCATATGTATGCTGATTTGATTTGTTATATCTAGTCGATGCCGCAAATTCTCTTGGCCTCCCGGATGTTCCACAAGGCACGCCTGGTGCAGGAAAGGACTTCAAATACAAGTTTGTCTATGATTCATCGAGGGCCAAGAACGTGCTTGGAATCCAGTTCCGTGATATCAAGACGACCACGAAAGATACTGTTGAGGATTTCAAGAAGCGTGGTTGGTGATTGATTTCCGTCATAATATGATTACGATAAAGAGATAAAAATGGGTCAAGTAGATAGTAGGTTAGAGGTATGAAGTAGAAAATCCGAGAATTATACAAGTTACCTAGCCTTGACGCTTATCTGAATTGATACGTTATTCGACGGAGTCAGGAATCACGATTTGAAATTGCCTTCGCAAGCCGAAGCCTCGGGCCGCATATTCGACGGAACTTTGAAACAAATCAGAAGGGAAGATATGGCTACCGAATATTTTGTACATAATTGCAACACGGAGAGGTGAAATATAAAGGTGTTTGGAATTGGAAGCCAGTTGTTGTGAGGACAAGAATAATCCCAAGAGTGAAGCCAATCCAATCTATGGAACAGTCAGAGAGGATGGGCACAAGACAGAGCTCTAATCGAGGATCGTGTAAAGCAGCGATTGCTTCATGATGAGTCGCATTAATCAGATGACCGAAGGTTTTACGAGTGGATAATAAGCGAGTAACTCAAAATTGTCTTCTCTGGGTACATTGTAGCAATCACTGAAGACCTTGCTGTCCGGGCGTGGCATAGTCGTATTGGCATGCACAGTGATAATACAGAGCGACATACGACTGAAACATATTGCGAGGTACGTGACCTCAACAGTAAATGCGAATGTGATCGGAGAGGGACGACAATAAGCATTTGAGTTTTCTACACGACAGTACCAGCGTTCGATGCGATACGCGGCCATAAGTCAGCCTGTTAAAGGAGACGATCCTCAGTTATTGTAGGCAGCGGGATCGGAGACAACCGACTCACACATTCTTTTGCAACAGGCCCGGTGATGGCAGAGCCCTTCATCTCACCCTTAGGATTGACGATGACACCTGCGTTGTCCTCAAAGTAGAGGAAGACACCATCCTTTCGGCGCCAGGCTTTACGTTGACGGACAATTACGATGGGCATAGCTGCAAAGTAAGAAGACATAACGACGGTCAATTAAGCGCGAACCACAATATACAGCTGAAGTTTTGGTGTACTTTTCTTCCTAAGCTCTGGCTTTCCCTTCTTCACGGACGCAACTACCATATCACCAACTCCGGCATCCGGAAGGCGATTCAGATGTGCACCGAAACCGTATGGCTCTATGAGGTATAGCGACCTTGCGCCGCTGTTGTCGGCGCAGTTGACGACTGCACCAGTCGGCAGACCAAGCGACATACGAAACTTGTTGCCCGAGGATCCAGCGCCTAATCATGTATAGTTCCAGTGCGATTCGTCGTGCCAAGATGACATGTTTTCGACGATTGAGATATTCCGCGGACGGTTAAAAGAAGATAACGGCGTAGGTTCATCATCCATCAGGAACCATATACATTGTTGTTACTTGCATTACTCACCGCGCTTCGACATTTTTGTTAGATAGGACTGTCTTTGACGTTGCTCAGCACCATCGACCACAAATGCTCGAGATTCAGGATGTTTGCTTACTAATACAACTGTACAGTTATTCACGTGACGTAGTCGAACACGTAAACACAATATGACTCTGTTGACGTAATCACTGTCAAACGAACCGAAAAGAAAAAATTCAACTGGCTTTTCAAGCTCATGTTTACTCAGCCCTGTGAACCAAGTTCCTGCAACTCGATGCAAATTTTGACGGCTGACTGTTCAGGCCGCCACGGCCAAAGTCCTGCTCGACCTTCCATGTGATGGTATCGATTGCGAAATGACCCGGGCGAGTTCACGAATTTCCACTTTAGCGAAGAGAAGACCAGGCGACCCAAGTCTGCCCCGATCCTCGTCTCCGTCATAAATTCTCTCGGCTCTGAAACTTGAAGTTTGAGCTTTTATTACACGAGACTCTTCCGGTATGCTTCTCAAACTTCTCTGGGCGAGTAAGATACCAAAGTGCCGCTTAACCGGAAGATATGGTTGACTATAATGGGCTCCACTTCAGCGTCAACAACGACCTGTAGATGCAGCGATAACAAGAAGACTCTTCTCAGCGACTTGTCGGGTAATTGAAAACAAGCGGCGTCAAGGGTGCTATAGTCCAGGAACATGTTCCAATTTATTTATCCCTGTAAACGACGGCCAAGAAACCGAAATCGATATGTCGGAACCGATCACTTCGCCGTTTTGGGCGCTTGAATGTTTCAAATGTTCTACCGACTCTTCTCACCGAAACTCTAGCTTGTTCCCCACTTGGCTCCTCCTTGACCGTCACGCCCGCGTAGCCGTCGTTGAATCGGCGCTCATCGCTAGCCGAAGGATTTTCAAGATTTATCCTCGAGATGACCGAGAAAGAACGCTGTTTGTCATACTTCCGGATCTTTTTGGGCTAGCTTCCCTTCATCTCCTGCATTTGCCGACCCTCTGAGGTTGGCTAAGATCATACCCTGGCCGACGCCGCGAGGCGCCAAATAAACCACGCAAGCTGGGACTATAAAATCCTTCCTTGTGTGCGAGAGATGAATTCAACGACCTTTGAGTCTTTTTCATTGCTCTTTTCGCAAACCCCCCAGTCCTCGCCTTCCAGGCCAACCCAGTCACTCTTTAATCCAACTTTTGTCTATCATGCGCTGCTTCTCCCTCCTAGCCCTTGCTGCCGCCGCAATCGCGCCATTTGTTGGTGCTGCCCCCACTCCTGCCCCTCTTGACGTTGGTGCCGCCGTTGCTGGTGTTGCGGGCGTTCACGCTCGTCACGTTGATGTCGCAGCTGGTGCCGTTGCCGGTGCTGAAGTCCATGCTCGTCATGTTGACGTAGCTGCTGGTGCAGGTGCTGTCGCCGACGTTCACGCTCGTAACGGCCAGAAGGGTGTCCAGGCTATCCTTATTGACCTCAAGGTTGCCCTCGGCGTCCACATTGACGTCCTCAGTAAGTCAATCATGACCGCATATTTTTATTTTTATTTTCACTTATGCGACATGTTTTCAGACCACCTCACTAAGGATAACTGCACCGAGGATATTCTTACCACCCACCTATCGGCCATTGTCAAGGTTATCGGCGAGGCGGTCGTTGAACTCAAGGCTCTCGTTGGCTTGGACATCTCGGTTATCCTCTGCTCTGTTGATGGCACTGTTCAGGTCGCCGTTTCTGTTATTGCAGAACTCCTCGCTGAAATCCTCCTCGTAAGTACCCTTGCCCGACATGCTTCTCAGATATTAATTGGATTTTATCTTTGCAGTTGATCTTTGGCGCACTCGGCTTCGTTCTTACAATCATAGCAGATGTCAAGATCCTCGTCGATGTGCTCGTTGCTGTTGCCTTCGGCGACTGCTTGTGCGGCCTCATCTCCGTCATCATCTCCCTCGTTGATGGTATCCTTGCTTGCCTTGTTCCCCTTGTCCTCGGACTCGTTAGCATCCTCCTTACCCTCGGCCTCGGAGCTGTTGGAAAGGTCCTCACCATTCTCTAAAAAGGAATTATACCACCTTTTCAATTTTTACGATGCATTGATGCATGTGATGGATACCATGATAAGCGCTCCGTCCCTCTGGAAAGCATGAGTAGTACAATTTTCTGGTTGCTTATTATACTGTAATCATCGCATCGTATTTCCCTAATTGCATTTTTCACTCTGGAATTCAGTTTGGATTGGATTTTATTACACTCGATGTTGCGTTGTAACTCCAGAGTTTTAGTTTTGAGGCCTTTGTCACATCGTGTGTTGTAAGACTGGGCGGGCAAGACCGAAATCTCTGATTAATCCACTGGATTTGTTTTCTCTTTCTTGATGTTCTGATAGAGGACTTTCGGCTATCCGAAAACTAGAAGGTGTGAAAGATCGTGTCAAAACGTATTAGTCCTTTTGGACATAAGCGATGCGTTATATAGCTTTAACCAGGCAGTGGTATCCAATCAGAATTGACAGCTGATCAGGTGAGCGCCTGAATAGGAGGGACGGATATGTTTTAGCCTACCGCTTAGCCAGTGCGTTAATTCAGACAGAAAATGGATTGACGTTCTTATGTTTGAGGGCTTTTTCCCTTCCGCGTTCCATTTTACATGGCGACAAACGGGCAGGACGACATCGCTAAAATACTCAAGAGGCACTTTCAAGCTCGAAAGTACGCGATTCTAATGGAAACCCCGCATCAGACCGTCTAGCTTCGTGTCTCGGTGTTTTAATGCCGACGAGGGTCGGGGGAGTGAAAAAGGTTCCTTCTTTGAGTCATTTTGCTTTCTCCGTTTGTCCATGTTCCGTCAATATAAAAAACCAATTTCGAATCTATACACACCTTGATGTGTTGAGCGGAACGTGAACACACAGACACAGCGCTCGGAGCTTGTCCTGTTTGATTTTCTTGATGATGAAGTCATTTGACAGCGCTGAACGGAGTGCTTATTGATTACTCTTTTATGAATAAGAGTAATTGACTGAAGGGCTTGTATTAGTTGTTTTTGCTTACGGCGTACCGAGTTATTATTGCTGTTATATTACTTTAGCTTATTGTTTACAGGTGCTGATGTTACTTAATAGAACGCGACTCTTTAAGCTGCTTTATTTACGTCTACGATGTCTAGAATTATGCTGCTAAAAAAAAGGAAAAAAGTTCGAGTATCCGCTTCTGGCGCCTCTCCCCCTCCTTCGATTGCGTAAAGAGCATAACTAGTGGATCCGCTTTAGGCGTTAGAGAAGAGAATTAATTTTGCTGTTTTGTTACTTTGTTTTTTCCTTTCACAAAACTTGCTTGTTATGGGTTCGACTTCTGGATACTAATAAACAGAAGTGCACGTTGTTCACAGTTGCTAGTGTCAATGTAAGTTGATGCTACAAGCTCTTCTGTTTACGTCGACGATGTCTAGAATTGCATGTGGTTTGATAGTAAGAAAGACTACGTAGTTAGTGCTGTTAGTATCACTCCCTCCCTCCCCCTCCTCCTCTTCGATTGTGTAAGGGGCATGACTACTTAGTGGATCTACTGAAGGCGCTTCTGCGAGAACGCCGACCACCCCATCCGAAACGTGAACTTTGGCGTGGTCGACTAAACAAGCGACAGTCATTACCGATTCTAGACCTTATGCCAGAAGTTTTCAGAACGTTTCACGCTCCGCCTAATCACAAGAACAACAGGAAACGACAGACGTACTACACAGAAACACTACACACAGAACACAACACGTCTAGCATACATACACGCATACATACAACGACACTACACACCATCAGATCATTGTCATATATCCTATCGACAGTTCAATGGTTGAACATTTGTTCCTAATCACCTTCATTCCCTCTAGGTCCCTCTCCGCGACACACACATCAAGACAGAATATGCATAGGCGAGAGAGACGTAAAGTTTCAGAGTTTACCGAGGGGGGACGGCATCGCTCATAAGTCCCCACGGTACCAGTCCACTCCGCGTCTAAGCTGCTCAAGCGTGAGGAAGATGAGGATCGTCGTCGGTTGGAGACGCGTCCATCTGTTTGTATTCATAATGAGTAACAATGAACAAGAACACGCAGCACGAATGACGAGAGGAAAGAAACGCGGGAAGATGGTACGTACGCAGGCACCCATCCCTTAAACATAAACAACGCTCCCTCATTCTTGAACGAATTCCGAATCACAGCCATCGTGGAACTTGATCCGGGGCCTGAGGCGTTCATGATTCGGCTCTATAATTATACATGACAAATTGAACACCGTCGGATCAATATACGAATTATGAGCGATGGATGAATGGTATACGAAGAAAGGGAGAAATGAGAAACGCACTTTGATGACGTCTGCAGGTGAACAGACAGTCGTTGCAACTGTACCGGCTGCGAAACTTGCCGTGAAGTGGCAATAGATGTTATCTTTGAAGTACTTCGTCTTCAATAACTCGGACTTGAAGTAATCGTATCTATGCATCCAATTGTTACGGTATCCCAAGCCGAGGTTCGAAGGTGTACATTATAGGTGAGTTGAGGAGAAACGAGACAATGAAGGACAAACGTCGGAGTTTATGGGAATGCGAATACCGTGCGCAATTTATTAGCGAGCATATGAGCTGAAGTGAAGAAGGGGAGAGAAGAAAGCACATACGAAGCGAGTTGAGAAGCATTCATTAACACCGCACGGAAAACGTTCGGAACGACACCTCGGCCGAGAGAGGATGCTCCTTCCTCACGGACCATCTATTTCAATACAGAAAGCAAGAGAAACGAGTCTGTTCTTCAGCAAAATCCGAAGTGAGGAAAGATGGGATCGCGTACACGGAACAGTCCATCAATACAATTCTTGTAGTTCAACCTCTTTTCAGGCGGTTTGGCGAAATCTCCTTGGAGTCGGACCTGAATTCCAGATAGGGATCGTATAATCTCGTTTAGGCGTAAGTTATAAAGAAATTGAGATACAACACAGACCATGATGATTTCTACCAGCAAGATTGAGCACAGTCATGTTACATAATAGAAAGCATGGAGTAGACGCACCACCAGGGTTCCCGACTAAACCGGCTATCCCTCCCGCTACAAGACAGCAGTGAGATTTCCTCTACGTGGATCTAAAGGGGTCGCGTGGAGCGGAGATACGTACCCATACTACCAGCTAGTGCGAGCTTCCAAGCCGGTGCGTTCGGACCTGTCGAAACACAACAGCGCGTTAGCACATCCACATCCCCAACAATTCGATGCCCAATCTTAAACGTCCAAGATCGCGACCTCCAACGCGAAAGACATTTGAAAGTATGAGATGGAATTGTAAAGCGATCGGAAACTTACCCGCCCCAACGATCTTCTTGCTCTCGTCGTACGCCCAGAACCGACAAAGCGAGTAACTCATCTGGCGCAACCACGTTCCGGAGATACCGTCGAAGAGTCCACGGAAGCCTGCGGTGCGGACAGTTTTCTGCAACGAGGCGATCATACGCTTGTCGCCCGAAGCTTGGAGGCGGACCTTTGTCAAATCTAAGGGGCTGTGTATATGCGTGTATGTGTCGGTTAATTCGAAGAACGTAAAAATAAGATAAGTTGGGTTGGGGAGAATGTATTGGATAGGATGCAAAGAAAGGAAAACGAACTGTGTGATGGATGCTGCGATTGTTGCAGCAAGACCTACATAGTAATATCATTGTCAGTCAGACAGCATATATTTAGCATAACATAGAAAAAGTAAATGCGGCGACGCACCTCCAAGCCAGAACGGATAAGGCTGCTTCTTCTTTTGGACCTGCTGCTGCTGGAGGGACGTGTCCTTGATTTCAGGAGCCTGTGCCGACACGGCCTCGCGTGCACTGTTATTCGACGACATGGCTAGTCCTGAGTTGTCGGTCTGTATCTACTATCTAGTACACCCTTTACCGCCTTGTGGCAATAATGTCCTCGGTCGGTGGCGAGGACAGAAAAAGTGGGGGGAAGAGAGAGGGAGAGAGATACGTCAGCAGAGAGAAATGTGAGAGTGAATGAATAAGTGGGAGACACAACTGTATCGCACAGAAATGGGCCGATGCAACTCGTGACTGCACCACTGTGCCAATTAGCACCCGTGAGAACATCTGTCCCCGCTTATCATCATCACTTACCCCGCATTTTGCGGACCATGTTTGTTATTTCAAATTAATCACCAGATTATTTGCTTACAACCGTCGAATATATTTCATGGACTATAAGTTAAAGAGGTCCTCAACTGGAATCTCGTCTGTTAAGTACACATTCTAAGAAGGAATGTGTACACCTCATTGGTGGTGATACAGAACGACTTCCTTCTGGTGGCAATAAACGACTCCGACATCTCCCGCTATCGCAGCTGCAACGGCTGCCCGCACCCACGAGCTGCCTGCCGGAAAGCCTTCTTCACTCTCTCGCTTACTCATTCTGGCCTGCTGCGATGATAATTTCATCCCGAATTTGACTGACAATTCTCATAAAAAATATCTGAACTCTCGACCAATAGCGATATTACCGGAACCAATCTATTGATAGCGGTGTTAGACGCCAAAATATGCTTCTTCTCGTCCACCAGGACGAACTTTCTTGTTTAATGTATGGGACACAAGGAATCATGTAGAGAGAACACGTCGGTATTGCCGTATAACCCGCTCAAAGCCCGATGGCGAATTTGCCGCCTCTAACACTGCAACAATCTATCCTGCACAGAAACTCCGCGAAGCCTCGTCCAGGACGATGATTCACACCTATATAAAGTAGGATTAAGCAATAATGTCATAAATGCAGAAAAGTACGGAAGTACGCACGGTCTGTTCATCATTCAAAAGTGCTATTGAGGAATGTCAACAGCTCCTGCCTCTTCGCATCTCTTTCGAGATCATCTGCGGTCTTATGAACCTTCATCTTGATCTAAACCACAGATCGACCGAGAAATGCTCAGCGGCCTCGACACTAAATGTAGAAATATTTGACTAACCTTCTTTCCTGTCAGTACGCTCCTCTTTGCATCAGGCGAACGGCTTCTCTTTCGCCTCTCCTTGTCCTTGCTCCGGCCCCGTTTCTCTTTGTCTTTCCTATCCTTGCCCCTCGCCTTGCGGTGTCGGTCCTTAGGACGCGACCGGGAACGGGAATAAGAAGATGACGAAGAAGATGAAGACGACGGAGATCGAGAGCGACTGCGGCCATGGCGCTTCTCTTTATGACGTGCGTGGCGACGGGATGTATCTGAGGAGGGTGAACGCGAGCGATATCTGGTCGCTTTGTGCTTCCTCTGCGATGTAACAACGCCCGGTCAGTGATGAGTAAATAATTAACAAAGGAACACGACATACACTTTGGCGCTCATCTAACGGCGACCTCTCACGTCTCTTCCTCCGGTCCTCTGATGGACTCTGGGCCCTCGCGCGTTCTACTGCACGGCCCTGGATGTGAATTCATTTTAACATGACCCATCCCGTACATTCACTACAATGTTAGCAGATCATACCTTTCAGAAAACACAGCGGATACTCACCTCCTTACGTCCGCGCTCAGGGTCTCCTACATCCCACCTTGTCCTCTTTGAAGGACCTGTACCAGACACGGAGCTCTCTCTATACTTTGAATCAGAGTACTTGTACCGGCTCTTGTCATGGCCTTTGTCCGCATCACGAGAGTCACGATGTCTCCTGCGTGGCGAACGAGACCTGCTTCGATCTTTTGATGGACGTCATGTTTGCGTGGCAAACATCGTGAAACGGCGATGAACGACGTGAATATATGTTTGAGAATGTATGTACGAGCGTTTTATGTGGAGAACCCATCCCGAGACCGCCGCAATTCATCGTCCGTTTAATTATCGTCCGCGTGCAAGCGATCCGTCAGGATATGGAAGAAAAGAGGTCAGGCGGGGGCCTCCTGAGCAGGATATATAAGTCAACCTACCGCTCCGATGTGCTCTATGGCGTTCATATTTGTGGGTATCATAATCGCGAGATGACATATTTCGTCGTACCCAAATGAAGTTCGTGGAAGATGTGGTCTCTGGAAACGGTCATTTTAGCAACTGTCACGACTGATCTACCTGGTCACACTAGATATTCGTCACGCGCCGCACTTCTTTATGCTCTACGACGATGTCGACACCAGCAGACTCAGAAACACCAGGCGCCTCTTCGTCTACGTCGCATCTACAGTTCTACAAGGCCACCACACCTGAGAAATCTGATAGCCCTCCTCCGGATGCTGATGCGAATACGATAAGTCACCAGCGAGAGTTGAGCAAGAATAGGCTTTATGTTGGAAACCTGCATCCTTCTGTTGACGAGTAAGTTGTTCTATCTCCAATGATTATAAGATAGTGTTTGATGCTGGAATACGTTTGCGTTTGTATAATGTGCTTGACACTGTGTCATGTTGTGGCCTTGCAACGCAGATGACGAACAGAGGAGCGTTCTGGTACTAACGACGTCCAAATAGGTACACGTTCCTGCAGGTCTTCAATAAATACGGAAAGATATCGAAGTTGGATTTCCTCTTCCATAAATCTGGTCCTAGTAAAGGCAAACCACGAGGATATGCGTTCGTCGAGTACAGAGAGAAAGAGGTGCGACTTAATATTCCCTTCTTATAAGTTGGTTGGAGAACCTCATTTCGTTTACCTTTGTGTGGGTTGTTGTTGATGACTAGGATGCGTTAAAAGCTCTCATAAATGCTCATGATAAACTCCTCCGCGGTCGAAAGATCGTCGTCACATATGCAAACCAGGCTCCCGCATACGAGTCTTCATCAATCGGTGGTTCTGGGAAACATCGACGTACAGAGATACAACGACCGACTACGTTGTCGTTGATAAAGTCAGGTTCACGTCCGGGAAAGTGAGTAACCTGGAATACCTACGTATCAAGAATAGGCGCTCACGGATGCTGTCAAATTTTCACCTTCACGATGATATAGGACGGAAGATAAAATTGCTGCAATGGAAGCGAAGCTCCGACAGATGGAAAAGATCTCTTCTCCGGCCCCTTCGACGTTGCCTTCGCATCCTTCCCTACCATTGAAGCCGCCAATTTCAGTCGTGCAATCTGTTTCCGATGCCGACACCACATCCAATCCCGCTCGCATTTCGACAATGTCCATCTCAACAAAGAATACCAATCCAAACTCAGGGAAATCAGCAGGATCGACGAAAGCCACGTCTGCTGGTGTTGGAGGAATCTTTGCATCGGGTTCTAGCAGCTCACTAGGGAAGAAACCGACGTTGGAGGAACTCATGAAGGCAAGAAAGGCTGGAGGTGCTCCTCAGGGTTTGTTGAGGAGATAGTAAATCTTTCCTACTGGATTTGTTGGATATCGTTTACTTGGATGTATTTTGGGATTCGAGAATCTGCCATTTTGTTTTTAGTCTTGCTTTGGTTCAAGTTTGTGTTTTAACTAGAGTATTTGATCCTAAGCATGTTCCCTTTGCGTTATAGTTGTTAGGCTGCAAAGCATTGTCACTTTCAAATGCATCTCAGTTATTATTCCAGGCGAGAGTAGTAAGTTCTTTGAGGATACATATGCCACTAAAATGTAAAGCACTTCATGTCTCTGTATTAACTATCAATGCATGTAGTAAGCCTTCTTTCATGATATTTTGGCAGCAAAAAACCAGATAAACTGACTTCAAATATTTGAAACCATATAACTAAACAACATCTGTGAGCCAGTTAGATCTAGGTCAAGAAGTGGAATAGATACAAAGAGAGTAACTATGTATCCTCAAAGAACTGCTGAAAATTGCGCATGTTCATTTGGAAGAGAGAACGGGAGTCAGCAATGCTAAGAGACGGGTTATAAATCGGCAACGGGCACTCCTTCACATGAAATGCTTCCTGCTTAAAAGTGCAGCCGTCATGTTCTTTGGTCCAAGAAGTACCGAGACTGTGGCAATCTAAAGATGGTTGAAAACTGCTTGGAGCCGACTGCGTCGGACGCTCTGGAGTGGAATCATCTCGAGCAGAATTCCAGTCAGCGAATGCACTGACAAAGGTCTAGACGTTAGCAATAAGCAATCTCCCGAGATCGCGGAACAAGCTGGCAAGTGTGAGAGCCAGTGGCTTAAAGATAGGAAAAAGCATTTAGACTACGAGTCATTGTCGGAGCGGCCAGGATGCATCCTAAGCACTGTTGTTGATTAAGTTCCGAGACATGGGTGCGAAAGATCGGAAAAACAAGCTCCTATTCAGTTCTCGATTATGATAGAACGTGTGATCTCTGAGCAGGGTGTGATGCAGAAGCCTAGACGAGCGCGAAGAAACCAAAGATGGCAGCCGAGAAGGTCAGCCCACCTGCTTCAACTGAAATAGGAGACCGTTTATAGGCCAAGAAGATGCATTGAGTTGAGGGGCTGAGAAAATGGGGCAGATGATTGAATTCAAGAACGACAAAATTAGTGTCCACGGGAACACTAGAATGCACGAAACGGACGGAACCGCTTGGTCGTTATTGCAGTTGCAGATGACGTTGTTAAGGGTATATGAAAAGGAAATTGAAGAAATGTTGGTGAAAACTTCCGCTCGATGGTCGTCGTAAAAAGGCAGTTTTGCAGGGGGAGAGACGGAACGATGAGTAAAGGATCACATGATACAGCGTGACACTGAGAGAGAATCTCGTGAATTGAGAGATGTTTAGGGTGCGACCAATGGGAAGGGGTGTTTTATTGACGCGATGACTACAGGATCTACGGGATATTCTCAGTCAGTCACCTGGATCCTTACATACAACAGCCGTCTCTCGTCCCACTATATAAACCTGTGAGCGCTTCCATTTCTCACTCTATCATCCTCATCTCATCCCAGATCGTGCCATCCTCATCCGCTGCTACAATGCCTTCTGCTAAAGTGTTCAACGAGCGCGATGGCGCAGTCTACACCGCATCCAACGGTGCACCAGTTGCTGAGCCTTACGCCGCTGAGCGTGTAGGCAAAATCGGGCCACTTCTGCTTCAAGGTGAGTATCAATGTCTAAATTAATTGATATATTCCATCAAACCGTCTTTCACCTTTTGACTTGAATATATGCGTGCTTACTGATACTTAATCATTCCCAGACTTCCATCACATCGACTTACTCGCTCACTTCGACCGTGAGCGTATCCCAGAGCGAGTGGTACATGCGAAGGGTACCGGTGCTCATGGTTACATCGAAGTAACTCATGATGTGTCGGACCTGACCTGCGCCAAGCTCTTCGAAAAGGTCGGAAACAAGGCCAAGCTCACCATGCGCTTCTCGACCGTCGGTGGTGAGAGCGGATCAGCGGACACGGCCCGCGACCCACGTGGCTTTGCCATCAAAATTCGAACGGAGGACGGTAATTGGGATTGGGTGTTTAACAACACTCCAGTCTTCTTCATTCGTGACCCAGCCAAGTTCCCTCACTTCATTCACACTCAAAAGCGTGATCCGCAGACGCACTTGAAGGATCCCGACATGTTCTGGGTATGCAATATCATTTTTTTCTATTCTTTAACTCGGAAATTAATATTGCATATAGGACTACCTTTCGCAAAATCCGGAGTCTATCCACCAAGTGATGATCCTTTTCTCCGACCGTGGTACTCCTGATGGCTATCACCGTATGCATGGCTACTCTGGACACACCTTCAAGTGGGTCAATGCCCAGGGTCAATTCCACTACGTGCAGGTCCACGTCCGTGCGGACGGCGGATTCAAGACACTCACGGATGCGCAGGCTGGTCAGCTTGCTGGATCAAACCCCGACTACGGCACGGAGGAGCTCTTCAACACGATCGAGAGCGGCAGCTTCCCAAGCTGGACTGTCTATGTCCAGACTATGACTCCCGAGCAGGCCGAGAAGTTCCGGTACAACATTCTTGACCTCACAAAGGTCTGGCCACACGGCCAGTTCCCACTCCGACCGATTGGCAAGATCGTCCTGAATGAAAACGTTCAGAACTACTTCGCGGAGATCGAGCAGGTTGCATTTAGTCCGAGTCATCTCGTGCATGGTGTCGAGCCCTCCGCGGATCCAGTCTTGCAGAGCCGTCTCTTCTCTTATCCAGACACGCACCGTCACCGTCTGGGTGTGAACTATCAGCAGTTGCCTGTCAACGCACCCATTGTACCCGTCGCAAACTTCCAGCGCGATGGTTTCGCAACATTTGTCAGCCAGGGTGCTCGCCCGAACTATCAGAGCAGCATCCAGCCGTTGGCATACAAGAAGAAGCCCTACCACGATGCGAAGCACGAGGCGTTCCTTGGTCATGCTCAGGCCGACCTCAGCGAGATCACCGAACGTACGTCTTCTTTCTGTTACCAAATGTAAAGATCGTTGTACTGATTAATATTTCGCAGTCGACTTCGAGCAACCGCGTGCACTGTATCAGAAGGCTATGGATGATACCCAGCGCGATCACCTTGTCGGCAATGTCGCAGGACACCTTAAGAACTGCAAGAGCAATGAGGTTATTGCCAGGCAACGTATGTCACTATAAATATCCGTGAGTTATCTGTTTACTAATCCTTTCGCTTTAGTCTCTGTCTTCGCTGCCGTCGACCAATCCCTCTCCGACCGTATTGCGAAGGCCATTGGTGTACCCACCGTGCAGCCTCTGAAGGTTAAGACTGCTGGAGAGGCCGTTCTCTTCCAGGCGAATGTCGGTGGTATTAAGGCCTAAATGACGTACCTGCACTTTGTACTAGTAGATGCGCTCAAATCAGGATGGGAAAGGAGTTATGTACGACTGTTGTTCAAATAGTTGCCCTTTCAATGTACTAAAAAAGCAAACCCAGTCTGTATGTAAAAAGAAAAATTCTGTACAATCTTAATTCTTGTCGGATTCCGACCCAAGAAAAGCATTAATTTCTTCTGCAGAAAGGGGAAGGGAGTACATATCTGCAGAAGGGAAGAAAATTGCAGCCTTCACTCTTCAATTCTCGCCCCAGCCTACCGCTCTTAAATGAAGAATGCATTAGCTTCTCTTCGGCTGTAATTTCTTTACAGCCATATACGCAGCCTTTCATTTTTTTAATACAAGACATGTTTCAGCATGGTTTATACAGTCTATATTCCTGTGCAAACCATAGCATGCTTACCAATCTATCAATCTCAGTATTGAAACTAGTTGTACTGGTGCTACCTCTTTTATTCTTCCCTGTTTATTACAAAACTTCAAATGTGTCATATAAACCAAATATGCTTTTGTACATAGTATCAAAGAGTTAATATGCAAAACTATTTCTTGTATAATACCAGCAATATTGAAGAACCACTTAATTGAAAATGGTATAACGGTGATATACATCTTTCTAGCATAGAGGATTTTTGCCAACAGTGCTAGCTAACAAGGACGGGAACGGCAAATGATTCCAAAAGACGTGTGTATATACATGTATGAAGCTATGTATGTAGCAAAGTTTAGAAGAAGCTATCTACGAGGTAGTCCGTTAGTCTCGTTACCAGTGCGTGAATCGGCTCGAAATACCAGTCACAGGAAAAGGGAAAAGAGAATTGGCGTGTCTTTATGTGAAGTAAGGAAGTAGTATGATACGATACTGTGCAACATAAGGCGAGGAAAGGAGGGGCGAGTACGATATTTATGAATATGGGGATTCGGAGAGGGAGGATGAGCACAGGATTACAAGAAGCATGCAGAAAGCAGCGGTCTACGAAGATGGGCTATCATACAAAACTAGAATGGGGGAGTAATGCGTGCGTCAGAGTCGTGTTTGAGAATTCAGAGCCAAGCCTGAAGGTCTAGTCCATTCATGGGTATTAAAAGGTGGAAGCAGAAAAAAGTACGTGAAGGGGGGGAAGTAGAATTGTATATCAGGTAGTCGCAGGCTCACGAAAAGACAGTAAAGAAACAAGGTGAAAAAGTCAACAACAGAGTCCAAGACAATTCAGAATCAGTTTCAGTCCGAACATACGCCTCACCACTCAGCAAAGCTTCCACATCTTTACTGAATCAACTCTCAACGCACGATCATCGTCACTGCTCGGCCAAGTCGCACTCCAAGTATCCTGCGCCTTTGCAAAGTCCGTCATTGCGGTTGCGCTTCCATCGAACCACATCTTGCCTCCAACATTATCAGGGAACCACCCGCTTGTCCCTCCAACAGCCAAGTCAATGATCAGATAGAACTCCTGATCAAATGGTGCGGCATTCGGTTGACCTTCCCAGATATCTTGTACAACTGCTTGTGTAGACCCATTCTGTGCGGTGACAGGGAAGCCACCACGTTCCCAGAAGGATGTCTTCTTTATGTTGAGGTCGAGCATCGCACGCAGCTTGCTGTCGACGGAGATGCGAATGAAGTCAGGCGTCCATTCTAGTGTGTAGGTATGGAATCCCGAGGAATAAGTTGAGCGTTTTTGAAATTGCCAGCCAAAGGCATTGGCAACGACAGTGTCGAGGGGTCCCCAGTTTAGCGAACCACGAACGAAGTTGTTGCCTTGCCTTGGGTATGATGCTGAGTTACCGCGCGCTTCGACGATCTTGACACAAAATTATCAGTTCAAGTCTCACGTACATAAACCTGACGGAAGACACTTGACACTTACATCAATCTCTCCACTTCTAGGCCATGCCCCATACTTCTCGTCCTTCGGTAACATCCAAATCGCGGGCCAAAGCCAGTCTCCACGCGGCATCTTCGCCCTCACCTCAACCTTTCCATAAGCCATACTCACACTATTCTGCGTACTAATCCGCGCACTCTTTACAGGATTAACCACGGTATTCGTGCCTTGGTCACTCCTCACGTTACAAGCACTCGCGTTCCATGTCTCCGTGCATCCCGTGAGGTTGTACGTGTACCCATCAAAGATACTTGAGGCACCAATCTCGTCTGAAGTCAGCGTTGGCATGATATATAGTTCTCCGTTCTTGATGTAGAGATTGTCAGATGAGTCAGTCGTCATCTGGAACTCGCCGTTCCCAAATCCACCGAGCGATACGTTCTTCGTCCATGTGTTCGTGTCGAACGTGTTAAAATTCTCATCAAGCACTGAGCATAGCGGGCGGTTAATCTTCTCGACATTCCTGTAAAATAGAAGACGCGATTAAACCTATTCATCTTTGTCCTAATCAACTGTACTTACGAGAATCCGAAAAAGATCACGACTGCACCAACGGCGATACCAATCCACATAATGCAGAACGTCACCCACCATGCGGCACGTTCGCCTTTCTGACGCTGCCTCATCCATGGTTTCTCCGACACTGTACGTCAAAATAAGCACGTAAGCAAATCATGGTATTATCCAGCGTCAAGTAAGGTGGAATTTTTAGGTGGAATTTTTAGAAACGCCATCCCGCGATTGAGTGAGTCGAAAATACAAAATGCGGTGAATAAATCGGTTAAATTTGTCAGTAACCGCCAGAGGACGAAAGGCAGAAATTAAAGGCAAGAGTCAGTGATCGGCATTCACACGCGCTGCTCTGCTCCCAAACACTCCTGTCCCGTTCCACCGTCACTCACATCCAACCTCAAACTACAACTTTCCACGACGATGCATAATACGAAGGGAAACGAGTGCATAAAGAAATTAGAACTCACTGCTAATTTTCCTTTGCAACGCACTACTCGGCAATGGCTCCTTCTTACCCGGCAGGGCGAGCATCGTGTTGCTCCCTGACCCAACGCCGTTGTACCCGTAGCCGCCGAAAAATCCGCTTCCTCCGCGTCCGTCGCCTCCTTCTATATTGACAAAATTTGTCAGTGTCAAATTCGACGGTACGGAGATGAGATGAAAGTAGGGGGCGGCGGAGATCGGTGGCAAAGAGAAATAGAAAGTGGTACGTACCATACCCTACATTGCTAGCAGTATACATCGCAGGTGTCGGTGGTTGCCACACGGTACTCGATCGACGACTCGCAGGGGAAAGGAATGGCTCCCGAAGACGCGGAAGCGATCCTGCATGTCTCAATTCTGGTGTACCAGGTGTACCAGGAGATGATGGCGGATACGCTCCTTGTGCGAATGGTGGTTGTGGTGGTGCGAACTGAATGATATATCGATAGTCAGTTAATTTCCGCTATCAGGGGAAGTAGGAAAGCAAGACACATACTCCACCAACATCAATGCTGTTCCTCCTCGACTGTCCCACTGCAGTCCCATTCATCCGCGCAGCGTATGGTACGAGATCAACTGCACTACCACTCACGCTCGCACTCAAGCTACTACGTGCGATAGCGCTGTTCACCATGAACGCATTGTGCGGAGGTGGGCCGCGCGGGACGGGAGTTGCATATCCACTTCCTCCCACTGGAATTCCGTTTACGAAGTGACCTGGAGCTGGGACATTCGGGTACACGATGGGCTGACCTGTGGGTGTGTATCCCGGCATTGTAGAGGTGTATCCTGCACCGGGAACACTGACATATGCGGCATGTGGGGATACAGGCGATCCGACAGGCGGCGGAGAAGGCGGGTATTGATAACCCACAGGACTATGCGGGTATTGATGAGCATACATAGCAGCTGCGGCTGCAGCAGAAATATTCTGGTTCGAAGTCGCCGATACGATCGAGCCGTGCCCTACACTGCTTGGTGCTTCCCCATTTACATTCGTATTTGGGTGCGGTGAGTTGGGGTCTTCAGATGGATTCGGAGATAGGGGATGTGCATCCTCAGCAACGTTGGTACTGGAACCTGTACCGGGGCCGCTGAACGAAGTGCGGGAACCGCGATACGAACTTGGTGGTGCCGCCTTCTTTGTCCTCGGTCCTGGAGCAAGTGTTTCCGAGCCCGAATCTGCAGCGTGCCCTTTCTCCATTTCCTGGTTCACTACTACTTCTCCTACACCAGCTGCAGTTGTACTAGCAAGAGCCGTTGCAGCTGGCACTGCGGCACCAGAAGCCGAGCGACGGTGCGCTCCACCTGAGTAGCGCCTCGATGTCGGATATGCCCCTTGTCTGGTGGGAACTTGGCCTTGATTATGCAGCTGCTCCTGTGGGTTCAGAGGCGCAGCGCCCGGCGGGAGTGCGCGTCCACCGTTCATGTTGTTTCCACCATTTACGGATGAACGCGATCCAGAACGCCGTCTATATGCGTACTGCCTCAGTACTAGAGGAGTGGAGGCAATATTCTCCTTCCCTAACACTCCTCTTTCTCCTCCGTTAGTCACATTCTTCCCCTCCATTGCCTCGCGGTCTGAATCACTAGTTGTACCCGCGCCACCAACAAGCTCTGTGTCAGAGTTCGGTGCACTGGAAGGCGGATACAACGAAGAGTCCTGGCTACTCCATGAAGCACGCTCAGCTGCATCTGCAAGGAATCGTGGTCGCGGAGGAGCGAGGTCTGACGCGTTCTCCCTCTCTTCCTCGACTTCTGCATCAGCGGAGCTTGCCACACCGGAGTCCTCGTCTCGCGAGGATGTATGCGAGTCAGGCTCAACTTCTTGTGAGGAGGGCGTCGAGTCACCTGTGGAAGGACGACCGACCGAGAGGTACTCTCCTTGCGCCTGAACTGGTGCCTCCGGCTCAGATCGGGACACTTCGTGAGGTTGCACCTGGTGAGCTGGTGTAGAGACTTCGCGGTCTGTATCAGTCTCGTCCTCCGGACCGCCGATCTCGAACGACAGTGTGCTTCGACGGTTGCCTGTTGCCTCCCGTCCTTGCGCCTGTCCGTTACGTGCGTCTACATCCCTAGCACTATGCTCCACCGCATTCTGGTCGACTGATTCAGCATCGTATGAGTACGTGCTACCTGTGCTCATCGGCCTCTCGGTCTGACCAGACGAAGGTCTTTCCGACTTTGCCTCAAATGCAGAGAAAGGACTGTACGGTTTGCGCCGAGGACGCGGGGCGTTGCTGAATGGGTCGAACATTTCTTCGAGACCCTTTCCGCGGCTTCGTACTTGAGGCTGAGTGATAAACGTAGACGGGGGGCTTGCTTGGAAGGAGTGTTGCGAGTGTGACGGGGGTGTGCTGGGCGAGTAAGGTGCGGAGGGAGACACGGATGTTGTCGAGGGAGAGGAGGGGGAATAAAGGAACGGTGTGGAGGTGTATGAGAGGGATGGAGGTGACGAGGGAGAGGCAGGAGAGGCAGGAGAAGGAGACCCATTCGCGTGGGCGTTGCGCGGCCTACGGAGCGGCATAATGCTTGCTTCCTATCTCTGTCCTCGCGTGTGTTCTTTTCGGCTCCTGGAATTATTATCAAAATATTGATATCTCTTAGCGTGCACACGCAGCGGCAAGACCTCCGAGCCTGAGGACGATAAGGCACACGTCACTTTAGTGCGGCGGCGCACTGGATCTGATGCGGTGTGTCTCCCTGCAAATAATTATGAGTTCAATGGAGACGAAGAGTGCGTTGGGAGATTGGGCGTCGTTGCCTCTGACAGACGGCCAAATAAATGAGAAAAATATGGGTTGAATAAACTCACGACACTGACAATGCGACAAATCGCCGGCCGTATGTGTTCTACTGCGCGACGTTCTACTCGCTTGCCCGTCACTGCGGCGTGCGTGCAATTGAGGACGTTGAGCTTCCGGTCTTCGATCTAAGTTGACTGTCTGGCTATCTATGTCTTGGCAGCTTGCTCTAATCGGTCACAGCTGTCTATCTGAGCGAGACAAGACCGGAAGCAACTGCGTAGAACAGGGTACGACACGACGGAGGGCGCGACGATGGAAAGTGGGGGCAGAAGCAAGGAAAACCGTCGAAATGACAGATATGATGATAACACACCCTCCACTTTTTTCCTGCCAAATTCCGCGATTGGGCGCCATGTCCGTCATGTCTTCTCGACTTTCTTTAAGTTTCATTTCCTTCACTGCCTTTTTCGTCCGACATATTATTATTCCTGCCGCCTTGCCGCATGGAAGGCCTGGCGTTGCACGGTTGCATGCACACGAAAATGCAATTCATCAACGTTATTTTGTTTATCTCCCGATCCTCGGGGTCCGCTGTTTGGCCAGATGCTGCGAAGAAGGACAAGAAGCCTTCCGAAGCGGGACGAGATACGCACTCCATCCACGCCGTGCAAATGAACGTGTTGTTGTGGCATCATTTGTTTACGTCGTTTGGATGTTGCGTTCCTTATCTCCAAGCACTTTCCTTCCAACAACGCAAACGGGCAAGCAAACCCATCTCAAACACGTCCTGACAAGTTTCGAGTTTGTCTATCCTCCCCCTTCGAGTCGAAGCAATGGCATTTGCACAGTCGTCTTAGCTCTAGCCTCCCGAAGGAATGAATTCCGTAGCCTCGTCTTCTGTCCGATCACCGATCCGATCTGCCTTGCCTATCGAGGCGGCTCGCGGATCACGGTCACACCCGATAATTCAATTCAATTGTCGCTTCTCGGTACCGCAAGAATATCTCTGCCATAATTTTCTTTTCCAATACTCGTATATTTCATTTTGCTCGATGATAAGGACTTGGGTACTTTTTCGGAATCTTTGCGGGGCGCTGTGATGGTACGCGTTGTTGTCGTCAAAGATGGCGAGATACACGAAAAAATTGGACGACAGTCAGTGACGAAGAGGATGACGTAGAAGATGACGCATGGGCATTTGTGTGTCCAGAACGTTTGATTAGTTTTAGTTAACCGTCCCGACCCCGTTTACAGGCGCCGAATCGGTGTTCCCTTGGCAAAAAATGTTCGTTGTGCCCTGACAGAACGAGAAAGCCGACGTTGGCGATGTCAACAGTCACTTTATATTACAAGCAATAACATCAAGTTAAAACAACGTGTAGATAATTACTGAAGGGACGCTTCTTTGTTCGTTGCTGGCAGGTTCAAAGTCAAGTGCGCAGTGGTGTTGTGGCTTTGATGTCATGACGCCATGATGCATAGCCAGAATTCACTCAAAGTCGAGCTTAAAATACTTGCTTGTTCCAATTGGATATCCCCTACTGGGAGTTTGCGAAGAAGATGGATCCCGCCTCAACTCTTCAACCGCGTTTTGTGCCTTTTTGCCTTGCGTATGTGGGAGGAGAGGGGGTTTATGCCGAAAGCTGCATGTCGGATTCCGTCTGCCTTATGCATATACGTGTGTATGGGCCCGTATCTCGTCTCCATTCTTGATCTCACATTTATGTTCAGCTTCTTTATTCTGATGAGACGGATGTATGTGGAGTGGGCGATATTGCTGGTATTATTTTCGGTTGAGTAACGTAACGTGGGGTTGATACTATATTGTATGGAACAAACATCAGCGTATCAGTCCTACTTAGCGACCCTGGTGAGGCTTGAACGCTGTTGTACTTTACGGGCCAAGCAACGGAACGACCATCTTAATGAACGCCTGTGATATGTGCCCAACAAACTAAAATCTATTATGCACTTGGAGGACAAGGATGACGATTCTATCCTGTACCATTATAGAAATGCCGTGTTTGGTTCCGGTCGGTCTCCACTTGTGCTTCGGCTGCCCACTGACTTGGAACATACAGCCGTTGAATTCGTCTGCCGAATACAGGCCTGTAAGTTGTGCGACCTTAGTACAATAACATTGCATGAGTACGTTATGAGTATTCAAAAGATTTCCAGCATTGACCCGAACCGGATCTGTGCAGCACTTCATGCCGGAGAAGCTCAAGCTTAATCTCATCCGAGTAATCCGAGTTGTGTCTAACGTGGGGTTTGAGGACTTTTTAAGAATCCATATTGTAAGGCACTTAGTGAGGGTTTGTGCGGTACCATTTGCGTGAAAGTAGGATAAACAATAACATAGAACAGTGTCCGTGGGTCCACGCGATTTGGATCTGCGTACTCTTTTGTTTGGTTGGAAGCTTTTTCTTTGATCCAAAGTTTAGGCTAGATTAACATTCATTCTTTCAATAAGTGTTAATTTTGCAGTGAAACAGATCGTCTTTATTTGAATTATTGTGATTCCTTGCCATGAACAAAGTGGATCACTATTTCACAACCAGAGTCGATCTTACTCTAATAAACACAATTTGACATGTGGCTAGTAGTTTATCAGAAGAATGGAAGTAGATTTGCACACCTGCCTTCGGATTGACGTTGGGGAGGAGTGAGTAAGCGGTGTAATCCGCCCTTGTAACTTTGCATCTTACCATCTTAACGGATTACTGAACTTTCCTTATTTGGATGTATGCAAATTGCAGAGAAAGTATTATCCAGAAAGTAAGACTTGTTGAGTTGATTTGCAGAACTCTATTATTTTAATTAAAAAAATCGTTGCAGAAACAGATCGATTCTGCTAGAATTAATATTGTCTGTGCTGATAAGCTGGCCCCTCTCGGGTTGGAGCTGGGGCTACGAGTCGAAGGTTGTCAAAATAAGAATCTAAGTGAAACTTAAAGAATGATTAACCGGGGACAATGTTTGCATGACAGGTCACGGGCATTAGCATTCTTGCGAATTCCTCATTTTCTTGGGCGGAGATACGTGGGATAGCACCGTTCTTCCAAATCGTTCAATCGACGTTCAATCAACGTCTTATCTTTCGAGTTCTCAATAAACCGGCGGCCTGCTATGCTTCACTTTGAACTCCATCAACATCACTCTCGGCGAGACTTGCGGTCGCCGTTGAGCCACGCCGTGATTTAATGGAAGTTCATTAAATTACTCGTGATAGTTGAATGGATGCCTCGAAAATGGTGATGGACGATTATTCCGTGTTAGTCGCAGTTATCTTTGTTGACAACCGAGTCTTCATGAGAAATAACTGTCGAGAGGGAAGATGATCAGACACATCCGAGTGTTGGATTGAAAGCTCAACGAATAGCATGCAGAGGAATATTTGAACAATCCTCCGCTTTGTATATAGCGCCGGAACGGCACGACGTCGCGTCGCGGGATTGCTGGAAACAGATGACGCAATGCACCACGGATGTCCTCGAATTTGAATTGAAGTGGCGTGGACAGGATCTGCGTGAGAAGATTTGCGCCACCCCTGGAAACCCTAGATCCGGACGCCGAACGATGGGGACCCCGAGAGACTCCTTGTGGTGTTTTCTCTATCTACTCAACAACTCTACCATAACGAAAAAAGATGCAGAAGAGGATTCTGGCCGATAATAATAATATACCCTCCACGGGAGCACAAGTTGAGGCCAACCGCAGCGTGTCATCGTCATTTTCTGTGTCTCCTCCCACTGTCTCCATCCCGTCTGCTGCGCCCCTCCTCGTGCGCGTACGCGCTGTTCTCGTTCCTTGTCGTAGTCTGCGAGTAGAGAGTGGCGAGGGTGAACAGTTCCTGTCAGTCGTCTGACACTTGCCATTGCCTGGAATACGCTTTCTTGGGACCCACCTTCGACCCCGGACTCGTCCAATCTTTACTTGAACCTGATTTGACCTTGGCTTGTGTTGCACCATATCGTGCTCTGTGTCCTTGTCCTTATCATCTCAGCGTTGTTGAAACAGTGGGACTCCAAACTGCGCAGGTGAGCTTCCTCTTTCAGCTCTACCTTGTACACCTTCCCTTCAATGTATCTTCTCTGCAATCGGCAATCGAAGAACGACAGTGCGACGGGCGAGTCGGCGACGTGAATCTCGCATCAAAAGAATTCGCGTAAATATATACTATTTGACTGCTTATCGCGTCCTGTATTTCGCTCGCCATGCGATCGCGGACGCAGGCCTTGTAACGGGACGACCGCCTTCCCCCCGCTCAAGTTCCCGCTTTATTGTCTGTCTTTTCTCTCCTCTTCTACCTATAGCTCCTCTTGTCTTTTGCAACTTTCACCCTTGTCCTCCCTCTGCTCCACTCCGACCATATCCCTAACACCCAGATACACATACTGACGCCAAAATAACAGACAATAATCAACACCCAGAGTGTGGACATCCTAGCGTGCGATGGATTACGACCGCTACGATGCCTTCCTGCACCACATCTTCAAGCAGACTCAGGGGGACGCATGGTTCCGCCCTTCAGAAGATAATCTTAGTGCTGGTGTAGCGCTAAGAATCGATCATGGTGCGTTTCAGTCTCGTTTCGTTCATCTTTCCCTCTTGTTTGCACTTTTCTGGACGAGATTGGGGACGTGAACGTTCCTCTTTTCAGTTGGGATTTTATGATTAATTCTGCTCGGTTCCTGTTTGGTTTCAGCATTGTTTTCTCGAAATTTGGTCCTGGTTCATTTTCGCGGGTACTGTCTCAAGGATAGTTTTACTTTTGTTCCTGCTTCTTCATTCGTCGCTAGGCATACGACAACGCTACTGTCAGGACCTGGCGTTGAGCAGCGAGTTCTACTTCTTTCATTCTGAGCCTCTCTATATGTCATTTTCCTCATGATCGCCTTTCCAACCGGCCCATTCGTCCATTCGGATGAAAAGCGGCCTTACACGTTTCGCCTCCTTGTTCTTCTCATGCACAAACATTTCATTTCATTCATTTATACTTTGCTTCCCTTACTCTTCTTTTTCGTGGTTCGTGATTTCTCTGAATTGAGAGAAGCAAAGAGTGTAATGGACGTGGAGCCTTTTCTCTACTGGCGCTCTCTCCCGGGAGCCTCTAACACGCGTTCCGCGACTCTTTTCGCGACTTATGAGAGCCGGTCCGATGTGGGATCCTACCTTCTCGAGAGAATTATTGATATCTGGCTTGGCTATTAACGCTATTTTCTTTGCGCTTTGTGGAGTGGAGGAATGAGTAGTCGGGTGGACCCGCTCGGTGTATTATTGCGCTATTCGTGTATCGCAAATAGAACTTGCACTTCTTGGAGCATATCCTGATAACTAGTTCGATTTGGTTACCTTTTTTCGGAACTGGGCTTGTTTCTTTTCTTTCTCTCTGCTCCTTCTTCATTGTGGCGCTTACCCGTTTCCAAACTGTTCTTCCGTTAGTGCAAAACGCGTTGGTTTTGCACAGGAAGGTCCCAAAGCAACGCGAAAGAAGGCACCTTAGCGCCTCTATTCTCGTCTTAATTCAGAGTTTAGGCCCTTCTCAAATTTGTCCTTTCAGTGTCTGACTTCTTTCCCTACTCTTTCTGCTCTGATCACATGTTCAATTCTAACAGTACTTTTTTATTTATTTATTTATTTATTTATTTTAAAATCTTTTCTTCTCATGATTATTCCTCATATGTTTGATAATGGATCTAACTGACACTTGTTCCTTTTCTTGATACAATGCTGTATGAACAGGTCGCTTCCGCGTGTTTCCCTATGAGAACCTTGAGCTAGAGCCATTCGAGACTGCCATCACGGCACTCAATCCCATGGTCGCTGTCAAGGTGCGAAGTGCTGCTGTGCATGCTGTACTGGCTGATGTGTAAGTCATGTCACTTTATTACAATCTTCCTTATGTTTACTGACGAACTCATATCTCTCTGCATGTTCATTGTGTAGTGGGCCAGAAGACAAGAGTGTGTATGTCGATGTGAACACGCGCATACAGGTCATCGACACGATGCTCATGCTTCCGCACGCCGAGAAGGAGCAGAGTGCTGCATTTATTGTACGTTCTGTCATCATTTTACTCCACGCCCTTCTAACAACATTACTTTCTTCTAATTCTCCCGAAATGAAAACGAATGACAACAGCGCGACGAACGTGTGATGGTCATCTGGTCAGATGACCTCGACGCGATCATCCCGACATGTAAGGACTTTGAGGATCGTATCATTAAACTTCTTTGGCGGTCTCGCCCTGCTGGTTTGTCTACACCATCCTCGCTTCCCGGGTACCGTTCGTATGCTGGTTCTATTGCCTCTGCATCCGTTCAAGGTGGAAGCGATGTGGGTGGGCTTCTTGTGTCTGGTGGTCATGATGGGAGCATGCGGGCGCGGACGCGCGAGAGTCGTGCGAGCTCTTCTCGCCCCGGAACGGGTCCTACACCAAGCCAGAGTGCGAGTCAGACACATGCACCAGTTTCTGGTGGAGACCTTGAGAAAGGACATCCTGCAGGAGTATTTGCTGACGATGACGACGACGATGCCGAACTCGATGAAAAGCTTCTTGAGGAGGAAGCGAAGTCACGTTCGCGATGGTGCTTTGGAAGGAGGAAAAAGAGCTCGATAGCTCTTGATTCGAAGGAGACGAAGCGTAGAACACATCGCGCAAAGGAGAGGAGACGGATCAGTGAGCGCGGGGTCAAGCTATATGCGCCGGTCTACAATGGGATTGCAGCTGCATTGTCGTTGTGTAAGGTTCCCTCCGCTTGCAAGGGAGGTGTCCAAAAAAGAAATCTAATGAGAACTTGCAGACTTCATGTGCGCGGGTGTGAGCATCCTTCTCCAGGAATGGGCGCTTGACAATGAGTTCATGAGATTTGTTCTCGTTGCACTCATCCCATTCTTGTTCTCCGTTTCGCTGGTATGTTCGGTTTGCTTCTCGCTCGTATAACCGACTAACTAGCTGCACTACTTCAAGTTCTTCTCCCTGCAGATTGTCCAGAACTGCTCCTACGCGTAAGTCCGAATTCCTGTTCCCCCCGTCGAGGAAGTTTATTGATTTTACACTTTCATTTTTCAGCATCGGCCCTATCGCTCAGTACTATGAGAATTCTAAGTACTACTCTGCGATACCACCACTCCCTAATAAGGTAGTCGACAACAACCTTCCACACGTTACCATCCAAATGCCGGTATACAAGGAATCGCTCACTCAAGTGCTTGCTCCATCAATTGAGAGTATCAAAAAGGCGATGCAAACTTATGCGCGGCAGGGCGGGACGTCAACGATCTTCATTAACGACGATGGCCTGCAACTTCTTCCCCCAGGCGATCGCGACGCTCGCATTGCGTACTATACGGATCATAACATCGGCTGGGTTGCTCGTCCGAAACATGAAGACGGGCCTGATGGGTTCAAACGTGCAGGCCGCTTCAAGAAAGCGAGTAACATGAACTATGCCTTGAGGATTAGCTTGAGGCTTGAGAAACACCTCGCAGAGCTGATGGAGAAAGAAAAGGAAAAAGCTGTTTCGGGTAATGATTCGTCTGGAACTAGTGGAACGACAACGAACCGTCGTCACTCAAACGTTGGTTCGGGAACGAACAGCAATTCAGGTGCAGATGACGAGGAGGCGCAGAGTTTGGAAGACAGGGCGTTAGCTCTGGCAGTGGAAGAGGAATTCGCCTCAACTGGCGCAAAATGGCGTCCATGGGCAGGCAATGGCAAAGCAATTCGGATGGGTGAACTCGTGCTTATTGTCGATTCGGATACTGTCGTGCCGGAGGATTGTTTCCGAGACGCGGCTCGTGAATTAGCAGCCTGCCCGACTGTTGCAGTTATTCAACATGAGAGCGACGTCATGCAAGTTGCACATCATTACTTCGAGAACGGGATTGCGTACTTCACGCGGAGGATAAACAAGTGTATTTCCATGAGTATGTTACTTTTCGTGCACTATGTTTTATGTCTCTAACACAGTAAATAAATAGCTTGCGCAAACGGTGAGGTTGCACCCTTCGTAGGACACAATGCCTTCCTCAGGTGGCGTGCAATACAGGATGCATCTTTCACGGACAAAGACGGTGTTGAGAAGATCTGGTCCGAGTCGAACGTCTCAGAAGACTTTGACATGGCACTACGCCTGATGATGCGCGGATACATCATTCGTTGGGCGCGGTACTCTAATGGAGGATTCAAAGAGGGTGTCTCGCTCACTGCTGATGATGAATTGAATCGATGGCAAAAGTACGCTTACGGGTGTAGTGAACTTCTGTTCTACCCGATTAAGGATTGGTGGAGGAAAGGGCCAATAAATCATCAAATCCATCGGTTCATCTGGGGTCCAGCACCATTGCATTACAAGCTCAGCATGTTGGCATACATGTTCTCCTACTGTACGTTTCTCCCCTTCATACGTCTCCTCCTGTTAATTTTGATGCCGTTTGCGTAGATGGTATTGCGGTGTCGGTCACGATCTCGACTGTCAATTATGCGATTCTAGGCTTCCAGTTTGATGTCGATGGCTACTATATGCATAGTTTTGAGATCTGGCTTGCGACAACGATTGTGTTCCTTGGGCTAGGTAACCTGGCGTTCACGCTCCTTGAGTACCGTCTTGGAGAACGCGATTTATTAAAGGCTTTCTGGACTAACATCAAGTGGATTCCGTTCTTGTCAGTTTTCTCACGCTCTCTTGCAGATGTATTTGACGCCCTAATCCATTCACTCCTGTAGCTTCTTTTTCTTTGGTGGCCTATCAATCCACCTATCCGTGGCCATCCTTGCTCACCTCTTCTCTTACAACATAACTTGGAGTGCGACCAAGAAGGAAGTCGAGCGATCAAATTTTTTCAAGGAAGTGCCTAAGATCCTCAAACGCTTTTGGCTTGCCTTTGGTATCGCGATAATCTTGCTTGGAGGGATGGCCGTGCTGAGCACAAATATTGTGCCGATAGAGTGGAGGGTGGACTCGAGTGCGTGGGCTGTCATCTTCCCGCTTGCCGTCGTGTGTGCTTGCCACATTCTCTTCCCAGTACGTATTCACGAGCTTGGAATTTGCTTTGTCCACTGACCGGATCTCGTCCATATTGGTAGATTGTGCTCAACCCATACCTCATGGTGTTCTCGTACTAATCAGAAATTACTCGGACTCTTTGTCTCATTGCTTTTTTGTCATTTCAATTCATACCACACCTTGCAATTGCATGCCATCCAAATACGCATCATACACGACACGAACTTAGACCGAGGACAGTTTAATGTTTAAACACCATTACATACGTATAAGCATATAATCACATATGTTTGTTCGATTATATGTGCACGTAGGCTGCGTTGTCCGTTCCTTACTATCCTCTTTCCATTCTTTACAAGTAGAATTTACGAACTACTGATACTGGTGCTGCTTCAAGAACATGCTTGGACTAATCCGTCTCTTTTCCGCTTTACTCTTTTTCAATGACCCATCATTGACCATCTGCGTCTTTTGACATTGTTCGCATGTTGACTTTCTGGGCTCGAGTATTAGCAGTTGCCATAGTATGCTTATGTTTATACCAGACACCGACTTCTCGACTTGTTGATCCAAAGATAATTTGGATATTACCAATGAATGCGTCTTCACCCGAGTTGATATCACTAATTTGCACCTCTCTCAAAATTCCTCGTGCTTTTCTACGCATATGTTAAGATACTAAGAGGGGTCGGGGACAAATTCCGACACGGTAACTTCTCATCACACTCAACTATTTTTGCAACTAAGTATACAAATGCCACAGCAGATCGTATCGATCTCACGCTGTTTATCTAATCCAGTCAATGCGGCATAGGGTGCTACTCCGAGTCCTTGTCAGAAACCTTCTTTACACGAATTCCATTTTTCTTCAAGACAGAAACTCTAATCTCTTGTTTATGAGGATCTTCGAATTCGATCCCCATATTTTCAATATCTTCGACTGTAAGATTTTCTATTTCGTTAATATAAACCCACTTCTCTCCTAGGAGTTTACTGTCGATATGCATATCCTTCAATTTCGTTTCTGCTTTCTTTGCATTTTCTTGTAGTGCTGCTGCCAACTCCTTCTGATTTCCATTGGCTTGCTTTCTGTGGTATCTATAGTAGTGATCTAGAACAGCTTCCACTATCTTTTTATGCAAAACAAAGGCCAAAGCATTTAATAGTTCTTGTTGATCTTTAAGAAATCTGTATGACTTTACACTTGGTATGTTTTCGTCGGTCATTTTATTGCAATTGCCGAAAATACAGTCTGCCCAGCGGTCTTATTGAAACAATTCGAATTGTTTCTTAGTACTTATATTTAAAGTACCGTGATAATTAACTTACCAGGTCTCGGTCGAAGAATGGCAGGTTTTGCCTTTACATTTTCATATTTGAACAAGAGCCCTAAGTCTGGTAGGATAAATTCATAAGGCCAGTATATCTATACAATGTACTCTACTAGAATTTAAAGGCTCACAATATCTTAGGCTACCAGTTTGTAAAATACCTTTCACATTGTCAAAAGACCGAGTATTAGACAACTCTGCCATTTTGGTCAGCCAGTCATCTGGCTGATCTTTCTCTAAGATCCTTTTCTGTTCCCATTCCTCAAGATTATTCACCCATTTATCTATCTGTGAGTAAAGTAGCTCTAATCCTGCGACTTTTCGAGATACTCCTTGTATCTTCTTTTCAACAAGTTGTTGTACCTCTGTTTGCCAGTGATCTGCCTTGTCATTATGATTGTATACAAGATGAGAAAAGACTGTTAATAACATCATATAATGAAATGCTAAATTCTGTAGTCCCTGCTCAGTGTCTGGGAGAACATACAAGATTGGTGTGGGATAACAGGACATTGAACAATCTGGGAAAATGCACCTCTTCCAAGCTGTATAGTACAATATAATTTAGTTATAAGATACACTATACAAGCTTACACTTACAGGTGTAGCAAAACGTTTCAAAGTATTGTCCAACAGGTCTTTGTCCAGGGGAAGTCTCTGTAAAGAAAAGACACATGTCTTATTAAAGAGTGAGTCAGTTTGATAGATCAATATTAGAGAGAATCCACATAATTGACTCACAGTCCTTCAAGTCACCGTTCAGCTTCTTCCTAATGTTTTCCTTTGAGAATTCTAAAGGAGCATGCTCCTTGTCTCGATGCAGTTGTGTATTGCCAGATGTTGATTTTACTCTAGAATTCGGCTTTTGCTCATCCTTTTCATTATACACTGTCTTCTCTTCACCCTTCTTTCTTTTCTCTGTACCTCTTTCTGAAGGAGATCCGGATTCACTGTCAGAGTGGTCCAGTATCACCCTAACTTTCCCTTCTATTTTGACCCCCTTGCCGCTATGAGAGTCTGATGGCACACGCTTCTTTTTAATTGGACTTAAGCTCTTACTGGCTGGCTTCAGGGAAGACTTTCTAACAGGAGTATGTGATTTTGTCGGAGTGGCACTCTGACTTGCATTAGACAATGCATGTTGAGGAGTATTGCCATCCCCTTTTTTGACTTCCGAATCTCTCCTTGTATGACTTGAGCCTGACATGATGCTAAGTAAAGTGTAGTGCAGATACAATGTGGGGGGCCTCTTAAAAGCCTGTACTTTGCACGTTTTGAGTATTTCTTCTTTTGCTACATGTTGGAGACCTTGTGACCGTCCCTGGATGTGGTAATCATAACACACAAAGTTGCAAAGTATTGATACAGAACGTGAGAACGACAAGTATTTGATTTGTATATTCAATTTGACCCAGTATTTGCGAGCTACGGACCTACATTGTCCCGTACTTCTATGTGGTGAGGAGAGATGAAATATTCCTTTACACATGTTTTTGCAACTTTCAAGTAGTCCAGACTCAATAATGCACATGCACGCTCATATCCTTGTCCTTACAACTTGTTGAGCTCAGTGAAACGCATTGAATATTCACATTGAATTTTAGTTACCGTTGACTACCTAGAATATATACTTACAGTATACATGACGTCCTTGTGCTTGCGGAGTTAACATTAGGTCACGCGTTAGGGTGGTGCGTATGTGTTCTCGAAGCGAAGAATGCGACAACTCAAGAGAACATATGGAATCTAGAAAAACTCGTTTAATTGGTGGGTTCTGATAAGCTTTGTAGTGTAGGGGTATCGCAACTCGCTGGTTTCGCACTAGTTTATTCCTAGTAACTTATGATTGAAAGTCCCTAATTAGATCCTCCAATGCTTCGTACCGGTTGTGCATAATAATTCATCAACTATTTCTATACCAAGAACAGGAATAATACAAAGGGAATGATACAAAAGTAGAACACACGCGGGCAGAAGCAGTGCTGCAATAAATGCTGTCCAAAGCTGTTCAGTGTTCTTGTTCCAACGAATGAAGAAGCATATCGGCTTCCCAGGTTCTAGCTCCTTTGCGGCAATTTTCCGCGAGCGAAAGGTAATACGTTAATCGTACATACGACAAGCTCGTTCAAGCTCGTCTGGGTCGATATCCATGTCGAAATCGATCGAACTGTCGGCTTCCAGAGGCGGCGATGAACATCGGTCCTTGTCTACATTCACCTTTGTATCGCAACCTTCGTGGCTTGTTAATGGTGGTTCTACAGGGGGTTGCGCAATCGGGCTGTTCACCGGGGTGCCTGGCAATTCGCGGCTTGTGTGATTAGATGCCGAAGTACCGTAGACATCGCCTCGGTTCTTGGCAAATGGAACTTTGAACTTATTCTGCCTTTCGGGCAGAGGACGATCCCGTGTGAGACCTTGGCTCGAGGATGGTGCTTGGCTATTCACTGTGCGTCGCATACCAAGTGGTGGTGGGCCCGTGGTTCGCTGCAGAGAGGCTGCTGATACGCCATTCGAAATAGCGCTCGCGGCGCAATTTCTGCTTTGTCGGGTGCCATTCTGGTTGATCCCAGATACGCAGTCTGATGTTCGTGGTGTTGAAGTCATAATAGATTGAGAAGATGCGAAGAAACATGGCTCTATGCTTTTCTCCGAGCTCTGTGAATTCGACGCTAATGATACGCCAGGAATTTCTGATGGCCCAGTGTTTATGGATGACCGAGGCCTGCGAGGTGGAATATAAGATGGTGGAGGCATGAGATTCGCAGCATCTCGATGCTCGTTAGCTTCACCGTCCTCTGCGCCGTTCCGCCGTCCACATCTGTTGTCGCTAGCTTCCTCAGCAGCTATCTCCAGCTCCTCTTCCTGAGATACATTCGTTGATCGTTGCTTTCCTTTGGTATCAATCATGTTCCTCTGCTTTTTCATTACCGCCGAGCCTTCTACAGGTGTTTGAGCTGTCCGCTTCTGTCTCCTTCGTTTCTCTCGTAGTGCTTCTTGTTCGCGTTTTGCATTTTCATCGGCCTGTTTTGAAACGAGAGGAAGAAGAGCAACTAACTTGTGAACGTTCTCGTCTAATTTGCTTCCGGTATTTGCTGAGTTGGACGGTTCCTTACTGACAACTGCAGTGCCGGGTGAGCGTCGGCTTTGCGTTCGTCGGACCCGGGTAGGCCTATCAGCAGGAGTTGTCATGGAAGGGGAAGAAAAGTTGGATGGCCCTGACCCAGTCGAAGGCGACGAGCCTTTCATCTGGTCAACCTGAGCAGCTGCAACATCAGAGGTGATTTTAAGCTTCGAGGAAGTAAACACTGCGTACATAGAAGGGAAACACGCACGTTTACGCGGTGTATACGCGTCATTCATGAGTTTCCTTAGAACGGGGTCTTGTGGCTGAGATGCTTGCCAAAAGACGCGGTTCATGTCTGGGTTTTCGTTGTGCGTGTCGTATCCCCAGTGAACCGGCGAAGCTGCACCAGAAATGTAGCTGTTATGCGTTGATATATCGAGACTGGAATCGCGGTCCACATCCTCCATATTCAAGGCAGGATAGGCAGTGGATGGAAGAGGCAATTAGAAGGGACAGAGGTTGACTGCGATTAAAGATGTGTTCAAACAATGGGCTCGTGTATACACGAACAATGGACGTAAGTACAATGGCAGAGAAATCTGGTTCTGACGTCGATCCCAGAACTGCCGATCGGTTACCATCTCAGGTAGGTAACAAGAATAAATATACTTAAAAAAATTAAATCTTACAAGACATAACAGAAAAGCATCTCAAAGAAAATACAGATTAACACAAAAGTAGAAAGTAAATCGATTCATCTATATTTTGAACATCATGAATATGCTAGTAAAGACGGTTACATTGCTCCATCTCTTCCTGTTTGATTTCAATGCTGTTGCTATCGTCGTGGTCTAGGTACACCTGGACGCCCAAGTACATTTTAGCACATCACAAGTCATGAAGAGGCAGGGGAAAGTACCTCGTAGACCTTCGCGGGTATCATCATCGCAAGCATTGGCATCATGTTGCACCACTTCCAATGCACGACAGGCGCACAGGCGGAACACTTCTGCGCCTCACGGAAGAAGGGGACCACGAAGTTCTCGAAGAAAATTGACGGGTCAAGTGGAGCACGACGGAGTTTTTCTAGTGCGTTTGAGGCGTATAGTTGCCACCATCGTGCAGCACCACATCTCATCACGTTGCCAGTGGAAGGCACTCCGCTACAATCGGCGCACGCAACGAAATTTGCGTATACATCCGAAAGACCAGTGGGATACGCATCCTCCCCGCTAATTGCGAGTACCTGTTCGCAGGCTGCAACTGCTCGTTCATGAAATTCGACGTATCGATCGTAGTCATCTTCATCGAGTCCCTCTCCGGTGAGCCCGGCAGCTGGATAAGTCTTGTACGGGATACATAACGAATTACGAGCTGCTTTAAGTTTTGCGTCGTAGGGTAGACCGAGACGACAAGCGACCGCATAGGATCTCAAGGAGGCGTGGCCCGGCCCTGGGAATGACTTGATGTAGATGATGCTGTTCGCAATCTCGATAATCTTTTGACAGACGTATTCCAAATCGTATTTACGAGCCGCATCGTGGATAGGAGCCAGAAGCCTGAAAGGCAACATTTTCTCTGTTTGGTCGTCCCCCGGTTCTTTGAAAACAGGGTCTGGAACAGGGTATATGAACCGGAGTAGCGCATCAATGACTGCACTGGGCTCATTCGTGATCACTTTTGGGGCAGATGGATCAAGTTCCCAGTCAAGAACAGAGATACTGCTCTTCTCGTGGCTGGTACGCTTCACTTGAGCTGATTCATCCAGCGAGCGGAAGGCTTTCTTGAAATATGGAGACGCGAATGCGAGAAGGCTTCGTGAGATGATAAACTCGACTCGGTCTCTGCTGAGAAGAGTTGCAGTGTCCATGACATCGTGTACACGATTAAATGGGCTTCTCGCAATAAGATTGACGGGTGCTAGCTGCTCGAGAGTTAACTGGAGTCCATCTGCTATGCCATTCGGCCCTGTCGCGGTCTCTGAGTCTGTGTTTGGAGGAGTGAGCGACGTAGGCTTGAGCTTTTTCGCGTGTTTTGCGCCCTTCTTCCCCATCTCGACGAGCGAGGACAGTAAAGATATAGTATCAGTGAAACGAGGAATGATTTAGAGAGTCACTTGCAAGGACGAGATGAGAGACGAGAGAGAGCGAAATTAGCCACCGCTTGCACTACGGGATCATTTTATAGAGGTGGATGTGGCTTAACCGTGCTTGAGCAAATTTGGGAATGGATATTTTCGTGGCCGTGGCTGATATCAGAGATTCAAAATGTAGCGTCAAAGGAATAGCAAGACCACGAAAGTCGGCAAAGCTGCACAATAAATTGACTCAAGAGGGAATTGCTTCCGACAGCGGTAGCCGTCGGGACACTGAAGAAGTGTAACGATGCACAGCAAAGGTCGAATGCATGTCGTGTTAGAGGTGAATGAATGGGACAAAATGAAAGGGAAAGTGAAAGAAAGGAAAACAAACCACGTGTCGTGGGAAGCTCGAAGCCGCTTACGTCATGCAACTCGCAAGGTAGATTCTGGCCACCCAGATCACCATCGACTTGCCCCGCGACGAGCCTTCTGTCGTCAAAAAGCACCCTTATCCTCTATAGACATGTCCTTGCCGAAAGTATGTGGCCATTTCTGTGCAGTCTATGGCAAAGCTGATCAGTAATCTGTCCTTCAAAGCGAATCATCAAGGTGAGCGTCATGCCCTTTGTGTGCGTCGCTCGTGTGCGCAGTCGCAACGAGTAGGATGCAGCGAATAATTAGATCGTTTCTGACGACATGTCTTTGGTCTATGATCGACTGTATATCTGGTCGAACTCCAACACCTCTTTCTTTATGACTTGGTTGGAATGCTGTAACGTGCTCCGTCTCTTTCGGAATTTGATATTTGTCGGACGGGTTTGCGTACGATGCACCTGCGTCCTCTATCAAACTTCGTGGCGAACTTTCGTAATACGTCTCGCAATGTCCTTGGTTGCTGGCATGGATAATTCAAATTGCATTGTGCGGATGCCTGCGTTGGAACGACATTGCATCACACTACTTGCATCATGGTAATGTGTATGCACTTACCCGATTCACTAAAATATGATCGTGGCATACATGCGCTTCTATGCGCTTCCTTCTGGTTCGATAGGAGACAGAGCGTCTACAAAGCGATCCAGCTCCAGGAATCACAGCAGCTCCACATGAAGATAATCTCCGTTACTTCGATGTTACGATCCAGGGACCAGAAGGGAGCCCGTTTGAAGGTGAGCATCCAACTTTGTCAGTTTCACTGCATGCTTGTGATACGTTATCTCTGCTCTCATTGTGTCTGTTGTGCCATTCTATGTTGTACTGATTGGGTCCATGGTGACTAGGCGGTGTATTCAAGTTAGAACTTTTCCTTCCAGAGGAATATCCAATGGCCCCACCGAAGGTCCGCTTCCTAACGAAGATTTACCATCCTAACATTGGTGCGGTATTCTTCTATTATCTATGACTCTTCTTTTTGTATAATCTGACATTGACTATTGCTCATTGAAGATAAACTTGGCAGAATCTGTCTGGACATTCTGAAAGGTTTGGAATATTGTTAAACTGGGATCAATGCATCCTACAGGCTCCTAACACGTACTTTTATCACGTAATCGCGACTTGTCAGATAAATGGTCTCCTGCACTGCAGATTCGAACTGTCTTACTTTCAATACAAGCTTTGCTGAGTGCACCAAACCCGGACGACCCACTCGCAACCGATGTTGCAAAACATTACAAGGTCTGTTTATCGGCTGACTCTCAAATGGCCACCTAATTTACTATTCCACTTACACTTCTGCTGATTGTGACGTTTTGTATAGGAGGATCCCGCGGGTGCAAGAGCAATGAGTCGACAGTTGACGGCGGAGTATGCGAGTCATTAGTAATGGCTGTGGCATTCACGCGTCTCTCCATTCTTCTCCAGCTTAATATCCTGGCGGCTCTAGACAGGCTACTAATTACTGTAAAGATGGTCGTGTGGAGCGCATGTTCGTGAGTGTGATTTGGGGGCCCGGAGCCGATTACAGCCGCCCAAGGTACGTATTCGCGAGGTATTCCCGGTGATGAGAGTGCGGTGTATTCGGATTATCGATAGCCTCTATTGTGATGTTGATTGTTAATTGTACTATGAACCGATGCCATAGACCTGTGAACAGCGATTTCAGACCAAGTAGGGGATGGCACAGGGTGATGAACTATACACCTGGTTATTACTGGACCCGTCCACTAGTACTGGATGCGGTGAAACGGTGCCCGCGCTGTGTACATGGCAGGTGTGTCCCCGCCAGATGCTATAGATGCACCAATGGCAATGGTTACCGGGTCACTTAGCTCCATGGGTCGTCTAGTGACCTATTAAAGGCCACTGCAAAGCAACGCCTGGCTGCGATTCAGATGAATACACAAAGTGAATTGAATCGAATGCCAGACCGTTGGGGACCCATAGAAACGCCTCAATAATAGGCTAGGAAATAAGTTGATGCACGCGCGTATGTGCGACACGGTCAGCCAAGGGCTTTGGTGAGAAGGTGCACACGTCTATAGTACATACTAGTAGTAGTAAGCTGTGCATTATATTAATATGAGGTACTACATAGAATAAGGGTACATCTGCTTAAGTCAGCTCTGAGCCAGGATGGACGAGCGGCAAGAGCCGTGGCATCTCATACATTTAAGCCACCGAGCCGAACCTCATCATCTGCCCACGAACGACGTCTCCTCTCCTCTCGCCATCTCCAGCAGCGATACGGCGATGGCTAACAACCCGCCACAGTTACAGCTGCAGCTGGGTCATCAAACATTTAAGCGTTCTTTTCATCAATTCGGCCTCGACGTCGACGATGCTGAGGATTCTGAAGCTGGGGCGGGAAGCTCGGGCTCGAGCTCTAGCAGTACCAGCCGCAGCGGAAGTGCGAGCGGGAGCACACCTGGGAGCAGTGGATCAAGAAGTGTAAGTAGTGGATCTAGCTACAGCTCGCCAGGAGGCGATGGCTTCGGATACAACGACGGAGAGAGGGGCGAGCGGAATAAACGTGCCCGCAGCGAGGGTCCAGAGGGTACAGGGATTAACACAACAAGCAGCTTGAACACTGAGGAGCAGTCTCTACCTACAAGAACTAGGCCTGATACCTTTACTGGAATCTTCAATTCCTCATCGCAAGGACAACAAATACAAGCTTCTGCATCTTCTGCATCTTCGCATCAGTTGGCTTCGAATAACACTGCAACATCTGGATTCACTCTTCCAGAGTTGAATTTTGAACCTTCCACTCCATCAATGTCTGAGTTCGTGGCTTTGCGCACGAGCGCTTCGAATGGCAGGCCACCCCAGCATCCACCGGGGTTTGCTGGAATGTTATCCCCGCGATCTTCAAGTCCTGCTCCCCCACCAGTTGAAGTTCTCGACGTGGCAATGCGTGATGATGCCGACGATGATTCATTAATGCTAAATGATTCCCGTACAGGTCGTCAGAACAGTAGCTCAAACGCCTTCCTGGACACAGCGCGATCGGATGCTTTACTTAACTCGGCGACAGCGCGCTTGCGTTCGGCGATGGAGCGTGCGCGTACGTTTGATAGGATGTTAGCGCCATTACGGACCGATGCTGCGGATGGTCTAAGTGGAACATCCCACAGTCCTTTGCGCCCGCGCCTACCATCCTTTGAGTTTGAGGCACGCCGAAGAATGCCCTTCCCTTTACATGGTGATAGTAATACAATCTCGAACCCTGCAATTCGCAGTCCTTTTCATCGCAGTCTACACCAGTCTTCTACCGCAGACGCTACAACCTCAGGCTTTGCCATGCGGCACCGCTCTTCTTTGTCTCGCAGAAGTCCAATAGTTTTCCAAGCATCAGGTGATAGGTCGCCCTCCCCAGACCTATTTAGTGATGTACTCCGCAGATATAGCTCGGAAGACGATGAGCTAGCAGATGCGGAGGATGATTTGGTCATCGACAGAGAGCTTTATATGGACTCTGACCAGCAAAATTCTCCACGTTTTGTATTGTTTAATTCGGAGGCGATACCATCCGGTGCCCGAAATACCTCTTCCTTGAATAATCGGGACGGTGTTGCAGAGGACACGAGCAGACGCGACTTCTCTTCCCGTGCGTTGGACGATAGAGTGCGCGCGATTAACAGCCTCACGACTCGCACAATTGATGACCTCACGAGCTTCATTTCAACAAGTGAGGCCGAAGACGATGCTCGCACGTCGCGTTTTGACAATTCTTACTTGGATCCGACTCTTGCTGCTGGGATGTCGGACGGAATTAACGGAATTCACCCGGTTTCACGGGCTCAGTCCAATATGTACAACCCTCAATCACCTCCACATTTCTCAGCTCGTCATTCATTCAATACTGCCTCTGGACCTGACGGCTTGGGTTCTCCTGGTCGTTCGATCCCATATCTAAACACGTCACAAGACCGCGTAAGGAATAGAGCTGAAGGTGTAATGAATCGGTCTGGGTTGAATACACGCCAGAATCGGGATTGGCCTTGGGCACCTTTGGATTTGGAACCCATGTCTGGCCTGGAATCAGGATACCGCTCCGAAGCATCGCGCATGCGCCCCTTACCTCAATCGCCTTCTTCTCAGTTCCCTTTGTCCGCCAGTCCGGCTCGAAACACCGAGGATGAACATGGAAGGGTTGGAAGGACGGTTCAATCAGACACGCAGAATGATTTACAGCGTTTAAGCAACATTATTCGCCGCGCACGTGAAGGGCATAATCCCTTGGCTCAGCCTCACTCGGAAAATGCACAGAGGTCATCGCCCGTTCGTCAGCCACCCCGGCCGAATTTACCAGCCCTTCGCTCAGCTCTTCTCGGTCCTCATGGTAGTGCGGGTTTGTTGGGCAGTCTGCTCGAAGAAGAAAGGGCGCGAAATGGAAATACGGGATCATCATACAGTAGTGCATCTGCTATTTCTCCCTCCATGTCTAGTTCGGGTCTACGGTCAAGAGGTAAGAAACCTCTTCAGGCTATCACATGTCCATGCTCGAGCTAATGTTTTCAATTGATAGTGACGCACAGCGAACGTTTCGCAGAACCCAACGCATTGCATTCTGCGGATCGCTCTACCGATCGTCTTCATGAGCCAATGGATACTATTTCATCGCGATTCCGTCTTAATACAATGCCTCCTACCAGTTCATTCGCCGTGCAATCCTCATCGTCCTCAATTAGGGATGCTAATCGACACGGCACGTTACCGCCTTCCAGGATGAATGAGGGGACCGCAGCGACGGAGAATACTGTAAACTTTACTTCTTCTCGCTTCAATTCGCAGACTGCACAACTGCGGGATACAACGCTCGAAATGCGCCAGCGAAGGTTGTTATCAGACCTATTATCTAGATCACGACAGACACGAGAGGAAAGCAGGAATCGTGAAATGGAACGGACGAGACTTGGGGAGATGCGGGAACAGAATCGTCTGCCAATCCGTCGGCATTCATCTTTCATGGATGGATGGGAAGATCATCTGTTCTCGCCTCGAGAAGAGTCTGATTTGCTTCACTGGGCGTATCCATGGGATGAGTTCTTAACGTCTGCAATGTCACCTGCGGAAACTGTTCCTATGACTGAACATCTCAGACGAGAAGCGAGTTCAAGTGATATAGTCATGTCGACAAGCAACGAGCCAACAACATCGACTGAAGCCGCGGCGTTCTTTGCATCAGGTATCTCGAATGAACCAGCGAGGCAATTACCGGGTAACCCATCTTCCGTAGCACTCAGGCAGAGGCGTGCCCGACTTCTGACCGACGTAGAGGGCCAGCATCCCCATTCACCATCCCAATCTTGGCCCGACCTTGATCAGAGAGTGCCGGTGGGCGTTTCGTCTGATTTTCTGAGCAGGTCACCATCGCTAGAGTTCGGCCACGAGCGGATTCGCGATACTAATGAAGATATTCGGCGGATGCGTTATTTGAGTCACAGACCTCCAGTATCGGACGCTGGCGAAAACAGTTCGACGATGGAGAATTTGAATAGAGACAATTCTCCAGAGAATCCGAGGAATGGTGCTTCTCTGGATGCCGTTTTTGATAGTATTGACTCTAGTATACGTACCAGCCCACTCTTTCAAGAACGTTCGACCGTTTCTGCGATTGCGTTACGACACGCTTTGGATACGGCTACTGTTGGTTCTCAGGAGCGGAGTACGTTATCTCGGAGTGGTTCCCGTCCTCCATCTTTGCCACCCTTACGCTTCCAGCGGTCACCACCCACCTTGGAGGATTATTCGAGTTTCGACTACAGAAGACTCTCCACATCTGAGGAGGTCATGGCGCCTCGCCAATCTGCTGGGCGTAGATTGAATAGTCGTATAAACCAGCAACCAGAGGTTCCATCTCCGAATACATCTGCGCGACCTGTCCCACATAACGACATTGCAATGCACCATGCCATGACGCTTCGGTCTGTTCAGGCTCGTCAAGATGCTAACCGCACTTCGCAACAGGGCCTTCAGCGCCCTTCCACATTACCGGCCGCGCCACCATCTTCGTCAACACAATCTGAGGATATTCGGCATACTCTGGATAGATTTTTACCTGATACTCTGTCCACTGCACGTCGTCAGCAGACCAGCACGTTCGATCGTGGACGTGACCGTGATCGTAATCGCCTCTCGCGGCCCGAAACACATGCTCGGTGGGGTGAGATTGTAGACAATGACGCAGGAATACGCCCGTTAGCACATCCGCCGCGTCCATGGAGACGAAGCACATCAGCCCTTTTTGCGCCGCCCCCAGAGAACGCTGACAATGCACCTCCGAATCGCTCTCGAGGTTCTGGAACTGCTGCTGCAGACCCAAGTACTCAGGCTGAGACTGCTGCTCCTGATTGGCTCTCCTCAATGGTTTCATCGTCATCCCGGTCACGTTTTCGTCGTGCACGGTTTGGACGATCGGACGAGGAGACTGCCTCCCGCTCGTTCTTCCGGTTTGGACGCAGAGCGCCAGGATTAAGGAATATGGGTGACTTTGTGGTGAGCATTTGTCTTTTTGACTTACTTCGACATTGTCCAACGGCACTTTTATTCAATAGCGTGACGAAGACTTTGATACCTCGTATGAGAGCCTACTTGCGCTAGCCGCGACACTAGGAGATGTCAAACCGCGTTCTACACCAGCAGATGTACTCCGTGCGTTGCCGACTGGCCTATACAAAGAGTGGCAGAGCCCTGGATGTGATCTCCGTTGCCCTATATGTCTTGATGATGTATGTCTTTGTCTGTTTCATGCTAGCCCTGTCATCTCTAACGAAGCTGTTTTTCACAGTATGAAGACGCCGATGAACTCCTAAAGGCGGAGCCGTGCAACCACTGGTGTCACCAAGGATGTCTTGAGGTACCTTGGTTTTACACTCTTATCTATTCATATTAATCATGATTTTGCCTCTAGCAATGGCTGCATACGGCTCAGACGTGCCCTGTCTGCAGAACGAAAATTAAGGCCTCGTCTCAACGATCCCCGACACCCCCACCCGTTGCTGGACCCAGTAGGATGAGCCGAAACGACAGTTCTGAAGATTTTGGTGATGATAGTGATGACGATTTGTCTGTATATTTGGCTGTTCCGGAACGTTTGAACCGTATGTCGATGATGGGTTACTTTTCGTCGGGCAATCCGATTCGTTATCCGACAACCCCGCCGTCGCCACCATCTCCGGCAATTTAAAGATGTGTAACATTATGGATCGCAACATGATATATTTCACAAGTGCATCTCCAAGTTATTTTTCTTGCCGTTTTATTTGCGAAATTTCTTGACTAGATCGTTTGATTCCGTAATCGAAGCGTCTATCTATCCGATGGTTTCTTGGTCTTTTCTCCTACCTCTTTGTCATTTATTATTTCTCTTTCATCACGCGAAAAGCGGGTTACGACACATGATGACAATGTTTCTTGTAGTAAATGCTACTTGTATGAAAATGGACATACAGAGTTGAATAGACACGATTATGTATATATCCTCTGGTTATATCCACACTTGAGCGATTTGCCTTTAGGTACGCTTTTGTACATGAAGTATGTTGGCACAAGCTCTCGCTACCCATACTATTCTGCGAAACCAATAAACTATGTACCAAGAACATAGCCTCTGTATAGAGCTAACAAATCACACAGTATCCAGGTATAAGTTCTATTTAGGCGGAGTATATGATACAACAGGAACCAAAGTCCGCGAAATTTCTCTTCGCAAACAAAACACATTGCAGCAGACATTCCTAAAACACATACGGCTTAGCAGTAGCGATCGATGAAAGTTGCTACAGCATTCCAATATCCACGCTGGATGCAAGTATCATCTATATCAAAACATCAGTACTAAGTCAATAAGACTGAAGAGATACAAGGAGAAGACGTACTATGTGCCCCTTCGGGAAACTCAACGATCTGACCTGGTCTTTTCAGCCCGAATCCATGTCCACGTTTTTCCGGGTCACCTCGTACCAGTCTTTCCAGTTCAACCATATGTGCGCGTGGGACGACTTCGTCTTTTGCTCCACTTAGCAAGAGAATGGGTGTTTGAGAAGGGATGAGAGGGACTTTGGATGCTGTGTCCCATTTTTGGTGGCAGAGAAAGGCGACGCGGGAGAGGAGGGGCATTGCGGTTGGGATCAGGCGTGGAAGGGAGAGGAAGGTGTTTTCGAGGATGAGAGCATGGATCTGTATATTACTAGAGTTAGAGAGAAGCAGCGAGAGTGAAGGATGTGGGCGGACCTTTGAAGGATTTCGGCTTGCGAGGTCGATTGCGACTGCGCCACCGATGGATTGGCCGTATAAAACCTGAATAAATGACGAGATTTATACGTTAAGAGCGAACTATAAATAGCAGCAGAACATCAGACGAACAATCTTCGTTTTCGACAGTACAGGATGGGTCGTTAAATAATCTAGTGACGTCTGCGCGTCCATTCGAATTCCTGCGTGCCTTTAGAAAAACCGCTTCTGGCGTTACACTTGATGTGAAAACGAACCTTTCTCGGATGGAGACCCTTCGGAAAGACCATACCTACATTAAAGGGAGCCATTCATTACCTGCTTTGAAGCGAACAGAGAGGAGCACATACCCGCGGTATGATAACATGAACACATTACACCTTAGTTCAACATAGAACATCTTCGCAAGTGGGATACGATGGCCAAAGTTCCCTCCATTCCCGTGGAACATCACTATTGTCGGGCGCGTCGCAGCGTACTGTCATACATAGCGTTTCTCGTCGGGTTAGAATTACACATCGACCTATCCGTGGCAAGTTAATTGCGACATACCTCGTCGTCCGACATGCCACTCGACCCCTTCCCTTGTAGTACAACGGATTCACCTTGCGCAAGGTCTTTCCGCTGAACGAGTACATAAGCGCGTACTTTTACGCGATCGGGCGTCTCGAGCGCGAGTTCTTCGTATGGGAGGCCAAACGCTGAGGGGACGGATACCTCTTCAAATTATTAAACCAAATGCACGCATCGTAAGTCACGTAGAAAAGTGTGAATTGCGGTGTATATGAGTAATATGACGCGTAATGATAGCGTTCTGCCACTCACCTGTCCGCGAACCAGGCGGGAAAGAAGACGGATAAATGAGGTAGTTTTGGCCGTAGTAAAGCAGGCCGAGACCTTGTTGTAACATCAAGCAAGCGCAGTTGTTAAGCGACACGAACGAACGAGGAGGAAGGGAGCGAAAAGAAGGGAAAGAGAAGAAGGACTGACTGAGAGTTGAGAACCCGGCCACGGACGCGAAAGTGCCCTGTACATAGGCGAGCGGACGAATGAGTGGTCATGACAATACAATAAGTTAGCCGAGAGTTAAAGAGCACAAAGAACGGTAGTTGTGGAGTTACTTTGGCGACTGACTCGAGTGATGGGATATACCCCGACATGGCGGTAAAGACGTGAGGAGGAAAGAGTATACTTTTCGGGAGTTTTCTTGGAGACGTGTGTGTGAGTGTACAAAGTCGAAGGCTTGATTTGAGCCTGCGTGGCGACGTGTGTGGCAGCGCATCCGTCAACTTCTTGAAAGGTACTGATAGCCGCTCAAGATGCATCACTTGTACCTTCATCGTTTTCAATCATAAATTCAGTAGGTATTCTCATAGAAGGTCCATTGATATTAGCAGCATTTATATTCGCACTGCAGCCATGTCTTGTTTTCATAGATATTGTTATGTCGGTTGCGACATGCATAAAAAGCAGCACACGACTAGTCCGAATCGGACTGTATTGTATCCAATGAACTGGGCATTTTGAAAGAAAGATAATACGGTATAATTTCCTCCCTGACAGCGGCATGAGCAGTCTGGACGTTGATCTAATACAGGGTATATTACTATTAGCATTGCTCGTGATTACAACATGGCTAATTGTCAGAATAAATAGTGTTACATGAGGAACAACAGAACTCATCATCACAACATCACACTTATGTGCACCCGTAAACTCACAACAACCAGCACATTCCATACATTCCATTCCTACGTAAAATCCCTATAGTACTAGTTGCCCTAAACACGCGTCAAGAAAAGAAAAAAAAGACATTTCAAAATTACACTATCATACCGTCCCATGTCTCTTCAGCGCATCAGGGCGATGTGTCGAGCCGCGAATACGCGCCAATTTGTCCGCAAGCTCACGAAGCTCGCGCTCTGCTTCATCACCTTCACCTTCATCGTTGTCCAAGAGTGTCTTGCGGATCCTAGCCTCAAGGTCCGCATCGTCCATACTACCGGAGTGCGAGCGCGGACGTGTCGAGGGAGCTTGCAGATTAGGAAAGGCGTTGTCGTCATGTACATGGAACTCGGGCATACGCTCGTTGGTCATGTCTGACCGTCGGCTAATCAAAGGTAAAAATTTTCGGCATCAGAGAAGCCCGCAGGATGGAACTTGGGGAACGGAAAAAGGGATACGCACGCATCATCGAAGCTACGAATAGCGCGTCGGATTTGGTTCCCGCGCACACCAAGTTCGTCATCGGCACCGTGGGCAGCTGGACCTGACACTTCCACCGCCGAGTTCACCTCAGAAGCAGTCTCCGCCTCTTCACTGTGCGTTCATAAATGAACAAGAAAACCAGTCAGAACTCGGATACGAAGGAATGAAGCAAAGCGAACGCACCGCAGTAACTGGAAGATCCTCCGCATCCTGCCGACAGCAAGGATCTTGTTCCGAATTGCTGCTCGACGCTGCTGAATGGCTGCTTCGTTCTCTGCCGCTTCCGCCAAAGCCACAGCCTTATCCTCATCCTCTGATGGCTCTTCGAGTTCTTCTGCTGAGCAAACGGAGAGTACTCCCAAAAGCATCTGCACAACTGACAATGGCACAACTCAAGGGTTAAACTGCAAGTATGGCGTTTGAATAAACTTCGACGTACTCTTATCACCAACGAAGGGCAAACTCCAGGTGAAGGCATCCATGAAATTCGGTAACCAGTACGGATGGCCTGTGGCATTGAACTGTCGAATGGTAATATTCTTATCGACGTATTTTAGGACTGCTGCACGGTTGTGATAGAAGTCGCAGTAGTTCGGGGCGGAGAAAATCGTGATCACCGATGGGAACTTCTTTGCCCGGGTTTTGCGATACATCTGGTATCTAACAAGAGGAACAGTCAGGAAAAATCGGCGTGACAGCAAATGCGGCACGACGTGCATACCCTTGTTGTTGAACTTCGTGCCCACGAATTATTCCAAGAAGAGCGTTTCGTTCAAGGAAATTGCATACTGCTTCATACCTTGATGCATTATCGAGTTATAAAAGTCATAACAAACAAGTTTAAAAAAATGCGCTCTTACGTGTAGAAGTATGAGCAGCCTCTCGCGGGATTGGGTAAGAAAGACTCGGGCACAACACCATTCACTGCACCATCTGACTCATTCCCAAAGTTCGGTGCAGGGTCAGCCCAGAGAAGGTCGCACAATAGACCGTGAGATGGAGGTTCAATGAAACGGTTCACCTGACAAGTACAAGTTGATAAATGCATTATTTCATATACTGTATAAGTGAAAGATAGCATACTCGGTTAATGTCAGCCAGAGAGTTGAGTTCCGGTGAGATGCCTCCATGCACGCAGAGGAAACGACGGTCAAGAACTGCAGCAAGTGGCAGTGCTGTAAAAGAGTCTATGCATGCCATGTAGATGTTCATAGAATATTTTCGGGTGCCTAAATGAGGAAGTGCATTAAAATTGGATCAAGGTATTTGGGAATAATGAAACGTTAAGTGAGATTATGGAAAGGCATACATTCTCGATGGAAAGTGAAATATTCAGTGAGATGTCGGCATTCGTGATTTCCTCGGATGAGAAATAGTTGATTTGGATAGCATATCTTCAGGCTATACAGGTAAAGGAGGCACTAGTGGATAGTTTAGTATATTGAGCATGAAACTTCAATCACCCTTGAGAGCGCTGCTCCTTTGTAGAACGAGAACAAGAGAGAATCTCACCTCGATTCCAAAACACCCTCGGTCCACGTAGTCTCCAAGGAATAGGTAGGTGTTGTGTGCGACATCTCCGCCAATTTCAAATATTTTCATAAGGTCGTACTATGTAGCAAAAGTTCCATGACAGTCATCAGATATGCGCCCTCGTGAAGAAAGCCATGTTGGCAACGTACAAACTGCCCATGGATGTCGCCACATACTACAACACTAAGTCAGTAAGAGATACGCAGTTATTGAGATAATTATGACTAAGTCGACGTATGGATCCATGCATTGCCATGAGGCGAGCACTACTGATGCGTGCATCACAGAACTAGGAACCACTTTGAGAGTGGCGAAGGTATCAAGCTGAACGGATATCTGATATCAGCACCGCCGCCAAGGAGGTTCCGAGCAAGGCACACACTCTTTGATCATACCCATTATTGTGCCGCGTCGCCCCAAACTATTGCGCGACTGAGAGGCGATGATGAAACGTACCGGTGATTGGTCCCTGCACAGACAGTAAATTTTGCTCTTTTTCTAGAAGAGTCTTTCCTTCTTGAAGAAGATAAAGTGCCTGCTCCTCTGTGACGCGACCTTCACGCAGGAAGTGATTCTTCAGAAACTCAGTATTTGGTCTCCTGTTCCCGAAACTATCGGTCGTGAAGAATTGTTCGTCTCTGGGTTTGTGCCACGCAGGTTCTGGTACCTGAAGACGTTGGTAATAAGGAATAAGACAAAATGAGCACACAACTACGTCAACGGGCATGTATGAACTTACGCTTGGAACCTGCCGCTGCTTGCATGCGTCTCTAAATCCTGGATGCTCAATTTGAGTGAGTGAACGCTGGAGAGCAGGTTTGCTCTTGTCCGTGATTTGCGAGAGGACGTTCCGCAGGTAAGCCTCCTTGTCTTCAGCCATGAAGGTTCGCTGGAGGACGAGGTAGAAGAACAAGAAGCGTTTAGACGCTCTGCGTCCAACTTTGACGCGTCTTGTAATAGCTGTCCCGAAGCGCTCGCCTGCCTCTTTTGGTGCTTTCCTTTATCATTACACGGACCCACGGTTACACCGCCAGCTCAGAAGTGACTCCTCCGTCGGTGCATATTCCTGTCCGTCTGTATCCGGGTGGGGAGGACCCTAAATATCCATCGCAATATCGTCCTTGCCGTGCGTTGAGTTCCAAGCCATAGGACACCGGAGCCTGTCAATTGCTTTATCTTTGGCGCCCAAAGGTTGCGATGAGGCAACGATGTGCCCTTTGTTTACAGGTCTCGCCGAGAGTTATGATAGGAGTGAGGAATGCGGGGAATGCGAGAGCGGATCAATCTCGAAATTGCCAAGCGTTCAGTTTCAGCCTTAAACTAGCAAAACCTTCTCATCATTGCAAACCACAAACTACGCAGAACTAGAGAGCTGACATCAACTTGAAACAGCCGCACGCAGAAATTAGTGATCAACTGGACGGGAGTCCAAAAATAATACCAATCGACCGCCCTCGGATACCAAGAGAATCATAATGGGATAAAGCAAACAAACGCAAAGATACCTGACCTGACAAACGCATGACGCTTCGGGAACACTTGGCTTTCTTGCATGATATCTGATCTGGGAAGCAAAACTGTTTACGTTCATGTTCGTTTGGACGAGACGGCAACGGCATGGAGGACGCCGTCGAGAATCCCCCAAAGCTTGCCGCATCGGATAAATATTCCTCGCACCAACTTAGGCGAGACTGAGCGTGTCTACTGTTCGTTCCGGATCAGTCAACAACGCAGCTGAGCTCTATGGTTGCTATACATTCATCCTCTGAGATTTGTGCTTGTTATCTTGACGAACGGGATTGCTGCCCGTCCTCTGAATTAAGGAGAAAAACCTCGTGAATTTCATAAATTAATTGATAGACCTGAGGTATTTCCTGCATCTTCGCCGTCTTCCTCCGTTGTCGCCGAGGGAAAAAGTCATTCCTTCGGCAATTTACTTCGTGGACGAATTCCGTCGGTCAAAGGAACGATGATTCTTCCTATTACTGCAGAGCGAGCCAGCAGGAGCTCTCCGCTTAGTCGCATGCTTTCCGAACAAACGAGAAGCAAGCATGTCCGACGTATAAATACCAACCTCCCCACTTCTTAACTTGACTATACTCCTTTACTTCCGCTCCTTTCTAACCCGACCAACTCACCCCTCCCACTCCTTTTGTTAACCAGCCAACATGCGTTCCCTTGGCCTTTTCGCACTCGCAAGCGCTGCTATCCTTCCATTCGTTTCAGCAGCACCGCTTGTCGATGTAGACACTGCAGCAGCAGCAAAGGCAGGCATCCATGCACGCACTGTCGATGTAGCCGCTGGTGCTAAGGCTGGCGCTGCAGTCCATGCGCGTACAGTGACTGGCGTTGCTTCGATCCTTGCCAGTCTTCAGGTCAAACTTGGCGACTCGCTTTGCGAACTTCGTACGTGCTTTGTTCTCTAATGGTTTTTGCTTGCCAACAAATTTGTGCGTTCTTAAAGACCACTTTACTGCGCAGAATGCAACAGCGGATAAGATCACGCCGGTCCTAAAGGGCGTTGTTTCTGTCATGGCAGATGCAGTTGTTGACGTAAAAGCACTGAAGGGCAAGCCGAAGGAGACTATCATGGCGTCTATCGATGGTTCCGCCACTGTGACCGTTTCCGAAATTGCTCAGCTCCTTGCCAACGTTCTATGCGTGAGTGACTACACAAGACTCAGGTTTGAGTGTTGTATCTGAGTTTCTTGTGATAATTCATAGGGTGTCTTCCTCACCCTTAGTTCCGTCCTCTCTGTGGTCGCCGACGCGAAAATCCTGCTCAATGTCGTCGCCAGCGTCAAACTTGGTGGATGCCTCTGCGACCTCATCAATGCTGTAACCGCGGTCGTTGGAGGACTTCTTGTGGAGCTTGTTCCACATGTCAAGGACCTTGCCTCGCTTCTTATTTCGCTGAGTCTTTCGGACGTCAAGACAGTGTTGAACATCTAAGGCTCGTTTGGCGTGATTCTCCTTTGTTTTGGGTATTCCATCGCTATCTGATACCTTAATAATTAATCTACATTAATAAACGTTTTGAAACCACATAACTTAGAGTACCGCCCTGCTTGTGATGTGCATGATTACAGAGTGTTGGAGGAGCTAATTATGTGGACCAGATGAACCATTTAAGCGACGGAGTTGCCGAGGATATGATTAAACCAATGGGGTATTTTCGAGAAGATCTCTTTAATTACAAGACGCGTCTCAACGCGTCCACACGTGACGTAGTGACGGACGCGTCAAGGCGTTCTTGAACCACTGTTACCTGTAGCTAACTCTTCCAACAACGAAGGCCAAATCCGCTCTAGACAATGCTTTGATCTGTCACCATATCCACACTCTCTTTCTCAAACGACCAGCACGTCCTTCTAGTAACTTCACGGCTGCTTTGTCGCTGTACCAATGGCTTTGTCTAATCTGAAATATCCTCGAATCGTTGGTGGGTTGTCTTTCTTCCCGGATTGTCGAAGATTATGCGGTCTGATGTACTTGTTCACTCATAGGCTTTCAACTTATTGAACGCATTGGCGGCGGAGGGTTCTCAACGTGCGTAATGTTGTCGGTTTTTTTCTAGCTCGTCTGACGAATTATGCAGCGTCTATAAAGCGGTCAACCTAGAGGCACATCGTGTTGCAGCATGTAAGGTCGTCGCACTCACTTCGGAGACAACTCCACAGGACCGAAAATCACTCGACAAGGAGATGCGTGTTCATACTGCGATGAAACATGTACATGTACTAGAGTTCTACAACGCGGTCATTGTTGAAGACGAGCCGAAAGCCAAGTACTTTCCTGCTGTCTACATGCTGCTGGAGCTTGCTAGTGGAGGGGACTTATTTGACAAAATTGGTCAGTGTATTGCCTTGCCTATTATGAACCTGCATCTGACAGATGACTTTGTGGTTTAGCTCCGGACCTCGGCGTCGATGAGGAAGTCGCCCAATATTACTTTAACCAACTCATATCCGGCCTTGTATGCTACAGCATTGTTCACACTGTTTCATGCTAATCTCATACATATTCCAAAATACAGCACTATATTCACGAGCAAGGTGTATGCCATCGAGACCTGAAGCCTGAGAACCTGCTTCTCGACGCAGCCGGGAGACTCAAGATTTCAGATTTTGGACTATGCTCTGTTTTCCGACATAAGGAATCTGGTAGAGAAAGGCTTCTGACGGAGCGATGTGGTAGTTTGCCATACGTTGCACCAGAGGTTAGTGCAACGATTGCAGAAGTAACCGGTAACTGACGGTGTGTATATGCAGCTTAACTCGACTGCCCCATATCATGCCGAACCGATTGACATTTGGGGAGCAGGCGTCATACTCTTTACACTTCTTTGTGGCAGTACGTTCTCACCTCTCTTATTATCATTCATTTCTTTGGTATTGTTACTCGAGACTGTTATAGATACACCTTGGGACGAGCCGTCAGGGCATAGCCACGAGTTTCGTCGCTACGTACGAGGAGAGATCCTCGATGACCCGCCGTGGAATCGCCTTACGACGGATTCGCTCTGTATGCACAATCCCTATGTACTCAAACTATGTCTACTTATCATTATTTAAAGCACTGATCCAAGGGATACTGAATATCAATCCTGCCGAGCGCATGACGATTCCTGAAATCATGGTGCATCCGTGGTGCTTGCGGTACAGTGACTTTATTCGTGTTCTATAAGTCGAAGAAACTAAGACAGTTCAATAGGCCAAGCCAGGTGGAAGCAGAGGGCCAAGCTGCTCTTGCTCAGCGACTTACCCAGTCGCTTCATACAACTGGTGATATGGGAGTAATTGATCCCCACTACACGTAAGCCTCTTCAACAAACTCAATAAACAGCAATAACTCACCTTCATCAGGCTTCCTGAGCAAATTAATGGTGACGAAGATGAAATCATCTCATCAACGTATCAGTCACAGTTCACGAAGTCTCTTTTGCTCTTCGTGAGTACTTGCTCAATGTGCTTGCCGTATGCACCATCTAACATTAGAATTCTAGTCTCAAACTCAACGTGGTCGTCGCTATACGCCACACCTCACACGTTTCTACAGTAGCTTAGGCCCTGAGGGACTTATGGAACTTGTAATGACGGCTGTGACAGAGCTCGGTGTGAAGAGCAAGCTAGCACAACCAGACCCGTCTGAGCCTGAACGTCTGCGACTTCGTGTCGGCGGGTATGACAAGCGACATGAAGTGTTCAAAGGCTGGATCGAGATTGAACCGTTTGTATACCAAGGTATTGAAGGTTCATTTTGTATTATGCAGCGTGATCAGGTGCGTCTGTCTCCTATAGCATAGACAGATTTGGGACGCGTGCTGATGGTGGATGTTACTGAAGGGTAACCCGATTTCGTGGCGTCAATTGTGGAAGGCCGTCGTTCAAGATGTTGGGGTGGGACCCCACGTGCTTAAGCGTACTTGACCAGATCTCGCTGCATACACTAGATTTATAACTTCTTCTGGGTTATTGGTTCTGTTGTATTTGTCAACACATTTGACGTATTTTGTGTACTCGCCCAGATTCATGTACGTCCTTTCTCTTTACGGTCATCTGTGTTGTCTGTTCAGTCCACAATTCTTTGTCCAGTGTTGTTGCTCTACACCGTTCTGTTATGCTTTCCTCTCTCAACGCCATCATACTCCATTTCTAAAAAGCAATCTCCGTTACTGGGCTTGACTGTGTATGCTTTACCCTCAAATCGTCTTCATTCAGAAGCGCTTCCTTTTTGGTGTCAAATGGACCCTCAACTCGGTTCCGCACATTGAATTAGAATAAGACAAATCTTTGTTTCGACATTTGGAGGCCCATCTCAACTCGCACGCCTTATGGCATTTGAAGCCTTCTCATCTAACCTCTTTAACCTGGACGAATTCTCCTACAAACTTGTTTCAATGCTCTGTTTGATTGTTGGCCCAACAAGCTCGTGCGCTGATTTTGTTTCGTGCTCATAACGGTTTTATCCTAGCGAGTTGATTGTTATCTGTTAGGGTTCATTAGTACCAGTACTTTGCTTTACAGTGATAGTCGGGCATTTTCTTCGATGGCATCCGTTTATGTCAGAGAGGGTACAAAGCTCCGTTGACACCCGTTAAACTCCGTCTTTGGCCCAGGTGTCCTACATGACCATGAATGCAATGTCGATGATTTCACCAGATATAAAATGATACGAAGTTCATGATTTGATTCGATTTTATTGCATCGACATGAATACACCTCGACGGCCCGACTCTACGGGTTCGAAGCCGCATAGGAAACTCGTGTAAGGTGTACTTTGCAATGTACGATAAGAACCCTCTTACTTAGATTGATTTTTGTTCATGCCAGGAAAGACCCCTCTGGCGCAAAAGAAGCTGTTGACAAGATCAAGGACTGGGCAAAAAGCCGTCTGTCCTTCTCCCTTTCTTGAAACACTGAATAGCTCATATTTCTAACATTGTTGTAATAGAAAACGGCAAGTACAAAGTAAATGGACAAGGTTTAACCGTAAAATATTTGTGTAAGGGAAGGATTGAGTGTGCGTAAGACTACATTATTCACGCTTACTCTAAACTAATGTTTGCACTTGCTAGTCCTCCCCGCTCCCGATGGAATAATGTTTGGTGTGGATCTAGCATCGAATAGTCTTATTGATGACTTGGAAGGACAGTTACAGAGATGGAAGAAAATCTCGGAAACTCACGGTAAAGAAGTGCACCATTTTGAAGACGGGTCATTTTTACTAATGGATTAGAGTGCACTGAGTTTAACATTCTTGTTTTTCTTGTTGCTACCTAGTACAATTAGAATTGAGATTAAAGCAGTATTCTCGCCGGATGTAAGCGTAACGATGATAGATTTCTGCATGTCAAACGCTATCCAATGCTTACTAGTCTAAGCATACCTAGACTGGTAATATATTCCTATATTTCAAGGTCGCTTTTGATGTATCTAATCTGTAAGAGTCAATGAGTATAAATTACTCAATCATGAAAATACTAGTACTGTAGTGTGTATATTTTCCAATCATCTATAGCTGAAGACGTTACTAGAAACAGTTCAGCTTTCATCGATAGGAATGTGTAACTCAAAATCTATTCACTCAGCAACATTTTCCTTATGCTATTCAATAAGCCCTCGACTCAATTATGCACCTTGCATTAGTAGAACACAAAGCTCAAAACCGGGTTTGCTCACAGATCTTACCAGACTCTTATGGCCATCAAAAGCTTCCTTCTATCCGTTGCAAATTGGTTGACTATAACTATATATTCAAATATTTATTGGATTGTTGACTCCTGCAATAAGATCGTGTGCTAAATCTGTTTCGTGCTGAAAGTGCCCTTATCCCAACTCGTTGGTTGTCAACTGTCAGGAGTCACAGTACAAGTGCTTTGCTTTTCGGTGATAAACGGGCATTCTTTGTCGACATCTGTTCATGTAAGAGACGGTATAAAGCTCTGTTGACAGTCATTAAATTCCGTCTTTGCCCCACAAGTCCTAATATCAGCGAACGCAAATTCATGAATTTCATCAGATATAAAGTGATGCGAAGATCGTTTAAGAGAGTAAAGTTTTATTCACGATTATTGTCTCAACATGAGTAATACCGACCACACGACTCTAAGGATTCGAAGCTGCATAAGAAACTCGTGTACGGATTATTGGTCATTGAAGAATTTACTTACCAAGCTTGATTTATGTTCACGCTAGGAAAGACCCCTCGAGTGTAAGAGGGACTGTCGAGAAGATCAAAGCTTGGGCTAAAGGCAGTTAGTAGTTATGCACGATTTCTCACAAATTATTGACTCTCCTGCCCAACGACATTGTCGTTATAGAAAATGGTGAGTATTCGGTAAATAGACCGAGCCTGAAAATAAACTATTTATCCAAAGGAAATATCGAGTGTATGTGAGCTAATGTTTTTCATTTCTTTGTTCTGAGCTAAGTTTCCTATCTGCTAGGCATCCCTGCACTGAATGGAAGAACCTATGGAGTGAACCTTGCATCGAATGACGTAATAAGCAACCTGGAGAAAGAGTTACAGAGATGGAAAAGAAATTGGCGTGCTGAGGGTGAAATAGTGGCCCATCCTGGAGAAATAAATGATGATGATGATATGAGTTCAAAGGGATCTTTCTTAAGTATGGATTAGAGAGTGTACTAAATACAAAAAATAAAATCTTTTTCTAATCAACTGGACTTATGAATGAGGACGCACGTTCCGGTGAGACGTAAATACGATGAGGACAACTTTCCGCAAGGTCGCTGAATGCGTACTTACCCAAGCTGTAGCCACTTGCAACTTACTTTTGTGTTTCAAGGCGTTGGCTTAGACGCCGACTCTGTTAGTAAGCAGAAGCAAAGTTAGCAGTCAGCTTAGACTCAGCTATGGACAGGAAATTGATTATTGTTATGTAATCAATTACCTCAATAATCTAAGATGCTGGTATAAATAGCGCGGATCGGAATTGTGAAGTGGATACTGTGCGACACACAACGTCATTGTCGCATAAATCGTCATTAGCAATTTGGGGACACTCCAACAGCCAAAGAGTATATAAGACAGCAAAATGGCGGTCTGGAGTATAAGTTACGGACGACGAGATCCAATCATTCACTACCTTCACCTCATTGAACTTTCGTCATGAATACCTCGAACACGAACACCACCCAGAATACTGCCGCCACTGGAGGCAATGGCGACATGCTCGACAAGGGCGTCGACTTTGCTGAGCGTAGGGCTGGTCATGAACAGGTATGTAATATGCACATATTCAGCAACTTGCAGTTGTTGACTTGCGGCTGCTTTGTTTAGAGCCACTCCACGACTGAGAAAATCAGTGACGGCATCAGGAAAGGCTTCCAGAAGGCGACTGGTAAACTGCTATCCTATGGTACTGAGTCATCTAGATTGCTGATAATACAACGTATAGGCAAAGATGTTCCCATCCAAGACAAGGACTACCGCTAAATTTTAGGGTCGACATGCGGTCCTGCTGTAATAACTTTGTATTAGCAAAATGTTTAGTTATGTTTATGTAGTACTGTATTAATTCACCGGAAGAACAAATATCACCTGGAGTTGTGGCCTCGTATGTAATTGAGATCCTTTAATAATGACAAATGTAAGCTTGTGAATTAAAAATCGAAAATCAAATTGCAAAAGTATCCCCCGGTCCTCTGGCAATCTGTATTTTGATTGAAAGGTATTTTTCATTGCTAGATTAAGCATAGACATTCCGGTTGTACAAATCCTGAGAGATTAACACATGTGGTACTTCTATAGAGTCAAAGCACTAACATACAATCGTTGCTGCTCGCTGAGATAATTCAAACGCCAGCGTGCCAAACCATCGCTGCTTGACTACACCCCATCTCCAAACATAGCTGCCGTCCTGCTCAGGTTAAATGATAGTCTATGCACTTTCACACTTGCGATCACAATGTCGTCTGCCCCTCCAGAGCATTCTATTTTGTCATCCGGCAGATGCAGGGCAAGCACGGGACCTACAGAGTCACCACGCACTGGTGTAATAGGACCCTCAGTTGAATTCGTTGAAGCACGAGAGAGCGTGAGGCTTTGGGGTCCGACAATTGAGCAGGATGGAGCTGGTTGAAGGAGAGGATGCGTTTCCATCAACATATCGCCTTCCCCGGACGCATTCGACATTCCATATCGCGAATGGAAGCTGGGATCAGGTGGGTCGAGGAAGGAGGTTGATGATGCAGGCTCCGGATCTGGTGATGAAAGCGGAAGTGCCTTCGTAGTGAGACGAGGTAACCATGGACTAGGCCGGCTTGTCTTCGTCTTTCTACTCAAATGAGGAACCTCACCGCCTAAGCAGACAGCGGAGCTGGAGTGAACTGCCGCTGTACTGCAGAGCTCTGCCTGGCAACTGCGAGGTGAGGGATGTGGAGTACGTGAGGAACGTTCAGGGATACGCGCTACGATACGGCGGAGTCGTGGGCGAGCTGGAGAACTAATTGAGGGACTCAGTAGTAGCGGGTGAGGTACATGCATATGTGGCGAGGAATAGTGTCCAAGATTTGCGGTGACCGAGTCGCAGTGTAAATGAACAGATTTTTGCACATCGCACTTCTCTTCCTCTACGTGGACACGTATCTCGACGTTGTCCTTTGGCTCATGAACCGGTGGTGAGTAATTCAAGTCCATTGGTACGTCGTTCCAAACGAAAGTCTCCTGGTTCTTGCACTCGAAGCCGCTAATCCACTTTCGACTTCTTACACGGCCTTCCAAGCCGACGACAGTGTCCAAAGTACACATAACCCTTCCTAGCGTACTCAGTATGCCCCTTCGAACTCCACTCCGCCACCTAATTGGGTCTTGGGGACGCTCCTTCATCTCTCGCATTCCACATGCTTTATACGCCTCCTCAAATGCCCCATCAGGTCCATCTTGCAATGTGACGAAAGGATCGACGAAGAGTCCTGCATTAATCGTATCTGCAAGATAAAGGTTTAACGGAGGACGTGGTGGTGCATATGATACGGGAAGTATATATGCATGTGCAGCTAGCGTTGGCCAGTGTACTTTGACGAAAAACGCATGTGCCGGGAGTGCAGGAAAGGTTATGCGTTTATTGGGGTCGAGGTGAAGAAGCGCTGCAAGGAGGTCTAAAGCGATTGGATTTATCAATATTTTATTCCTCTGGCGCTGGTGATCGTTGAAGAACCATGTAGGAGCGGACGTTGAGGTGATGGATGCGGAGGAAGGTGGTGAAGGAGGTAGGTCGTCGAAAAGGAGCTCGTGGAAAACAACTCCGAGGGAGTAGATATCCGTGGCGAACGAATACAGTTCACCTCTGTGCATTTCTGGTGAGGCATATGGGAGTGTTCCGCAGCCTTTGTTTGTCAAGCATGACGTCTCCGCACCCCTCGCGCCATCCTCTGTGTCCTCGCATTGCAGTCTGAGAACATTCAGCTTCGATTTGCACGTCATTCCATTCTCCCCCGAGTCACCCCTTGCATCTTCCAAATCATTCTCAAAGCGGCGAGATAATCCAAAATCAGCAAGAACAACATTCCCGCATGCATCCAAGAGAACGTTTTCAGGCTTGATATCACGGTGGAGGATACGCAATTTGCGGAGCTGTCTCAGCGCTTCAACAAGCTGGGCTATGATAAGAACAATTCTATCGTTCGGAATGGGTCTGCCAGTCGTGCGATGACGGATAAGTTCGTCACGAAGTGTTCCACCGCACAAGTAATCCTGTCCCGGCAGAAGGGAAAAGTAAATACTCAATATGAATACGAGGTTTATATGATGAATTTGGTGAAGAAAGTGCTCACAGTAACGATATACAGATTATGTGTATCACAGAACGTCTCGCGTAGTTGCGCGAAAAACAGAGAACCTGTTTCAGACAAACATTTGAGATTATTTGCCTCTGCGAGCGCCAGCGCCCGAGTAGACTCCTTCACGACCCTCGCTCGTGGAACTATTTTAACCGCAACCAGTTGCGATCTTCGTACATTTCCGCGCTTGTCGTAACTCTTCTTCTGGTTTGATGGAGACAAGAATTCTGCAAGAAAGACCTGACCGAAAGCACCTCCGCCCAGCCGCTTGCGGAAGATATATGCAGGTAGACGCTCGCTAAGCTCTTCGCATCGGTATAAGCGAGCAGGATATGGAGCTTTCTTGCCTGGAAGAGGTTTTACAGGAAGGCTGGCCGGCAGCCTTGGGACGAACATTGTAACATGCGAGGAAGGCGACGGAAGAGAAGGATGGATGGTAGAGCATATCTCATGTTCCCCTGAAGTTACCAAGTTCCAGCTGAAACGTGCTTTCGGGTTCGTTGTAAATGCGTGTTGCGGTCCAGTTGCGGATCAGACCCGATGAAATTGAAACAGGCCTGATTCACTGACAGAGATGCGTGTAGCCATGTCTGGATCAGATCAGCACAAGTTAGACAGCAGGCCGAGCAAGTAGACGCGTAGAGACTTCGAAAAGCAAGGAGCAGCCATTTCGTTCGTTGAGCTACAACCTTATGCTCAAAAAGGTGACAAGTCAAACTTATGAGATGAGATGAGATAGTTACTAAGTTAGTTATGTTCGCCGATCCGTGTTTTTGTATAATTGTCCTATTTACGTTTGTTTGCATATATTGTTGCTCTGTATATTATATTGTCCGCCAAGCATCATGTGTATGGGCCTGGAAATACAAATTATACAAATCTAAAGACGGTGCTGTTCCATAAGAAGTTTCATAAACCCCGATACATCACATGCATGCATATGATCTAGTATATGTTTCGAAAAGACGCAAGAATGTCATTAGATGTGCAAAGCGACTGCAATACTCAACGTGCTTGGTAAATTGCTTATTCCGGACCGGGATGCCGCGTCCATAAGAGGAGTGAGAATCTGAGAGCTTGGGAATCAAGTCGTCCATCTCTTGACTAAGTTTTGTCATGTGCACTCTGGCCTTTCTAATGTCTCTGCAAGCTACTCTGCCTCCGCTCGCTGTGCATATAAGGAGTCTGCTTCCGTCGTTTGAAACTCATCCTCATCTCCAGTTAGCCAACCTCAAGTCTAGTCTAGACACTAATCAGCGAATTCACTAGCTAGCTGCCATGCCAGACGTCAGCAAACCAGACACGGTCAAGACGAAACTCGATTACTTCGTCCCGCCCGCAGATGGTTCCAAAGCATGGCAGTTTATCAACGCAGACCCTGCTACAGGTCAACGTCGTCGTAACTTCACTATGCAGCCATACGAAATGGACATAGAGAACATCCGCGACAAAGAGCATGCATATGACCTGGATACTGCGGGGTTCCTCTTTGCAAAGAACGAGGCCAAGTACAAGAATTTTGGAAGTGACGAGGAGATTGAGAGGGAGTACTATCCTGAGAGCATAGAGTTGCTCAAGAAGCTGACTGGTGCGACGAGGGTAGTGATTTTCGACCACAGTAAGTTGGACTTATAGATCATGTGATTTATTGAGCGCATATATCCACAATTTTTATCTTTCTAGCTATTCGTCGTCATCGCCCAGGAGAGGTAGACGATAGTCCAAACAAGCGTCAGCCCGTCTCAGCCGTGCATGTCGACCAAACTCGCGCATCTTCCATTGCGCGTGTTCATCGCCACCTCCCTGCATCTGACGCACCGGCTCTCCTCGAACGCCGCTTCCAGATAATTAATCTCTGGAGACCCATACATCATGTTGCACTCGACTTCCCACTCACGCTTTGCGACTTCAGGAGCATTGACACGAAGAAAGACTTGGTCCCTTCGACATTGAAATACCCGGACCGCGATGGTGAGACTTTCGGAGTACAGTATAACCCTAATCACAAGTGGAAGTATGTCAGAGGAATGACACCGGAGGAGGCCGTATTGATTAAATGGTGACTAGTTTTATATTTTAGAACCGAGTTAGGTGAATGCGGTGTTGACTACTTTGTTGTATAGCTTCGACTCCGTTGACGATGGGAGCGTCGCAGTCCTTACCCCGCACACTGCATTCGTAGATCCCTCGACTCCACCAGATGCACCGCTTCGCGAGTCCATCGAGCTACGCGCTCTCGTGTTCTACGAATGAGCAAGCTTATTTGGTTAATAAGGAAACCTCGAAAGCGGGAATTTCATGGCTCTACTTTGTATGTTTGAATTTCGGAGGCTTGTATACATGCGGAATGGCTTTGATGTGTAGATCGCTATGTCTTTCAATAACTACTTCTGTCGCTTTGTTATTCAAAATCGTGATTTCGGAATATCCGTCGAGTGCAACCCAATTTTTGAAAATTATTCTCATTGGCCACTTTGTTCGATTAGGCAAGATCAATAATAAAACATTCACTATTACACGGAATCGAGTCTACAAGCAAATAAGATGTGGTGTAATGTATCGACTAAGAATCTATAATGGAACCAATCTTCGAGGCACTAATATGCAGAATAAGGAGAGAAAAGGCCAAAGTTATACGTATTAATTCATGCAGTCACTCCAGCAGAAAGTTCTTCGTCTTCCAAAGTTGCTGTGCCATTGCAACAGCATGCAACGCGTCCGCACACCCAAGAGTACGTTTGCCGTTATTGCATTTGATAGGCGTGGCGGTGCTTGAGGTATCAGACGGCGGAGAACTATCTGTGGTACTGCGTAAGGGAGAAGAGGGTGGGGTGACGACTTCGGATCCTGAGGCTTCGCCTGGATGACCGGTGCCCGAATTTTCCTGGCCTGCTGGTATAGACGTCACCTCAGAATCATCGTTTCGTTGAGCACGCGAAGGTGACCAAATCGTCTGCCCGAAGAGACGTGCACGAGTCAGAACCGAGCCTGTTCCCGCTCGAAGTCTTGCAAGCTCGCGCTGCGTACGTACCGTTTGGTCATTTGTGCCCGTTCCCGCTTTGGCGGCCCTGGTAGCGGAACCAAACCCGAAACCCAGGTTGGTGTTGCTGCTAAAGCCGAATTGAGCATAAGATGAAGCGAGCTCGGTGAAGATACGCGGGAAGAGGGCTGACGGTTGCTGTGGCACAGAAGGACTTGGGGATGAACGGATTGGAGTGGAAGGCGGGGCAGATGGCACGTTAGGTGGCGGAGACTTGGAGACAGACGACTTCGGCGTAGATACGACCTCGGAATTGGCATCAATTGACTCATTAGAATCGGCGACCGCTGCAGAAGACTTCACAGCATCGCTGTGGATGGACTCAGCAAAACAGGATGAACAGCCAGAGCTCTCAGATGGAAGGCCTAACGTTCCTTGAGCAGGTCTGCTTTTAGCATGACCTGGGTCTTCCGAATCACTTTCTGGCTCCTTGTGCGCCTTAGGCTTCTCATCAATATCGGCTTCATTGCCGGAGTACATTTCCTGATAGATCTTCATCTCGTCAAGGGGCGCTGCTTCACACAAATCGGCCGCAGTACCAGAAACAGCTACCGTGGACAATTCCTCCAAGCTTGCATCTCCGAATTCTTCTGCATTCGTCGAAGATGTCGGCGAAGCCTGCTTGAGTTCGGCCCTCACTTGCTGAAATACTGCTCCGAGATCTGCCAGCTCGAATCTAGCTTCGTCATCAAGCGCCTCAGGAGTGTCCCAGTCCATTTTCTTCATTTCTTCATCAGCAGACGAGTAAAGCACATTTCCGAGAGGTGATGGGGAGACTGGCATCTTGAGGACAGTACTTTGTTGACGAGCCGAGTGCGTCTTGAGATGAGGAGATTTTGGCACAGAAGTTGTCCTTTCAGTCGAATCAGAGATGCCTGGTAGTTGAGTAGGCTTAAGCGACTTCGATCGAGAGAAGCTAGATACTGTACGTGGAATTGAAGCAGACCGAGGAACAGAAGGAGTTATTGGCGTCTTAGATGAGCCACAGGCATCTTCACGCAAGTCGCTAGTTGGAACGCAGGCAGAGTAAGCAGTTGGTTCTGCAGGATCATCTGAGTTGTCCCCTTGAGTACTTGTGCTTCGAGCCTTAACAGTTGTATTATCCTGTAGATGCTTCCCAGATAGATCTTGTTGCTCAACGGTAGTCACATTATCCTTGCCTTTTACTTTGGTGTCAAAAGAAAACGTCGTCTGACTCCTCTTCATCGCCCGTTCATGGCTTGATGTAAGGGCTTGGAGATGCAGCCGCGAGTTTGGAGACCTTGGAAGCTTGGACGGTCGAGAGCTCTCGGAGCGCGGAAGCGAATGAGGCGTTTTGATCCTGACTGAGCTAGCATCAGAGTTGGCATTGAATACAGGCTTCCGGAGTAGAGCGTTGCAGGAGGCTGAACGACTAATCGTCTGTCGGAGGGGTGGGCCGTCAACTTTGATATTCTCCTTCTCAGGGCAGCCTTTGCGGCGAAGCCTTGGGGAAACTTGTGGAGTAATACTCGGAACCGGAGAGAGAACCGTGACTAGGAAGGAAGGCTTTCATTAATGACGCCTGCAAGCGCAGCAATAAGAAGCGAAAACTCACGCTTTCCAGCATCCTGTCTGTCGGGAACAGCACCGGCTGTGCCTTGTACGTTATGTGTGTTGCCAGGCCGAGTGCTATTATGGGTATTCTGTGAACCAAAGGTGCCTCTCGAGTTTGCGCCTGTGTCTTGCTTGCTTCGCGAATCAAATTGCCGACTTGAGGAGCCCAAGAGAATGCCGTGACGCTTGAAAGTGGTCGAGGCCTTTGTCGTCCCTGCCATTGCCGCACTAGTCGCAGTGGTATGAAATTGAAAAGAGACGTTTGTATTCCAGACGTGAAGTGTCAGCCTCGCATTTGTTTAACCATGTTTACGGTTATTTGCATAAATGTGCGTGCTGCCTCAACACATTGATTTTTAATTGTAATAAATGTACACCTGTCTACGACCTGACAAGAATTCAAAAATCTGCGCCTGTATAGGTATTGTTTATGTATACAAAAGTCGAACGAACTCTAAATGGAGCTCTCATCGATCGGTATACCTGCGTATTCGTCATACCCAAGGGCGAGGTTCAGATTCTGGCAGAGAAGTCAGTATATTCGAATCATTGGTTATAAAAAGGAGCTCAAATCTCACTTGGAGGCATTGAGTCGCAGCGCCTTTTAGTAAATTATCAAGTCCACCCTGCAAGGCAATGCTATAGTTCAAAGGCACTTGGTTATATTGGCGAAGTGCTTACCACAACGACAACTCTATCACCCTCACTATGCACCTGGAAACCACCGACGGTCCAACCCTGTTTGTTCTCGATGTTAGGTAGAGAGGGTACAGTTGAACCGATCTTGATTAGTCGTTCGCCTGCGTACATCTCTTCATACAAAGCCTTCACGTCTCGAGCCGCAATCTTCTTGTTGAGCGGTGCGTTGAGTACACTGATGATTCCACTGAACCATGGTGCTACGCTCGGGATGAATGCAACTTTCATGCCTCCAGTATTCGCACCTAGAAGTGTAGAAAGATGACGTCCGGCCTCCCGCTCGTGAATGTGATCCGTCAACGAATACGGACGTATACCGCCTTGTAGGGATTCTGGGGTGACTTTCGGGACTGTTACCGGGCGCCCGTCTGCGTCGTTCGCACCCGCTACGGTCCCCGCGCCACTGTAACCTGAGATGCCGAAGACGGTTGGCCAGACACCTGGTGAGATTAACCCTGCCTTAGCAAGTGGACCAACCAGGAGTTGCATGGAAGTCGCATAGCATCCTGGGTTGGAAATTCGTGTGGATGTACGAATGAGCGCTCGACCATATAATTCTATCGACCCAACAAGTATATTGTATTCGCGAAAAGATTTTATACAAGAGTAAGAGAAACAAAAGTTTATAAGTACTTGAGAGTTATTACATAGTGGGCGCATTCAACTGCTCACCCGGAAGCCCATACGTCCAGCCATCCTCAAACCGATAATCTGCGCTCAAGTCGACAATCACACTCTGCTTCCCATTAACTCGTTTTTGCGCCCCGTTGTCGATAGCCTCAACGAACGGCTTCGCGGCTCCATTTGGGAGAGCCATTACCCATGCGTCAACCGCACCGTCTGCTTCCATCTTTTGCACGTCGTCCGCAGAAAGGTTGGAGTATATCACGCTTTCCTTTGTGTATGAATCAAGAACCGTGCCTGCAAGCTGCCGCGAGGATACATGTGTAAGGTTGAGGTGAGGATGGTTTGACAGAAGGCCTGTGAGACTTCGGCCGGTGTATCCGCGAGCACCGATAAGTGCAAGACGTTTTGGCTCAGTAGATGCGGCAGGAATAGCTGCGGTAGCGTAACCGCGCGACGATCCAGGCAATCGACGCATCGTTGAGTACGAGCGAGCTCCGTTCGGTCCGGAAGCGGCGGCACGATGTGGAGGAGCAGATGGTCCCACAGGAAGATACGAACGCGCAACCCGACCCTTCGCCTCGAGATCCTTCACATTCTTTTCGACATCCTCAATACTCTGAATTCCGTACCAGAACAGACTACGTCCTGCACGTGTGAAGCTTCCGTCTGCACGCTCGAAATGCCACTCAGGTCCAGGACGAGAAATGGAGTGTGCAGGCTCATCTGCAGCAGATACGTTCGTCGTCTGCGCAGTCCAGAATAGTCGACGATGGTCACGCTTGATCGAAGCGAAGACATTGTCGATGACACTGTTAAGGATACCGTTGCGTGAAGCGTACAATTTCGTCAGAACAGGAACTTCGCCTTCGGGGTGCGAGACGATGGCCACGACATCAAAGGCCTCGTCACCATACACCGTGAATGGCGTCTTTTTGAGATCGTTCAGTATACCCGAGACCGACTGTTCTCCAGAAACTACATCAGCGTCACGGTCATGGATAACCTGCCGTAGCCGGTCAGCTCCAACGGCATCAACGGAATTGTGCTTAAAGAGCTTGTATCCACGACGAATGAGTGTACCTGCTCCACTGTCTGTGAAGAGCTCCTTCTGCAGCATGGGGGCTGAGATGATGGCAACGGAAGACGAGCGTGGTAGGTGGTCGAGGAGATCCTTGATCTCCCGTAGCTTGAGCTTGGTACCGTACTTGACCCAGGATTCCTTCATGAGGTTATCGTATTCCTACCCAAGAGCGCAGTTAGTTGCGAAACATATATATATAAAGTGAAGGCGTACCTCATCAAGGTTGATTGTGTCGAGCTTCTCGCCAGTAACACCATGAAACAACCCGCCCTTCTCATTCAAATACACAATCTTAAGCGGCTCGACCTCCTTAGCAAGTTCACCCGCTGCGACATCTGCGTTGACATTCAGGATTTGTCCCTCTTCGGACTCGGCGAGGCTGCACAGGATAGGTAGAGCGCCCGCTCGAATTGACGCCTCGATCGGGCGCTTATCTACCTTAGTGATCTTTCCAACGAATCCGTACTTGTCGCGGTCGAGGTAGTCTGCGGTGAACACTCCCGAAGTAATCGGACGTGCGCGACAGCCAAGCTTTTCGAGTGCATTAACGATCTTGAGGTTCTCTTCGAGAAAAACTCGGCGAGCGATTTGAAGCGTTTTCGCATCTAGGAAAAAATAGTTGAATAAATGCGTTAGAAACATGTTTCGTATGTTAAGTCGAACGGCTCACCCGTAATACGGATACCGTCATTGTAGTCCGGAATGACACCAGCTTCTTCGATGATTTGATTTAACTGTGGTCCAGCACCGTGTATAACGACCGGGTACAGCCCAACGCGATACAAAAAGCTGAGACTGAGAGCAAGTTCATCGAGCTCATCTAGCACGGCTCCACCGACTTTGATAACGGCGAACTTGGCTGGATGCGATGGATGCGAGGAAGACGAGAAGATACGGAGATACCGCTCGACCTCGCGTTTTGTGCCGATGGAATACAGGAGGCGGGTGATGGTATCCTGTTACGCCGAAATGCATGAAAAAAAGAAAGCGAAAGGGAAAGCCATCAACAGCGAAATGTGCGTACCCTATCCGTCTGCCGGATTGATTGCGTCTGCAAGGTTCGTGCAACTAGTGGTGTACGCCGAACAACGCGTACAGCAGAACGGCGTGCACCACCAACGAGCAGAGCTCGAGAGGCCTTGAATGTCGAAAGCATGTTTACCGGTCGATGAGTAGTCCCAACAACACCTCAAGGTCCGAGCGTCTTAAATATGAGTCAACTAAGCGCCGTATCTAAGCCTGTCCGCGAAGTACGAGGATTCAGCACAATAGCACAGGCATTAAAATTTTTCCTGATAGGCCGGACGTGGACATGAATGGGAACGTCAGCAGATACTTAATTTACTTACTGGGAATGGCTGTTCGTTGACGCTGAATGGCTAATAGTGCGCAAACGAACGTGGACAAGCAACACCTTCTGGATGCCTCCTGAGTGCCGCTGACTACGTGAGGTTTGCTGGCGTATACAAGGGCTCGTAGAAGAGAAATGAGATAGAGGTTGGATATAACTCGAGTCAAACTTAGCACCGCTCAATGCCGAAAAAGTTTACTCAATTGATTTTCCTCAATTGAACAACAAACTTGTAATACTTATAGAAAATGCAACAGACGTTCGCTTCTTTACCTTGACAACTCGTGCGCAAAACAACAACAACACATTGTTACACAAAATGACAAATAACAAGCAGTAAATAATTATCATCCAAAGTTCGACTGTCCCAACAAAGAATGCCAGGCATGTTAGAACAGTCCAGCCAAATCAGCGAACGGGTCTTTCCCTTGTGCTGTAGTCGTAGAACCATTCGAGGTCGCATTTGTAGCTGGCTGCTGCTGTCCACGTGGAGCCGGAGAAGGAGCCATCGTCTGCATTTGTGCACTAAATGCACTATTGTTCGAAACACCTGAGGCGGCCGGTATCGTTGGCTTGATTCCTGAACCTGTTTGCATACTCCAGAAAGTACCCTGTTGCTGAGATGGTTGGGCAGGCGCAGCATGAGACGGTTGAGATGAGGATGTTGGGTTCTGCATTTGAGCTTGCTGCTGAGGGCTTGGTGACCACGGCAAGCTGATCGAGCCGACTTGTGCATGCGATCCGCCTGGTGATGGTGTCGGTGAAGGCGTGCTGCTGAAAAGGTTGGCGAGATGGTTCGTCCCTCCATTCGCGGAAGACGATGGAATAGGTTGTTGAACGTTGATAATAGAGGACTGCTGAGCATTTTGAGGAAGTGCAGAAGAGCCAAAGAGACCTTCCAGGTCATTCGCTGAACTACCAGAAGTCGCAGATGTTGCTGGCGGGTCGTCGAAGTCGATCAAAGAAGTATCCTGTGTCCGGGATGTGCTAATTAATGAAAATTAATTCAGTGTTTCAGAAGTTCACAACTATCAATCGCGCAACTTTACCTTGCGAGCTCCGCAGGTATGGGATTTTTGGCAGCTGTGAAGTCACCTTTCTTGAAGGCCTCGTAACGATTTAATACCGAGTTTATTTGATCATTCAACTGCAAAAAGATATCTGCGTGACGTGTCAAGCGAACCCAGCATTCTAATCGGAGCCATAATAAGCGTACCTAGCATCTCCGGGTCATTAGACTCCGCATCCGATATCCATTTTTGTATTCTAGGCCGTGCAGCAGATAGGATATTGCTGACTTGCTATACACCTGTCAATACGAAAAACGGGATGGTAAGACGACTGCTGACGTACATCATACGCATCTCCACTAGCAAATCGCTCCCCACGTTCAATATCGACATTATCAAGCATTTCGTTCAGCAAAATAACCTTCTGTTCTAATTTATTAAGCTCCGTTAACGATTGTGCGCGATAGTCGGGCTTTTTGTCAGGCTCTGCACCAGCAAGCACTTTCATGAGCTCCTGAGCGGCTGCGAGATCGCGGGGCGTCCCACGGCGAATAAGTTCTTGCAGCTTTGCTTGCTGAGCTTCTCGATCTTCCTCTTCAAGCTCTTCAGCGGATTTCAGGTTCTAAAGGCATATAACATCAATGGTTGAAGCAGCCAGGCAGATCGACTGAGAACGAACCGATGTTGACGCGACAGCTGGCTGAGTATGAGCAACGTCACCCCTGAACCTGTAGCCTTTGAATGTTAACAGCCGATGCATATCTCTTATATTCCCCAGGTCCTCCTTCCACCTGCTCTCCACGCATATTGTCGTATACCATGTCCGAATGAGCTCAAGGATCTTCGTCATGACGGGTCCCGGGAATGGAGGTGGGCGCTCGGGGAAGCGACGCACGAGCTCATTGAGGAATTCCTTCGTTGCGATCTGCAAGTGGAAAGCGTAACCGCATTGCTGGACAAGCGTCTCGAGGAGTGCGAGCGCAAGCAAGGAGATGTGGGGGTTGCGATTATTCACAATACGTGCAATGGACATCGCCGCTTCTCGAGGTCTATTTGGAGAGAGTCCATGAGATTGGCGAATTAACCTAGTAGGGTAATGGGGAAGCTGGACGACATACGTGTTCGCCTTCTTCTTATTGATGTATTCCGCCACCTCAAGGTGTGCGGCATAATCTGGCTCAATTTTGTATGGATCCACAGCTCGTGCAATCAAATTCTGCAACGGGGAGACATTCCTCAAAAAATCGCCGCTGAACACCGACATGACTGGAGTACAGGCGATCTCCTTGACGTTTCACTCTTCGCGTCTGGTTAAATGCCTGAAGTTTCGTGAGGACGAAGATATTGCACGACTTGTTTCGCGAAGTACAGACCACAAATCCCTGGATAGCGCCCGAGATCGGGAATTAAGCACGAGGACGAGGCACGTAGATTGACGATGCAATAGAAACTGCTAGTAGTAGTACGTGGACAAGTCCTACGCTGCGGCGAGCACATCAGCGGAGGGGGCTGGCGAGAAGTTATTTCCATTTGTGACGATCGACACTTCTGTATTTCTTTTGGTTAAAATGCCTAACTTCATAATTCATAACTTGTTCGCTGTTCTTGTAGGCTTAGAACAAGGTATGGCAACCATATCCCTTAAAATAACTCCGGCACTTTAAGTAGATCCCTCGATTTATCTCGTTTATTCTCCTAATAATTGTCCCACGCACTCTGTTCATAGACTTAGGTAATGTACAATTCAGCGAATCCAAAGACTAGTCCTTTAGAGTCCGCTACAACTTGGGTGTTAGTGTACACCAACCATTCTCAACTGTTCCCTCCTAAACTACCACGAAACGCTAATGGCCTACAGATATCATCAGACACAAGTTCTACGGATATTCTCCAATGAAGATTGCCTACCTGTGGCCTTCCCGAAGGCAGAGCGGAGGCCGCCGCTGATCTTCTCTGCTGTGTCCTGCGACTATGAAAACGGCACATCGATCAGATTGTCAAAAGATACACCACCATTAGAAGTAAAGGATACGTACGACGTCGTAGCCAGCTTTCTTTGCGGCATATTCGACACCTCTATCGATGAAATCGCCATTTCCGCCGCTTGAATCCTGGTTGCTACTGTGTGAGTCCTGATTATTGTTGGATGTGAAGGAACTTGTGTTAAAGTTGCTGTCGCGGTTTCCGGACGTGGAATTATCAAATCCAGACGAGTCCGCGTTTCTGGAGGAGCCATAACTGTTGTCTTGTTGGCCACTGGAAGAATAGTTGCTGGAGTCGTTGTCATTCTGGCGAGATCCATATCCGCCATTGTTGCCTGAGCCGTAATTGGAGTCATTTCCTGAGTTACTACTGTAGGTATTGCCACTGGAGCCAAATTTATCATCATCGCGAGAGCCGTTGTTCGAGTCCTTGCGCGAGTCATCTCCGTACGTGTTGCCGCTTGAACCGTAGGTATCTGAGCCACTTTTGGAGTAAGAGTCGTTGTTCGACCCGCCGTACGAGTCGTCGTCGCGGCGTGAAGCACCGTATGAGTTGTCACTAGATCCATACGAGCTATCGTTGTTGTCGCGGCCAGAACCCCCGTAGGTATTGTCGCTGGAGCCGTGGTTGTTATTATCGCGGTCACGACCAGATCCACCGTAAGAGTTGTCGCTCGACCCGTAGTTGTTTCCCTGGCGATCAGAGTCGCGTCCGTAAGAGTTGTCGTTGTAGTCGGACATGGTACTGTTACTGGTTGGAGAAAGGTAAGGATGCCTTGAGTGTTGCTGGCTGAGGATATGCTCGACTGCTGCTGCTACGAAATCGTCATTTGGCGCGGTATTTAAGCCTTATCGCGTGGAATATAGGCACTAAAACCCCGCGAAGGATGGATATGCTATTGCCATCTGGAATGTCGAAATAGAACGGATGCAGAAGGTTTGGCCACAATGCTATGCAGGATTTAGGCTCTGTGCCTGTTATTATTCGGATCGATTAGGCACACGGACGCACAGACCTGACCGGAAAACTGACTTCACCTGAACCGTGACCTTCTTGGTACCTAATCGGGAATAGAAATAGCATGCGATAGCTGGAATGCGGTGGTGCAGTGTATAATAGTGTGAAAAAAGATGGCTTAGAAGCGTTCATGTGGACAGATCCATCTGACGTCTGGAAGGATTGCATCTCGTACCATTGCATGTTCCGATCCTTCTGAGCCATGAGATATGATTGATTGCTTTGATACACTGTGTTTTTTTTACACGTTTCTGAGCTCATTAAGCATCCGAACAGCTAGTGCATCACTGAGGCTGGGTAGTGAGTGGGTACATCTAGTCTAGGCTCTAGTGAATCAGTCCTATAGACGATGGCCTAGTCTACATCAATAGCATGTGCGGCGCTACGGCGTACGCAAAACCTTAGCAGAAAAGTCACCTGTAAGAAGTGTCTGAAGTGCCTTTATCATGGACTCTTAAAAAATAAGCTTGATCATTGTCACGCAAGTCACTACACGTGGTGTGACCTGTCGTTCCTTCATCTCCCCGACTCAGGTAATACTTAATCTTCAAACCACCACGACATGTCGTCTGTTCAGGATACTTTAGGACGGCAATTCGCAACTCTACTTCGTGCACAATATCCTCCTTTCATTTTCGTTAGAGACCTGTCTGCAGCGGATGTTGCCTGCTCCCTGTTGAGAAGCATACTTGAAGCGGACATTCAAGCAAAGCCTGAAGCAGAACGGAAACCGTTGTACGCGATCATCGACTGCATTGCATGCTTTAACGCACGGCTCCTCTTCGACTCGATTTTAATTGCGCTTATTAACTGTCTACCGACATCCGAATGCACTGCCAAGCAGGAATTGTTCACGACGCAACGAAATGAGACCTTTGATGACTTCCTTCATAATATTCGGCTATTATTCCCTGGCTCTAGTTTCCCATCCTCATCACTTGGTAGTGGAAGCATTGAGCCTGTAAAGATCGTCCTTATATTTAAACAAGCTGAGAGGCTCAAGGATACACTTCCAAGATTTGTCCATCCCTTGTCTAGACTTCAAGAACGGGTAATATTCTCAATTCCGCATGTCATAAACTACTAAATCATTTTTCATCCTTTTAGACCAGACAAAACATCACTACAATATTCATATCTGACACCGCATGGGAAACAATTAGCCCTGTTGCTGGCGCTTTGCTTGATCCGTATATGATCGATGTGGATCCACTCGACGGACGACGTGCGTAGCAAACATCCGTTTCCATTCGTTGATGCTCAATTTGTCCCTAGAGATTATAGAAGGGATATGCCAGAGATTCCCGACGGATATCCCATCCAATACCATATCAATGTATAACCCGTCTCTTGAGGGCCTGTTCCGGCAATTTGTAGAAACAGTGTACAATGTATGCTCGCCATTTATTTCTAGCCCGGTTGAACTTGGTTACATTGTGGCTGCTCGGTGGCCCGGCTTTGTTGCACCCGTGTTAGAAGACTGGAGGTATCAATACGATGATCCTTACGCTGCACCATCAGAGGAAGCGCGCTTACGACTAATGCGATTGTTTAATTCTTCTCTTATGCATGCTGTGGAGAATCTATATCCACGAAGCATGAATCGGACTGAATGGAGCACTGCCAATTCGTTTCCTGAGGGCTTTCGACTCTCACAATCGCTGGGCGCTCAGTTGCCTTCCGGGACTAATTCAGCCGCTGAAGCATCAGCTGCAATACCGTCACTGGCCGTGAACTCAATGTTCATCGTGGTCGCAGCATTCCTAGCGTCATACAATCCACCAAAGACAGATTATCGGATGTTTGGCCGAGGAGTGGATGAAAAGTCGCGGAGAAGGCGCAAAGGAGGTGGAACACGGAAGACTAAGCCTGGTACTGTTGCAAGAGTCAGTTCACATTCTGTCCCCTTTTTCAGCACTGTGATAATTAAGCAACTTCTCAGCTTCCGCAACGACTTATTGGACCCACTGCATTCTCGTATGACAGACTCATCGCTATCCTTGGTTCCTTGCTACGAGAATATGGCGACTTAAATCAGGTTGGCCAGTCGGTCGAGGATGTGTCAGAATTGAAGGCAGAGGTAGACGTTTACCGGGTTCAAACATCAGCAACGGTACGAACCTCTCTCACTTTCGGGCCGCTGGATCTAGCTCACACGGTGAACTAGATACGAGAACTTGTCTCGATGCATCTGCTGCATCATTCTACCGCCCAAGAAAAGTTGGATGCTCCAACCTACAGATGTGGAATAGGGTATGATCAGGCACTTTCTCTGGCAAGAAAGTTAGGAATCCCACTTACCGACTTGCTGTGGGAACCAAACTAGATAGTTGTCCGTTGTCTTTCGCTTTGATTTTGACCTTGTATTTTTGACATGTTGGCGAGATTCTACAGGCGCTTATATCATCCCCTTTCTCCGAGAGTATAACTGGGAATATTCCCATCTTTGATTGTTATTACCGTCTGACCAACCAAGCGCTCTGCATGCGTTCTTTCCTTTGGTCAAGATCCCGCCACGTTGCCCACTTACTACACTTGCTTTGTAACAGAGACTAGAATTTGCAATTTCAGTCTGCTGACTCATCACCCATACTAGTCTGACTCACTGAGGCCCTTAGTGTGCGAAAATCTACAAACGCGTTATTTGGCGGCAAGTGGAAGGTAAGGAGTGCTATTTTAGACGTTGGGCGAAATTATGAAACCTCCTAGTTTCCGTCTTTCTAGTCGTTCTACAGAACGTAGAAGTGAGTAAGTAGTAAGAAAAATAATCTACACTTTGTATACCTGTGCCTAACACTTCTCTAGTCATGTTTGTGAAGAAAACTTTGGTTAGTCTTTCAATCTACTAATGAGGACAAACATGAGGGCGGTGTACAACAGCTGCGGAAAAGATTAAATGAAACGTCTTGCCAGCGGCCATCTTGATATGAAAGGGGCAACTAATGATCGGGGAGGTCTCTCGGCCCAACTCTTCTTACACATCAACAAATAGCGGTCGCTCGGAGAAATAATACAGTAGACACATTTTGAATAACATAGCCATGTCGTTGATGAAACTCATACGACCGCTTTGTACTGAGAAGAATGGTTGTATTTGGTGGGTGTGGGAGGATTCTGAAAATATGACGGAGAAAAGTTACGATTTTGCGTGTAAGCGTCGAACGCTTGGGGAACTGCTTATCAAAACAGCCAAGGACCCAGGGTATAAATTGTTTAATGAGAGCGCGCAGATATCCAGACACTAGGATCCCCTAAACTCCTCGTTCTTAATCTTGAAGACATATTTTGTTGTTGCTAAGTCCTGTTACAATGATCACCTTCTACGATATCGCAACGCGGCTTTCACCGCAGGCCATGGCACCGAATACGTTTAAAACACGGTAAGTTATATCGAGGCAGTTATCGCCGAACACGAACAGAGACTGACGTTATGTAGACTGGCGCTCAACTATAAGGGTATCCCGTACAAGACAGAATGGGTTGAGTTCCCAGACATCGAAGCCGTCGTTAAGAGACTCGGCGGAACTCCAACGAGCAAGAAGGCAGACGGCAGCGATTATTACACGCTTCCTATGATCCACGATTCGACGACAGGAAAAGTGGTCACTGACTCCATTGCTATTGCGGAATACCTTGATGCGACGTACCCCGACAAGCCACTGCTCTTCCCGCCAGGAACGAAGGCCGCGACAGCGACACTCAACCATGTGTTTATGCAGAGCCTGAATCCGATATCCCCTATCATGATCTATGAAGTATACGGCACCCTCAACCAGCCGAGCCAAGTTTACTGGCGTACCACTCGTGAAGCAGCAATCGGAAAGAAGTTGGAGGAATTTGCACCACCGGGTCCTGACCGTGATGAGATGTGGAAGCAGTGCAAGGAGGGTTTGGATACTCTAGCGGGATTCTATGATAGGAATGGGGAGGGGAAGAGATTCTTTTTCGCTGATACGTTCTCGTTTGCGGACACAATTGTCATCGGTTTCTTGGTTTGGATCGAGATTACTTTAGGCACAACGAACGAAGAATGGAAAGCAATAGCGGGCTGGAGCAACGGAAGATGGGGAAAGTTGCTAGAGTCAACGCGGAACCTGCAGGCTGTGAATTAGGACTCGTTTACAGGGTGTCAATAGTTCGCCTTTGAGACATGACAATACAAACGAGCATCGCCTTGTTATTCCATGTTCGCAAAAAACATAAACTCATTAGGACAGTAGAGAGGAGTGGGTTAGGCTTTAAGCTCCCATTGAAAGACAAGAGAGCACGTTACATATACATAGGTGAGGTCGAGGTTGTCACTGTGTCGTATAGGAAGGTACCTAGATCCACAGTTCAGTGCACAAACGTCAATACTTGAACATTGCATAGCGCTAGAACAAGTAGCATAGGTATCGTTTTCGTGATTATCAGTACTAGTGGTATATAATTGAATGATATAGGTATAACAGGTCGGAAGATGACAAGATAGGATCCTGTCCTCTAGTCCAATGTATCGACGGACTAAAAGGATGATAAATAGCATCGACTATAACACATACGCGAAGAGAACTGGTTGCGCTTGAACACATTTATGGCGGACGTTTTTTAGGCTCAAGTTAAGCGAGTTCACAATACCGGGTCCCAGATAAATGCACGTTGCAAGCAGTCCAAGGAAAGCCCAGATATCTTCGAAAGACTTTTCGATAGAAAGAGTCAAAAAGTTGTTCTTCTCAACTGGCACATTCTCTTTCACATTCTCATTTGCGGATGCAATTGTCGCCGGACTCCTCATCTGGATTAAGCATCTTCCTACCTACCGAAGACGACGTCTACGAAGCATCAGCGACCTAGAGCGACGGAGGGTAGGCGAGACTGGTTGACTTGGCGAGCAGGTCTGCAAGTGGCAAGTGCAATAGGAATCGCCTGCATCGCTAAAGGTCAACATGAATGTCGACGACAAATGAACAAACAGACACACCTCTGGCATGAGCGACCTCTTGACGGTATTGAGATTTGTAAGGATATTTCCTACATTAATGAGGAGTAGATCCAATGCTTTCATCTGCAGCTGGAGTCGCGCCAGGTGTCGGTTGAAGAGAGGGTCCTAGAGCCTCGTCAAGTTCCGCTTCATCTACGCCACTGTCCTCATCGTCGTCAGCTGCATTATCCCCATCTCCAAATACGTCTACTACCATCTCGTCATCGGGGACGGAATCTCCGCCAGTGAGTGGTGGAACTGGTGACATTCTGTTGCTGTTATATGGTGACAACGGATTCTGTGGACTGAGAGGCACGAATTCCTCTGGTTCTTCCGTTTCAACAGCCACACGCGCTTTCCAGTCGTACTTCTCTCGAAGAAGCGCTACTGCACGCATAGCACGATCACACCGTGCATCGTGTTCCGCTTTGATGTCGGCACAAGCCTGCAGGACGGCGATATACGTCTCAGCGGCAGTCGGGCGTTCCTTCTGTAACGCAGCAGTCGGGAGCCGTTCAGAAAGTCTCCGGACTGTGTCATTCTCAAGGCGTAGTACTTCTGTTGTCTGCTGATTTCGCAACAATGGAATAAGGTCGTTGTCAAGTTGCGCGTCTGGTAAAGCCGATGCAGGATGGAGTGCGAGTTTCGCGAGTGGTTTACCAGAAGTGCCAGATGACGCGTCGAGTGGCAGGGAAGATGGCGGAGCAGAAACCAGGGAAGTACAGAGGTTATGTGTTTGTGAAAGTAGTACGTTGTATTTTGCGAGAATATCCGGCCATGCGGGCATAACATTCTGTCCACCAAATTCTACAGTCCGCTGCAGCGCAGAAATGGATTCCATGATCTGGGTAATCTTGAAACGTGCAGATTCTAGTTGGCTAACAGGAAGGGTAGCTCGGTGTGTAGCACTTTGAGTTTGTTCGGACATGATGAGATGAAGCTTAAAGACAAGCACTCGGCTGAATGTGGTTGAAGGTAGAAGAGCGAGGTAAGGTCTGGCACTACAAGAATGTACTCTGCGCACAGCCACAGTTGGGTCTTTTTCATGGTAATGTTATTAACTTGTTTAACCTCAAAGTTCGCAGTTATTTTTACACACAAGCATAGCGAATGCACGGTCGCTATTTGTCTATGGACTGCTGTACTAATCTTATGCTACCGAATACAAGATGCGGGAGGCCTAGCAGTCATGAGATCCATAATATCAAGCTATTGCCAGAAGGTGCAGTGAATTATGACTTCAAAAGAGGTATAGGTATAGATAGACACGGAAAGTCAAAGTGGTATAAAGTGCTTAAAGCACAAGGTTAAGGACGCCACCCAAAGCACTGAAGCCAAGCTGTGTAAGAGTGGGTACGAGGCTGCCCACGAGGGGGACGAGCTCAGTAAGCAGTCCGTCAACGACACCGCTTACGCCGCTGACAAGCTCAGAAAGGATGGAGCCTACAGCGGAGACAGCATTGCCGAGAACAGACAGGTCACCGTTCGCAACCTTAAGCACAGCACCGAGGGCGCTTACGATGAGCTGCAATAAAGAATAAACTCTCTGAAAAATACACTAAATTTCTAAGGATACTTACAGTGAGCACCTTCGCGAGGAGCGTCGCAACGTCGGAAACGACGACTTGTGTAGTTCCATCGACAGAAGCCAGAACAGTCGCAACCGGTGCACCAACAAGCTTCTTCACGTCGGCTACTGCAGTACCGACAATATCAACAACTTGTTGAAGGAGAGGGCTGATCGTTTCAACCGTTGCATTAGCACCAGTAATTGAGTCTTACATTAAAGGTCACCACGTTAGAATTATCACGATACAGCTACTGAAGATACCTACTGAGTTTGTCAATAACGGCTGAAATGTCGGTCGTCAGGGTATTGAGGATAGTAGGGACGGAAGCTAGTTGCGCATCACGGCGAAGGACATCAACGTTTTTCACGTCGACATCGGCAACATCGCGACGGAGGATGTTCACATTTTCTACGTCTACATCCGCGACATCGCGACGGAGAACATCGACGTTCTCGACGTCAAGGTCGGCAACATCACGGCGGAGGACATCCACATTCTTTACGTCGACATCGGCAAGATCACGAACACCGAGCTTTGCGTCAGCGGCAGCAGCAAGGCCGGCTCCGATGTCAACTGGAGCAGCAGATGTGAAAACGGAGAATGCAGCGGTAGCTACAATAGAGAGGATGCTGAAAGAGCGCATAGTTGATGTAGGATCAAGGAGTGTGAGGGTGCTGGGTGAGCGGCAAGAGGAGTTGCGACGGAACAAGAAACAAGTGCAGGTGTAGAAACTGGGGGGGTCAGGGAGCGGAGGCTTAGGTTTTTATTCCTCTCCTCTTCTGGTAGCCATGTTGTTTTTTCGTCTTCCGTCGGAAATGACCGCTGCATACTGGCGCTAAACATATGTTGTTATCAATCAATTAGAAGGGCGATGTGAAGATTCCCGCTCCACCGCGAATATGATCGGTCACCAATTAAATGTTCGCGTTTGAGGTTGGGTTCCAAGGATTCAAAGGGATTGACCAACAGGAACGCGGGATCGACGCATCCGCGGAGCTTCTGAAAGATTTAACGACGATTAGCCTTGCCGATTGGGGACTTCTATTCAAAATAGATTAATGACACCGACGAATCGTCTTGCCATTCTGAACGTACAAAAGAGGAACAGCAAAAGCGATCAAACTAGGAGATTAGCATTTTACGCAAACCACCGACCATTTCTCCTAACAGGCTACGCAGAACACGTAGGCGCGACGGAATGAACTATGGATGGAGGATGAGTGTGGAGCATGTTGACACAGCTCGTCGTTTATTTCGCCTTTTCGTCTGAAAATTGCGCATGTGTTCGCTTGGAAAAATAACGCCCCCTAACACTTCGCGGGTTGAATGTCGCCATAGATATGATGGAGCTAAACATACGTTGACCCGGAAAGAAATTTCGGCCCCCGTAACCGCTTGCACTAACCGGTACAAAATGACGTTCAGATGACTCCACTGCGTCATCCCGTTACATGCGCATGTTCCGGCCGATAGTAGTCTGTTTGTACATATTTAGTACCATCCGCCAACATACGTGACCATGCAACTCAGCCAAATTTGAGTGTCAAATAACTTCAGTTTGTTAAAAACAAAATGATCGTCTCGCTCGTTGCTCAACATGCGATGCCGGGATATACGGGGGCGTTAAAATTCTTCAATATCATCATCCGAGAGCCAATTATTGCCTTCAACCTCTTCTTTTTGCATCTTCCCGGCTGCACGAAGGAAGCTATCTTCATCCGGAGGTACCTCGAACGCGTCCTCATCATTACCATCAGCGTTAAGTGTAGACGCTTTGGAAGTACTTGATGATGCGAAGACGAGTGTAGAGAATGCGGAATGAGCAGATGGTGTGGTGATACCTTGAAATTCAAAAAGAAAAAGAAAAAATTAATCGACCAAACTTAAATAATTTGGCCACAAGTCCACCTTGTAAAGTTCCGGATGAGACGCCTCGGGAATGTGCTTTCAAGACAGAACCCAACTCAAGAGCGATCTCATTCTTCGACCATCGGGGGCTTCCAGAATCTTGTAACCACGTCCAGACGTCCAGAACCGCATCTTCAGCGTCGTGTGTCTTCTTCAATACGTCGAAGAACTCCGGCTTGTACATTTTCTGCCCACGCCGTGTCACCGGTGAAGGCAGTGAATGCAACGCCCCAAGCGTTAACATGTGGAATTGATGGGGATTTGTTTGATACCACTATCACATGAAGTACGCGGTTGTGGGAGGAGATAAATAAGGGGCATTTGAAAAATAAATTGAAATCTTACTGACATGTTCTCCTCCACTCGAATCAATCCAACTGAGCCAGTCACTCAGCTCTCTGCATTGACTCACATCATCACAAAACTGTGAATAATTCTGATGAACATAAAGCGCAAACAGACCGGTATCGATCGGTGAATCTGCATATAAGCCCTAACGATACGAAGAAAATCAATCATAATTAGAACACGCCCCAGCTCGGGTGTTTTAGCCACCTACATCAACATCGACTCGACTCGCCCGCCGTTCGTGTTCTGAGAACCACGGAGGCAATGGCGATGGATCTTTCAGCCGCAAGTCCAATTCTTGCTCATGGTGTCTATCTTTTGCTGAGGCCGATGAAGCTAATGGGTCACCCTTCCCTGTATCAAACTGTAAGTACAAGGGGAATGGTGACTGAATGACTCGGTATACGTACTTTTGTTATAAAGAACTTTCCCCATCAGATGGAAGAGGGCAAGTGCCCGCTCTCTTCTCGTAATCAATTCCATTCTTAAAAAGGATCTGGTGAGCTTTACCCAATGGAAGTCTCTACAACTCACAATGCTCTTGACCCCTTCTTCTTCCCCTTTGCCGCCTTACTCTTTGATGTTTCCAAGACACAGGAAAACTGAAGCGCCATGGCGGCACTGCGAATGTCACCATTCGACGTCTGAACAATAGTGTTCAGGTCATCTTTAGTCAGGCGTATACTCTGAGGAACATCGGAATAGTAGCGGGAAAGCATCTCTTGCAGTGCACGGAGCATCAGAGTTGGCGCTATAGGATTGAACCTAGATAACACAGAAGTCCGTAAGCAATTGTACAACTGATTTGGAACTAGCAAACACATACGAAATTTGAGTAACGTATGGACCATTGACCAGGCTCGGAGGTAGGACGGTACGAATGTCCACATTGTCATGCAAAAACCGCCCCCCTCCACCCTGCGCGAGCCTCTCATCCCGCACTTCGCCTCGTGTGGATGCATCACTTATTACAATGATAAGTGGTGTAGAGTTCGGAAGAGTTACGAAGGATTCTAGTGCGGCATGGAACTTCACTTGCGTAGGTTGGTGAAGAACATTTGGTAAATCTTCCAGAAGGATCACTTGCTTCTGCTCATTTGGAATGGGGCTAGAAGTTGACGGGGTTGATGAAGAGGATGGGAGGCAAGTCTGTGAGGAACTCGAAGGGAGTTGGCCGAGTCGACCGACCAATGGACGGTTTGCAGCAGCTCGTGCCAGAAATGCCTCGAATTTTTCATTAAGACCTTCCCAATCTATAATCAATGTATTAGCACCTGCATCCGACGAACTTAACAAGGGCAGACCAGTATCGTTTTCCACGTAGCTTTCTTCAACAGTGCTTCTCCATTCCAGAATATTAAAGCCCAGTTCCTTTGATAGAACGCGCACAGTCGTTGTTTTTGCTGTGCCCGCTGGCCCTGTAAGGACGAGTATTCGCTGTAGCATACTTAGCCAGCAATCTACGCGCGAATCCATTGCGAGAATACTTACACGGTACTTCTTCAATTTGCCCATATTCCCACCCTCAAACGCTTCTTGTAACCACCTTCGAACATCCTCTACTTTCTTCTTATGTACTGCTAATTCAGCCTAGAGCGTAGTATAAGTATCAATCCCGAAAGAAAGGTGATGAAGTACAAACTTCCGATTGCGGTTCATACACGTCGATCCAAAGCCGGTCATCTTAACACAGTATCAATTATAATGTAATGAGGATCCCTGCACAGTATTCGTACCATGCTGCGAATCCGTGGATGATACTAAATCGCCAACGCCGTCAAGCAAGGAAACGGTTTCTGACTTTGGCTTCTCTTTACGTTTCCCTCCATCAGTTGTGTTAAATGCAGGAGGTCTTCTAACCTATTCTCTAGCTAACAGTCAGTCAACCATCAAAAATAAACAGTGAGATTCAACAGAACCGAAAATAATGGTTTAACCGGCTTTTGTTTGCTGGCAGCAGCACTTGAACCAAGAACAAACTCGGGTGTTCCAGCTTTGTGACCCGACGATGAAGAGGATCCGGCTGACTTTCGGGATCTTGTTGGAGGCATTGTGTCTCAAAGTGAAGGAGAGTTGCCAAAGAATATTCTCTAGGTAAAAAGCGCCTGGGGCGTAAAATGTGGTTCTTCGGCCTGGAAATTGTGGAATTTCATATTCAGCAGACACGAGTCACGTTTCCAGTATTCAATGATCGACGTTTGTAATAAACTAATCGCGACTGGCTTCGACCTCCATACCTTGACTTTACCCCAGGTCATCACTAATGTTACACAATATCTTTGACCTCCGCATACGACGAGTAGGTTAATAGAATAACGTGCCGTCACCAATGCTCATTGCTGGACATGTTTGTATACCGGCGCTTTTATCTGTTATCCGGTATTGTCAAGTCACTCATGGCCTCTTTCTGCTTGAATAGCCTTTGTATTCTTCGGACAGAAGCGACCTGCAGTACTAATGATTGGCAAGAACTTTAATAAAGTGAAGAAGTGTGATAGAGTAACTGCAGTGAAAACGGAAGTACATTGCTCTCTGGGTAATCCAATCACTCTTTGTTCATATCTGATTTCTTGCTCCCAGAAACTTGTAGATCTTCAAACTTTTTCCCATTTGACTGTGAGTACTCAGTAATGCCTGCAGCAAATTGTCTAATGTTTGATTGATTAATCTTTGAAATTCAAGGTATCACTGCATCACCGGCCCTTTCCATATACTCTACACTCGCCTTCGCATCGTCAAATACTTTCAAGGCGTCTACACTTGACGCTAATGGTACCGATGAGGATGCGTTGGGCATATCTCCGGACGAAGATAACCTCCGATGTCCAACCGACAAGATACAAAAAGAAGAGATTGAAGGCGCGAATCAGCTCTCGGATGATGATATTGAAAAACTTTAACGCCTCAATACACTCGGCAACCCGTGTCGAGCGCGACAATCACTTTGCTTTTACAGGCTTCCAGCTTTTTATCGCTTGAATCTTTATTAGATGCATGGCCACAGTTCGGCAGACGATCCACATGGAGAAATGACAAGCAGGAGATAGAGCGAGGATGCTTGAAGTCACGATATGCATACACGAACTGTGCAACCGAGGATGACACGTTATGTGGAAACCAGGGAAGCTATGTTCTTTCCTTGCGTTACTTAGCTCATTTAAGGAAACTACAGGCGATAGCATATGTGATATTCCTTCTTACAGTGACAAAGGATGAATGTGTAAAGAGTACGACCGTCCTAGCTTCGAGTATGCCTGTATGTACGTGCATTTCACCGTTTTCTATCTCTTACTTATGATTTACAAGTTTCTTATCTCTATATTGTTACTTCTATACAAAATACTAAACAACTTGTCTTTTGAAGAAGCTCAAATGACTTCTGGCTTGTGTTCCATTCCCCTACTTGCATACCAAGTTTCAGGACCCTGCAAACAACAGATTCACCCATGGTCACTTAACTGTTTTGCGTATTAGGGCTCACCTTCCTGTTCTTGACCCTCTGATTATCAACTCTCCTTACGAACCACTCGCCCTGGGTCACGCCTGGATTGAACTTCGCCTTCTCTTCAGGACTCATACGAGCGAGCGCTTCTTTAATCACGGTACCCTCTTCCAATGTACGAAGGGGATAATTACTGGCAGGCCGAGAGAAGAACACGGCTGACCAGCGAGTATAGGTACTCTGCGCACCAGGCGGAGAGACGACACGATGCATAATTGAACGTAGCACGCCGCCAGATGAGAGAGCGAGTGCGTCACCGATGTTGCAAATTAGGTGTCCGGGAATAGGGAGGATGTAGTGCCAGTCGAGACTCCAGGAGGAAGGACCTGAAGCCCACCAAGCTGATTGTGAAGCAACGAGAGTGATCCTACGTCGGTATGAGAGCCGAGGGAGACCTTGTCCTTCTCAATCGGGCCTTCCGAATAAGCATATTTGGCTGGATACTTGATCATTCGGCATTCAGAGTTGCTCTTCCCCATGAGTGGATGGGCTGCTCGGATGACACCCTCGGGCAGGCCAAGTTTCTTCTCGAAGACGGAGTAGATCGTGTCGATAACTCCGAGAGATTTTCGGGTGAATGGAGTTATTGCGGATTCCATGTGTTTATAGACGGTCGAGGGGTAAGTACGCCGAACGACTTCGGGGTATGCCAAGGCATCTTCCTTTGAGATGCAGATAAACTCAGCATTGTCTGGATCACCAAATTCGTTCGTCGCTAAGGAACCTATTGCTTTATACCTTTCTGAATATCATAATACAGTATAAGGAGAAAGAAAGAGACCGATCCTTACCCACACGCATTTTCACCGGCCCCATGTTCAAACCTCATTTTCCTTTGTCTGAAGATCAAATGTCTCGCGGCCCATTTCAAACATGCCTTCAGCCTCTTCGTCTGTGCCATGGTTCTTCAGACTAGGTCATTTGAGTTTGATGTCCAATAATGTGAACCAGTGATATACTACGTACTACCAAAATCCCAGTTCTGTAGCGGCTTTCCAGAGCTTCTCTATCTCAGCAGAGTCGCATGCCAAGAGCTCATAGTCAACGACTAGCAGAGAGCGTGTTGGAATGTTTTCAGGGATGCCTGGCATAACAGATAACCTTTGGTATCGTTTAACTGTGCCCTTAGCTACTAGGCACTTGGCACTGACTCTTGTACTGTAGAAGTAGGTTTATATCTACAGGATAAAGGCAGAGATTCATTAGTCCAACCATGGAGAGACGCCAGGTGAGCATGTAAGGTAGTACCACAAGTTGGTATCTGAGTAGGATACTGTCTAAAGCATTAAGTGTGTAAGACCAATTTGACTAACCAGAAATAGTAGCCTCATTCCCTTTAATGACTATCATGCCCTGATAGGTAGTTGTAGTATTAAGTGTGAGGCTTTGATACAGCAGCTGCTGTTTAGGAGTCAACCCAAGTACATGAAGCAGTACAGACTCAGAGTTCATCTGCTGTAGGGACTACTCTGATACAGTCAGTTCCAAAACAAATAACACCTGTACCGTGACAAAGATTTCTAGCCTAGTAAGCAGACTCAACAGATTGAGCAGCAACTAGTCATTTCATGAAGGTAATACAACAAATAGGTGTACTACTACATTATTACTTAGATATGTTTTTTTTAGAAAATCATGTACATACTATGTATATAGCCTAATTGAAAAGTAATTGCAAAAAAAAAAAAAAAAAAAAAGAGCCCCTAATATGTATACAGGCTTAAAGACTCTTGTTACAGTAATACATACAATTGTACTAGATGCATATTAATAATTTTAAATTCGCAATAAAAGCTTTATGGTAATAATAATATTATTGCAATAGACTACTGTTGCCTATACAATATAATAGTAATTGTCGAATTACTTTACCTGTGGTCAAATCATTTATGTTTAGTCGACTCATCGGGAAAAAGTCTAAAAGGTTATATTACATTATAATGGTGTGAAAAAAGTGAAAAAAGTAAAAAAAGTAATTTACATATTATCGGACCTCGATTTCTGATAAAGTAGTATAACTTTGTATAAGGTACTGTAAGGTTTATGAATGTAATAAAAGTACATAAGGGTAATACCCCTTTTAAACATATAAAATGCATAATATCGGACCTCCCTTTTTTGAAATGTATTGTAAGGATTACCAAGTTTTGAAAGGGTAATATATATTTGTAATGTTTTACAGACTATACATAGTTATTATTCCTTAATAATAATAATTTTCCCTTACATCCATTCATTATTAAAATAACAAAAATCAATTATATTAAAATATTTGTACGATACATCATTATCTACAATAATTAAGGAAAATAAACCGAAGCACATACATAGTGCAGCCTGCATCAAGATTTGTGCAGAGAGCGAGTGAGAGTGTCCGTGTCTGCTGTGATGCGAATACGAGTAGGTAGAGGTTGGGATCGGACCAGACTCGAGCAGCGAACGAGTGCATTACGGGTGTCGATTGCCAGGCCCATCCCTTGACCAGATCCAGACGGACCACCAGAAAGCGAGGGCATTGAGAGGCTCAACGGTTATGACTGCATCTGCGGTTGACCCGT